TTATTTTCCGTTTTACTAGATATAGACTTTAGGAGAATAGATAGTTAAGGGAATTAAAATTACTACTATTTATTAAGTACTAGTCCCTTAGTATAGGGCCGGTACTTTAACCTAGCTATCTACTTAGATCCGGTATAGGTCTAATAGGTAACTAAATAGACTAGCTACTATATATAATTAAACGTATTATATAGACTAGCTACTATACGTTATTACGCGCGTTAAATATAAACTAGCTATTAGTCTTATAAGTTAAAGTAAGAGTAGTAATAACTATCTATATTCTTCTCTACCTACCTAAGATCTAGTAGGTTCTCTATCCTTTATATATACTATAGCGAGCGTTAGACCTTACTTAAGGCTTTAACTAAGTAATATCTTAACCTTATAATCGTACGATAGTAGTATAGCGTATTAATAGTATTTCCTAGTATTTTCCCTAGGTAAGCATAGGTATTTCTCTATAATTTCCCCGCTATATTCTTATAGTAACTTCTTAGGGAAATATTAGTATAGTCCCTAAGGAGCTTTATTACTTAGGAAATCATAGTATATTCCCTATATAGTATATCCCTAAGGGAAATCTCTATAAAATATCTATATAATCCGCTTAGTTATTATTTCTAGGATTTCTAGGTGATTTCCTAGAGTTTACTTAGTAGCTTCTAGGTTCCTTCTTCTACGGGGAGCCTTAGGGAGTTAAGGGTAACTTCCCTAAGGGAAGTAGATATCGTTATAAGTACCTAGATTATCGACTATAAGGTATCCTATAATATTAAACGTACGAACTACTTTATTATTTATTAATATAGCTTAGCGAAATATCGGTATATCTCTTATACTCTTCTACTAATAAAACTCTAAAAAATACTATAGGGATAGGACTTTAATTCGATAGAAGTTATTTACTTTCTAGATATTTACTTTAAATACTTAGTCGAGAAGTATAAAGGCTAAAAGATAAAGTATGGTATTAAATAATAAGTTATCGACCTTATAAAAGATAAAGGTTTTACTAGGAACCCGGTATAAGCTAGGGCTAGTATAAGTACTAAGGAGTTACTTATAGGTTTTCTCTTTACTCCTAGCCTTTTATAAACTTAAGCGTTACCTCTATAGCTAGAAGATCTCTTCCTTTATCTAGGTTTCTAAGGAGTAGCTAGACGTCCTTATAATAAATTATCTTAAAATTATCCTCTTTTAAGTTAAATTTATCTATATAGTCTACTTAAGTCGCTTTATCTTTATAGCTAAAGTAGTAGTCGTTAACGGCGTTCGCGTTAAGTCGCTTATATATAAGTACTCCAGGATATATAGCTATATATACTTAAAGTAAAATTAAGAAAGCTAACTATATACGCTAGCGCTTATTAAAGAAGACTAAAGTATTATAGACCTAATAATAATACTATATAAGATATATATCGTTAATATCTATAATAGGCTTTTCGTTTACTAATATATCGAGCTTATAATAAATAGTTAGATACCTATTAATATACTATTAGGTAGTAAGCTAATTATATAAGATATAAACTTCTACGATTAAGATAAAACTTATATTATTAATCTTTTTATTCGCTAGCTTACTAAAATTAACTTTTATAGACTTCCGGTATACTTAAAAAAGAATTCTTTTATAAGTATATATAATACTTCTCTTATAAATCCTTTAATATAAGTTAGGTATCTACTCTAAAAATATTATAATATCTTCCTTTATCGATTTTATAAAATAACTAAGCAGATCGACTAATAAGTATATATAGTATCTAGTCTTATTAGCTTATTACTTAAATATAATAAAAAGGTCGCTTACTTTATCTATTTCTATTTTACTCTATATATATTAACCTTTATTATCTTAGTATACCGCTTTTTAATAACCCTATACTTTTAGAGTCGCTCGCGCTTTAACTAGTAGTAGGCTAATAAGTACTAAGCTTACGGTAAGCTTTTTAATACCGCTATACTTTACTCTTATATATCTTAGAGCTTCTAGAAAATAAAGTAAAGGTTTATAGCTAAATAGTATATTGCCTCTTAATTAATATATTCTAACGCTATTAAAATTAATATACTATAGTTTAATTAAGGGTCGGTAGGGGCCGGGGATAGTAAGACACCTCGAAAGCCTAGCGGAGGGGTAGAGATAAATAGCGCACGCCCCGCTACCGGCGCTTCGTAAAATATCCTCCGAAAAGGGCAGCCTATCCTCTAAAAGTAGAAGCACTTCCTTTAAAAATAGAAGCATATTTACGGTAAACCTATACTTTTATCGTAAGGATAATTTTAAAAGCGGCTTATATTAAAAAGATAATTAGGAAGACGTTAGCTATATACCGGCCGGGGCATATTCTTTCTAGGTCTATAGTTAAATACTACGGTCCTATAATTAGGCTCGTTAAGTAGCTTAAAAAACCTCTTAGTATTAAAAGAATTAGGGTCCTTATATATCTTATAATTATATAAAACTACTAAAGGGAGGGGAGTAAAGCCGCTTTCTATAAACTTAGATACCCGTTATAGATCTTACCTCTAACGTTATATACGGAAAGCTTAACGACGCAACGAGTAGCTACCGAAATGCTTCTTTGATCACCCTCCCGATACAAGGCAGCCTATCTCAGTCTTTAAACTGCGGGAGCCGGTCGGTGCTAGCCACGCGGTTAATCTCCTCTCGCGCCTTGCGCTAGACCTTAGGGAATATAACTGTTAAGGAGAGTGGGCATAAGAGGCCACAGTCATGCCCAGTGGACCCAATAGTCATGCACAAGGAAGCCTGCCTGACCAACATGACTCCCCTAGCCCAAGGACATCATGCAGGCCCGACTCAGGTATAGGAACATCTCAATGCCCTCTTTTAGCTAGCTATGTGTGGTCACTATACCTATATAAGCCCCTCCCTTGTCCCAATAGATAGACCAAGACATGCATTACTAAATTCACCTTTCTATGCCCCTATTTCTTCCACTGTGCTCTCAAGCCCCTGCTTGAGAATAACTATAGCTAACACGAAGCCACCTAATGTAATATTAATGTGATATCGTAGTATTAAAGCCCGCGTTATATATTATCGCAGCCGTCCACTTAAGGTCATGCTTATTGCGGCTTGACGTCGAATCCTCCTTGTTATTGTCAATGCTTTTTGGACCAGATTAGACATAAACGACTGCCGATGGCTACCAGTCGACATTACCCAAACGAACAAGAAGGAATTTCCACCGTCGCTTCGATGATCTTGTTCTGCCGCCGTGCCGTCTCCTTAAATGCTATCCCGGCGAGCCTATAGGGCAGATATTTAAGGGCTAGAATAATATCGACCAACCAGGTGAAAGGAACTAAGGCAAGCGAACAATTGGCCATATTAAACCTAATTCAATCAACTAAAGGGTCGGCTTTATTTGGTTTAATGGAATAACTATATGTTATTTTTAACATAATGGCAACGGCCATACTGCATAGATAGTAAGGTAACTTAGTCGACAGTCAGCCAGTCGGTTTCATATTATTAGACGATAAAGCTTACTTTTTTAAATGCTTAATTAGAGTTTTGGTCTGAGCTAATACCCGCAAAAGAAATCGTCACAACTCTACTTCTTAAATATCGTTAAACCGAGTCGTTGCGGCTTTTCAACCTAGCCGCTGGTGGACAAGCCCTCGACGCCGACGGAACTTATAATTACTGCAGAGCTAAAGAGGTCGAGGCGACTCAGTGCGTGCATCTAAGGCATCATTGACCTCTCCCGCAGCATGCCAAAGTTATGCCGAAAGGACCCCTCCCAGGTTGTCGAATGCCAGCCAGTGCAGTTGATGAACATTGCCTTCGGTTCATAATTATTTATCATGACCTCAACAAATTGAACTTGAGTAGACTTTCTCCTATAGTAGATGTAGAAAGTTAACTGATTGAAGTGATTAGAAAGGTAGACTGCTTGGACTTTTAGGTCGCTGATAACGGCATACTATACGAAGCAAGCCGCAAGTTGATCTTTGCTGTCGATGGCTGGATGAAAAAAAAACGACTCAAAGGGGTTCGCGACAGGCCGCAAGTAAAATCCTCGCTGCAGATGCCGAAAAGCGACAGCTGGGTTGGACTTGAGCAGGTGCAGAACGTGGGTCACCTATCTCTGGGGCGATCGAGAGGCCAACAACATCGTCAAACAAGGGGAGATTTTAGTTCTTTTCTCAGCTCTATGCTCATGGATGAGCCGACAGTGTGACAGATGATGTGGCAGCTCGTCTCAAGCGACTCAAGCGACACAATATACCATCAACGCCATCAAAGACCACGCACCCCGGATTTCCAAGCGCGTTAGCAACTCATCGGCAACTTCGAGCCGGTATTTAGGGGCACAGCGGCAAAGGCGGCAGACATCGGATGAGTCCAGATCCGTCTCTAACGTGCCGATCATAGCTTACGACTTGAGCAGCGCCACCGCCACTGCCCCACGATGCTAGCTCATCATAGCCAGATCCACCAGGCCATTACGTGGACTTGATTCGGAAGCTGTCTTTTGTGACTCGCCTGAAGTTGGCACGATCCATGCTACTAGCTTCTTTATCTAGAATCCTCTACTCCGCTCAAGTCTGCAAGCCGAGTTGCCGCTGCTAAGCAGACGGCCGGCCAACTTGTCCCGCGCTAAGAACGGCTCCCGTTGACTCCAGGCACGCTGAGAGATCCAAAGCGTTGGTAATTCCACCAACTACACCATCTGCCGCTGTTTCACGGCTCACGCCCTCACGATCTAAGTACGGGTTTCAAGACCACGTCTGGAGCAGAGGAGTACGCGGCCTTTTTCGCTGCAACCTCTCTAGAGACGCTGTTCGCGTGCCCTCGAGACTGAACAGAAAGCAGCAGTAGGAGAGTATAAATCGTAGCCTAATTTCCCTTCAGTTTCTTGGCTATAATAACAACAGTCCTCCAGAAAGCATTCAAGACGCCTATACCACTGCACAGAATCTTATTCATCCCATTAATATCACCTATTTTAATCACCATGAAGCCCACCGTTGTCGCCTATCTCCTTACTTGCGTCGCCGGCACCGCTATAGCAGCGCCAGCCGCCGATGAGACCTTGCAGTTGATTCAGCGCGACGTCTCTGAGGCCAACCCCCCGCTTGCCGCTAGAGACATCGACATTGCCGGCGCTGCCACCGTCGAGGCCAGGGACCCGAAGAAGGGCAAGGGAAAGAAGGGCGCCAAGAAAGGGAAAAATGCTGCCAACGGTGCCAACGCTGCTAACGGTGCAAACGCTGCCGAGGCAGCTGATGCAGCGGGGGCCAAGCGTGATCTCTCTGGCCAAGCTGCGGACGAGAGTATTATCACGGCCAGAGACCCGAAGAAGGGCAAGGGAAAGAAGGGCGGCAAGAAAGGGAAAAATGCTGCCAACGGTGCCAACGCTGCCAACGGTGCAAACGCTGCAAACGCTGCAAACGGTGCCAACGCTGCTAACGGTGCAAACGCTGCCGAGGCAGCTGATGCAGCGGGGGCCAAGCGTGATCTCTCTGGCCAAGCCGCGGACGAGAGTATTATCACGGCCAGAGACCCGAAGAAGGGCAAGGGAAAGAAGGGCGGCAAGAAAGGGAAAAATGCTGCCAACGGTGCCAACGCTGCAAACGCTGCTAACGGTGCCAACGCTGCTAACGGTGCCAACGCTGCTAACGGTGCAAACGCTGCCGAGGCAGCTGGTGTCACAGGTCCCGGGGCCGGCTGACCGGTCATCCGGTAATCGGATTACCGCCCCGCCCCACGCAAAACCATGTCGTTTTCGAAGGCCCGGCCCTGCGGGGCTGGCGTTTTCTTAGTCGGATTACCGCCATCGGACGGCAAAATCGAAGGTCCACGCCCGCGGGCCCTGCGCGAGACCTTCGATTTCGGTCTCGCTCACGCGCGTTGCGCTCCACCTCCCTCCTCCCACCTCCTCCACCTCCTCCATTGCCACCGTCGCGACGGCGACCGCCTGCACCATGTCGAACGCGATAGAGGATCCCCGGGTCAGGGCGGCCATTGAGCACTACCTGTTAGATCTGGAGAACACCCAGCCGAAGAATACGAAGCGAAATTATCGTCCCAAGCAGGAAGAATGGAAGGCAAGCCCGCATGCGCGCCCTGCAATCTTCATGTAGATCCATGCATTGACCGCCTCACAGGAGTGGTGTCAAGCCAACTGGCCTGCGATCCCGGACGTTTGGCCGGCCTCGGTACCACAGGGCCAACAGCTACCGGGAGACCTGGTCGATGAAGGAAAGCTCTTGCTCTTCATGAAGGAGGTAGTGGCATCACGTCCTCCAAAGAAAGGAAAGAGGGTCGCCGATGAAAGAAAACGACACCTCGAGGCTCAGGAAGCCAAGAGGGCCGTGAAAGACGCAGAGCACCATCAGGTAACAGATGTTGATCACGGGATGTGGTCGTCGGACTGAGCCAGCCCATCATACTAACACCCAGCTTCCCCAGCAGATACCATCGTTGTAGGCGGCGGAGGTAGCGAATACGAGTCAGACTCCGACTTGGAGTTGTATGAGTCCACGCTCAAACTACAGTATAATACTGTACGGGGCTACGTCTCGGCCATACAGAAGCTTTACGACGAGCAGAAGAGCCGGGAGTCAATCCTACGGCCCGGCCACAGGGAGTGGCACTGAAGGCGCTCAAACGCAGCATTCTTGCAACGACTTGGAGCCGGAAGAGGAAGGAATACATGGACAGGGAGTTGGAACTCTGAGAGATGTGTATGCGCCGGCGCAGATACCCGACCACACCAACGTGGCATGGTCCGAGAGAGAGATCGCCTGCGCCCTGAGGACGCAGGTGGACTTTCTGCTCGGGAACCACATGCTGCTGCGGTCCGGCAACCGCCTGCCGATGGAGTTGGCAGACTGCTTTCCCTGGACTTACCCAACGAGGGCTTCAAGGCCCAGGGTATACCACAAAGGCGCTGGTTGTCGTGATGAACTGTGGGAAGACCAACCAGCACGGCCGCATGGAGTATGGATCTGCTTTGCGGCATCGAGATCCGCGATCTTGTCTCATCGGCGCCCTCGCGTTCTGGCTTTTCTGGCGCTGGCAGGTAGAAAAGGCGGAAAGGTTTCCGTCTTCCAAAGAAGCGAAGACTGGTATGAAACGAAGGTGCTCCGCCGATCGGCGAAGGAGCCTCAAGGTAAGCGTGATGGCATTCACCGGAATCCCATAACTCAGAGGGTGCATCGACCCTTTCACTCACCGAATATACAGCTCCGTTGTCGGGCCAGACTGCCCGAGAATGGACGTCCAGGTTCTACAAGAAGGCCGGCATCAAGGTCTCCAAGGTCAGCCACGCGCCTAGAGTGGCGGCGACGCAAAACGCCGACATGGCCGGAGTGGATGAAGGCCAGGCATGTCATCTGCCCTAGGCAAGCCGCCAACCCCCTGGCCTGGGCTGACCCGAACTATACAGATCCGCCGAGCCGGTCGTTGGAATAACGGAGACCAAATGACCGGCTGCTATCTGACTTCCTGCCTTTCGAATTCATGAGGCCGTGGCCGACTTTGACCCTGAATGGTCGGGGTCTTATTTCGTGCCCGGGCCACCGTGAGGCCGCCTGTGGTGCTACTCGTGCAGGTCTGGCCTCAACTCGACAAATGGAAAGAGGCCCACAGTAGCCCTTTCTCAGATCTGGGGTGGAGCAGAACATGGCCGCCGGCGCCTTCTTGGAACTCCTGGAGTGGCTTCGAGAGGTGCTCCTGCAGGACGCTGTCTTCCTTCGCGAGTCCTACCCCGACCATCCTATCTTTCAGGATCCGGTCTCTCTTGCCCCGAGTTTGAAGCGTTCGCCAGCAAAGTTCAAGACACATGCACACGGGACCACGAAGACAGCCATACCACGGTCATTCAAAAGCGATCCCGGTGGTTGCGGAGAAGCTGCGCACAGTACTGACTCAACAGGTCGCAGCCGAGCAGTTAGCTGAGCGAAGACATCTAGACCTTTTGGGGGCTTCTTACGAACTATGCACAAAGTTGGATGAGTTTGCGCAGGCCACCTACACCGTCACCTTCAGCCCCGGCCAAGGTGCTGCAGGTCAACATGCGGAGATCGCGGAGCTCATCAACAGAGGCGCCGCGCTCCACGAGAGACGGTCCTCAGGTCCGAGATAGGCCCTTCGCAAGCGGGCGGTCCGACATACGCTCCGCTCTCTAGAGCAGCAGCAGGGAATGGTGCAAGCGGGCCAGGGCAAGCCCCAGGAAGAGCGCATGGCGAGCCGCCTGGGCCGCGCGAACCTCCGAGCTTCAAGCTCCCCGTTCTGTCAAATCTGTACAGGAGCTGCTGCGTCTCTGGCGGCAGGGCTGGGGCGAAATGCCTTCTGTGGATTCTCTTGAGCGAGACTGGGGTGCTCGATGGCGGCCATCTGCAGAGAAGAATTACTTTTCCACGCGCAAGATCATCGTCGATGAGGTTCGGAGGCGGGCCCAGTCGGACGGCTTAACTGAAGATATCGTGGCGAGGCAAATGGACGAAGAACGTGGACCCAGCTCTTTGGATAAGTTGTTCAAGGCCATCCGAAAGGACAGGCAAGGCGAAAAGGGACACAAACGTGCGTCGGGGCAATTCAACGTCGGTGGTAGCGAAAAGTCGATGGCGCAGTGATTTTGAACACCCGTCTGATAGAATGACGAGGACCTTGGCGGCGAAAGTGCCCCCAGGCCGTCAGGGGCTGCGTCGCTACAGTCAGCGGTAGTGGCCTGTAGACAGGGTATGCATCCGCTAAGCGCCGCTGTAGCTCCAGCGCGTCAAGGCTAGAAAATGCTTCAAATCACCGCAACCTCGCAACCGACAGGATGTAGGACCTTAGACAGGGTGCATTCTGATCGCACAAACGCAGGCTATCCAGTCGAACTGGTTTTGTCGTCGTCGGTCCCGGCTTTCGCGCTTTATGGCGCTCCGAAGATGACATCAACCCGGCAGAGGTGATGTCAAGGGCAAGCGGGTAATCGGCGGTAATCTGCGGGGTAATCCGCTGACCGCCCACCAAAGCCGGACCTGTGACATCCACTTGATGTAGCGGGGGCCAAGCGTGATCTCTCTGGCCAAGCTGCGGACGAGAGTATTATCACGGCCAGAGACCCGAAGAAGGGCAAGGGAAAGAAGGGCGGCAAGAAAGGGAAAAATGCTGCCAATGGTGCAAACGCTGCCAACGGTGCAAACGCTGCCAATGCAGCCGCCTAGGTTCAGACAATATGAGACGAAATGAGGCTGGCAGACACCGTATATAGTTTATTAGGATATTTTGTAAAGAGCTGGAATCCTACAAAAGAGCTGGAACTCTATATCATTTTGTTTTCCACTTTGAACCTTTTCCAAAAGGAGACTGCCGGAATTCCGTTATTCAAGGCGAAGAAGTGAGCGAATGCGGAGCGGAAAATATGAACCATTCGTTCTCTTAGGCACTGCTTGCTTTACACTCACATGAATCCCGTCACCCGTTTAAGCAAGTCGATCATTTTGTCAGCCGATACGGTTCGCACCATATCGCCCGTGGGTGCTCGTCGTCACTTATAACGCTTATACTAACCGTAATGTCTTCGAGCGCAATACAGGTCCACCTGATCACCATGGGGCAGGATGGGTCCCCGCCTTCTGAAGTTCAAGGCTTAAATTGAGTTCCTCCTCTCCTTGCCCCGAGAATCGTCTTCAACATTCCCCAGGCACCCCAAATTACGGTTTCGCCTTCAACTCTTTCTCTCGCCATGTATCAAGGGTCCGATTCGGTGACTGGCTAGTTGCGCGGGAACGGGCCCTGGAAGAAAATGTGTCGCACAGCGCTGAAGCCCTGGGATAACTCTAGGATAGGCTTAGAGACCAATCGGGCGCTGCTGCAGTCCCTCCCCAAGACTGCTCATCAACACGGGCGCAACCGGCCGCGAACCTGGTCAGTTTAATACACGTGGCAAGCTGCGCGAACGTGGTGCTGGCCAATGTCTTACCAGAGAATCTCGAACTCGTCATACTTGCCCAGATGCTTCATGCCACGTCGATACGGCTCTAGCAGCTTGCTAGCCATCGGGAACTTGTCCCTTCCAATGAGCCTCTTTATCGAGCTCGACTCGCCGCGAGAGGGGTCGAACACGAGAATGTAAACCTGATTGTCCTGCTGTCGCTCGATGCCGATAACAGTAACCGAATGGCCTTGGCGCTGCAGATAGATTGGCGGGAGATTGGTTGATCGGACCTTTGCGCTGTTGGCCCCTTGCCAGCCTCGTTTAAAGTAGTCTTCCAAAGTCTCCAGCAACCTTTCCCTTGCCTCTGTGCACTCAGTCTGTCGAAACGCCTGAACGGAGCATCTGGTAATGCCTCCCGTTAGTAAGTGGCTTGCTTGTTGTTATTCGTAGAGCCGCAAACTCACGATATGTCGAGGCTGTGAAACAGGGCCTGAGCCTGTCGATCGCGGGGTTTATTCAGCGACGTCATACAAAGTACAGTGCTCGCCTTGTCTGACTACTACAATGTAGAGACGAAGACGGTGCCTAGTGCATACCTCGGGCGTCCCAATGAACTTGCGTGTTCGTTTGATGTCCCCAATCTCGAGTCTATCCTGGGGATTGTAGCCCTTGTCCCATGCCTGCTCGATTAGGTCTTGCACTTCAAGGACGGTCGGTAAGTGGTTGCCGAAATGCTCCGACCCCGGAGAGCGAGTTTCAATCAAGTATGAAACGAGTGTCTGTATGTTCCGGTAGCCACAAAGCCCCCCTGTAGATACAAAATGAGATCGGGTCGGACCCAAGGGTTGTGAAAGCCGTCTTTCGTGAAGGCACACGGTGACCAGCTTGGGAAGGTGGGTGCGGCAGAAGGAGGAGTGAAAAGTGATGTCGAAGTTGCATATACGCACCTTCACGCGGCAGCTTTGATATGTGCGGCACACAAGGATGGCAAAGATATGCGATCTTGGTCAATGAACATTGCCGGAGAAGCTTTTCGAGGGCGGAAAGAACACCTGCATTTTCTATCCGTCAGCCAAGAGCAGCTAGGAGTATTGAGTTGTGACGCACCTCTCGTACACACTTGTCCCTCTTTCTCCAGTTTTTTCACGAGCCAGGTAGGCATGTTCTGCTCGTGGGCGGATTTGCCCAGGTAGAAAGTCTTGAGGGCCGAAGGTTAGGATTGATTGCTGCCAGGAATGACAGCCGGGGACAAACCTTGAGTCTCGGGCGAGCCTGGTCCTGGCTGCCTTGAGTCTTGTCCGTCAAGGTGAGATGCCCATTGAGCTGTCTCAACTCAGATGGCTCGGGGTCGCGCCTCTTGCGATGACGCAAAAGCCGCCAAGCCGCTGGTAGCATGGGGCCGCAATGGACGCCGAGTTTTGTCCTGGCACACGGGGCCGGCGTCGAAGACGATGATGTTTCTGCTAACAAGTGAGGCCGGCTACCCCTTGTCGTGCCCAACGCCCTCTCGGCGGCGTAGCTGCTATGACCCGAGGCAGACTTTGGTAGGGCGCGCTCGGCCATGCCAGAGTGTCCCCGCCAACAGGAGAGCTGGCCCGACCCCGCTTAGTGGCGTCGAAGTTTATCAGGAGGCCAGGGGTAAGCCGAGTTCTGGGAGATGGTTCAAAATCTTGTTCTGTGGCGGTATATCGAACGGGGGTTAACCGCAAATAGAGCTATTGGCGGTATAGTTCTAAACAGACATCTATACAGCCTAGGCTTGTAACACAGCGAGGTACAAAGATCTCTTATCGGTATAGTGTTTTAAGCAGATTTAATGCTATAAAAGCTCTCAAGTATAACAGTCGCCGATACCTAGTCCCCGCAACGCGGCGTCTATATGTTTCTGAAGCAGGTCGATAACAATCCTTGCCTCGATATGCACCCCGGCTACCAGCCCTACCACTCTGTCCGACCACAATCGACTTATTTAGCAGCAGGCCTCGCAACACTCACAGCACTCAAAGCACGCAAGTCCAGCGCATAGCCCGCAGCATGCTGCCTCACCAGCCCCGCCACCCCGCAGGCGCATTGGCTCGCCATCAACCTTCATAGGCTCAATTGGGTGCTATAGAACAAAGTCAACGTCATTCCTCCCCCTGATAAGGAGCCTTTTGACTCTGGTGTCTTGGTGAAATCTGGACATACAGGCTGGTCGGCGCTGGGCTGCGATCCTGGGATAGGGGCCGAGGCCGACTCCTGTGTTTGCTGAGCAGAGGCCATGGCGGAGCCGTGTGTGGGTAACTGGGTATGAAGGCGGGATGGGAGAGCGAGAAGATGATGCAATGGAAACCGAGTCCGCTACACCGACCTCAGCCACGTCAAGGTGCGAGACTTCAGTTTATAGCTTACCGCCGCAGTTGGCCCCTTGTACTAGCCAGCCAGACCTCGGCGAAGTAATGCGGCGCAGGACTGCTGACGCACGCCGGGCGTCATTTTACTCTTATTACTGCAAACGCTTTAGCAGTGCCCAAGCTCCATGGTCGGGTATTAGAACTAAGTAGCAGCTGGCACGCCGTACACGCGTATCAACCCGCGGCTCAGCCTACGTGATCACCCATGCCGTCCGTGCCGTCTGACTGTAACCTCACCACCGGCTTTGCCTTGGAACGGTACTTGTTGAGACTCGAGAACCACATCCACTAATGCATGGGGTTAGGGTGGCAGAGGCTGTGCAAAGAAGAAAAGGACAAGGGGCAAGCGACGTGACTTTTGATTCGCCGAGCGTGATTCGAGACCACGGGAGAACGTGCCGAGATTCAGCAAAACCACTGCGTCGAAGAAAACACACGAGATACGCAGCATGTGTCGAGGTTCCCCGCCCGGAGGAGAGTGGGGAGAGGGAGAGGAGTCGATGAGCGTGTATTCAACAGACTCCCACGGAGTATTTCAAACCTAGAACCCTCCCATCCCCTTCATTTTCACCATCCCTGCCAATGCTTTTATCAAGTTCGGATCACCGAGATATCCTTCCCCGGGATTTCCCTCTGCGTCTTTCCAAACACCGTCATCCGCCACTCTCCCAAAGACTTTCGTATTTTGATTTCGGTCAATCGCCTCCCTCCACTTGCCGCAGATTTCAGGACTATCAACCATGACGTTGAGCTCAAAACTATGGGCCCATGACTGAGTGTCTTGATTCCCGCTGCCCTGCACCCCGACCTGGTGGTCCGCTATTAATAGCTTGATGTGGCAGGCCCTCGACTTGTAGGATTGGTGAATGGGACGATTTTGGTCTTTAGCGACGTAGTGGTAAACATGTAGTAATTGACGCTCCGGTCCGTCGGGTGAAAGGGAGTTGAAGAGAGCTCGAGCCGCATGCTCGTTATTGCCGCCCTGCCCAGGCATCATCTCGCCAGCATCGTTGTAGCCGAAGCATACATAGTAGGTAACTTCAACCCCACGCTTTAATGCGGCCGCTATGGCAGGGATAAGCGGCGCAGCGTTGAGGTCAGGGGTCTGGATGAATATGTTCCGTTGAGCATTGCGAATCAGGGACAACCAACATTCGTTCTGCGGGACATGGACATTTTTTGAATCGAGGGGTCCGTACGGGGGACGTGACACCAAGGCCATAGGCACGGGGCATGCAGTCAAGGTGGAGATGTATGGCATCATCTCAGCGCCTTCGGGGATTTCAGGGCCACAGGGATCGATGGGGTTTTGGACGACAAGGTTGAGTTGGCGGTTCGCGGCCTGTAGACGGGTTTCCCGGGGCTTGGTAGAGTAACACGATTGTAATCGCGCAATTTCTCCTGCTATGCTGTCGTCGAAATGGGGATCTTCTGGTGTGTGCTCTGGAAGTATCGCGTGCCCCTGACCGTTCGCCGCAGCTTCGGCTTGGTCTTGCCCCGAACTGCCATCCGCATCAATAGGCTCTGCACCAAAGTCTGGTTGGCTGCCTTCCGCTGTCGAGACGTTGAGTAGGGGAGGGGGCGGACGGAGGATCTTATTCCAGGTGATGAGCGCCGTGTCGTATATGCTGTCGACCACAGGGCCCTCTACGTGGGTCATCATCTCCATATTGCAGTTGTCCTCGACGTTATTGCTCATAACAACGGCTATCCTGCGGTCAATTACACAGAACTTGCAATGAAGGGTCCCCAGTACAAATTTGTGACAGGTCATGACTTCCAAGTCGACGTGGGGGATTTCTTCGGGCGAGGGCAGTTGGATGGACTTGGATGTGTACGCTGCTGGTTGCAGGACGGGCAGGGAAGTGCCTCCCGATGGCTTCACGGCCTGGTGCGCATCGATCGCGTTTGCCGCCGTGGCTTTGTCGTACATCAGCTTGACCACCACCCGTTGCCCCCTCTTCCCGGCTCGTCTTGACAGCTCGATTAAAGCGGCTTTGATGAGTCGCTGGGCCAACGAGGGAGACCACGCGCATGTAACGAAGAAGACTTCGCTCCGGGCGCGGACTATGAGGTTCGAGCAATGGCGGATGACGTCTGCCAGGGACGAGATGGCTGTCAGCGGTACTGTGCCGTGGGTTCCCATCAGCGGAGGAGAAACCATCCCCGACATGGGATCCGCGCCTAAGCATTCGAGGGAGTCGGCGAAGGCTTGTAAAAAGAGAGGGCTCGGTTTCGTTGGACCCCAGCGACCGCATTTCAAGGCTGCTTCCAATGCGTCCGGGGATGGGGCTTCCCGCTGCTCGCGGAGACCGTGGTGGAGGTCTTTTGGGAAGTGGCCATAGAGTTGCTTGACGATGTCGCCGGGCGCTGCGTTTGGATTCTTGGCCAAAGCTGAGCTCACTGTTTCAGGCCCCTGACAGAGGCTCACCAAATGCTCCGACACCATCGTCGCAGTCTAGGATCTTGCCGCGACGAAGACGGCGGGGAAGGTGGGCGGCAGACGAATTTGTACAGATATAAGCGTTGATGATCTGCCTGGGGATGGGAGGGGGGGTGGGTTGAGTAATAGCGAAGAAGCTGGGAACAAGATCAATACGTCAACTACCCCTTAGCCGAGCACGGACTGACAGCTCGTTCTCTCTTTTCAGAACATGGAACCGGTGCTCCATAGAGGCGCTGCCGATCGTGGGAAAACGAAACGTGGTAAAAGGTGCTACGTCCTGGGCCAGCACAGCGTGCTCTGTCTCCAGGCTCCGTCGATTTGAGCTTGGGATATACACCCATCAGCCGCCTGCCAGTAGATATACAAGCTTACTCCCTTGCGTGACCATCGCACCCGGGTATCAATAGGTGTACAATAAGTGTCGGACACGATTCTCCAAGTATACAGCAGCCGTTTCACTAACCCGTCTTTCACAAACTACCGAGAGCTGTTTGAGTACGCAAAGATCATCTTCATGCGATTTTCGGGCTGCTTGCCGACGCCTTGTTCCTGACATTGACTCAGCCTAGTCCCGTATTCATGTATGCAGGTGAGTATGCTTCTTTTCCTCTTGAATCCCTCTAAACTCGGTTTACTTGCACATCTTGGCCGCGGCAGATGGAAATTATGATGCTCAAGATGCCCTTACGCCGAATCACTTAGACAGTCGTGTGCCTGCCACAATGCACATGTCAAATAAGCTGCTCCTTTGCGGAGCTGACTCGCGCTAGCCGCCCAGCCATCAAAGACAGACGGGGGAAGAATCGCCAGTGAACGTGCCGTAAGATCCGGTCTCCCGCACACATGCATGGGGCTATGCTGGTAGGGGGACGTCATGTGCGTACGTGAACCCTGTTTCCCCGCAGGGATTAGGATGCGCCTGAGTCTGTGAGCCTGTCAGCAAAAGCATCCGCCCCCAAGGCCCTCAATCGCCACTTGCTCCGTGCCTTGTTTCATGTCTTTTACCTCCCTTGGCCACTCCACATGCCGACCTTGCCGGTGAAGTATGACGTCCGAGATCGCCTTCTTCGGTCGTCAAAGCAAACTTCACTGAGGGGCCATGCCGGCCGAGAGCAGATGACGACAGGCGACATATGTTCTTTTCGACCTCCTAGACCACGTCAGTACAGCAGGGCTCTGCCAAGGTGGGCATAACCAGTCTCTCTTAGACCAGACCCAAAAACGCCTGAGTGACTTTGAAGACAATACATTGGCGCTTAAAGAGTTGTCCTTCGAGACTATGTGCCGATCCACGCTCAGGTAGCAGCCCGACCGCAGCCATCCCAGTGCAATAGCTATCTCCTCTAGTAACTCCGCTGGTTTTAATACCCAAGGCTCCCAGGCGTATGTAGATAGTCCCGGCCGGGGTTTAGCCAATCAGTCCTTGACCCTTTCAGCGTGGCTGAGCTGCGCTGCGGAAGAGCAACGCCGACCTGGCAACATTGAGGCATTTCTCGTTGCGGCACTTTACGAAAGGCCTCGGGGACCGCGGCTTGGAAGGGATCAAAAGAAAAGAATCCACTGCAATTTCTTGAACCTGCAGAAAGATAGCGGATAATTTATAAGGTACTTTGTTTGTCTGACAGACTACGAAGTCTACATGTAATTTTCCCAACTTCATGATACCAATATTAATCGTATCTCTTATTCCTTCGACTTTTCTGGTCCCCGTCATCTCGTCTACTCGCCTCTTGAGCACCACTGTTGCTTGCCGATTCGTGTACGGCACCCTATGATTTGGTCCTCGATTGAAAACTGCCGTCACCCTGGAGACTTTCAAGTTCACGATCTTCCGAGCCTGCCTCGGAAGCTCTCGCCCGCGAGAGCAATACAACCACCATAACATTGCACGGGACTTGTATGCTCCAGAGAACACGCCAACAGACAGGCTCATTTCCCGGCCCCTGAAATCGAAGAGAGGCTCTCGCTAGACGTTTCACCCGGATGGATCTGTCATCAAATTGTCAAACTGGACTTGGATTCCTCGGATGGTTCCTGAGGCACGCGCGAGCTCACCCCTTCCGTAATCAGACTGCCATATCTCCAGGTCAAGATGAACCGAATCATTAGGATTCTTGCCTCGCCGGGAGCAAAGGGGCCCATCGAGCACGTCGCACCCACGATGAAGGTCAACAATGCATCAAACGAGACTGGAAAAGAAGCTTTTCCATCAGGAGAGCCTGCTTTGACACAAAATGCTTCAGGCTACGTCGAAAAGTCCAAAGACCAACTTCTAGAGCGCTGGCTTGACTGGGTTGTCAAAGCCTCCGGCTCCGAGCCCGTCTTCCTCATCATCCTTGTTGGCCTTCTCCTCTGGGCATTCCTGGGCATACGGTACGGCCAGTCGTCGGATTGGGCAGTGATAATCTCCGATGTCCAAGCAATTGTCAGTTATGTTTTCGATTCCCTGCTCATGCGTCAACAGTTGAATGGGTATGAGAAGATGCTGCGAGTGTCTGCCGGTCTGAGTTCCCGTAACATAAGCCTCTGCAGGATGTTACGCAAAGCTCGGAGTAGCGGACGGTACGAGGCAGCCAGGCCGGCGGAACTCGGAGCTGTCGACGGAATCCGGTTTGAGTTTCCAACGGAGAACTTGGTGGGCCGGGTTTCCACCCTGGCTTCCAGAGTCTTGGGCCACTTCGTTACCCTCATTTCATACTGGGTGTGCATCTTTATCTGGATCGGCTTTGGCCCATACTGCAACTGGAGCAACAGATGGCAGCTATACATCAACTCAGCAACGTCTGCTCTCATGGTGTTGATATTTGCTTTCCTCGCCAACATACGAGAACGGCATGACAATTACATTGAGAGTTGTCAAAACATTCTCTTCGAAGTTGATTGCGCCGTGGAACTTAGATTGCGTACGATTACCGGCGACGATACTCCAAACGAGACAGTTGTTATTCCTGCTCCAAAACTGAGTAGAATCCAGCGAGCGATATTCTACTATGCAGACCTTGTGGGTACTCTTACTGGAATTGCAATATTGATGATTGTCATCGCCATTTGGATTGCGATTGGGCCACTCATGTCCTTCAACTCGAACTGGTGGCTTCTAATCGGAACGTACGCCGGACTAGTCGGTCTTCACGATGGGTTCGTCCTACGCAATGTCCAAATGCAATTCGATAATTATGCAGACGAGGCGCTGGAAAAGGTCGCTTCCGAAGACAAGAGCATTTTGGCCGACATCGGGATGCAGGACCAGGCAAATAGCTATACACCGCAAAGGGCTGTCGTCTCCCGACTCTCGGCAAAGATGGGAGCCATCTGTTCGCATGAGATGACTGTCATGCTCGGAGTGGTCTTTATCATCGGGCTTCTCGCCGGTGCCAGCGCCATGAAATGGACGACTACGGGGCAGTTACTGTGCAATGTCCCTCCAAGCATTATCGAATCCTTCGTCATGATGATTCTCATCACGGGCCATAATCTGGCAGAAGCCAAGAGGCGCGAGGAGATTCACCAAATGTACCTCAGGCGGGTCAAGCTGCTCGCTTACGTTGAGGGACTGGCTATTGGCGACGGAAAAACACGAGGCGGGCACCTTGGCGGAGAAACGTAAAGGACATGGAGGTGACTTCTCGGAAACGCAGCCTTGATACGCATGATGATAACACCACCAGCCCCAGAAACTCCCGAAACTCTCAGGTGTGGTTTTGCATACCCTCGATGAGTCACATGGGGGTTCATGTGGCTGCTGGATTATAAGTACTTCACTAACTGCTCGATTAACTGCCCGGTGGACTGCCCGATGTACTGCTTGCCCGGCTGCTGACTCTTCCTACCGTGCAGTTTGCCTTTTAGACATTTGGTCTTGTTTTGGGCAACTAACTAGTAATACTTCAAATACACAAGCTACACTCCCTTACTTTCCATATTGTCACTCAACTCTTTGGACATGCCGGCATACATACATATCCATGTCCTCCGGCACAGAGGCCCACACTTGGGTCCTCCGCAGAACACAGAGTCAAGTGCCTGAGTAATTGCCTCATGCACTCTTTCCCGACATTTCAGACGAGGCAGAGGCGGTCGTAGGTAAGAAACGACGCCGTAAGAGGCAAAAGTGGAGGCAGAGGCGGCCTAGAGAGAGTCAGGCAGCCACAGGCCAAAACCAAGAGGATATGGCGACATAACCAAAAATGGACAAAGAATAGTAAAGAGGTCGGATATTCCTTGACGAGTCATATCATCGGCCTTCTTGAGCCAGCTAGCTATAGTCAATCCAGCTCTCCAGTTACCGAGGCAGAGGAAACGACCAAAGACAAGGCTCAGGACGGTAACTCCTCGTAAACCCGTTGCTGGACTCCTGTCCGCGACCTCAAAAGCCTCCGGACTGGACCAAGTGCAAATACCATAGTAGGCATGCCCTGCACGCCACAGTTGAATCTCGCTCATGGCAGGGAGCTAGTTGTCTTTCTGCTTCATGGGAACAGTTGTTTACCTACCTCGCCAGTCTCCAGCTCCGAGGCCGTCCGGCTGGATGCTCTGAAACGCAAGGCGACGATTGAACGACGGCCGTTGGTGATGCTAACCTGATCCTTGGCTAGCCCTTGAGCAGATTCGAAGGCGTACTCACCTGGTGCTGCTTGCTACTTGTCTCTCTTCCCCCGAATGCGCCGTGGCCTCGCCTGGCTGTGCAGCTGCAAGGCCGCAAGCTCGTCCACGTCCCAATCCCTGGCCTCACCATACCTGAGATGCACTTCTCGATCCACTTGATCCCTTTGCTGGTCCTCAACTGAATCCTTGATTGAGGCTTGAGCTTGAGGCCCGAGGAGACAGGAGACCGAGCCTTTTGGACATCATCATTGCCCAAGGGTTTATGCTTCGCTCCCGAACAGCATGAGAAACGTCCCTGCCCTACACGGCGGTTCCAAGTAGACCGGCAGAACCCATCACGAGTTGTTTAAAACGGCCTTGGTGTTGCTTCGATGTGCTCCTCAAACGCCCCTGCAAAGCGAAAGGCCCGGGAGTTGTCTCGTACCACCTCCCGTCAAATACGAGCCAGGACCCTCGACAGAGGAGGGCGAGCACCTGGTACAAAAGTACGAAGCAAATATCAAAAGCCCGCCGGCAGGAGGCTGGGCTTTGGGACCGGCACATGACAAGCACCAAAGATCGAGCAAGGGAAAGTTCTGTATCGTGAGGAAGCCATCGACGGCCCTTTCTTCTTCCCCGACCGCATACCCCAGCCCAGCCCGTTCCTGTAAGCCAAGAACACACACAGGGATCCAAGAAGCCTGCCCCTGTCGCTCGCCGTTGCACAGCTGAGCCTGCTACCGTCCGAATCGGTACGCACGGCGCTCGCCCCCTACTAGATTGTGCAAGCCCGAGCACCAGCAAGTAGAGGATGGGGTGGGGAAGGGAGATAACACCATAGCCAAGACAAACAGATTCAAAGACGACGGATGAAAGTAACAACCAGAGCAGTACCTTATCCTCGCTGACCCATGGGGCAAAAGCAACCGGCCGGCTCCGCTTTGTCAGGTAGCAAGACCGCCCATCCCATCATGACGCGACCACGTCTCCATCCTCCACTATGTCGCTCAATCCAAGGGGCCCCTCGGCAACAGTACACTCGCGGGCAGAGGCTGCTGCCTGGCGTTGCCCGTTCCCGACATCTGTCCGTCCACGCGGCAGGGGGGTGCTCGCCATCATCCAGAGGCCCTCCGCCGCCCTCCAGGAGCTTTATCCTGTCTATTTAATCACCCTGTCGTACCTGGTCCCTTTGACGGTGCCGCCGCCCATAGCCGTCCGCACGTTTCTTTTGAAGCCTTCACGGTTATGTCGTAGATCGTCGGCGGCCTCCTTGTTGAGGGGGTCCGTGGCGTTGGGTTCGAGAAACAGGAACTGGCGGCGAACTCGTCAGTGCTTCTTCGCTCAAAAGCGGTCGAGGCTCGTCGCAGCCAAAAGCTTCAGGGAGCCGGACATAGTAAAACCTTACCTGCAAACCCACAATGACGGCGTTGAGGTTCAAGACGGGCTTCCAGTCCTCGCGCAGAATATTCAGACACACCTTGCCCTCGAGGTCAATGTTGGGGTGGTAGATGATCTCTCTGCATCGGACCTTTGGTGGCTCGTGCGGGAAGCTTTGGTTGATGGCAAAGTCAAAGGTGAAGCGCCCGGTGCGATACATGCCCTCGTCGGGCTCAATGGTCAGGACAAAGTTGAGGATGTCGTCTGCGTCGGGGAAGTCGGTCCGCATGGTCGATCCGAGCGACAGCTCTGAAAGGTCTGCGTGCCGTACGTCAGTCTTGAGTCCTCTGATGGCGTCTTGAGCCCCCGCCAAAAGCATCGTGCGGACGTGTGCGTACCTTTCTGGACCCGCAGTTGGGCTGCCGTCACCTTTTTTTTCTTGCCTCCCGCCGCCTGGCCTTCCGAGCTTTCGGCCTGCTTCTGCTCCTTTTTCTGTACTCGTTCAGATTGCGGCTCCCAGCGTTTGCTTCCTGTCGCTTCTCACCATGGACCATATCTTCAACATCTTGCTGGCGGTGCTGCCCCACGAGAGGGGTCAGTCGGGACCACGATGGGACGGGAGGCGGCGGGAACAAAGAATGGAAAGACCTGTGAGTTGGACGAGATTGGCGGCGGCGACTGGACAGTCCCAGGGGGTGGCGGAGAAGAACGGGGCGGCGCTGTAGGAAGGGTGGTCAAGCAAAGGGGAAATGTCATGATGATGCCCTGCGTTTCCGAAGGCGGCAAGGAAGGCCATGATGCTTGATAAGATAGGCGCCCGCCGCTGTCTGCCGGAGTTTACGCGCCCCACCCGGGTGGTGGCGTCATTCAGGGGCAGCGACCATCCGGGATGGATCAGGTACTGTAATAGCCACTGTAACGTGACCGGGCTAAGCGCCGCCTAAACACTGCCGAGCCCAAGCCCACTTGGTCATATATCTTAGGCACACAAATATCAAGGTTGCTGTGCGTTGATTGATGCCAAGTATAGAAAAATAATACGTATGATAATGAACAAAAGGGGCGACATGTGAACTAATAGTCTACCCTCCACTTCCTTTCCCAGCCGGGACCCCCCTGAATCACCCTGTCAAGGCAAACGCCACAGCCTGCCGTGCGTACATTATGCCTTTCGTGTCAAATCATCTCCGTGCGAAGCAGCACATGATGCCAGTCTTGCCCAAGAACCACAGGAATCCAAAGAACCGGACCAGCGACAAGAGCGCCGTGGCGTACAGCAAAAACTTGAAGAAATTGGCCGTGCGGACCGATGCCGATTTCTGGGAGCAAGGTTAGCAGCTGATGCAGGGGGGACAGACAAGGATCGTCGACTGCTTACCCCGATGCCAAACGAGTTGAAGTTGTCACTGGTAATGACAATAACCAGCACAATGTTGGAAAAGAGCCAGGAGACGACCAGGCCGGTTCGGAAGGACTTGTACGAGTCCTCGACGTCCTTCTTCTCCACCTCGTCCGGCTCCTTGAAGGGCGCCAGGGCTCGGCGCACCGTCTGCTCAAACTGGCTGTCAATGTCTTCCTGCTCCTTTTCGATTTCCTCCACCACCACCTCGTTCTTTTCGCCCTTTGTGATGTGGGCCGAGGGAAGAGCGTCAGACGAGTCGGATCCCTTGGTGCCCCACGACACGTCGTGCCAGTTGTTGAAGGCGTAGACCATCAGGATGTTGATGTACGTCGACATGAGCAGCATGTAGTAGGGGAACGAGTGGAACATGTGCCAGGGGTCGAGGTACAGGAACGACGCGATGAAGTAGAGGCCGTAGATGGTGATGAGGGCAATCAAGATGACACCTGCCGCGCCGGATCCGGAGAAGAAGCTTCGTACAAAGTCGGCTCCCGAGTCGAGCGAGATCTGGTCCGCGAGCGGCGTGTTGAAGGCTCGGGCCACCAGGTACCCAGAGAGCACAAGGATGTAGCCCTGGATCAGACCAAACAGCATAAACGAGGCAATGTAGGTGAACTTGGAGCCCTTGGGCCGGTTGCCCAGGGCGAGGATGAACTGGAGAATCACAAAGGCCATGTAGAGGTACTTGAGCAGCGCGTTGATGATGGGCGTCGCCGTGTCGCCAAAGGGCCAGCCGTGGTGCGCCACGGTGGGGTCGTTGGAGACGACGGGGGTGCCGACAAGATCCATGATGACGGTGGTGGTCAGATAGTACGAGGCCAGAGAGAACCAGGAGAAGATGAGGTTGAGGAAGTTGTAGATGAGCTGGATGTGGAAGAAGAACATGCGGATGATGTTGTGGCCGCTCTTGTAGATGCGGCCGAAGTGCATCAGCGAGTAGAGCGAGGCGGCAAAGGAGCCGTTGAGCCATCGTCGACGTTGGCTGATGAACTCGGCGGCGCCCTCGGGCACGTCGGTCTCCCCCTTGGCGGCCTTGATGTAGGTCAGGTGCCACTTCTGGCCGGCCTTTGCGACCAGCTCGAAGCAGAGAATTCGATCTTCGGCCAAGAACATGTTCTTCTTGAAGATGTTCATGCCGTCAATGCCCTTCTTGCCCAGGATTTTGGACAGCGTGTGATCGCCGTGGAAGTACTGCTCCAGCGGACGGCCCATGATGGCTCGGAAGCGGTACGCCGAGAAGGCACCGGGCAGCACGCTGACGTACCCAAACGAACTCTCGAGCGGCTTGTCGAGAATGTTGGAAATCTTGTACTCAAAGTTCTGGACCGCGACGAGGGGGTTGATGAGCTTCTTGCCGCCCTTGCCCAGCATGGCGTGAATCTCGCCACAAGCACCGCCGAGGTCCTTGTCGTTGTAGAAGCCCTCCCACAGCGCCAGCAGAGAGCGAGGGCTCGGCTTGGTGCCGGCGTCGATCAGGATGGTGACTTCGGGGTTGAGGATGCGACCAAAGGCGTTGAAGAGCCAGCGATGCGAGTTGATCTTCTTGCTGTTCTTCTGCTTCAGGCAAAAGATGAACTGGACGGGCGGCAGGTTCTGGGGGCTGTCGCCGGTGGGGCGGATGAGCTGCTGGTTGGGTGTCACCGAGAGCTGGCTGGTGTACTCGAAGATGTGCGCCACCGTCTCGTTGCCGTCGACATCCTTCTTGATGACACCATCCTGGTAGATGCCCACAGTGGCCAGGAGATCTAGCGTGTTCTTGTCGGCCTTTTCGATGCCGTCGAAGACGAGACAGACAACAATCTTTTGCCACGCGGGGCCGCCCTTGTTCCAAAAGGTCGACTTCTTGAGATTGACAATGTCGCGGATGTTCTGCATGACGCCGTGAAGAGTTCTGGCGAGCAGGACCTTGTCTTCGTTGTAGTACGTGATAGCGATGAGCAACTCCGTGTGTCGGTTGTACATGCGGGGTCGCAAATCGTATCCGTTCTTGAGGGTGAAGTCGTTGGGGTCGCAGGTGGCGGCCGTATAGCGCATCTTCATGAACTCTTCGTTGCCGCCCTCGACGTCGCGGTAGCGGGCCTGGACGGCGTTCTTGATGGCGCTGGGGACGGGATAGTCGATGCTCAGGACCGAGCCCTGGACAAGCTTGACCTTCCTGGTGTTGAAGCGCTTCAGGCCGCCGCCGGCTCGGGTGCCTCCAGGCTGCTGCTGGCGCTGCACCCAGCTCTCCTCCTCGTCGTTGACGGCCGAGACGGGGCGCTCATAGCCAAAGCCCGAGTCTTGCGGGTACTGGCCGTAGTTGTTGACGCCGAAGCCGCCAGAACCGGCAGCCGGAAGTTGGGCGGCACCCGGGGCATACGACTCTGTCAAGCTGTAGGCGGAGACGGGGCGGCCGGGGGGGGTGTGCGCGCCGAGCCGATCGTGTTCGTACCCGGCGGCAGGGGGCTCGTTGAGCAGGTAGCGACCGGCCTCTTCGTCGTTTTCTTGCGGCGGCATGTGGTACTGGACAAGGACAGAGTCAGTCGGTGCACACGGCAGTCCACGGCATCGAGGTTCCTCACGTTGCCGCCCGCAGGGAGGTCCTGCATGGGGTGTCCGCTACCGCCTAGCCCGCGGCCCTGGCCAGGGCCGTTGTACGCCATGATGGTCGAAAGCTCGCTCTCTCGAGCCGGTAAAGAAATAGGTATGTTTCGGGGTGTTTTGGTAGGAGGCGGTGGCTCGTGTGAGGTGGAGAGTTGCCGGTTCTGATGTATGTGCGCCGAGAGAGTGAGGCCTGGGAGAATTCAGGGGATGCAGGGCCCGAAAATTCGGTTTGTGGTTGGCCCAAGCTGACTTGAGGATGCCAGCCTCGGTGCAACAGGGAAAAGGGGGCGTTGGAGGTTGCGGGGGGGGCGGGGTGAGGAGTAGGAAACCGCCGGTGATGGCGGTGGTGGACGAGGACGAGGACGAGGAAAATCGAGGAGGACGAGGACGAGCGTTTGGGAAAGGAAGCGAACCAAGGAAAAGCAAGCAGACGGCCAGGCTTTCAGGGGACAGGAGAGGAGAGGATGTACGGAGTATGTATAAGGGCAAATGCTCGGCGATCCCCTAGACGTGTTTCACTGGCGGTGTAAGGCGCAGCCACCGCGGCTCCTGTGCAGGCCGGCGACTGGCGCGAGCCCAGCGAAGAAGCCCCACCGCGTCCACGCTGCCAATGGATCAGAGGCCGCCGTCGGCGCCCTGACACTGCGCCGGCCTGGGCTGAGCCCCGGGGGGGAGGGGGCATGACAAGGTCGAAAAAAGGTCGAAAAAAAGGTCCTTGTCCTTTCCCCGCCGCCCCTCGGTGGCCTGGCAACGCGTGCACGCGAGCCGGGAAAACGGGGCACGAATTGCGGACCGTTGAACCATCTCTTGCAGTGTTTACGTCTGTTGACTCCGCCGTGGCAGAAACTGGGTTTGGGGATGCAGACGCGGCAACGCCGTGGGAAACGTCCCGATCCAAAGCCCAGCACAGGTACGAAGTACATTCTAGATGTCGTGTTTGTAATCCCCAAGTCTCTGCCCCGCGTCTTTAGCCCGAGACAAGCGCGGGCGGCAACCTCGCGGCGACTTGCCAGGCGCGGTGGCCAAAGTCACCCCCCCCCCCAAGTCCGTGTCCGGGCCCCCTCCCCCCTTTTCGAGCCGGCTTTTTCATTTAAATTCGCGGCTTCGTCAATGGCGGCGACCTTCAGCTGCGGCCAAGAGATGAAGGATTCAAGCATGGCCCAGAAGCAATCTCGCCGTGGGCTTTTCATAAAGCATCGCAGCCGCCAACCGTGCCCACTGCCTGAAGCTGTCGCCGCCGAGGTGCAAACACGGCTAGCGGCGTTGCTGGCCAGCAGGGCCCCCGTCGCCAAATCAACAGTGACCTGGCTGGAGGACAGCAGCGCGCACGCCTGTAAGGTCCCACCCAGGCACCGTTCCAGTTTCTTTCTTTGATTTCTTCCCTTTGTTTCTTTCTTTGTTTTTCTTTTCCTTCTTTCCAATAAAACCGGGGCGGCCAGGACAGTGTCAGCGGCCAGCCCCCCCCTCGATGGCGTTACTCATCGTGGCGCCGCCGCACGCAGGGGCGTTGGAAGAAGCAGCGTCCAACCACCTCGCGTCGCTTAAGATGAGAGGGTAAAGACGACAAGGACAAGAGAATGAATGACAAGACGAGGTGCGTGAGATCGACCGCGCGGTCGAACCCCTACTCCAGGGGTGCATGCATCTCCTGGGGAGATGGGAGCGTCGGCTCGAGCTAGAAAAACATCGAGTGATGGAAAACGAGAATCACATGGCTGGCGGTTGATCAGCCGAGAAAAGCAAAGCCCAGGTATGTGCGAAGCCCCCAAAAATAGCTCCAGGCCGTGCGTCTGCCAGCCCGTGTGCTGTGCGCTACAGTCAATTAATTCTATCCGAAGTGCTGCTCGTGTTCCTGCACATGGTGGCAGTGCTGCAGCCGCCTGCCGGAGCCTTGTTGGCCGCAAGGCCTTTCGGGCGGCCGCAGGTGAGTTTGCACTCGCCCCAGCTGCTTCAGTTCCACGTATAAAACACAGCCAGCATATATCCCCATAGGGAGAGGGCACATCAGCAGAAAAGGTTCCCGGGGGCGATCGATCCCCCACGGCCGCGAGCGGGGATGCTCTTCAGGCACTGTCTATGTAATGAGCTGGTATGGCACTGCCTAAAACTAACTACCTACCTAATAAGGGTCTGGCCCTCGCCGCATTCCTCTCGCCCTTGGACCTGGACGTCATCCGTCTGCGTACCGCCGAGCCGCTGCCCGACCAGCCGGGCCGAAGCCACGGGGGGTCGTCATCAGCAACTCCGGACGGGTCATGCCGATGCCAAGGCGACACGATGCTCGCTCGTGTCCGGATGACGGCAGCGTCCCATCATGTATGTACATGGCAGACTACGTGGCAATACGAGCGCCTGTCTCGGGAATGTATCAATGTGGCTTCGTGTGCGAATGGAGGCTGGAGGCTGCCAGCTGCGCCTCTGTTGCCGTCTTAGAGTGTTGAATACCTGCAACTCGTTCGCCAATCCAAGACTCATCTACGCTGTCTCTCTAGAGAGCAGGCGTTCGTTTGGTTGTAGACGCCGTGGTTGGGCGATGGATGGGATTGTTGAGCGTCCATCACAGCGAAGAAATGAGCAACAATGGGATGCGCGTCGCCCGTTTTCTTACCACCCCACCTGGTACCTAGGTATCTAACACGCTTGGTACGGAGCACAGTCTCCCGCTTCTGGCCAATACTGTACGCACTACTCTCCTGCAACGGCCCGGACAACAAGTCGTTCGGCACCGCTAGTCTGGCGGGCAGATACATGGACCGTCCCGGGGGGTGCTCATCACGGTGCACAAAGTATTGTACAGACCTACATCCAGGCCAAGTCCTTGTCCGCGCCGGCGTTACAGAGAAATTGCAGCCACTCAAGCAGCCAACGCTGGCCGACTGTGCACTCTCATTTGTTGGTCTTCGAGATTTGTCTCCCAATTCCATTGGTTTCTGCAGACGTGGCAATGCCGCGCGACAAGTGCAAAGACCGTCATGCCTGAGTTTATCCATGCAGCACACCGTCGAGCCCAGCCTGGAAACACTGTGTGCACAGTGCATGTACCTTGCTCACCTGCCCTGTTTGTCCAGGCGTCCTGCAAGGTACTGGCACGCGGTGTTGCGAACAGGCGCAGACCCATGGATGACAAGCAACCCGTGCAATTTAACCCGCGGCGACACACGTTGCCAAACAAGCCAGCTTCTCTTCGACGCCGGCGCAACCGTCTGCGGGCCGGGTGTTGGCAGTTTGCGGCCACAGGCGCAGGACATTGCTAATCAAAAGGCAAACTGTGCCTCATGCCTCAGCATCACACTGTCTCTTTGCGCACTGCCGCTGGCGCTATTTCTTGGCCACCAAGCCCTCTCCACGCGCACTGTGCCCTGGGACCGGGATCCTGGCTGGCTAGGCCCAGCCCGCTCTAGCGCCATCAATGCCCCTGGCAAGCCAGCCGCCCTTCCATCCCTCCTGGCTCGCTCTCCTCCTCTCTCCTCTCCCTCTCGGCCTCTCCCTGCCCGCGCCTCCCGCCCTTCGTCTCCGCTCAAACGGCGAGACCTGCGGCGATCCGTCCTCTTTGCTTCGTTCATCCTTCTCTCCGCCCGGCCCGTTGATGACGCTTCTTCGTCAAACCCTCTCCGCCATTGTCGAGTCTCTGCCGCCATTGTCATCCTCATCGCCTCGACGATTATGTATTCGCTTTCGAGTGCCTAGCACCCCATTCATCCTGCTCCCACCGAGCTAGCCTCGCAGTCCCTTCGTTTCTCATCTTGGTGGCTTCCATTCCTTCCTCCTCGCCCAATATCGCCATTACTTGGCCGTTGCCGCGAGTCCCTCAGCTCTACATCAATACTCGGTACTCATAATCCTCCAACGCTTCACCGCCGGCCATCACGATATTCCGTTCAATAACTAGTTATCACCGACTTCGCCATCGCTGCACCTTGTCGACTTGATCGAGACGGCCTGCGCCGTCTTCACTCGAACCCTCACCCGTTGCCCCGAGGGAATCCCTCAAAGGGCCTTCATCATGGAAGACGAAACAAAATCCCATGTCACCGCCAGAGACTTGAAGACGCTCCGTCGAGGTATGTCGTCGACACACGGTTCCCCCAAGCACACGCTGACTTGCCATCTCCAGCCCTGCAAAATGTCCCACAAAGACGCCAGTGCGCTAAATGCGGTGACACGTCGAAACTCGAATGCCCCAAGTGTCCTTCGGGACAGGTTTGCCAGTACACCGTCCCAGCAGACTGCACACAATGCGCCCAGACGGTTTGCATGGTCGACGACTCCCCGCAAGCCTCCAGCAACGGCAACGGTGGCGGCGGCGGCAACGGGAAAGGCGGCGGCGGCAACGGGCCAAGCGCTGCCCCCATCGCGGGTGGAGTCATCGGCGGCATCATTGTCATCGCCTCTCTCACCTACTTGGTCTGGCGCTTTCTCATCAGGCCCAAACGGTCACGAATCTCTCCGTCCATCTACGACTCGTCCGCAAAAAACGCCCGAGATGTCGAAAAGGACAACGCTTCCCGCTTCACCCATCGCTCCTCGACCCACACCGTACACTCCATCGCCTCGACCGTCTTGACGCGCGCCTCCAACATCATCCAAATAGCCTACATCCCCGGCGTCACCAATCGAGCGACTCCGACGTCGCCGTCAGTGCTCGTACCCCCCGTGCCGCCGATCCCGATGCATCACACGGAGGCCAACCGCAGCTCCAACCAAGACGAGCAGCATTTTTTCGTACCCGGAAACCTGCGCGACTCGACCTACTCGGGCATCTCTGAGTTCTCGGACCGAACGTCGTATGCCCACCGCTCGAGCATCGCGTCCACCATATACGGCAGACAGGCCCAAGTCCAGACGCCGGCGCAGACTGGCATGCGCGCCAAGCCGACGGTTGTCAGCGTCAAGTCGGGCGGCAACGGATCCTTTACGCCTCCTGTCCCCAGCATCGACTTTGACAAGTTTGGCGGCGGACGACCCAAGAGCGTGACGAGCACCTTTAGCGTCGGGTCGACCATTGTCAACAACGCAAACACGGCCACGCAAGCCCGGGCGCAGGTGGTGAAGCTGGGCGGGGGGCCTCGGAAGATTGACGTCGGCGCCAGGTCGGAGGCCAACTCATCGTCGCTGTCCCTCGGCTCGACGGCGTCGCAGGTCTCTCCCACGCAGCCCGGTGCACGAACGCCCGACGCGGCGGCGCCGGCGGGAGACTTGGGTATGGGAGACCAGGGGCCGTTCTCAGACCCACCCAGCACGCCAAAGCCAGCTGCCAGTGCCCGCACTCTCGGTGCGGTGATGGAAGACGAGGGCGAGGAGCATCGGGACGAGGGCCGAAGGTCCAGAGGGCCAGGCTCGATTGAACGAGGCCGAAGTCCGTTTGGCGACGAGCACGCGACAAAGTAGTGGCATGGCCTGTCACCTTTGATGTTTATGCACTACCTCTTCTCTTCCTCTCCCCAGCGACCGACGCGATGTTGCGCTTTCGGGCGCCCGGGGAGGAGGCTGGCTTATTTTGCACTGGGCTCTGGAGCGGCAGAGACATTACCCTTTTGCTTGTGTAGAGATTACGAATCTAGGCGTCACTTTGGACAATCGTGGAGGGGCGGCTTATATATCCTCGCAGCCAAGCGTGTCTACTTGGGCTTTTCTTTGAATAGATGTGCTGAAGCAAGCCTGGTCCCTGGTTCCTGGCGCGGCGTGATTGTCAATCGGGTGTGACGAGTCATGGGCAAGTAGGCGGAGCCGAGATCCGCCGGGGACTCCATTGCCGCGCGTGTGGTGAGATGACGGTTGATACTCGCGATTCCACCACTTTGCCGGAGGAGAGAAGCTCAGCCGAGACAAGGGAAGAGGAACTGACGATGAGGCTCGTTGGAAAGTTGGGCGATGATTGTTATATGAGCATGGGTAGAAGGCGAAGGGGAATACCGGTTAACTTTGGCGGCGACATGAGGGCAGGGATGGACGTGCATGATCCAGGTACAGTACAACTAGAAGATTAGACGCGCCCTCTCTACTTATCTATATAGCATATGTGTAATGCAATGTCAATTGAATGCCAAGTTTCCTCCAGAGGTGCCTGATGGCTGTATCCCTCTCCCCCCCCATCTTATCCCACTCGGGGGGGGGTCCGGTGAGGGCAGGTGAGGGCTTTTACGTGCATGCGGCGTACATATGCACCTCACCTCAGCTGCTCGCCTTGGCTCACCTAGGTAGGTAATGTGTACCGCATGCCCGTATGCACGTAAAGCCGGGGTCGCACGGCTGTTGGACGGCCGAGGCGGTTGTTGGGGTATGGCTTCTGCGGTGGGAGAGTTGGTGGCTACCTGTAGGTGAGCGAGGGACATCACTCACGCATCTAATCTGCATCGTCATCGTCGTCTATCCGCGCATAGAGACGGGCAGCACCGCACCGGGGGGAAGGGGGTGGTCTATGCCGCGCACCCCCATCGCTCTTGTTTCTTCGTCTAACCCACCGATACACGAGCTCCGGTGCAAAACGCCCTGTTTTCTTTTGCTACCCCTCTTTTCTCCCCCACAGCACTGACGTTGGCTCTGCAAGCCACCCATAACAGATAGTGCCTTGGTTATAATATAACATAATATGACTTTGTGTACTGTAGGAAGTTATATCTACGCCTTGGAGGCGGCCCGGCACCGACGACGACGACGACGACGACGACAACCAAAAGTCGCTCGTCTGTCGGTCCTCTCGGCCGAGAGCAGAAAGGGAATAAAATCGGTGGCGTGGGCTGACTGACGACGGCAGAGATGCATCGCATCTGCTGAGTGTGCACATACACACACACACTCACTCATACACACACAGACGCGCATTAGCCTCGTCGCCCTTGACCAACGCTCCCTCACTCGGTAGCAAGTGCGCGGGCGGATGTAGCACCTTCACGTCGGCATGCCCACAGACGTCTTCCACTACACATTGCTGTGCTCCATTTCCAAGCCCTCGTCCTCCGGGGTATATAACGTAGAGTACAAGACTCGATGCAGACAATGGCACAGTCTTGTCGACGAGGATTCGCCATGTAGATGATGGCTCAAGGCGCGACATGCGTCGTCACGTCCAAACATACACCTCCATCAGACACCTTTCCTCGCCGAGGCGCTTAGCCTGTCGCTTTCACCCCTTGCGCATCCGGCCACCCGGGCCACACAACTCTCCCTCGCGTCCAGAGCCTTCCGCCCTCTGCCAGCCGCCATTCCCCGCGCTCGCTCCGCTCCATCCTCCTCCCTCCCTCTGCCAACAAACCCCGCCTCTCCGGGATAGACAGAACACGGAAAGACTGTGGCCCAACACACAATAGACAGAGGGAAATGGTTGCAGGGGTGGACAGATGACATGCAGCCAGACGACGGCTTCGGCCGAGCTCTGGCTAGCGCAACGTGCGCCAAACATCAACGACAGTCCATCGTCCAAGACTCCATGACATCAGCCTCTGCGTGTGTCATCAACACGAGGGGCTGACGAGGCCCAGACGGATGCTGCAGGTGGGGGGGTGTGTCCCCTTTGCGGCGGAAACCCAACAAAGAAAGCCGAGTCAAGAAGAATCTGTGTCGAAAAGTGTCAAAGTCATAAGCGCCCCATGAAAATGCCCCTTTTTGTTCTCTTGGTACGCCATTCGCCGATCCGGGACCCTGATGCGCGCGTTCGCTCGCTGCGGGGATGCTGCGTCGTCGTGAGGCGAAACTGCTTTTTTTCCTCGTTGCGACTGGCAATCGCCGCAATAGTAAAGATGAAATAAAAATAAAAAGTATCCAGCTGGCAGCATCGCATTCCGTCATTAACCATTCCTCATCGCCTTCCGACGAGCTGCGGAGAAAGATTCGGCAAGGATGGAGGGGGAGGGGGCCGAGGGACTGCGCCGCGACGCGCGCCCTTGCGACCCGAGTCGTGCCGTGGCCTTGTATCTAAGCTCTCTCGTGGAAGAGCAGGCGGGCGCTCATAATACCACGCACTTTGATTTGCTCTTTTCGCCGTCTTTGCTGCGCCGGTAGCGGGGGGACTCGCGCTCTCGGCCGCCGGCGTCGCCGTTGCCAGTGCGAGAGCGGCCGCTGGAGCCGGCCGGAGGGCGCGACACCTGCTGGCGTTGGCGGCGCAGGATCCTGACGACGTCGTAAAAGGCCTTTTCGACATTGATGCAGTTCTTGGCCGAGGCCTCGACGAATTCGCAGCCGAGCTCGCGGGCGAGGGCGTGGCCTTCTTGCGTCGACACCTCGCGCTCCGTGACTCGGTCGCTCTTGTTGCCGACGAGCATGACGGGGACGGGCATCTGGGGGCTAACGGCCGAGAGGGGCGAGCCGGGGTATGAAGGAGAGGAAGCGCACGACTCCTTGACGCGCTGAATCTGGTGGTGGAAGCGCTTGATGCGGGTAAAGGAGGAGCGAGAAGAGATGCTGTAGACGAGGACGAAGCCCTCGCCGTCGCGGATCCACTGGTCGCGGAGGGCCGTGTACTCTTCCTGGCCGGCCGTGTCGAGCACCTCGAGCATGCATGGCTGGTTGTCTATGACGACCTGCTTGCGGTACGAGTCTTCAATTGTCGGGTCGTACTGGGTCATGATTGCCAGTCAGCCCTGGCCGCGTGGCGTGTGGTCGTGTGGAGAGAGCGAGAGCTGCGCCATGGAATACTCACAGTTTCGACAAAGTGTTGCAGACACAGCTGGATGGTCAGGGCCGTCTTGCCGACGCCGCCATCGCCCAGGACCACGAGCTTGTACAAGACCATGCGCCCAGCCATGATTGTCTAGGGGGTTCAAAAAATGGAAGGAAAAAGGAGGCGACGGTGGATGGATCGTGGGCGAGACGAGGGACGGACCAGGACGAGGGACGAGGGGCGGATGGGGAGGAGGGAGGGAGGAGGGGGGAGGGGTGGTTGAGCGATGCTGGAGCGAACGACAGACGGCGCAGAGGAGCGGATCAAAGTGTGCAGTGGCGTCAATGGAGCTGTCGGGTTGTTGATGATGGCGGAGGAGCCCTCTCTCGCTGGCTGGGAGGGAGCTGCGTGTGTGCCAAGCAGGTGAGAAGAGAGCGAGGGTCGTGGGTGGAGACGGTGGGTTGCGACTGCGCGTGTGTGTTTGCGGTGCGTTGGTGGTGGGCAAGTGGGCAAAAGGCAGGGTATTAGGTAGCGTCGAAAAAGAGAGGGAGTGAGGGCGGGCGGGCGAGAAAGAGGAGAGCAAGCAAGAGTGGAGAGTGGAGATGCGCAGGCGGCGGCGGCGGCTGGCCGAGTGCTGCGCGTACCTAGCAAGTTACAACTGGAGCAGCTTGGGGTATCCGTAGGTAGGTAGGTAGGTAGGTAGCCCCAGGCTGATTGGCGGGCGGGCAGCAGTAGCAGCAAGCCGATGGAGTCGAGTATCCGATGGAAGGGGGGGAGAAGTGACAAGACAGATGTGCAGCCACGAGAGAGTTGCGCGACGGACCGACGGAGCCGGCGGCCGAGGAGGGGGAGGGGGCGGAGGAGGAGGAGGAGGATGACGACGACGACTACTGACGATGATGGTGAAGATAGAAATGGCCGGTCACGATGATCTTGTTGGTGATGATTGATTAGGGGGTCCAAACTAAGGTACTACGTAGTACATACTGTCCAGTAATAAATTACTGGAAGAGCCCCCCTGGGGAGACGGCTACCTACCTATTACATCCCTACCTACCTTAGCAGTATCACTGCAGAGCCTCGTCCGTCCATTGCCATGATGGCGGTGGCGGCGAAGAACGAATGGCCTTCTTTCTTCGCCTGTGCCACCGTAGAGAGGTGCCTACAGACCTACCTAGGTACCTACCTAGGTACCTACCTACCTTTGTAACCAAGGTAATAAACAGTACGCCGATGTACAGTACATGCGCGTCTGCGTCAACAACAAACCCAAGTCTGTCGCCTCTTGCCACGGTACAGTACATAATTACAGGCAGCGTGCAGGCATCGTCAGCAACGTACGGCAGACTATTACCTGGGCAGACAAGGGAGGGCTTGCGACGTTCACGCAGCCAAGGGGCGTCTATGTCTACTAGCAATGCAGCACCGTCACATCTCTGACGGCCAAGCACAAGCTGGCAGGGTCGTTGCGGCAAGCAAGCAGCGTCCAATCACCGCCGGGGCAAACAACGAGGACCGCGCTGTCGGGATCACATCCTTGGGCCGCCTGGCTTCTCCTCGCAAGGTAGGTAGGTGTGTACCTTTACAGTGGTCTGCCCACGTTCTGCCCACGTTCTGCCCACCGAGTACCGTGCCGCACCTACCTTCCGGTACCCTTCCAGTACCCTCCCAGTACCTAGAGTCGAGTGCAGTGCATGAACCAGCACCTCTCCCGGCGCCTCGCTTGGAGCGTGCCCTGACTGTAACTGACATGCCTAGCCTAGCTCTACAAGGCAAGGTAGGTCGCGGGTAGTGATACACCTACTCTCTACGGCATATGCTCCGTCGATAATGTACCGACGCATAAACGCTAGCACAAGATGGCTTTTCTGCGGCCCACGCACCCCGGCAGCAGCTGCATGTCCTTTCTTGCTGCCTGTGCGCCTTTGCGCCTTTGGTCGGAGACGCCCATCGAAAATACACACGCAGGGCGCCCTCATCGTGAGCCCATCTGTCTGCGGGGTTTGTTTCTCGATCAATCTTGTCCTCCCCCCATCGGAGTTTTTGAACGCATCCTGTTGGTGGTGTTGTGGGTTCTTCCAAGAGAAACGGTCAGGATATCCCCGCCAGCTTGCAATACCCCCCAACTCTATTGCCGCCCTGCGCTCACCGTTTGTTTGCCTCGAATACTGCTCGAGTTGCATGTATTCTGTGGGAACAATCCGCGCAGAGACATCTCTCGTCTCGAGAGCCAGGGTCAGCCGGTAGTGTAGGTACCTAGGTAGGTTGGTACATGCATGCTTCAGCACCCGAGTCGCCTCTACCCGACCCAAGCAGTCCACAGCCGAGCGGCGCTTGTAGACGCTACTCCATGCAGTCGTCCTCCAATGTACTCGTTAGGCTAAAGGCTGCGCTACGCCATCTGCGACTGCCTAGAATTCTCCACCCTGCAAGATGCACGCACATTCAAGAAAAAGCACCGCAAATCACGCATCTCCATCTCCTCCTCGCCCTCGTCCTCTCCCTCCCGTCCGAACCCCTGGCCCGACGTCTCGTTGGTCCTCGCCCGCGGTCCAAGAGTCCACTTCCATCTCATCCCCCGACGTCTGCCGGGCCTCATGCCACCCAAATGCACGCAGCGCTCCGCTCCTCTCCGCTGCGACCGACCTCGAGTCCGCGCGCCTCGACCATTCTCCAGCGGCCATAGGCGACGTGCCTCCGACGACCCTGCGGCCAGTGACGGAACGTCGACGGCTCGCTGCAGACGACATGACGGAGACGCTGTGCCACCAGGCGAGGACCCTACGCTGCCGTCACTGCGCGGCTTTCGTTGGCCCCGACTCTTGCTTCCCGCCTTTATTGTCGAGGCCCGCCCCGATGCAAAGGGCCTCTGGTCGAGTCAAGCTTTCGTCCCAACACCAACGCCAACCAACCCCTCCAATGGTGCGTTCTCGTCTCCCGACCTCCCACCACCACGGCTAGTGGCGAGGCTGCCGCTGCTTCATGGCCTTGTCCACTCCAAAGCCGTATCGCCGCTGTGGGCCACCGCCCGTCCCTCCCACCGCCAAGGTGCCATGGTAGGATCCGCCCTCTCCATCGTGCCCAGACCGCGCCTCTTTGCCGCGGCCCGTCGACCGAGCCTCGCCTGTCAACCGAACCCGCTCTCTCAGCTGCCGACATGCGATCCTCGCCCAGGCAGTGTATGTCTCGAGCAGCTGTGTCTCGCCGCTCATAGCCGACGTTGAGCTCTCCAAAGCCAAGTCTCAATTCCACTGTCTGGCAGCGCAGCTCCTCGGCAGACGATTCTTTGCACCTGTCTTCTTGACCGCCGAGGGGGCACATTTTACCCCACAAGAATTTCAATGTCAGTGTGCCAGCTGGTGCTTTGTTCGTCACGGCACACGCTCAAGACACCACGAGGTGGTGTCTCACACCTCTCCTCCGCTGGTGCTCCCTTGCACGACATGCCGTCTAGTCTCAGCGGGCTCCATGCCCCGTCAGTGAGCGTCATGGCGGCTGGAACTTGGCCGAGGGACAAAAGCATCTCTCCAGCAGCCGCCAATGGCCTTACCTGGGGACGGCGGCAGGGGGCATGGCATTCTCTGCCGTGGGTGTGGCTGACTGAAAGCCCATGGCCGGCACGGCAGCAGGACCAGCTCATGGTCGCAACAGGGCACCAGCCGCTGCCGACGGCAAGGGCCCATGTCCGAGTACCAAAGCACAAGGCAGCGTGTTCGTCATCTTTCAGACGACGGCGGGCGACATCCCGTGTCTTGGCTTTTAATGGCCCCTTTCTCCGTGGAGAGCATCGCAGATGCTGCTGCCTTGGCCGTGCTCAGGCACCATTCGTTTGGATCCAGAGTGTACAACGCCCGCCCATCATCGACTCCCGTGCAGATGATGATTCATGCCCTATTGGTATGTGTCCTGGACAAACCCACAGGCATATTCAGGTCTACCTATGCTCGCGGTACAGTGTCTATCTGCCCATCCACCGTGGCTGAAGCAACGTTTCTTCGCGACGCAACGCTCCAGGCCAATGGTGCAATTGTCCGAGTGCTGAACACGTCAGACCAGGCGTCAAGACTGCAGTGCGACACAACCGCCCGCATCCTCTTGGATGAGCATGTCATGTCCAGCAGCCCAGGACTGCGTGCAATGCCCATTCTCTTGGGGAGCGTAACTTGGCCCAACTAGCGCATGCTCTGCTCCTCGTCGCAGCGTCCATTGCAGACCGCGCCCAGCCTCGTGCCTGGGGGATTCGGCCGCTGACATCGCGGCTTCTTTCTCCATGGCACAGCAGGCGGCTCGTGTCAGCGTCTCGTTGGAATCGAAGCTTACACACGCCGTCATTGCGGTCAGGTTGCACAAGCATGGTCTAGCATATAGCTCGCTCAGGGGAGACGCGGGACGGGCCACTGAGCTTCGATAGTGCACTTTGAGCTCTTGATTGGACAATGGACCGCGATCCAGCACAGGGATCGCTTGCCCGTCGAGGTCAGTGCTGCGGAGCTCCTGGTCGTCGGCGACGGCTCTCAGCAACGAGTTAAGCCAGTATCAACCCTGTGCGTAGGGTGCCTCTTACATGACCACGGACGACGAGCCTCGTTTTCCGGCCAGTCAGAAGGGGCAGGCGACATATAGACGCAGAAAGCGGTTGAAAGGCTCCATCGCAGGCACCAGTGCCCTCTCCTGGTCGGCCACGGCTTATCATGTAGGGGTTTTCCATTCCGATCGAAACAATGCCAGGAAGAAGCGGCCAGGCTTGTCGTATTTGGATTCTTTGAACAGTCTATTTTTATAGGTGCAGCGACGGGTCCGGATGGGGCGGGCGGGCGTGAAGCAGTGTGTCGGGCTGCGGACCGCCATGCATTTCCCCTGGACTTGCTTTCAGGTTCATACCTCGGAGAGCTGCTGCAGTCGACGAGCCAGGCTCAGCAAGCCATCGTCTTGCTCGGAAATCCACAAGTCGACCCATTCCCGAGCCTGCCGGTAATCGTCGCCGTCCTCGTCCCAGGCCTCCTCCTGGGGCCTCTCCACGTAAATAGTTCGCAGACCACAGGCCCGGGCCGCTTTCAGGTCTCCCAGGTGCGCAGCCACCATGGCGACCTGTGCGGGCTCGAGGCCAAGCTCCTTTGCAGCGCCCAGGTAGGTGGCCGGGTTGGGCTTGTAGGCGCGAAACATCTCAGCTGAGAGGAGCCGGTCAAAGCCCAGGGAGCCAAAGTCGTCGAGGTCGCGCAGCAGGGCGAGATTGCCGTTGGATAGGGTAGCGGTGACGAGCTTGCCGGTAGACGCGAGGGCGCGCAGACCATCAGAAGAGTCGGGCCAGGGACTCAGGCGATGCCAGACGAGGCTGAGGGAGTCCGTCTCGGCATCCGAGTAGAGGCCGTCGAAGCCCCAGTCGCGTAGCAGGGCGACAAGGCTGTCGCGGTGGTGGCGGTCGATGGACTTCCATGCGTCGCGCGAGGGGTCAAAGGACGCGGTGAAGGCCGAGTATGAGTCGCGCCAGGCCTGGGCGAAGCGGGACCAGGTATCGTCGGCGGCGGCGGCGGTGAGACGCAAGGCGAGGTCTGGCGGTGGGGAATGCTGGTCGAGGAGTTTGCGGTGGGCGCGGAGGGAGAGCTCGTCGACGACCGAGGTGCGCCAGTCGACGACGGTGCCGAAGACGTCGAAGGCGAGGGCCTTGATCCCGGCGAGGGGGGAGGTGGTGGCTGGGGACATTGTGATGTTGGGTGTGGTCGCGGGCAGGAGGAGTGAAAGTGGTCGAGGGCGGGAGTAGCTAGGTGTGCCATTACATCATCAGGGTTCGGTGCCTGCTCATTGCCAAGCATGGGGTTGGGGTTGGGGTTCAGTATAGGGTAAGTGATTGAGGGATTCGAAGCCTTCCTTCGCAAGCTGTCAACGGAGCCTTCCAGCCATGACTGATGAGGTGAATGCGGATAAGAACTGGATTGTGTGCGTTTAGCGCAAGCCTCGGCAGCTCGACTTGTTCGTGTGCTCGAATGAGTAAGGTCGACTTTTGGACTTTGGTGCATCTCAGACCCGCTGCGACCACAATCCAAGATGGCCTCACCGATCTCACGGACGTGCTACGTCGATGACACGGCTCCTCTCGCGGAACAGCATCCCACCGTAGCCGTTGGGACATGCATGCAACGCTCTTGGTGAGCGCTGTCTCCCCAGCTGAACGGATAACCGTGCAGAGAGACACGCAGTCACAAAAGGACATACAGACACATGCTCGTACAAGCCACCAACGCCTCTGCCCCCCGCAGATGGCAGAAGAAACAAGGGAAACAAGATCAGACACGGGCGCGCGGGTTGCGGAATGGGGCGTTCCCGATGGAAAGAAAAGCCCACGATGCACTCATTGCTTCTCCCCCCCTCCCCGCCCTGGCGCCGGACAGAGTCGACGGATGGAGCAGGTGACAGGTCGCGATGCTGGGACAAGCTGTTGCTTCCTTTTATTTCTTTTGCCACTTGTGTTGGGTTGGTTGCTTTTTCCTCTTCTTGTTTTCGCAGTCCTCCCCACATGCCAGAATGCAAGAATCGGTGATGGCGCAGAAGCCCTTCCGAGCCAGGTTCTTTTGTCTCGGGGAAGTGGGTGGCGATGGAGGTTATTTCTTTCCTTCGTTTTTGTCTGGCTCATCGTGCAACCGGTGAATAGACAGTAGCAACGGGCGGCGGCCTCTGTTCCAAGCCCCCTTGGCCGTGGCGACGGGGCTCGACTCACTTCCCCTCACGTTTCCACTCCCTCCCTGTCTGATAAAAGAAGACGGGGGGGGGGGAATACTGGAAATAGAAGCAGAAGGGGGGAAAAAGCCGCAATGACAAAGAAACGAAACTGAGGAGAGGCGAAGAAAGGAGCAACACAGGGAAAAAGCAACAAAGTTGAAGTGATGAAAACAGGAAAAAGGGATATGTCACTTTCTCTTGGAGTCCTTTCCCCGCTCCCCGTGTGCAACAGCCAGTACGGGGTGCAGAAGGCCCGTCTATGATTCGCTCGCAGAGTAGCGAACTGCAGGACCGAGCGTTTGCCGGGTCTGGGAAAAGCTGCATGATCCCCCCCCTCTTTCACCTTGTTTCTTTTTCCGAGCATTTCGTCGTCTGGGCTTGGTACGTACTGTAATCGTGTACGGAGTACAGTACAGTGCAGTACTTGGCATGTATGGAGAAATATGCACGCACAATGTTGCTGCAGTGGCAGTCGAGCAAAGAAAGGAGTGGTGTGGAGCGCGGGAGGCAGCGCCGGCGCGGATACGTGGTGGGTCCTCCCGCCGCCGAAGCCACGCGGCGGCTTGCGGACGGGCCGGAGCGCTCCTCCCGGCCGCGGAGAGGGACCCAGGGGACCTCACCCACGCTCACACGCTGACGGCAAAGGGCAGCGGCATGGAGATTTTTCGACAGAACAGAGCGTTCAACGTTGCCTCATTGTAATCTCACAGTACATGCTTGATGGATACGGATACAGTCAATATTGGACGCGCCCGGTGGAGCACCCGTTCATCAGTCATGCGAAATTACAGCAAAGCAATGACAGCTCCAATTTCGTTTCTCGACTCTCCCGCGCTATCCGTACACGGTGCATACTTGTCAAGCTGCCAGTCGGGCCTGCCGTTGGGTCGCCCTAAAAGGGGGGATAAAGGTTCAGGCCCAGACGCGCGCAATTTGCCACGGACAGGGCAACCCTGAGCAGAGCAAGGCTACGTACGATTGCTGCCAGCGGCGATATCTTACATACGATATAGCACGCACGTCCACGCATCCCGTAATGAGGAATTCACTCTTCTTCTCCCGGTCGTCGGTCGTGTCGCGAACAAGCATGTTCGTTCACCGGACATGCGGGGGATAATAAATGTGCGGAGGATAACCACGGAGAAATGCAACTGTCCATGCGACGTACGTCACCGTGGCGTCTCTGAGCTGTTTCGGGTTCCCCAAACGAAACCCAGATCTTGACGTTCATACGTACCATCCATACATACTCGGTATATCGACGGCACTGGGTGGCTGTATATACGTTTCAGATCCCCCGCCCAGCGGGCGAGGAGCTACTGGGTCATCCGTGGCACACACACACGCACGCCGTCAGCTGTGCTTGCTCGCGGGGACGTGTATCCGTATTGTACTGTATTTCAGAGCAAAGGGAGACGAGGAAACCTTGGCTGGCCGGCTGGGCAGCTTTCTTTTCCGACGCCATGCAGCTTTAGCGGCCAGCTCTGCGTACTGTACTCTACTCTCTGATTCCAAAGACATGCCAAGGCAAAGGCATAATTATTGTATGTACTGTACATTCTGCAGAGCGGTGACGGCGACGGGGCGGGTATATCGCTCTGACTCTCCGCTCCGTGGCCGGCACCCCACCCGGCCTGGCCGGTGACATTGGCGCCTGTCAGTCTGCGCTGTCACTGTCAAGAGCGGCGCTGCAATGCGCGGTCCCTGTGCCACCTTGCGATGCAGGCAGGGCATGGATGAGGTGACGGCGCAATTGCCGTCTGCGATCATGTACTGTACAAACCTTGGGTACTGTGCAGCGCGGCCATTGAGGCTCGTCTCGGGGCGCAGGCCGATGCACGAAAAGCTTGTTGTTCCTTTGAGTGTCGAGACCGCGCTCGTGCTCGCCGGGCCAGATTGATCACAGGCAGTCATGGGGGCACTGATTGTACCGAGTAAAAGGGGCAAAACGACTCCCCCCTGAGCAGGGATCGGCCATATTGCCACGTCCCTGGGCTTTCTGCCTCGAGGACTGAGCGGATATTGGAGGCTCATGGCCGAGAACCAACGGCGGCCGCAGCACGAACAAGGGCGATGTTCTAATACTAGGGACGAGAGGAAGTGAACCGCCCCGTCAAGATGGGACGGATAGCACCGAGGCAAGCTGTACAGTACTGTATGTATGCATGTCTCTGGGTAAAAATAGGAAGAGAAGAAAGCGACGAGGCTCCGTGCAATCTCCACCGAACAAGGTGAAACGAGGCTCTCCGGCTCACGGCCACAGCGAGCACGAGCCTCACCCAGACTATATCACAGTACCAAAGCCGTGTCCGAGATGAGGTGATCATGGTTGACGCCCAAGCAAGGCATCGGTGCCGACGAGCGACGGACGTGCGTGCATTTTGAGCCGCTGCGGCAGCGCTTTTCATGCCTAAGATTCGACGCGCAATGAAATAGAATGCACGCCATGCCCCCCCTTACTCGATGTTATCGGTCTCGGCACATGCGCTTGTGATTGGCCCGTGGGGTAAACGGGCTGCCAGACTGATGAAACTCTGCGACGACGGGTGATGATACTTGATGGGATGGAGGAAAGGAAAGGCAGATTGGATGCCTTTATGCTCTGCACAGTGGTTATCGCTGGTGGAGCGAGTGCCACACTGTGCATTTTTATTGGGCTGACCACTATAACGACAGTCCGCTCAGTGCGTCGCAGGACTCGCAGCAGGCACCCAAAACACGGCATAATTGAGCCCAACACGGTGCACACAGGCCCCTGCACTGTACCCTGTCTTGCGTTCGACGACGCTCTCCGAATTGGCACCAATTTCCAATCCAGCATCCGCTGTCCGCGAACAGAAGCGGCGTGCGGACCGGGGGTTTCACGTCGGCGCATGGATCATTACCTTATGGAGATGGAGAGGAAATTGGTCTCGCACCCCGGTCGTCCGACAGACGCTCCCCGGCCAATCCCAGTCACATCGAGCGCCGCGGATGCCTCTCCCGACAGAAGCCACCCCTGGCCATTGACGGCGGCCAACAGGGATCAAGATTGACTTTTTCTTCTGCTCTCTTGGGCCTGCCGCAGGCGGCACTTGAGGACGACGGCCGCTGGTTCTTTGACGGATGGATCTGTCGGTGACGATACCAAGCCCCCCCCCCCCTATTCTTCTGCCCACACGGGCCCCGATTGACTATCCCATCCTCATCAGATGCCTCTCGCTCGTCCACAAACCAACTGCGCCTCCCAGGGCGGATGCGACACACAGCAGCGTCTCATTGCCGGCCGTAGCACTGCGACGGTAACTCAACACGCGAACCTCGTCATCTCCTCACGCCTCGGACGCCGCGCCTCGTGAAGCTCCCATATCTCCTCCTCTCTTTCTCTCTCCCTCTTACACACACTCACGCGTCCTCTGTCGCTTCTTCTATTTTTGAGCCGTCGTCCTCACCCATCGTCCGACGGGGCTAGCCTGCGACCGTCACCGCATTGCCTCAACTCGCCGCCAGCTATTTATTACTCGTCGGCGAGACCCAGCCTAGCTCTTCTGCTCCTCTGCAGGGGCCACCAACACGCCGGGTTGGTCGGCCCTTTCCTCTCTTCATTGGTACTGTGCGAGACACGAGCTGACCACAAGCTAGACCACCCCGGCCGGGTGTTCCCTGTCTCGTTGTCTGCTGCGGGCGGAGCCGCCTTGGCCTCGGCTTATACTCTCCCCAGGACACTTTCCCACCCTCTCGGTGACAGCTCTCCAGCATCCATCCCCTTTCGAGAAGCCTCTCCCGCCCTGCTTGTCCGTCGCCTTTCTTCTTCGCCTTGGGTTGTGCCATTGCCGCCCGCCGGCGCTTGAGAAAAAGGCCCGCGCCTCTGAATTGGGCGTCGACGTGTCTTGCACTTGGCACACCCTCCAACTCGTCCCGTGCGTCACTCGGCCACTAGCAACTGATTCACGGCCCTACAGACTGCCTTACTGAACTGTTCCATCTAGACGCGCATGACCACACCCCGAGAAACGCCTCAGCCGAGTGCCAAACAGGACCCCGACGTCCCTTGGTGAGTAGTCCGAGGGATGGATGCATGGCGCAATGCTGCTTTGCTTTTTGCCGGCCGCTGACCTACTCATGGCGAATAAAAGGCCTCTGTAGATGCGTCGACATCGGGTGCAGACTACAGCCGCGGCCACTTCTTAGCTGCAGGGCGATTCCCAAGCGGGCTGATTGCTCTAGCACTGCGGGCTGTCTTGCCCCAAGGCCTCCGCGTCAAGCCATCGTCGACGGCGTGAATCGATGCCTTGGCGCCATATCATCGCCACGCAGCGCCCTCTCCAGATTCACGGGCCGTCGGCAACCCTCGCCATCCACAAATGGCCAGCTGGGCGACCGACGATGAATTTGCCGCTGGTCTCGGCTCCAGCCCTGTGACCATGCCTCAGGGGCCCTCTTTCAGAACACCGCCCGCCAATTCGACCAAGTCGGCTCGGCGCTCCGTCACCCCGCCGGGACCAGCCTCCTCGCCGATACGCATGGCCGACGAACAAGGCGACAGGTCGCCCTCGAGGGGCTCGACCAACGACGAGAGCATCAGCATCTTGGATCCCCGCAGGTTCACGCCAACGCTGCATGCCAACCTCGTCTCCGAGATCCTGGCTCTGCGCCGAGACCAGGAAGAGAAGACGAAGCAGATTGAGGACTTGGAATCCACCCTCGATGCCGCCAAAGGGGACCAGGAGCGGCTGCAGGGCAGCCTGACGGAGGCCACCAAGGAGAGCCGTTCCCTCAAGCGTCAGCTCTCCTTGCTCGAAGGTGGGACATCGTCGGCCCTGGGCGAGCTCCAGCGCGAGCGAGATGAAGCCGTCGACTCTCTCACCGAGACCAAGAAGCGCCTGGAAGTCGCGCAAAAGAAGATACGAAGCCACGAGGATGACTCTCAGAGGGTCCACGACCAGTGGGCCCAGGATAAGATGGGCTGGGAGGATGAACGGCGCAAGTTCCAACGCCAAATGCACGTCGCCGAGAGCCGCCTCAAAGTGGTGCTCGACGAAGTGGCCTGCTACCAGGGCGCCCACGCTACTCACGGGCCGGGCCGCGTCCATGACAGCGACGGAGAAGAGAGTTCCAAGGACAACGATGCACGGAGTGTCAGGACAATGAGCATCACCAACAGCATTCGGCAGTCATTTCATAGCCCTGGCCCGGGCCTGCACAATGGCCATTCCTTGGCCGACGAACTCAGCTTTGTCGACGACCAGACCGACGCCGACGGTCGAGAGAGCGTCCTCTCCAACTACACGATTCCCAAATCCCCCAGAATCCACCGCCGGAACCAGAGCCTCGAGAGCCTGAGGCGGGCCGGCAGCGTGGCGCGCGCGCGGCTGTTCATGAACCAGCAGCCGCCCGTCTTGGAGGCTTTGGGAGGCAAGGAGGAGGACGACGCCTGGCCGGCCACTCCCAGGGCCGCGTACACGGACACCGGGATCCAATACTCCCCACCGCCTTCTCCCGTCGTACGCCCCGTCAAGCCGGCGACACCCGACCTCGCCAACAGGGGCAGGACGCCTGACCTCGAAAGCCCGCGCGGCGACATGGAGATTGAGGCAAACCAGAGGCGGAAACGCGTGTCGGTGAACCGGCCGCTCAGGATCGAGCCCCCGAAGCCGGACCACAAGATGGTTTCCGCTGCCGCCCAGACAATGGAGGAACCGTTGAGCCCGCCCAAGACGCCCAAGACGCCCTGGCGTGACTTCACGCCCCCTTCCGAGCTCCAGCTCGCCCTCATGATGAGCTCATCGACGCAGACTGAGGAACCATCCCGGCCACCCCGCACACACTCCGGCCTCGGCCTGACTCCCCCTTCACCACCGCCGCAGATTCCGACCATCAGCGTCCAACCTCCGCGCAGCCGGCCGACCACGCCGCGCGAGCCCCGATTGCCCCAGCACTGCAAAGACTTTGGCTGCCAAGTGAACCTGTCACCGACTCCAACGAGCGATGCCGTTGTACAGACCGAAGGCATCCAGATCGACAAGAGGCTGGCGCGTCTACCGCTACACTTGCAACCATCCGCCATCTCCTCGCGGCCCACGTCTCCGAATGTGCACCCGATTCCGGGGGGTCTGCCTGCCCGAAACCCTAGGCGCCTCACGCAGGGCGGAGACGCCCCGGAGACGCCGCCATCCCCGATCAACTCTCACGTCGAAGAGGACGATTTCTACGAGCCATATCCCGGCCATGACGACGACGGCCCGCCGCCCAGCTCAAGAGGAGCATCGACTCGGCGGTCCCGCCGGCTCAGTAGCCTCTTTGCGGGCTTCGACACGGCGAGCTCGGACGGCATGGACGAATTCGGCGACGGAGACGTGAGCGATTCCGAGTTCCGCACGGCCTTGTCCGCGCCCAAGCCACAGTCCAAGTCGAGCCGGCCGACGAGGCGAGAGTCCTTTGGACTCATGGCCCACCATCCCGAGGAGCCTTCGACTTCCGAGCAGCCGGCCAGCAGCGAGCTCTACAGCACCTTCTGCCTTGTTGACAAGGAAAATCGATTCGGCAGGCATTCCCGGAGGCTGAGCAGAACCTATGAAAAGTCCCCCCCCCCGCCGCCGCCAGTCTCCTCGAGCCGCGACGGTGCCATGCGCAGGACTGCCCTGATCCAGAGCGGGATTGCCAGCCACCGGAACCGTTCGAGGAGCCCGAGCCTGCCCGACTCGGGCAACCCACCATTCCCCATACCGACGCGCGCCAGCTCGCGAAAGCCGACCGTCCGAACGAGGACGCCAAGCGATGGCCAGAGCAGCCCGACCCGAGGCGATGCCTGGCAGCGGAGGGGCAGTGGCCGGTCGTCGCATCAAACCCACAATCTCCGCAAGGTCCGTTCTGCCGCCGCCTTGCCACGCAATAGCCGTCATCGCAGACGTGGCAGCCGGTCCCCTCCACCTCTTTCTCCGTCTGCGGAGACTCCGGAGAGCACTCGGCTGCCCCCCCTGCCCAAGAATGACATTACGACGCCGCGCAACCGCGACATTGGGAGTAGTGGCCAGTACAGAAGACATCGGCATGAGCTGTCGACCAACACGGACCATACCAACAACACTGACCACACTTCTCGGACTAGCGGCGCCCAGACCACTGGCATCGTGGATGCCATTGCGCACACAATGGTTGGCGAGTGGATGCTCAAGTACGTTCGCAGACGGCGGTCGTTTGGAGTGCCCGAGAACACGGGCAGGGATGACTCGAGCAACGATCGCCACAAGCGCTGGGTGTGGTTGGCTCCGTACGAAAGGGCCATCCTGTGGAGCAGCAAGCAGCCCTCGTCCGGCAGCGCCCTGATGGGCAAGACGGGCAGGAAACGTGAGTGGTTCTGGAGCCGGCGGAGGGGGGACCTTTTCAAGCACAAAAGCTGACTTTGCAATGCAGTGACGATTCAGTCGGTCCTGGATGTCAAGGACGACAACCCTCCCCCCAAGGTCATGCCGTCGGTGTTCAACCGCTCCATTCTGATCCTGACGCCGCAGCGGGCACTCAAGTTCACGGCGGTCACGGCAGAGCGGCACTACCTCTGGCTGACGGCGCTGTCGTTTCTGGCCCACTCATCGCAGGCGGTGCCCGACATCTTTGCCACTCCGCAGCTCAAGGCCAAGCAGCAGCAGCCGCTGCCAGAGTTTGAGCTGCCAAGGACGAGGTTTCGACGGGGCGGTATCCGCGACTCGATACGCCTGGCCAAGGGCAAGACGGGTAACCCAAAGTCGGGCCCCCCCAGCATCCCCAGTGCACCGTCGTCCAAGATGGGCGACGTGGCGAGCTTCCCCCCCAACGACCCCTGCCACAGCAGGGAACAGTCGCAAGAGGCGGCCGAGGCGCCCTTCATCCCCCGCTTCAGCGAGCGAGCTAGCCAGGCCGGGTTGCATGGCCGGAAGCGAAGCAACACGGGGGGGCACGTGGCTCCGCCTCTGTCGTTCCGCGGCTTCTCGGGTCCGCTCGGCGGCGGCACGCACCACCACTCGACCAACAGCACAGCCAATGCCAGCATCGGCACAGCCAACTCGTCTGACATTTACCAATCACAAGCCTCGACCAACACGACGTGGAACATGGGCCCGACATCGTCGCAGCCCACGTCGGAGGCGTCGTCTCGGCCCAAGAACTTTTTCGACGCGATAGGAACGGTGCGAATGGAGGCCTTTATCAGCCCTCTGTCGTTTACGCAATTCGGCGAACATCCAGACGAGCAGGACGAGTACCGGCAGACAGCCAGGAGGCGGAGCAAGGAGCTGCGCAGGAGGAACAGCCGCAACAGGGCGCGCGACCATCCTGGCTCCAGGGGGCGGGAAGACTTTTTCGGCCGAGGAAGAACCTTGGAGGAAGACTTTTTCAGAGATGACCCGTTTAAGGGATTCTGAGCTTGGGGGAGACATGTTTGCGGCCAGCATCTTGACGCCGTCGATGCGGTGTGGACCGAGGCACCATGACGGATACCCTTTTCGTATGTTGATGTGTATAGCTACAGTCTCTTTTGGCATAGGGCACGGCGTTTTGAGCATTGTTGCTTTGTCTGAAAACAACTTCTCTTTTCTCCCCACTCGGCACCTGGCCATGGATCGCGATCGGCTCCGAGGCAGTGGTGATTGCAGAGCGGGATGGACAAAAGCAGGTCACTCGGTGTATGAATAGGTGCTCTTCGCAAGCGTTGCCGGGCGAGGCCGCCGGGTGTAGGTACATGTATTGGACAGAAGTGTTTATCTTGTGAGGTGCTGTTGCCATGGACAAGTGTGTGCAAAGTGGACCGAGTGCTGGTTTTGGTCGACTCCGATGGGAGGCAGCATGAAGGGGGGTTGCCACGATAATAAGTCTCCGGCCGTAAGGCGGCAGGTAGAGAGAGGCTAGAGCACATGGCTGGAGCAACTCCCGGGGCCGACTCCACCGTGCACATTCCCTCTTCACCGCTCCGCCCCGCCGCCGCCGCCCCTTGCCTCCGGCTCCGCACCGGCTCCCGGTTGCCCCGTCAACGCCCGTTACCGCGCTTACATGCATGCATGCATGCGTGCGGACGGCAACCAGGTGTGTGTGCTGTATGTACACAGGCTCACATGCAATGTGTTGCCTCTCCTCCCCCCGTCCATGCTTTGCATGCAGCTTTGCCGATCTATCTCTTATCCCCCTCGTTTACCGTTTACCTACCCCTAGCCTCTCGCGTTGACCCTGCCTGCCATTCTCGCATCCGTATCCGCGCCCGCCTCCCTCTCTTCCTTTTTCGCCCTCTTCTTGCGCGCTGCCGTGGCAGAAGAAGTTCATTTTTTTGATCCCCCCCCCCCCGATGCATCTCTTCTTCGTCCGGCTGTGTTAACGTCTCCCCCGCCGTTTGCGCCGTTGCGCGCGCGCGCACTCTTCGTTTGTTTTCCCCCCCTCGGGGAAGGGGAGTTTCTGAGTTGGTCGCTGGTCAACATCGTCTCGGTCGCGCGCCCTCGAGACCATCTCTCTCTCCCCTCTTGACAGCGTCAAAGGAACAGATATACTGTCGCCTTACCGAGACCTTACCACACGACACGACGAGACAAAAAATACAAAAAGGGCGGCAAAAGCGCACGTCGTCGACCGGGCCATCCGCAGCCATGGAAGCCCTCCTGTCCCTCGCCTTCGACAGCCTCTCCTCCTTTGACGGGCCCAAAGTCCGCAAGGGCATGCGCCAGGTCGAGGGTCTGCTGGCGCAAATCTGCCTGTCCGACGCGAGCCCCGAGGGCACCCGACGTCGCGGCTCCAGGGACTCTACAAGCAGCGGCGGCGGCGGGGATGGCGAGGCGGCAGCAGCACCGACGATGCCGCCGTCGTCGCCGCCGCGCAAGGACCTCGGCCGACTCTCGCAGGATCCGGCCTTTCGCGAGTTCTTCAAGCTGCAGGAGGGCTTCGAGTGGAACGTCGCCCTCCGCCTCATCGGGACCCTGGATCGCCTCATGGCCAAGGGCAGCGACGGGCAAAACGACCTTCTCATCCTCAGCGCCCTCGACCTGATCCAGGGCCTGCTGCTGCTTCACCCGCCCAGCAAAGCGCTCTTTGCGCGAGAGCAGAACATGAATGTCCGTCTATGCTTCTCTATCCCCCCCTCTCTCTTCGTCGTCGTGCACGTTGTGCTAACAGCAGGGGGTAAAAAAAAACAGCTCCTCCTCGACCTCCTCGAGCCCTTCAACTGCCCTGCCATCCAGTCCGCCACGCTGCTCACCCTCGTCGTCGCGCTGCTCGACGCGCCCGTCAACACGCGCACCTTTGAGGCCCTCGACGGCCTGCTGACCGTCACGTCGCTCTTCAAGTCGCGCTCCACGACGCGCGAGGTCAAGCTCAAGCTCGTCGAGTTCCTCTACTGCTACCTCATGCCCGAGACGCCGTCCATCCCGCGCGCCGGCCAGCGCGACTCGGTGCCCGCCATGCTCCAGCGCAGCCCCAGCAAGCTCGTCGGCGCCTTTGCCGCCGACACAAACACGGCGAGGCGCAAGAAGGCCGGTGGCGGGGGGGCCGCCGTCACCGTGACCCTGACGACCGACGAGAAGCAGGAGCTTCTGAGCCGCCACCTGAGCAGCGTCGAGGACCTGGTCAAGGACCTGAGGAACTGCGCGCCGTTTGGGGGGGTCGTGTGTTGACGCGGCCGAGTGCTCCTTGGGCCATGTATATAGAACCCGTTTTCCTTTCTCCTCGCCCTCTTTTTCCCTTTCCCGTCTTCTTTTCTCTCTTCCATCTTCTTGTAAAGGAATGTCGGCACGGCTTGGCGCTGGAGTTGGTCTCGCGAATCTCGACAAGGAGGAATCAAAAAGTTTGGCGCCAAATAATTCCCCCACGACGCTTCCTTGCGCACACGACTTGATTCCCGGCATGGCGAATGATGGAAAGCGCTTTGCTACGGAACGGGACATGAATAGACTAGGACGTTATCAATAAAAGGCACGAATCTCCTTTTCACGTGCGCGAGTGCTCAGACTCGTCGTCGATGGGTGAGTTGAGAAGGGGCAGCGATGGCGGCGGGGGGTAGGGGTAGGCCTCGGACCCGTGGAGCTCAAAGGGGCCCGGGGTCGGGTCGCGCGGCGGCGGCGGCGGCGTTGCGGGCTGGCTTGGCGGCTGGTCTCCGTGGCGGCTTCTGCCCCTGGGCCTCGGTGCCGTGGACGAGTCCATCTCCACGGGGGCGACGATGTCCCTGGGTCTGTCGGGCCGAGAGGGAACGGCGCGCGCGAGGGCCGGCAGCGACATGCGCAGCTCGTCCAGCGTGGCCGTGTCCGTGTACGGGCCCGCCACGGGGCTGGGCCCGCAGTAGTCCTCCGTCAAGCCACGGCCGGCCCGGGGCCGCGGCGTCAAGGTCGTCTCGGACATGCCCCGCATCTCGGTGGGGCCGCCGTCCGGGACCCGGCTCGAGCTCCGACCCGCGGCGGCCTGCTGGCGACGGCGGCGGCGGCGGCGGCGACGGCGCCTCCGCTGGGAGACGCACAGCCAGGCAACGGCCCCGAGGATGAAGCCCATGGCCAGCGCCGCGGTGGCGCCCATGGCCGCCTTGGCGCCGCCCGAGAGCCCGGGGCCGGACGCGGCCGCGTCGCCGGCCCGGGCGCTGGTGTTGTTGGCCGAGCTGCTGCTCGCCGCGCAGTAGGCCGTGCCGGACACCTTGGTGCAGCGCTGCCAGTCGTTGCAGCAACCCGTCCCATCGGCGCAGCGATACTGCGACGCCGAGCACCCGTCGCCGGCGCCGGGCGTGATGCTCCGCGTCGGGGTCGCCGACGCCGACACCGCCGTCTCCGTCTCGAGGCAGCCCCCGCCGGCCCGGCACTGGGCCACGTACGGACAGCACTTGCCGCCGAGGCTCTGCGGACACAGGAAGTGGCTCGTCTGCGGACACAGGCGGCGGCAGCACCCGTCGTGGCTCGGCTCGACGGCGCCGGCGACGGTGGCGCGGCCGTGGCAGAAGAAGCTGTCGCTCTTGCAGAAGGAGTCGTCGGGGCAGTTGGAGCCAATGGGGCAGCATTTGACGGCGCCCACCTTGTTTACGTAGCAGTAGCTTTCGTTGTCGCAGCATTGGTCGTCGCGGCCGACGTCGCGGCCTGCGCCACCGCCGGGGTTAGAACAGGGGGAAACGTGGTTCGGAAGCGCTACGACTTACAGTTGTGATGGCCTTTGTCGCAGAGCCCGTCTCTCTTGGCCAGGGGAGTCGGCCGGTCGACGACATAGCGAGGCATGAGGCCCGGCAGCGCAACCGCGAGAGAGCCGCATTGCTCACCAGCCGCGGACGCACCAGCAACAAGGACGAAAGGCGCAATATTCATGTCGAAGCCCGACCCGTCGTCGGCAGCTGAACTCGACGCTCGACCAAATCGTGTCTGCGCTCCTGGCGTTGCCGCAACGCTCGACGGAAGGGGAGGCTCGACTCCATATGCGTTTGCGTGAGCGCGGACGAGAAGAGGCCCCCCAACCCGGGTCGGAGGCAAGGCTTGTGAGAGCAAGACTGCTGGCATCAAGGCAACGAGGCTGCAGGGTAACGTCGAGGCTGCGTGTCGTTGGCCACCGGTGCATGTTGCAGCGCTTTGGCACGGCGCATCCCTTGGGGCGGCGGCGGTTCCGCGGTTGAGAGAGCACAAGCATGGCTGGTCGTGGACAAAGGAAATACGAGGGCTTCGACGCTGTCCAATGGGCCTTGGATGCCGAGTTGTGTGGCGAAAGCGGCGGGGGGACGAATGAGGTTCAGCTCCAATGCAGGTTGGCTTTTAATACTACCAGGTACATACAGTGCTCTGTTTCGCTTGGAGCACACATTATCGTCTACCCATGCATACATATATACGCGTACCCGTTGGCTGTGCCCTCGGCGGCGTCGTCTTCGGCGCTTGACATGAGACGCGGAGGCTTCAACGTCGGCCACAAGTCCACGAGCTTCTTCCCGTGAATGGCCCCGACAGGCCTTGAAGTCTGTGGTTACAATCCACCAGTACCAGGAATCTTGGCTGCTTGCTGCCTGGCTCTCGTGCAATTTTCGGGCAAGGGAGTTGGTGCGGCGGCACGACTCGCCCCGCCCGTCCTTCACCGCTGACACCGCATGTCTTACAAGTCTTGTCGGCCGTCCGTGGAGTTCACCGCGGAGCACGCTCGGCCCTACTTGGGTATTCATGGGCACAGACTAGCATTGTTCATACCCCGCTCGGGCGAAGGCTCTCACAATGGCAGCCCCGGGGCCCGAAGCACCACCAGTTCCTTCGGCTCCTTTACTCGGACATGTACTTTAGCGGGCCGGCCCTGTCATCCATGGAGTTGTCCGCGGGGGCGGAGGCTCCGGTCGCTCCGTTCCGGCGAGAGTGGAAAACCGCGTGCGGGAAAAGAGGTATTATTATTGCCTCACCCACATCCAGTCGTGAGGAGCGCCGTTAGCAAGGATAAAAGCAAAAGAAATAGAGCTCGCAGTACGATACGAATGTCGGGCTGGAGTACTTCAAGTAAGCAGACTCGATTACAATCATGGCATGCAACACGGAAGAGTTCCAGCTCGGGGACACCCACCCCGAACGTCAACGGCTATGTAGCCATCGTCACAGGTGGTATGAATGCCTTCCCTCGTCCAACGTCCTGGCTCTGGAAGCTAACAGACATGACTGCTAGGAAACTCCGGTATAGGCTACAAAACCGCTCTGCAACTGGCCAAACGTGGTGCACGCGTCTACATCGCAAGTCGTTCGCGCGACCGTGTCGATCAAGCCATCGCGGCCATGAAGACGGGCGCGGACACGTTGGACGTGCAATTTCTCAGCCTAGACCTGCAGGATCTTTAAAGCATCAAGTCTACCGTTGCAGAGTTTAGGGACAAAGAAGCCCGACTGGACATACTCTCAACAACGCTGGTGTCAGTTTTGTCACCGGTCTTCGGAAACTGGGCCTGGAGCGTTCGCTGAGAAGAGGACTTACTTTGAAGATCATGGTTTGTCCTTATGAGCTCACCAAGGATGGCTTTGAATTGCAGTGGCAAACTTGCTTTCTTGCCCATCATACTCTCACGATGAGCTTGCTACCCCTGCTTCGATCAGCGGCCGACAGTAGTGGCGATAAGAGTCGCGCCAGGGTCGTCAACCCGGGCCAAAGAGCATAAACTCGAACGACCCTAATCTGACTGGTTTGACAGGTAGAACAGCGCCATGGTGAGTCGGGCCCCGCCAGCGAAGGCTGGAGCCTCCGTTGTTGCCATGGTCGAGAAACAAAACATCAGACATGCATTTGGACATGCCGATCTGATACTTTCGCCGTTAGGAAGAGATACGGCCACTGCAAACAAGCCAGCATCATTGCTGCAAAAGCACTCACGGACCGTTATTCGTCTAGTGGGATCACGGCTTACTCCGTCCATCCGGGCATTATCCAGTCAAATCTGCAAAGCCATGACACCAGCGTCATTGGCGCCCTCAGTCGGATGGCGATGAGGATTGCACCCACCTCTTCGGCAGTCGACGGCGCTCGCACTTCTTTATACTGTGCCACGAGTCCCAAGGCAATCGAGCACGCTGGCTTGTACCTGATCCCCTAAGGAAAGGTTGACACGAGGGCGGGCAGGTGGCTGGATGATGCAAAGGCCGTCGACCAGCTTTGAAAATTGGCCAAAGAAGCAGCTCAAGGACCATGGCTTCGCCATGCAAGACTTGGACAAGGACTAGTGCTTTATTCGGCCGAAGAAATCTACGTTTTCCATACTTTGCTTAGTTTTCTCGCTGGTTTGATGTAGTGATTGAAATCCTCTTCCTGGAGTCGGGGGAAACGCGTTCGAATATCTCATTTTCGCCGTGGATCTGAATGTGGCAGCGGCCACCAACCCATTGTCAAATACGTCCGTCGACCACATGCTGAGCTCAATCTCAAAAGCCAAAAAACACTGGCTATCTTGACGGCTTCGCGGACAGTGGAAACTGAGACTCCGCTGAGTGAGATGCCGCCCAGCCTCCCAGTATCGATGCACTCATTTTGGGGAATGCCGAAAGCTGCCTCTGGAGTCCAGAGGCACTATGGGGTCGCGGCATGAACATTCGAACATGTCTACTTGTTTGGTCCAAGCTGTTTCGATGTGCTGTCCATTGATCTTTGTACGCGCCCTGGGGAAGCATCCGGTCGGTAAGTGTTGGAAGCGACAACTCAGCCGGCGCGCACGCACACAAGGGCGGGATTGATTCCTATTATTCATTTAGTCAGGTGATGGACTACCGGGAATCGACGCAAAGGGGAGTCTGTTCCCTTCTCGAATACTTTCCTGTTTTGCATATGCAGAGGCACAGCCGCCGCCGAGCCCGTTAAAAATATACAGGCCGTCATAACCTCGCCGAAGCAGACGATACGGGCCAGACAACCGGCTAAAAAGGTTCGAGAAGCCCAAGAAACACATATACACACTTCGACGACGGCGACATCGGCAAGGAATTAAGAGCAAGCCTTTTAATGTTCGGGAAGGAGAACTTAACTATAATCACCGTACACCGCTACAGATGCCTTGGTCGCCGCAGCCTTCGCGAGACTCGAGGTACTCCCCTTTTTCAGTCTCTAGACGTTCCCTTAAAAGGATTGTACTGTCGGAGCTAGAAACGGCTTTTTAGAGTTGGTTTCGGCATGGGCTCGCTAGAGTTACATGATTTATCTATCACGCTATTGACGGAGTCCCGGCTTGCCGGATTGCCTAGCGAGGATGATAGAGTTAAGGAATCACGGGCTAGTGACGTACCCGATCGCGGGATAGCATGTCTCGCACGGGATAAAAGATAAAAATTAGAAGGTAAGAGTCAGCATGTCCATTGTCGTCTATCCAAAATAATAGTGAAGAATCTGTCCTTCTTATAGGTTATATAGCAGCCTTAAGATAGCGATGTCGCTACCTAGGCTGCTTAGGTGACGTTATCTAGAAAGTTCGACGATATCGCTTAATAGCGACATTATCGCGCATTTTATCTAATATACGTATTATAAATACGATAGCATGACCGGGTCTAGAAGAAGGCTTACGGTCTAACGAGCTTATCGTTGGGATAATAGCCCTATTAACCCTTTTTAAGAACTTCGTACTATTTAACTTCTCTTGCTTATTCTTAATAGCAAAGTAGTAAAGGGCGGAGGGGATATAGGTTGCTTTTATATAACTTTGCTATTCTACTTAGACGTAGTAACTATATCGAGATAACTAGATATACCTATCCTCTCTTCCTATACTACTTAGGAGTTTAAAAAAGGCCTTTATAGTAGATTAGAACTTATTGGAGGATAAGATAAAGTTAAAGATAAAGATAGCATTAATAATTAAAGTTAAGGTACCTAGGCCTCCCTAGTATACTATATAACTAGGTTACGTTATAAAGAACGGAACCTTGGTCTCTCCACAAAAAGCGGTCGCGTAGGTTGTTTGGTCGCCTAATCGTGAAGCACTAGTTGACTCTAATGTATAGGATAAGGGAATTCACGACGATACTTTGGCCTATTCTATACCGAAATCTGCTCGAAATGCCAAGGACAGAACAGAGTCACCCAGCCAAGCAGTGGTAATCATAGCAAAGCATCGACGTATAAGCCTAAACTCTCTTTATAGGATGCGTATAAATATAGCTAGGACGAAAAGAACAAAATCCGAAAGTCGGGCTCTTCGCTCGAGAATAAAACAATTAAATCGGGCGAAATCGGACACACCATAGCGATTTTAATCTACGCTAATCCAATACGCCGCCGATTGATTTGCGCAGCTCGTGTTCCTAGTGACGAGAGCTTACCAGATCTAAATCGCATCGTATGTTTTATGCACACCAACGTACCGGTAGATCAAGACTAAGAATAATAGGTCAGAGACCACTTGCAGATAAAAGCTATATCCCGTTGACCAGGCCGGCAACCGATCGCTGGAAACCGCAGAGCCACCACTGGGCCACGATGACTTTACTTAGACCCACGGCACAAGGCCAACGGCGATAGCGCTAGCGAGGGCTCGCAGAGCCTATAGAGCCCATTGGCTAAAGCATTTCAAGAACTACAGCAGGCGGCTTCTGGCTGCCATCTCTCGACGGAAACGGGGATGTGTCGACTGCGCGCTGGTGCCCTCGATGCCCCGGGCTACCCAAAAGCGTGGCGGTGGCGTGACCGACCTCAGTGGTGATGCCGACCAGCTAGAGTCCAAGGCGAAGCGGCCTGCCCCTGCGGCAAGTCAACCACCCCGACTGAAGCTCCAGCTCGTTAGGTGACTCTGGCGTCTACCATGCTCCGCCACTGAGATCACGCTCTGCGCCTGTGGTGTGGCCAGCCAACGCTGGTTCCCGGCCGTTGCCCTTGACGCAGCCGTCGCCGTCGTCGCAAGCCGGCACCCAGGAGACAGAGTACCTCGATCTGACACAGGACGATGACAACCCGCCAACAGAGCTCTACGGCTACTATAGTCTGTCCAACTCCCTGGGGTCAACAAGCAGTGAGGGCCAGAGCCAAGCTAACCTGAACTAGACAGCAAAATTATTGGTGTGCGGTATTACTCAGGCTATGCATCACCCGGAGAGGTGGTTCTTTGCCACAGAGAGCCTCGGAATCAGGCACGTATACATCTAGTGGGTGAGCCTAGGCGCTGGATCAGTAGCTGACCTTGAATAGTACGACCGCAATGCGAACTGGGTCGACAATGTGATGCATCAGCAAATCGGGTACCTGCCTCGAGCGGTCGTCGAAAAGATTGCTCCGTATGTGGTACGCATCCCACGCATCATTGCCATGTCTCGGTGACCTGATTGACGGCATCGTAGGACTCCGGCGACATCACCTTAGAGGCGCAGCTCACGGGGGGGAAGGGCATGGTCGACTGTTCTATACCTACGTCCCTTCTTTTACGGCCCCAGTCAACCGACTGAGCGTGGTCGGATAGAAAAGGCGCTTAAGGCCGACAAGCTCGTCAAGGCTACCCGACTAGAGCAGACGAAGAAGGAAGCTGAGGTTTTGAGAGTTACCCAGGACCTCAGTGGCAGTGGGTCGATCCATGGAGAGCCACAAGGTTGAGAACGAAGACGGCCATGGGAGGCACCCTTGAGTGCCCTGCAACGATGGCGAAGGGCACGACAACAAGCAGCACCTTGGCCGGGCCAAAGTGGCTCTTGGCCAACATGATATCAGCGGAGGGAATGCTTATTAATGTTAAGCAGTCAACTCTCTCAAATTATCGGCTGACGTTGAGTGGATTGCGTTGACCACCACCCTGTATATTCTCTGCCAGCCACTTGGGGAACCCAGCCCAAGCATATGCATTTGCCCACTGGACGACGGCATTATAATCTCGACAGCGATGCTGCGCATAACTTGACTCGGCTTCGCATAGATTGTTCTTATCAATAGCCGACAGCGTTACGTCGATATTGCACATGAGTGCGTGGCGGATATAGTCGAGGCAATGGGAGATGTGATGTTTGTGTTTGTTGTTTGTAGGACTGAACATCGTCTCTCGTATCACATACTACTTTCCCTGTTGGCCCACAGGTACCCATGGGACCCCAATTTACGAGTCTACTCGCGAGTACCCGTAGAGGACGGCTCGTTCACTTTTGCATCCCCTGGGAGACTAACCGCTTAATTTTGAACATCTCAGGCTATCCAATGGCTGCAGTCCTCTTGGGATATATCAAGAGCGGACGGCCGTATGGCTTCCAAGCTATCGCGCCCGCTCATCAGGAAGCGAAAGTAGTTGCATTTATGGCGGCGTGGGAGCGCATCGTTCCCCCACGACGTGTCTCGGACTTGGGCGCTTATGCGAAGGCGCGAGCCGATTGGTAGGTAGACAATATTATATGTCCCTACGCGCTTATACTCGCAGAGACAGTATCGTGCCATTAGACGATGCTCAGAAGTCAAGGTGGCATTCTCTGTTCATGTTGCGCAGTGGCAGCTGGCAGCCTAAGGCTCTCTATTTATACTTGATGACCAGCTTCGTCCTTGTCCTTGGCTTCCGGCTTCGACGCAGCCAAGTAAGCATAATCCTTGTCCTGGGCGCAGACAAACAAGTATCCCAACACCTCGTCATCCTTGTACTCGTAGAACCTCACGTGCACCGTGCTGCCATCGGGAATCGCATCCATGCTGGTCGATCCTTTGGGGTCCTTGAACGCGATGAATCTCGTGTTCGAACGCGTCACGTTGCTGTACACGAAGCGGAAGTATTGCTCCCAGATGTAGCTGACGTACAGCCCGCTCTCCCTGTTGCGCAGGCGATACTTGGTATTATACTTGACCTCGTTCACAGGCGTGCCTGTCGTGTCCTCAACCACGTAGAGTCTTAGGTCTTCTTTGCTTTTCGCCGTCTTGGGGCCGAGAAGCGCGCAGCCCAAGGAGTGGATCTTTGGATTAATGGAGAACGAGTTCTTGCCGGCGGCGTTTCGAGCATTGGCCGTGGCGGCTGCGGTATTTTACTATTAGCATCTCTGTTGTATGATGAACCCAGGAGCGCAGTTTGACTGACAGAGGTTACAAGCGGTATAGGGAAAAGTCAAAAGGTATCTTCCACCAGTGACGCCCGCGGCATTCAGTGTGAATGTCTTGGCGGAGATTGCGGCAACCGTGGCTTTCATTGTGGCGGCCTCGTCGATGGGGTTTATTGTGACTCCCCATTTTGCAGCCTCCGCAGTGAGCCAGTCCATGCCATTGATCTGCGACATCACGTTGAGAAGGCCGAAGACGTTGTCTTGCTGTCGTCCATATCAGATACCGCAATACGACGGGTAGAAAAGAAAAAGGGGATCCCAGTCACCTTGGTAATTCTCCAATTCCAGTGATACGAAACCGTTGGAGCCCAGTCGGTTGGCCTTCCCTCTTCGTTAGCATGCTTGCCATCGTAGCATAGGAGGAGTATATCTAGCTTACTTGTTGCACAGAAGCGTATCTCCGCCATTGGCCTGCCAAGTTAGGCTTACCGACGAACTCTTACTAGACTCTTGCTTCGATGCGTTCCCGCCTGCGGCAAGCGATGCAGACATAGACGCACTGGCACCCCAGCCGCTAAAAGAAGCAGAGGCTGCGAGCTTCATGGACCTTGCCACTTCTTTGCTGCTAGTGGCCGTATCCTCGGTGACGTCTTCCGTGGCAAAGAGACGACCGCCCAGCTGAACCCTGCTGCTGAAGAACTCACCTACGCGAGGGTTAGCACTCAAAAGCGATAAGAAACCATTTTGCTTTGTACTGTAGCTTACCATATATGTCCTGGAACTTGTACAGGTCCTCCTTTGTCTTGACTTTGCGCAGGGCATCCTCGCACTCCGGGGTGAGCTCGAGGCTACGGCTATCCAAAAAGAGAGTGACCCGGGGAAACTCTATTGTGTCAGTAGCCTTTTAAAAGTGACTCGGATGAAGAAAGATGATGATTACATTGTATGCGATTGTCACCTTCTTGCTCTTCTTGCCGGTCGAGCTGGACGCAGCCTGGGAGCTGGCAGCAGCGAAACTCATAGACGCCTCGCCCGAGAATCCCATGTAGGATCCGCCTCTGCAAGGAGATGAAAATTAGCGACGGCCAATTTCGAGGAAAAGGGATAAATAAACAAACCCTGCCGCGGCTACATCTACTTCGGAAAACGAAGACGCCGCCATAGAAGATTGCATCTCAGTCTCAGTCTCGTATATAGAGACATAGGACTTGTCATCGATGATGAAGTCGGGAATTCGGAGATCAAGCTAAAGATGCGACAGGGTTAGGGAAGGTGCTCATCATGACTTTGGCTACTTGCTTACCTTGACACCTTCAATGGCGCTGCTAGGAATAGAGTCCGACATGATGGTTCTCTTCTTCAGGCTAAAGGCTGTCAAGCGGTATTATGTTAGCTGGACTCGGCCAATATGTGTACAGGGGAAAAAAGCCTTAAACTTACCAGGAAAACGAGCTCGTTCGATCCCGACCGGTACTCCCCTATTATCCTGGGAGCTCGGCTCTGTCGTTGTCTCCGTAGCCGCACTGCTCTCAGCCGCCTGCTTACTCTTGGCACGAATGACCCGGATACCGTAGCAGAGAGCATTGCTTTCGCTGATGACAGCCCAGTCCTTTTGTTCTAACTCAGGCACGTATCTAGACCCAGTGTTAGATTGCGGTTGGCGAAAAGCGAAAGGGGAGCACCCTTACTTTGCTGCGGTTCCGGTCAAGTATTTGAATGCGACGTCATCGACCTGGTTCTTGATACGCGCGAGCTTGTCGGCGTCAACGACGGCACCCACGTTGGCTCCTGTAAGCTATTTGACCACGAAGTCAGCAGGCGTTTCACAAACGGGTATATGGGACGGGGAATGGTACGGAATCAAGTTCCGTCGCGAGCGACTCATCCTTCATATACACGTAAAGAGATTTAGCTTCGGTGGTGTTGATCTAGAAATGCTAATTAGAAAAGCCGTTCAACACGCCGCCACTTAGCTGCACTTACACCAAGACATTCTGTCAAATATTCTTGCACGGAAAAGCTATCCGGCACAATGGCCCCTTTCTTTCCACAGAAGGGAAAGTGAGAACTGATTCACATGTTAGCTGCTAGTAAAAGAAAGATTGAGTGGAGAAAGGCAGGTGGTCTTTACATTTCAATGCTTCCTGTTAAGCCAGCAATGTTTGATCGAAGGTCAGATAGCTTTTCATCGTCTAGGCTGGACTTGAGAAGCTTCAAGTAGAAGGCCTCTCTTTCCTTGACTCCATCTGTAAAGTGGACTATGGTGGTGACAGATTCTAACAGGGAATTATATATGTCAGTGCTTTGATCTTGCTTATTCTGTGGAAGGATCGTGGCGAACCCTCTACTGCCTTTGCAGCGTTTGCGGTGCTGTCGGCGGTTTCCGTTCCCATGATGCGGTTGCTAGACGTCGTTGATGATTGGTTTTTCACTCAACATGAAGTATGGTTATGATTTGGCAAGTACACCGCGCCCAGAGCAAGGACACAACGCTTATATACCTGGCTTTGCCCCAACCGTGCTTACTGGAATCACATACGTGATATAAAACATTGGCACCGCCCGTTGCGTCGCCTTGCGTTGCATATGCATCTGGGTCGGCCGCGGCAGTTGACAACGCATGCATCCTCGCAGATCGTCGACCGAGTTGCATTACCATCATCACATTTCGGCAATGCTCTTATTCGCTGGCGAGTTGATTAGCGCACCGTCTAACTCAAGCTAGATATGTACGGAGTATGTCTCCGAGAGACCCCGCAGTAGCTAGTACACTGAAATAGTTAGATTTTCAACTTCTGTAACTACAATCTTTTACCACCACGTACCGTGCTTAGAATTGCGTATTTCTACTCGTTCTCGTCTCCTAAAGGTCCCCTATTTACGACATTTTTTCTACTACTTCTTTAAGCCGCTGCTTATATATGCTATAGGTATGTGTCGAATATCAAACCCGCCTAGAAGGTTTATTCATGAGGTGGCGATATTACTACGCAGCGCCGCTGTGGCCTGCTAGGCAACAGCTACTGCGTAATTATGCGATAAACCTTTCATTTTTGTATAAAAGAGCTGCATAATCCCGTGCGTTCATTCACTCGCTTCTTGTTCTTTAGATGATTCTCGTCAATTGCCCGATGCCATCTCTGACCCGTGTGGAGCCAAATGTCTGATAGTATGGCTTTAACTTTACGACCTTAACTATCTTTCTAGCTTTAGCAATCTAGTTATTGTCTATTTTCCGTACTATTTCTTAGCTAGAAGCAACTATTAAAATTCCTCTTAATTATAATTGCGACGCTTTTTAGCCTTGCGATATTATTAAATGCGTTCGGTGTAACGCAGCTAGCAGCTTGCAGGGCCCAACCTCTACATGTATGCGGCGGTGCGGCCGCCTTATAAAGCAGGCGTGAATGGCAATGACACAGGCAGTATGTCACTGGCGAATCTTTTGTCCTAGCATACAATGTGATCTATTGCTTGCAGCCGCACCCCTTTAACCGCATGACAATTGTGACACACTACGTGGTGACCTTTTATTCGAGACCGACGCTACGTTTAGGCTGCCAGCATGTCAAGGACATTGCCATGTGCTTCATAGAGCAAACCCTTTTCAGCTCTATCGAACCCAGAAGCTTCAGCCACTGTCTCAGCTGCCCGGTGAGTCGTAGACTTGCATTACGCTCTCACACATGATTTACGGTTTGCACTTCTATTGGTCCGTCTACTCGCGGCAAACGGCATGGACGGCACAAAAGGTAAGAAGTGAAAGGACCCCGCATACCTTCGTTCCCCAGGGAAAAGGCACCGCAGGGGGAGTTCGGTCTAGGCTATGATAGCGAAAAGGTCACGGCCTCCTCATCAGGCTTCCGTCGGCTTAACTGCTGTGCGCCTCAGTTCCAAGAAACTTACCCAGTTTGTACAAAGGTGAGGAATCCGACGCTGCTCCTTGTGACTGTTTCTTGTTCTTGCTGGTTAAGATGAGTGCAACAAGACGCTCTGTCCTCCGAGACGTCCTGATGCGGATGTATATTCTTGTCGGATCCCGATAGATATGTAGCTGGCTGCCGGAACACAATCCGGCTAGCTACGTGTGTAAACTCGACCAGGTTAAGCACTTAGTAAGTGTCAGAACGGTGGTCCTGCGGCTCGGACCTAATGAGGAAATAGGTAGGTATGCACGGTGGATCAAGGCTTAATGCGGCAGCTTGTGTGCAGCTGCAAAAGATGTTGTATTGTTTTGTGTTCGAGGTCTGGGTTATTGAGGCCTCCTTAGAGGCCTCGTTCCTCTCTAAGTAAAGGGGGTGTCGAATATCGAGCCTGCCTAGGACGATTACTTATGAAGTCGCGATATTAGGCGACTGATAGGGCGCCCCGCGCGAGTGTAAAGACAAGCTGAGGGTTCACTACCCCGCTTAACTGACCGGACGCCTATAAAACTATCCGCAGCTAACTAAGTAGATACCCTTACTTAGCCGGCCTATATCACCTCGCTTCCGGATGGCCGACTCGGAGGACTCCATCATCATGGTGCCACCCTACCTATTAATCAGCCGATATAATCTTGAGCTTCTCTTCCAAAAGCGCGATGCATCTTGCACCGCCATCATATGACGACATCCTATCGTGAGTCCAAGTACAACGTGTCGAGGTCGTCTTGTGTCGAAGCGGCAATGGCGATTTTAACCCATCAAGCCAACATTCTCAAGGAGGTGCAAGTTGGTGGCCTTTTATATCGGGACAGGTGGTTTGTTTCTTCGCTTGAACAGCATGACTTTTTATTGGCCTCGATGATTGTCTGTCTGAAGCTTAGCCCCCGAGCCCGTGGGCAGGCATGTGCTACGACGGGGCCCGAGGATGACCACGGCTTTCTTCGGTTTAGCCAAAAAGATCTCGTGGCATCACTTCAAAGCTCTCGCCTTTTCTGGAACGAGTTCAAAGCAAATTCTACGGAAGTTCGGCAGGCGTTCAATGTCCTCTCGGTCATGGTGGAGAATGTGTCGAGGAGTATCGGAACGCAGGAAGATGGGCAATTTGCGTACGTTGGAAACCCAGAGAACTCTGACACGGCTCCTCGGGGTGATGTAGGTGAGTCTATAGTACTGATATGTGTAACCTTTGGCTCATTCCACAACCAGCAATGGGTGCTGTCCCCGAGTCTATCGGCCTAAACAGCTTGAACTCACAATTAGACCCGACGCAAACACTGTCTCCGGGCATCAATCCAACTCTTGAAGGAATCAGTGCTTTTTTTAACAGCCCTGGGATCGTTAATTGGGTTCGTCTACGTTTTCTTTATATTTTTCTCTTGATACATGACAGGAAGCTCACCATTGCATGACTGCCTGGGATTAGGAACTGTGGGAGACTTACATGAAAGATGCTCGCTTCACGGAGGACTCCTAGAGCACCTGAAAAGCAATCGTTGTTCGGCTCTCCAAGGACGAGACCTCTCTCGGTGAGGGGAGACTTGATTCCTCGACAAAATCATATTTGTTTGTGAGGGCCAAACGGGTCACGGTGTTCAGGGTTCTCTGCCTTGAGGGGCTAAGCGGAATTTCAACTTCAAATCACCTTCAACAAAGTACCAGTGCGGGATCTGAAAGAGCGTGGTGCGACAGCGGTGGGCTCACGAGAAGGGCGTATTGTGGATCAACCATGACATACGAGGACAACAGTTGGTGAAGAAATTGCTACCGTTTACTGCTGGACGTTGCTTGCGTGTCATGAAGATAAGGCCCCAATGCCGGCGAAATTACCACTAGCCGGAGCCGATGGCCCGTTCGCCGACTTGTCTATCCGTAGGAATGTTCCTGATCCCGGCGTGAAGGTGGGGACTGCTGGCAGGTCGGGGGGTTGTACGTGGAAACGGAGCCTCAATGGGCCGTCGTGGACGATCCCGAATTCTCCATGTCTGCGAAATTTGAGAAGCCGGGAAGGAGACTTTTAGCCGTGCCTCCTAAGAAGATGGTCTTCGGAATTTGTCAAAGGTATGTGAGTCGATCACACTCATGGTTCCGTGACTGGGCCCATCAGCTCGCATTCACAGACTTAACCCATGGCGATAACGAGCCAGGGGTAGCCCGCCAAGCCGTCTTCAACTTCCATCTAGGACATTCTCAAACTCTGGCAACGCCCATTTCACCATCCATTCCGACTCCAGAACTTGCTTAGCTGTGGCCCGTTGCTCGGGTTTGAACTTCAGCATTGAGCGCAGCATTCCCACTATAGCCCCCGTTTCATCCTGGCAAAACTCGCCCATGTTATCTCGTTGCCGGTACCTTTGCACATCTGTCTCGAAGCTACGGGTCAGAGGGGCGTAAATATGCCGGCCACCCTTCGGCTGTCCCATGTCATTGAAATACTCGTGACGCTTTTCCCACCGATTCCACCAGTCAGCTGGCAATGGGCCAACTTTATCCACCTGCTGCGAGGTGATATCGTGGGCCGTGGCAAGCGTGGCGTCGAAGAGGGCCCTCGGTGTCAGGATAGACCATATGGCGCAGGCCAGGGTCCATATGTCGGAGGGAAACGAGAGGGCTTCGTCGGGCTCAAAATACGCCTCGGGGGGCATGACGGGGCGAGGTGCGTGGCACTCGTGTCCAGTGCGCTTCTCCCGGGAAGGGTAGAAGGATTCACCGAAGTCGCTGAGGAGGAGACGGGCTTCTGCAAGGCCCATCACATTCGCTTTCTTGCCCAGCCAGACAGGTACGACTCCATGGGTAGGGACTCCGGATGGAAGAGGCCCTCCATCCAGGCGTATAACCGGCTCTATGTGAGGCTTACCGAAGGTTTCATATAGCTGATCAATAGAGAGCAGATTAAAGTTGGATGGCAGTCGAATGAGAGCATTTCCAAGATGGATATCTAGGCTTAGAGTGTCAGCATTGAATAAAAGAAAGGACAGGGGTCCGATGGGATTTTGGACCAGATGGACTGACCACCATGACCACAGCCTCGGCCATGGGTGTATGCAACCGCCAAGACCAACTGGGCGGCCAACGCACGCGCTGTATCGCGCTTGAAGAGACAACAGAAGCTCGCTGCAGACACGCTACTTCGCGCGGGAACCGTAACTAGGCATCGATGCCTTCCGTTGGGGCCTTGAATCTCGAATTCGTCGTGGATGATGGGGATCATGGCGCGCCACCGTGGATCAGCGCTAGATGCCGTGGAGTCTGCTATAGCCCGTAGAATTTCGGCCTCGCGATTCTGTGCGTCGGCTGTCCCAACCTTGACGGCAACGTAGGCGGCTTTTCGCTGATCACGCGCCAGCCAGATGGTGGCAAACGTCCCGTGGCCTAACTTGTGAATAGACGCGGTACCGATCATGGAGGACGTCGCCGACAAGGATTGGATGATATCCGCCAGGTCGATAGCGTTCAAGCCACTCAGTGCCCTCGATCCTTTCATACTTAAAACCAGGGACGTCCTCGTCCGACGACGACATATTGGACTGCGAGCGGTAGAAGGTGGTGGGCAGACAGGGAAAACGGATAGACAGCCAAGCTTTGGGGAAATGGGTCGAAAGGCCTGGGCCTCGTTTCCTCCCACTGGTAATCAAGGAATAATGAATTCGCCTCATGATGACATTTCATAATCTGAGGCATTGGTGTAGAGAAGGAAAGGGTTGTGTCGGGGCAGAGCAAGGCGTATAATACGCGATAACAATGCCCCTAATGGGGGTGCCCCTATCTTGCCTGGTGTAGCGGTATTTTTATTACCAGCCGACAGTTACAAGCCTGCTTACAGGTCCTGAGGGCCCTGCTAAATAGCAAAGTAGCGAGGGTTGAAAACCGTTCCGGATTTCACTAATTACTGACGGCATGATAAGCACCGAGAGGTATAGTATCTACATGGCAGCCTCGTTAAAAGAATATGCCGGGCGGATCACGGGGCTGGTTACACACATCATGTTGAAGTTGCGATTTGATTGTGGCCTCGGCAATCCGAGAGAGGGGGAAAATCCTAACGCTTGCACTCCGTCGGGAACACATGAGCAGACACACTCGATACGCCTGGCGACAGCCAACCAGGCAGGTATAAGTCATAACCCCTTGGAAGCCCCCCTTGGCGCTCCCGAGGCAATTGGAAATAAGAGGAAAAGAAACTGAGAGGGAGAGAAAACACGCAAAAATGGTCCGACAAACGTCTCCTCAGCCGCGAGCAACGCCGCGCTCGGCGCAATACTTGTCCACCTCCTTGCGCAGCGTCTCCCGCTGGCGCATGGCCGCCTCCATGACGTCGTCGCACGTCCTGCCGAGCCCGCGGGCGTCGTCGCGGCGCGCGACGTCGTTGATGTCGGCCATGTCGGCCAGCACCGCCTCGAGCTGGTTGGGCAGCCAGGTGACGATGGGGCTGCCGCCCGTGGCCGTCGGGTGCGCCGTGCGCTTGAGGATGTACTCGCGCGCGAAGCACCAGTGCCGCCAGCGGAAGTCGCGCACCTGGTTGAGGATCTGCAGCCACAGGCCGCGCGACTGGCGCAGCAGCTCGCGCTTCTCCTCGTCGCCCGACCCTTCTTGGCCGTCCTGCTTGAGCCCCAGCGTAAACGCCCGGAGCTCCACCTCCATCGACCGGTCGCGCACGTGCTGCAGGAAGGCCTTGTGGTTGCTGGGCCGGTACTGGCGGAAGTCCTTGAGGATCTCCGTCAGCGGCGTGCTCGGCATCGGCACCTGCAGCAGGTTGTCCATGAGCGGCACCATGGAGTCGTTGGCGCCGCTCTCGCCCCGGAACGACAGCGGCTGGTCGTCGTTGAGCCCCTCGTAGACGACGCCGTCCGGGAACATGGACTGCGACGTGATGCCGAAGATGAAGGTGCGGAAGCTCGTGTACTCGGTCGGCCGCGACTTCCCCCACATGGTCTCCATGACGCCGTTGATGCTCGTCATGGCGTCGAGGATGCGCCTCAGGCCCTGGTTGAGCGCCGTCCGCTCCTCGACGCTGCCCAACCCCGAGCTCGCCCGCGACGCCACCTCCAGGCACTGCATGGTGCCGGCCACCAGCGGGCCCGAGTTCTTGACCATGTCGATGTGCACCAGCACGAAGCCCGCCTCGGACGACTCCGGGTCCAGGCCGTGCTCAAAGGCCCGGATCAGCCGCAGGTTGGAGTACTCAAGCCCGGCCGCCGGGTCCACCAGCCGGTAGTTGAAGAGGGCGTACGACCCGGCGTACTCCATGAAGGGCTTGAAGCCGCAGCTGCCAAAAGTCTGTCAGCCACTTTGCAAGGCAGGGGGCAAGGGAAAAAAGGGGGGCAAAAGGCTGGGAAGCATCGGGACCAGCTTACATCTCGGCACAGCGCGCAATGGGCTGCGAAATGTTCCGGGGCAACCTCTGCCTGCCCAAGCCATATCCCTCGCCCCTGACGAAGCGCTCATGGCACGGCTCAAGAAGATACGCAGACGCGAGGAAGGAGTAGTCGCGGTACAGCGCATTCATGACGGGCAGGTCGTCCTCGTACCTGTCCATGGCGGCCGTCAGGTCCGGGAACGAGCCGTCGACCTCGTCGCCGAGCTTGCCGAGGGCGAGCAGGCCCGGCTCGCCCGAGGCCGTCTTGACCGGCATGCGCTGCAGGATGGACTCGAGGGCGTCAAACTCGGCCGGCAGCGAGACGACGGGGTCCATCCGGGGCAGGAAGCCGCGCGTCGTCGACACCATAAAGGCCGGCAGCGACTTGTCGTCTGGCCGGGTGTCATCGAGGACTTGGAAGGGGGGGGTTGTGGCGAGGGAACCCATCTTGGACGGCGGGGCGTGGTGTGCGCAAAGACTGTGAATGTATGTGTCTTGTGTGTGTGTGTGTATGTGTGCGTGTATGAGTGTGTGTGTGTGTGTGTGTGTGTGTGTGTGTGTGTGTGTGTGTGTGTGGAGATATGTGTGTCTGTGTCTGTGATGCCTTCCTTTCTCTTCCTTTCTCGATTCAGATGATGTGGCAAAAGGGGCAAAAGGGGGGGAAAGGGGTCAGAGCATCCAAGGTGAGGGCGTCTGTCTGTGTGTCTGTCTGCCTGTCTACAAGCGGACAACGATGATACTGAGAGGAAAGAGTTTCCAACCCGCCGTCCGGCGCCGTCGACGCCGCCTAAGTACTCCGTGGCCGGAAAGGATTCCGGCCAAGCAAGCGGGGATTAGGGTGTCACGATGGGCAGCCCGGCCCTCATCTACCAGGGCCGCGACCGGCCCCTCCCAGGAGAACACGTCACAGAATTATGTTTCAGCATTTTTTTTTCGCTGTTGTGCCGCCGTGGTCGGTGCGCGGGAAGGGGGGGGGGTGGCGGGGGATGCGGTGAACGGCCGGATGGCGAGCGGATGAAGAGGAGGGCGAGCAGGAGGAGAGGGTGTCCGGCGCACACTCCGCACGCTATTTTGTATCACTCATCTCTCTTACGGCGGCCGGCTCGCCACGACCAGCAGATATCGGCCCCGTGCCGGCCCTCGTCGTCTACCTGGCGACCCGGCGCGCTCGGAGGCGTCACACACGGAGGAGGCAGGATGGTGATGTCCGGAAGCGTGTCTCCCCCCCCCTCCTCCCTTCCTTGGCCCCAACACGGCTTGGCAGCAAGGGAAACTGCCGTGGTGACTCGTTGATGCGGGATGTGGCCAAGGAGGGGGGGCTTGTTGGTGCCGGCGGCGCACTTGCGATAAGGAGGCATCCCCACATGGCGCCGAGCCAGCCCGGCCACGTGTGGAGCATTGGCCGGAATGGATTCCGGCCAAACACGGGGGACGATATCGGAGCCCCGGCCGTCGCCTCCCCCCGAATCGCCCCCTTCTCCTCGGCCGCATTCCAGCCCCCGCGTCGCCGCCGTCGCCCAGCCAGCCTGCAGAAACAGGGACGCCGGGGCTTGGAAATATGGGCCGCGCCGTCATCGGATCACGTTATGCGGCAACCACTTGTTGAGTTGTCCATGGCCGAGACACACATGCTCTTTAATGCTTTACGCAATAGATTGGTTATGACGTTGGGGCGCCAAAAAAACAGGTAGTCTTCTTGCCCCCCCTCCCATCCCCGTTACAGCAAATTCTGTTTCCTTTCCCGGGTATCCGATGATGGTGATGGTGGATGATATGATTCCCTTGCTTCCTTGCCCTCTCCTTCTCGGCATGCCGACATTTCTCGTAGTCTCGTTTCGTAAAAAAGAAGAAAACCTCATACCCGTGCAAAGATGAAAAGATACAGTTCGAACCGTAAAGGGGCAATTAAAGACTCAAGACCTTGGGAAGAAAAATAAAAAGTAAGGGCATTCAAGCATGTCCGTTTCGCCATTGCGTCCCATTCACTTCCTGGTCTCGTTGGGCCTCTTGGATGCCTTTGTAGCAATCGTCTTGAAGCCACTCGGGGGCGGCGAGCTTGTCCTGGCGCTGCCGGCACTCGGGGGCAGCGTCAGCCTCTTCCTCGTCGCCATGGCCGGCGGCGCTGCCTTTACGCGGGTCAACGACGTCGGCGTCTCGGCGGCCATAGTGTGGCCGCTGAACAGCACTCTCTCGGCCTTGAGCGGCACGTAGAGCTTGATGGTCGAGTTGGAGAACCTTTGCAAGCCCCCCGCGAGCTGCTGCGGGAGGACATTGGGCGAGGCATGGCTGAAGTTGGGGGCCCGGGTTGCGACTCTCTCAGTGTCCCGGTCCATGTCCCGGTCCGCTTCGTCGGCGGTTGGGCTTGTTGCTGGCTTCGTCTTGGCGGGTGTTCGGGAAGCCTTGGTGGTTGACGACTTGGTACGCCAGTCCATCCAGATTGTCTTGGTGCGTGTCTTTGTGATCTTCACGGTTGTGCGGCTCGAGCCTGTCCTTGTGATGGTGGTCGTGGTCAATTCCTCGCGGAGGCTCATCGTCATGGGACCCGCGTTCCTCGTGCCGTCCTTGGGCGAAGCGGAGCCCGTCGCCACAGGCTTCCGAGTTACGACAGCCTGCTGTGGTGCCTTGGCAGGGCGCGCCGTCAAAAATCTCGGAGTCGTTTCTCCCGGCGCCGACTTCATGAGGCCCACGGGCGCCGAATCGTCTTCCTCGGTAGCTGATGGAGGCGCGGGCCCGGACTCTTCATCTGTTTTGTTAGATGATGTATCGTGCGATACCTTACCCTTTCCACCCTGAGAGGATGAGCCTCCGGCAGATGCAGATGCCTCGTCGTCTGCTGAGCCTTTCGGAGAGATGTCGCTGTTGCGACCACTGTCTGTGGACTCGGAATCGTACTTGGAGGCAGCCAATGAGGACACGCTGGAAGAGGTAGAGGTCTTGGAACCACTGGCTTCGTCAAACACAGCACCCGTCAACGCACCGTCATCCGACGAAGCGCGCGCAGCCGGCGACGACGACGGCCCGGATGTCTGGCGAGCGCTCTTTTGCTCCGGCTTCCGTGCAGCAGAGCCGGCTTTCATGGAGCAGTTAGCCTTCCCGCGCGAGGGGTCATCGGAACCTACCTGGTCCGCCGAGCCATGGCAGTTATTCTCGTCGCTCGACTGGGAGCTCTGTTTGGCGTCGTCGTTGGCGCCAGCTCCGGCTCCGTCCCGCAGTAGGGCGGTCACTTGCTTCTCTAGGCCCTTAATGTCGCCGAGAATCTCTTGTAGCTTCGAAGTTGACACGGAAACGTCGGCGTCGCGGATTTCAATGATGCTTCGGGCCCGCCTTACCGACTGGTGCAGGCGCGCAATGTCGTCGGCCAGCGCGTTTCTGGCTTGGCCGGCGAGGATCGCAGGGGATGACAATGAGGAGGAAGAGGCCACCGCGGCGATGCCAACGGATAGGTTGAGAGAGACGGGAATGAGATGCTTGAAGCGAACCATGGTAGATGTCACGGTTCCAGAGGCTTGGGATCACAATCAGTCGTCAAGAGTAGTGGAGAGTTGAGAGTGTGCTTGTCTGTATTCGCCTTCTATCTTGCAGTTTCCGGGCGGCCGAGTCTCTTTTCTTGATGGTGTTGACATATTATTGAGAGCTCTCCCGTCTCCAGGGTAAAGAAAGACGCCCGTTGTCATGGGGAGCAACGAATCTCGTTTCATTCCGTAGACGGCGAGGCTGCTCTTCGGGGATGCGAGGTTCGGATCAACGGTCCTGGATGCCAGCCGCAAGCCAATCAATCGACCGCGCAACAAATTTTGCCCGCGCCGGCGAGACATGGCGACGCCACCCTCTTCTAATCAAGCCCTAGCGCTCTGAACTCGGTTTCTTAGCTACTCCGTAGAGAGAGTCCAGATCGTTTGCAATGCTCCAAACCCGTCTGTTGCGATCCGACGCCTACGTCACCCATTTGGCTGGGCGTCTTGCCACACGACGTTAGGCACGCTGCTCCCTACCCATCATAGCCCGTTGCTCGTCAACCACTCATTTCGTGTCCAGGGACAAGCAGAGTCGCCCCGCTGTGTGGCGCTTTCTCTCCCGCTCCCTCGCGGATTCCTCGGACTTGTGCATAAGAGGTTCCTGAAGACCAGGGTACATGTCGTGGCTCCGAACATCGACTATCCGAGAGCGGCCTGCAGAAAGACGGATTGGTTGCACTTGGGTCCATCGCGGGCTGAAGCTCGGTTGCCATCGTGGATGCACTGTAGGTGGCATGACAAGAATGCGGCTAGAACAGACCCGAGCCTCGTTATATTCGCATGACTAGCCACGCCTTGCTCGAGGCATGGGCATGGATGCACTCCGTTCCAGCCAACCCACCGTGCCGACAGAGAGGTCATGACGAGACGCCCAATGGCTTACTAGCAAACGCAGGCATGACTGCAGCCAGCTGGGGCGGTCATTACGCGGTTTGATGGGGCGATTCATGGCGCTCCAGCAAACACAACTCGAGCGCCTCTCACAAAGCCACTCCGTAAAGCATGAGCGCAGCTCAAATTGCGAGTCTGGCACGAGATTGAGGGCTTCCAGTCTCCGCAAAGCGTCCCGGGATGGCCCAAGTGCTTGACCAGACTCCGCCCAAGTAGATACACACAGCAATTTCACGAAACCGGCGGCGACAAAACCGTACGAGGCGTGGAGGAAAGGGGGCCGGGCGAGCATAGAGGATGCGGGTTGGGGGGGTCCCACGCGACCTGAGTAGGACCATGATCTCAGCTTGGAGACTGAGTGGACTGGCGGCGTTTCATAGCCTGTGTCCGCACCGGTTGCATCTTTTTGGATCCAGCCAGCCAACGACCTCGCCCTTTGTTGGCGCCAGGCGTGCGTGGTGCCGTGGTGCCTTGAGCCGGGACGAGACGTTCGTGAGTGCACGTTTTGGCCATGGTCATGTTGCTCCCACCAAACAAGCCTACGATGTGGTGGTGTCCGCAGGCACAGCTGGGCGGGGCCATGGCGGGCCAAGGTGTCGATCCCATTGTCGCCGTTTGTCGTTTCTGTTGTCGAGGAGGCGTCGGGGTAGTGCAAGCAACTTCGACGCAAAGATTGGGCCTAGTTGGAGGCCAAAGTGTCCGAGGCGCAACGCATGTCCGCCATCGCCGAGGGGTGGTGCATCCATCGTCTACTTGGTTCGCACCGCAGGATATCCGGAGGGGAATGCCGTCGTCAAGGGATGAGGGCAGGCGAGACCAACGAAGATACAGAGTAGAGCTTTCATCATTTCGCTGACGGTCTCTTTGTGGCGGAGAGAGCTTGGTTCCGCAAGGTACCTCATATGGTGTCTGTGCTGAGGAGACTCCTGTGAGCAAGTACCGGCTCCATCAGCTCGAGTGCAGGCGAGTACTCACGAATGCGCTGCAGCTATCGAGTACAGAGATCATCGACTAGATCCGGACCATGTGCTAGTACTCGGGTAAAGCAAGGAGCTTGGAAGTGACGGGACAGTACACAAGTACGGAGCAGGGCACAAGGTGAGTGTGCGTATATCCGTCCCTCTTGCCCTCGCGATGTCGCTCTGTCCGTTGCGGCGACACCCCCTCTGATTGGCTGCAGTGCCCGGAAACCAGGATAATGCGGGTGCCCCTTTCGGTGGACGGCCAGCCGCTAGCCCTGTTTAGGCGCTCTTTGCCTTCCCAAACCCACACCCCCCTTTCCGCCCGCCTGTTGGCTCCCCGGGGCAAGCGCGACCGTCTGCTCGCATTGCTGGTGGTGGTGCTGCCTGCCATCTCGTCGGCCAAAGAAGCTTTCGCCCACATCATTTCGCCTTGTGCGCCGCCTCTGGCCAGCAAAAAAAAAATTGTCAGGATGAGACCAAGGCCCCAAACCTACATTACGAGACAACGCAGCGCCCCCCAGACCATGAAAATCCCGCCTCCCTCCCTTCCAGGCTCCGCTCCCCCCCAACTCTCCCCGTCCGCCTTCGTTTTGCATCGCCGCCGTGGCCATGATCAGCAGCAACAACATCGTCGCCGTCGCCGCCGCCGCCCGCTCCCTGTAGAAGAAACAAGACACGGGCCCCTGACCCTGACCTGACCTGAACGGCACGCACGGCTGGATTCACCACCATTGCCCACCACTGCCACCATCGCCACCATCACCACCTTCCACCATCATCCCACGTCAACGCGGCCATCAACACCGCGACCATCGCCGACTCCACGTGAAGCATACGCATCTTGCTCGCAGCCCAGGCAGTCTAATCGTGCTCGCCAGCCCTTCTACGGTACAGCCGTCGCCCTTTTTGCAGCCGTCCCCTTGCCGCGACGCCTCGCTACCTTCGTCTCCCTTTGAACCTCGCCCGAGTCGTCAAAAACTGTACTCTTCATTGCGTCTCTACGAGGGCCTCGTCGCTGCGACACCAGCCTCGAACCCCCTTCCTCCGTCAAGCCACCCACGCACCCATCCCTCATCCGGCCACGATGGCGCCATCTGGCAAGACGGCAGAAGGCCGACGCAAGTCTGGCGGCAAGCCCAGCCTGCTCGTCACCCTAGCCGTGTCGTCCTCTCGGCTTCGCGAAATCCTTGTGCCCGACTCCATCAAAGAGGACACTCCCTCGGCCAAAGAAGTACCAACACCCAAGGATGTCAAGGACTCGCCGGCCAACTCGGCGGCCCCGGTCAACTCCAACGGCGAAAATGCATCTGACTCCAACGCCGCCACGCCCGCTGCAGAGGGCACTCCGGCGCCATCGGCCATGGGACCGCCCACTGAGGGACCCAAGAAGAAGGGCACCAAGCGATCAGCCGCTGGTGCAAATGGCGCCACGGACGGATCGTCCAAGCCAAGGGGGAAGCCGGGCCCAAAGAAGAAACCCCGATTGTACGTGCCTACCTCTGTGTCACTCCGTGTCCTTGCACGACTTTCCTCCGACGAGTCGTCCAGGTACGCAGACGTCTACCCTGAATACACTAACACACACAATAGGGAAGACGGAACAATAGACCCCGCGGCGAACCGGACGGGTGGCGGCCATAAACTCGGCCCAAAGGCGAACCAGGGAGCCATCAACGCCGGCCTTCGCGCCCTCGACAGGTCGGGCAAGCCCTGCCGCAAGTGGGCTGTAGGAGGCTTCACGCTCAAGAGCTTCACCGGCGTGGTATGGGAGGTTTCTCGATGGAGGGCGCCACCCAAGGCGGTGCCCGAGCCGGCCGATGACGAATCCGGCGCTCCCTCGGCAGACAACAGCAGCAGCAAGGAGAACAAGGAAAACGGACCAGAGGCCAACAGTGGCAGCAACAGCAACAGCGGCGCGGATGTTGAGTTGAGGAGCGTCCACAGTGTCACTGCATCGTCACCAGCACCCATGGCCGTCACTGCCGCTTCCTAGAGGTTTCTTGAGTCCGTCTCTTGCGGCCCATGAGGGTCGTGCTTTTCATTGAACACGTGAGAGGCGGGAATAGTCAGGGTCACCCTCCTTCGCCATGTTCGCGTCAGTGCGACCTGTCATGAGGTTGCCTGCCCGGACAATCTGCTTGAACACTCATCCTGTACTTTTTTCTTTCGCTTTTTGTTTTCTTGGCATCTCAAACTTGGAGCAGCAGGCGTTTAGTGGATAAGAGAGACTGCACGCCCTCTAGGGCTGGCAGGAAACGGGGAGTACAGAGTCAGTGACAGCGTGCTTTCGTGTACAGTAATGGATTTTGGACTGGACATGCCTTTTGCTATCATGAGACCCGAGCCCAGTGCCCCTGCATTTTACACGATGTTCCTGTCGCAAGGTGTGCAAGGGAGCAACGTCTGGGGGCTGGAGTCTGGCCTGAACTCGTCGGTTGCGGCACTACTTGTAGTGGACAGGACCCGGCGCACGGAATGCCCAGCACATGATGGGGATCTGGCGCCACCTCGGCTGACGAGGGTCTGAGGCCTGCGCTCTGGGGCGGCTAGTAGCCACGTATTTGGTAGCTGAATTTGGATGGATCATGGCATCATCGGATTCGCGGGTCATCAAGGCCTCCACCACCGGCGGAGCTGGCCGGGGACGAGGCAAGTCGTGCGCCTCACAGCATTAAAGGTGACAGGGCGACATTGCCTTGCATCCAGCACTTTTTTTGGGGTCTGAAGGCTCGGTATTCAAAGGCAAGGGCCCACGGCGGGATTCTGGGCGACGTGAGAGACGTCTGCCGAGAGGTTGCGAATGTGAGCGACGCTGAGTCATCGGCGCTGCATGCCCATGCGCATGTGTGTTGTAGTTGTACGGAGGCATGTATTTCGTACCGATGTTGCAGCGCAGGAGGCGAAGGGGGGTGTTTTGGGAGCAGCGGATTGGTGGGAGAGAGCATGTACAGTACATGCTCAAGTGTGCCGGGAGTACCGAGTACACGAGAGCAAAGGGACGGGCAGACCGTGGTTCCATTGCTCGTGCCTGGCGCATGGATTTACGGAATCTTCTGTCTGTCGAGTGGCCGGCTGCATGGCCAGGTGGCTTGATGACTCTTCTGGCCCGCTACTCTCCCCCTTTTGGGAATTGGAAGAAGGACAAGACCACGTGACTAACTGATGAGTGGCCGGCGCCGAGCACGGCAGCAGGATGTACCGGCTAACATGCTCGCCAAACCTAGGTCGACCTGCGCTGCTGCGGCCAAAAGGACATATGTGGCAGAGAGAAGGCCTTTTTGGTCCGCATCGCATCCATCGGCTGATGATGGTGTCGAAGAGGAACCAACGAGCACACCATGTGCCGTCCTGGCACACACTCGGCCCCGCAAGGTGCCGTGGGTGCCAGGACATGCTGTATTATGTGTTGGGCGATTGGATTAGCAGGTACCCGACAGCAAGCATGCAGGGTCAGCGGGGAAAGGCTCAAGCCACTGCTTGCTCGCCAGCGCCGCTGAAACCGGCCCCAGTGTCCGCTGACAGGGCGTCGTGCCTCTAGTAGGTACCCATGGGAGCGGAGACTGCCGGCCTGCCTCCCTGGGCCGCCGCCGCCAGACAGCTGCTGCGCCTGGCCGAATTGACGTGACGGTATCCGCAGCTAGGCGCCCGAGCCGTGTGCTCGCTCTGCCACCACCACCGCCCGACTGCTCATCACCCCCCCTTCGGTCCCTGGCATCTCCGCGCCCTCTGCCCACCAAAGTCCGTCTCTTTGTGCTGGCCACGCATGCTGCAGACCTCTCGCTCGTCCTTATCGATCGCTATCTTTGGGGGGGGAGGCGCAAGAAATCCCATTCCCCGGAATCGTTGGGGCGACTTTGCATTACGCCACGAACACCATCGAGCCTCTTGATTCTCCCCATCTCATCGCCGACGCCCGCTCGCTTCGACCTGCCGACCGTCTCCTTGCCACCACCTCTCCAGGCCGGCTGACTATCCGTCCGTGCTCCTTCTGGCCAGCAAACTGCAACTGCGAGCTTGTCCCGGGACGAGTGGCAGGTCGGCTGAAGCTTTCTCCCCGAGAGCTCCAGTTGCTGCACCAGCCCTCGTTATTCCAGGCACGCTCCCCCTCCCCCCTCCCCCTGCTTCTCCGGCATGTACAATTCCTTCGGGCAGGGCTCACCTGGCCTCTCAGGCTCAGACTCGTCTGACGGATCCTCTGGCCATTCATCAAACCGACTCGCATCTCCCTATACCCCAGCTGCGCCACGCCCGGCAGATAGCTCTCACTTCTACTCACATCCCGCCCGCACCTCGGTTCTGAGCGCCGACGGCCAGCTGCTCGTCGATCCCGTCCCCGGTCTCGCCGGAATACCGCGTGGCGACGGCACCAACATGGACGCCTCGGGAAACGACGACATGCTCCACGTTTGGAGTGCGAGCGGGAGCCTGCCGTCGTTTTCGCGCGCGTTTGACATGTTCACGCAGCCTCTCGAGGCTGACGACTTACCCTCGAGCGCCGACGGCCAGTTCTTTGTGCCCTCTTATCTACGGGGGTCTACCTATATGCAGATGCTTGAGGAGGCACACAAGGCGAAGCTGCAGGCACAAAAGGATTCGAAGCGGTCGGCGGCCAACGGAGCCGCCAACAGCACCTCCGCCTTTCCTCAGGCACCACTGCCACCCGGCGCCCACCGAGGGTTGACCCACAGCGTCATCGAACGGCCGCCTGCCTCGGACGACGATGCTGCAGTGGCTTCCCTCCCGACGAGATGGAACAAGGACGACGTCTGGACCGGCATCGATCTCCAGCCTGACGACTTGAGCGTCAAGTACACGGGGCCAAAGAACCACCACGAGCGCGATCACGAGGCGTCGGCGGCCCGGGCGGACCATTACATGCCTCCCCCGTGCGGCTTATACTACTTTGAGGTGCAGATATTGCACGGGAAGCGAGACGAGTGCGTGTCATCATTCACGGCGCCAGCCCCCGGGAGAATGAGAGCTGACGAGATGAGGCAGCACTACCATTGCGATCGGGTTCTCGACAAAAGTCGCCTCCCTGTCGAGGCCAGTGGGTTGGGAGCCCGAATCTTGGGGGTACCACGGCGACGATGGCCGGTGCTTCTCTGGCCAGAACATTGGGCGGCCGTACGGGCCAACGTTCAACGCTGGCGACGTCGTCGGCTGTGGTGTCAACTTTCGAGACCACACAGCATTCTTCACAAGGAACGGCGTCAAGCTGGGTAAGCTGCACTCGGCCGAACAAAGGCACATGCGTGGACTTGCGCTGACGGCTCTGCCAGGTGTCGCGTTCCACGACGTCGCCAGAAGCAAGCTGTACCCCTCGGTTAGCCTGAAAAAGCCTGGCGAGCATGTCCTCGTCAATTTCGGGCAGTTACCGTTTGTGTACAACATTGACGACATGATGCGAGTATGTGCTCTGCCTTTCCCCTGTACCCTTCTCCTGGACCATGCCACTTATGCGCCCTTTAGGAGCAACGGGAAAAGATCCAGAGAGACATCGAGGCCGCCGACACGTCGCGACTGGAAGCCGGCATGAGCGAGACAGACCTCATTCAGACCCTCGTACTCGAGTTTCTGCAGCACGACGGCTACGTGGAAACAGCACGAGCCTTTGCCGAGGATATGAAGACGCAAAAGCAAGCGCTGAACCTAGACCCTAGTGCCGAGGTGGAGGGCATCAACATTAAGGATGAGGAAGATGCCAACAACAGGCAGCGTGCGTATTGCTGGGATCTCCACTCCTTGCCGGGGTTGACTGACATGGATGCAGGCATTCGGAGATCCATATTGGAAGGGGACATTGACCGCGCCCTCAAGTACACAAACGCCTACTATCCGCAGGTGCTTCAAGACCATGAGGACGTCTTCTTCAAGCTCCGGTGCCGCAAGTTTATCGAAATGGTGCGCAAAGCCGCGCAGATGAGAGCGGCCAATGACCCTAGGAGGAGCAACGGCCACGGCCCAGCCTCGCATGAGATGGACGTCGACCTTAACGGGGCCGAAAACGTGGCGTGGGGTGAGAGCATGGATATGGACGGGTCAGAGCAGCAGACGGAGCTCATGAGGCTGGAGCAGAGCATGCTGGAGTACGGGCAAGTCCTGGAAGCCCAGTACGCCAACGATTCACGCAAGGAGGTCAGCAACGCGCTGGGAGAGATCTGGGCGCTGGTGGCCTACTCGAACCCGCTTAAGGAGCCACAGGTCAGCCATCTTCTGGACAGGAAAGGACGGGCAGTGGTTGCCGAGGAGCTAAACTCGGCCATCCTATGTGAGTGGATGGCAGCCCCCCCTCCTGGAGAGGACCGCGCTGACTCGGCTACCACAGCCTCGCTGGGCAAATCTTCGCGGGCCTGCCTAGAAAAGGTGTACGCGCAGACGAGCGTGCTGCTGGAAGACCTCCGGCGGGACGGCGGGCCAGGGGCCTTTGTTTCTCTGCAGGACCTGATGAAGGACATTGCCGCGTCGCCACAGATTTAAGGCGTCGCGGCGGGCATGAGCTGCCTTGTGGAAGAGGCTTCTCGTACAGCATATGATTTTGCAATTTGTGGTGTTTCGGCGCTGGGCCGGTGCTACCTCTTCTCTCTGCCATTTTGATTTCTGTCGTGTCTGCGTCGGCCGTGGAAGGAAGGGGGGGCGTTGTAGGCTCGGTAAGCCTTGTTTTCGCTTTCTTTTACACATGATCCCAGCCACGGGATGATCATTTTCGTCGGGAAAGCGGACGGATGGATCTGGAGGGCGTGAGAGAAACGACGGCCATGATGCAGGGGAACCCCGGGTGTCCATAGATGATGGGGTCTCCCAGGGGGCGACGGTGGCCGCTCGCGGTTGTCAAGGGGCGGTCGGCTGGCTGTAATGGGCCGGATGAGTGGGTGGGTGAGCGCGGATACTGGATCGAGGCAGCGAAATAGATGTGTCCCACCATTGAGTACTTGGTATGACTAGCATGATACTATAGCCAATAGATAGCGAGTGCCCGCTGTCATGGTCTTGAGCTGTCCGGTTGATACGAGTGGATATAGTGCAGGCCATGCTGGATGTCGTGGTGTTGAGTGTGCAGCCGCCATTGCGCCCGCGGATATATAAAAGCCATTTCTAGTTAGGCAGCCCTCCCCTTGCCTGCCTCACTCCCCCAACACCTGCTGTACAAGGCATTCCTATGTGCAACCAAGTTGTCGAACCCCATGAGACAGGCCCTCAAAGCACGCCCATGCTCCCCCCAGCCCAGCCCACCGCCGCCGTCGCTACTATCACGACTGCTACAGCCGCTTTTGGGTCGGCAGTGGCGATCGTCGAGGATGAGGTGCGTGTACGCAAACACGTCGGCGTCAAAGAGGCCCGGGGCGGCGGCGCCAAAGAACCACTCGTTGTCGGCGAGCAGGGCGGAGAGGGCGCGGAAGGCGGCGGCGGCGTTGGCGAGGAGGGAGAGCGGGTCGATGAGCGGGCGGCGGGTTGTGGCGAGGACTTGTGCGGCGGCGGCGGCGCGGAGGGTGCGGGTGAGGGGGACGCGGAGGAAGGGGGATGACGGGAGGTAGAGGGCAGATAGGAGTGGGGTGTTGGTCCAGTCGAGGTAGAGGGCGTGAAGCTGCGTTTGACGGCCAGTGTTAGCTCTTGTCTGCTTGGGAAAAGAGGATACGGACGAACCCAGACGGGGCGGATGCTGTGCGTCAGGAGAGCGAGGTAGGCCTCGCGGCGCGCAGGGAAGGGAGTCGTGCCACCATGTTCCGGCAGGGGATGCACGGCACGATCCCGGGCGTACTGAGCAATCTTGTGTCCCGTCAGGGGCACGTCCGGCCGGGGATCCGACGCCGCGGGGAGGAGAAAGGGCAGCGCGCCCGAGGGCGAGGCGTGGTTGTTTGAGGGCACCACGTCGACGTCGACGCCGGCGATGCGCAGATATGTCTGGCCGCAGCATGCATTGTCAGCCCACGCACGTACCATCCTCCTCGGGAATGGACGAAGGAAGCAAACCTGCCACTTGAGACACGACGGGTTATGGCTCGGCGGCGCCTCCTCATCGTCGCCGGCGACAAAGACAAAGAGGCGCGCGCGCGGCCGTGCCGCCCCCGGGGCGCGCGCCGGCAGGGCCTCTGCCGGGTGCGTCCGTAGCGGGAAGCGCTTGAAGAGGTCGCGCACCGGCGCTGGCACCGCGAACCACGCACTGGCGGCGTGGGGGGAGTCGTCGGCGGCCATGGCAACGATGAGCCTCCCGAGCCCCCAGAAGCTTTTCCCGAAAGCTCTTCTTGCGCGAGGCCGAAAACGAGGACGCCGAGGGGATGGGGAGGGAGAGTTGAGGCTTCCCGCACGGTGCCTCTTGCTTTTGATTCAGTCGGCGGTGTGCTGTCGAGTGCAGTCGAGTCGAGCTCGAGTGTGAGAGGCCAGTCAGATGGTCGAGGCGCATCTCGAGTTGAAGCTCCGTTTTTTTTTGGCCTTATTTCCGCGTACAGTGCTGTACAGTGTGTCGTGCACCACTTCCCCTGGACGGATCGGCACTTGACAGTGTCTGACGTCAGCCCACATGAACGCTCAGGTAAGCCAGCTGAACCCCTCCACCTCCCCCTCATCGGCGAGAACTTTTGCATCCACGACAGACATCGAGACGACGCCGCAACCTCGGCCGGTGCCTCGGCCAGAAATGATGGAGCAGCAGTCGCAGGCCGAGGCCGAGCAGATGCAGGCGCGGCATCGCAAGGAGCTCAAGGAGCTGCAGGGCCGCATCACCAGCAAGAAAAAGAACGCCACCAAGAAGTCGCGCAAGGGCGTCAACGACGAGTGCGCGCAGATGGAGCAGCAGCTGAGGGACAAGCAGGCGGCCGAGATTGCAGCATTGACTGGCGCCGAAAACGATGAGAGGCAGCAGGACGACGGCGACGCGACGCAAGCCACGACGGACCTCGCCGAGCTGGAGCTGCAGGTGAATGACAAGCTCAGCGAGGCGACGTCCAAGCTACACCTCTCCGAGCCCATGGCCAAACAAAAGCCGCGCAATCGGCAGCGAGAACGGCTGGCGCGCCGGGCCGCCGAACAGGAGGAGGCGGCGCGCCGCGCAGAGGACGAGGCGACGTCGATGACGGACCACCGCGCGCGCGAGAGCGAGTACATGCGCAACGCGTTTGAGGCGCACGGCCTCGTCGAGAGGGACATTGACCCGGACGGGCACTGCCTCTTTTCCGCCATCGCCGACCAGCTGGGCCAGAGCGCCGTGCCGATCGCCGACGCCCGTTCCGACGACGGCGACAGGAAGGAGCCGGCGTACAAGACGGTGCGGCGCGCGGCGGCCGACTACATGCTGCAGCACGCAGATGACTTTGCGCCCTTTCTCGACGAGGACTTGGAGTCGTATGCGGCCAAGATGCGCGACACGGCCGAGTGGGGCGGGCAGCTGGAACTCATGGCGCTGGCGAGGCGGTACTGCGCCGAGATTCGCGTCATCCAGGACGGGCGCACCGAGAGGATTGGCGAGGACGAGGGCAAGGCGTCGGGCAAGACGCTGTGGCTGGCGTACTACCGGCACGGCTACGGCCTAGGGGAGCACTACAATTCGCTGAGGCACAAGACGAAGCCGTGATGTCTCTTTGGCTCCTTGGTCCATCCATGTCCACCCCCCCTTTTTTTATATATTCGCCTCTCCATCGATGTCCTCCGACCCACGCAGACACGCGGGAGTCCAAGCCCCTCCTTTTGGCCACGAGCCGACAGTCATCATCTTGCCCAGACCGAAATGAAGTCGAGCACGGAGCCGTCCTCGGCCGTGCCGACGGCGTGCGTTCGCGTCGGCTTGATGATGCTCAGGCGGTGCAGGGCGTCGACGCGCGGGCGCGAGCAGGCGGTGCTTACGACAGCGCCGTCGGGGGCGTACGACGGTGCCTCGCCGGGCGCCGACAGCAGCGCCTCGTACGCCTCGGGGCTGACTGCCCACGGCCCGGATGGCTTGTTGTCGCTGCTGGTGCTGGACGGGTACTCGAGGCAGACGAGGCGGCCGCGCGGCTCGAGCAGCTGGGACACGCGCTTGGCCCAGCGCGGGCGGGCGTCGGGGGGGAGGGCGCTGAGGAACTGTGTCGTTGTTAGCCCCGTGTGTCCAGCTTGGTGCTGCGCGTGTTCGCCGGGGAGAACTGGTAGACGTGTACGTCATGTGTAGAAGGCAGGCAAGACAGCGCGACACCAGGAAAGGATTATCGCAGCACGACGTACCTCATAGTCAAAGACGAGGTCAAACCGACCCGAGCCGTCAGACCCCAAGGCCCGCGACCAATCCTCATCAAAAAAGTCCGCCGCCAACCACGTAACGCAACCGCCCCCCTCCCCCCCCTCCTCCTGCCACTGCTCCTCGCCAACAGCGCCCGCACCACCACTGCCGCCGCCGCCCCGCCGCGGCTGCCGGTGATCCAGCACCCACACGTCGTAGCCAAACGTGCCGGCAAGCAGGCGCGCGTCGTGCGCGCGGCCGGCGCCGGGGACGAGGGCGGTGGCGCGCCGGGGCGCCGCGGCCGGCGGAGGGGGCACGAGGTCTGCGCGGTGGGCGAGCAGGTCTGCCAGGGCGAGGGAGGGGCCCGACCGGTCTGCGGGGGGTGGTGAGGAGGTGGTGGTGGTGTTTGGCGTTGGGCTGGTCGTCGCCACGGCGGCGGACATGGTGGAGAGGTGGGTGGTGCGAGATGGGGGATGCGAGTAGTTGGACCTCCAGGCGGACTAGGCGATGCACGAGTGTACACGGTAGAGACGGCGGAAGAAAAGTCGCGCACGATGACGGATGATGCAAGGAGCCGGCTGTCGGCGCCTCTCGGTGAGGCGCCCGTGACCGAAGACCCCCGCCGGCCCCGTCCGGTCGGTCGAGCCTCGGCTCCCCCGCGCGCGTGCATGTACTCGGTACGCGGAATGTACCTCAGTCAATGCGCCCAGCAACTCTCAATCCTCGCTGCATATGCGCCAACTCTGCCCCGTTCCGTTTCGACATTTCAGCTCTCAAACCATCATCTTTGCATTTCTTCAAATCTACCGTCTCCCTACAGTGGGGGTATTGATCCTGTTTGTATATACGAATACCGCTCGGCGTAAAACGAGCAAAAAAGGACTCACAAAGCACTCAATGCTTGACCCCGTATATGCCTCAACACCGAAAACAGAAGAAAAGGAATCAAGTGCGGCAAGAGAAGATCAAAAATAGACAGAGGAAGGAAGAGCAAGGAATGGAGGGCGGTGAAAACAGAGAAAAATTTAGCAAAGCCCAAACGACATGCCCGATGCGCCATAAACACTAGTAGAAATTTCCCCCGCGCTCTTTCGTGGCACCATGCCCTTCGGTGCAGGTGCTCGTCGGAGACGGCGGCGTCACCACCCGTGTCCGGATTCACGTGTATGCCCGTATCGGGTGCAGGCGCTCATCGAGAGGCGGGCGGCTACGAGATGCCGCAGCTCTCAAAGTCGCGGACCATGACGGCCACCTGCGCGCGCTTGGCAGCCTCTGCGACGAGGGAAAAGTCCTTGAGCAGGGCGTCGGTCGAGGGCGTCTTGATCTGGACGGGTAGCGGGGGGGCGGCGACGACCACGTTTGCGGGCGACTGCTGCGTCGACGACACGGCCGACGAAGTGTTCCTCGAGTGCATAGGCGACGAGACAGGGGCGTCCATTGTGCGGGGCATGTGGGTGCCAGTGCGACTCGAGCGCGCGTGCGTATGTACGTATGAGAGTTGTCGTCCAAATGGTTGTATGTAGTGAGGCGGCTCGGAAGTCGGGTCGGCGGACGGGCCGGAGCGTCGACGAAAACGGACGGCCGTGTTACGGCAGGGGGCGGCCGAGGAAGAAGCAAACAAATAAGCCGACGACGGCAAAGGTCTCGGTGAGATGGAGATGCGACAACGGGAATATATGTCGGTAGAGGCCAGTGGTAGACTGAGAGCTGAGATGGAGAGTCGATGTCGGAGACGGGGGAGGAGGAGGGGGATTAGTGAAGAAAGAGGAGACAGTAATTGCTTGTGAAGAGGGCTAGTCAATGACGCCGCGGCATGTGCTTTTGGTCGTCGTCTCGAAGCGGCCACCAACGTCTAAGTTTGCCTCCGCAAAAGCCTTTCTTGGGGGCGCCGTGGGGTAAACGATTGCGGAAAGCCTGTGCGCTCTGCCGAGGAATGAAGTGATACGGACGCGGCCAACCGACTTGCAGGGCGCCGTTTGCCTCGTGCCGTGTAAGAGGGCGTCGAGAAGAGGAGAAACGGGATGGGATGCGTCGGGCAGAGGGGCGATGGATGGCGCAACAAGGGGTGGAAGAAGAGAGAAAACCCAGCCGAGGGGATTCCGACCGTGGGAAAAGGAGGGGGGGACTAAAGAGAGACGGCGGCGGAAGGCGCGACGGATGAAATGCGGGGAGACGAAAGGAGGGGGGAGGGGAATCGAAGGTTGGCAAGAGCGGCCGAGCAAAATGGAGCGAGGAGTCGGTGACGGGATTTGTTGACGCTTGGTCGTTGGTGGCGGTGATTTGTAGTTGTGGGGGATGAGAAGGGTCAAGATGGGAGAGAGAGGATCGGTGGGATGGCCCGAGAGACGAGTCGAGGCGCGTTTTTGAGGAGGCGAAGAAGAAGAAGCAAGAAGAGGCGGAGGAGGGACAGGAAGGAGGGCGGAGCTCGAGGTGAGACGATGCGTCCATCATCATTCGATTCGACTCGCGCGGCCCGTCCATCGTGTCTCGTCTTGTGGTGATGGCCGCTTACCGACTATTTTCCCTCGTTCTCTATCCCCCGGTCCCCTATCCGCTTCCTTTCCTCATCCTCTACTCTGTACGCCCCAGGCTGCATCCCTGTCTCTCCATCTCTATCCTCTGTCCCCATCATCCCGGGGCTCACGAATCAGTCCCCCGCATGCGGATGCAAGGCATACATACATGTGTTTTGGAAACGCCCGTCTCTCTTTTCGGACGACCCGAGCAAACCATCGGCCTGCGCTAGGCCCAGGAAACACGAGCCATTCAAGCGCTCGTGTCCTTGTACGAGAGACGAGAGACAAAAAGCATCACTCCACCAAAGGCAAATGGCCAGAAACTCGCGCCTGCCATCGAATCTCTTCGTCTTGCTCTTCGCCCTTGGCGTTCGAGACTTCAAGTTACATGTGCTTTGAAAGGGGGCTTGGGGTCTGGCCCTCTTAGTATCAGCATGAACCAGCGCCAAATAACGCCGTGCATGATGGGTCCACACAGGCGTCTGCTTTGTTGATGCTCTTCCGAGGACCATGGTTCTGTCTGCCTTTGCTCAGCTGGCACGGCGCGCCCATCATCGTCGTCCCATGAGACAGCCAAGGGGCATCATGTGCTTCGCTGTATAGCCCACGTACATATGTCCCCAACACTTCCACTGTCAAGTGTCTGCGCTGCCATCTTGGCCCCAGTTGGTCGTCTCCAGACTTGGCACGGAAAAAGAAGACGAGAATCTCCTTTTCCCCGACAAAGAGTCGCCTCCAGCGGAGCTGATCCGGGCCGACCGTACAGCGTGGGGCGCGCGTAGGAACGGGTGCTGCGAGCACATGCTTAATGAGTAGCAATCCCAGGCTGGTGTCTGGCAATAATGCCCTTTGTTCGTTGGGTTTCGCAATGGTCGCGAGCTCGAGTCATTATGCTGTCGTGTCTTGAGAAAATGAGGGCGACCTTACATAATGCACCGCTCGTCACCTACCTATTCGGTACCTTCCACGGAGTAGCCCCGGGGGGTTGTCGGCCCGTTGCTACAGTGCAGCCCTCACTGTACCTTTGCCGGCTGCCCCGCCACCCGTCACTCAATGCAGGGCGCCGCCCGCCGCGGAGCACAGTGCGCAGGACAACACGCAACCCCCCCAGGTCCCTGCTGGCAGAGGGGCGCCGTGCCTCGGAGCCGCCGCCGTGCAGTGGAAACGTCGTGGGGCGAAAAAGGAAGGGTCGAGGCCTCGACTTGGACCTTGGCTTGAGCCTATCGAGTATGGCACGACGACATCAAGTCCAAGTAGCGTCAAAGTGAAGAGGGCTCACGTGCCTGCCGAAGTCGTGCGCACTCTTTCGTGCTCGGCACATGCAGTGAAGTGACCGAAGAGCGTCGCAGTGCAGGCCAGCAACGGAGGCTTCCACAGCAGATGACTAAGAACACGGCAGACCTTTGTTCTTGTCTCCACCGAAAATGGACCATGTCGATTCACCACCATGCCACGCCCTTCTCGGTCCCTATCACAGACGCCCCCTCTCTGTCGGCCAAGCCAAGCCTTAGCTCCATGTACACGCACCGAGGGAACATGTTCTAATTACTAGACCGCCCTCGTGTCCGCTGGCGCTTCTACCTCGCTCGCTCTCTCTCCCGCTCTCTCGCTCTCTCTCTTCTCATATACCCTCCCCTCTTCCTCTCCCCAACTTCCTCCTCTCCCAAGCTTCGGCCAACTCTGCATCGGCGGCGGCCTGATCTCTCCCAGTCGGTCGGTCCCCGTTCCTCTCCGCCCGGCTCGCCCGATACGACGACGTACATCAAGCCGTCCCGCGCCCCGTGTCTTGCCCGTGCTTGTCAGGCCAGCCAGCGGCACGGGCTTATCTCTCAACGTCACGGGCCAAGAGGCACAACAACCCGCCACCCCTGCCGCCCGCCCTCCCCATCTGGCGCCGCCGATGCTGTGCTACAGCGGCTGGCCGGCCCCGACAGTATTCTTTTGGCATTGTGGGTGAGGGAGCTCGTGGCTTCCCATCGCTGAACCCCTTTCCTCACCATACCGAGGCCAACAAGCTATTTGCTCCGCTCGCCCCCGTTCAGCTCCAACGCTCGTGACCATGTCCTTGTCGTCGACGCCGAGACACAGCGAGCCAGTCACCATGTGCAACCAGTCGCCCTCGTCCGCCTCGCCGCGCCACGCCGCCGAAGCCGAAGCCACCCCAGTCGCGCCGAACTATAACCTCGGCAACCCCCTCGCCTCTCCCAACGCCATCCCTCCGCGTACTTCAAGCTCCGGCCTCCACGCCCGCGCCGCCCACCAGTCCAGCGTCATTTCCCACCAGTCCACGTCGCCCCCCTCGGTCCTCCGCCCCGTGTCCGAAGGCGACTGGCTCAGCCAAAAGAAGAAGCAGACGTCCAGCTGGCTCTCGCCCGCCCTTGACTCGCCCGCAATGGCCGTCGCCCAGCAGCAGGAAGCCTCACGGCCCGACGCGCCCCAAGCGGCCCCCGACGTCGACAAGTACGCCCACGAAGACCTGCACTTCGCCCCCGAGCGCTCATGGACCGAGGGCAAGGAAAAGGTGGTCCGCGCTCCCTTCGACTACGCCATCAGCCACCCGGGCAAGGACTTTCGCTCTCAGGTCATCGCCGCCTTTGATGCCTGGCTGCAGGTCCCGCCCTCGAGCCTCCAGGTCATCACAAAGGTCATTGCCATTCTCCACGAATCCTCCCTCCTCCTCGACGACGTCCAGGACTCGTCAGAGCTGCGCCGCGGCTTCCCCGTCGCCCACAACATCTTTGGCATTCCTCAGACCATCAACTCGGCAAACTACATGTCCTTTGTCGCGCTGCGGGAGCTCCAGGAGCTCAACAGCCCGCGCGCAATTTCCGTCTTTGCCGAGGAGCTCGTCAACCTCTACCGGGGGCAGGGCATGGATCTTTTCTGGCGCGATACGCTCACCTGCCCCACCGAGGACGACTATCTCGAAATGGTCAGCAACAAGACGGGGGGCATGTTCCGCCTCGGCATCAAGCTGATGCAGGCCGAGTCGGCCGCCAACATCGATTGCGTGCCTCTCGTCAACCTCGTCGGCCTCATCTTCCAGATTCGCGACGACTACATGAACCTCTCGTCGACCGAGTACACCGAAAACAAGGGCATGTGCGAGGACCTGACCGAGGGCAAATTCTCCTTCCCCATCATCCACAGCATCCGGTCCGACTCCAGCAACCTGCGGCTCGTCAACATCCTCAAGCAGAAGACGACCGACGTCCAGGTCAAGCGCTACGCCGTCTCGTACATGGAGAGCACGGGCAGCTTCGCCTACACGCGCAGCGTGCTGACCACGCTGATTGAGCGGGCCCGTAAGATGGCGCTCGAGCTCGACGCGGGCCAGAACAGGGCGCAGGGCGTCCTGAAGATCCTGGAAAAGATGGTAGTGGAGTAGGGAGTGGGGGGTTGTGGTGCATCTATTGAAGCGTCTTCGCGCGTGGCCCGCCTCGTGGAATGAGCAGACGCGGGGTGATGATATCCGGAGAAACGACATTTCAAGAGGCGGAGCATGAGGTTTCTGTTTTGGCTTGCAGGGGAAATGGGCCGCCCCTTGCCAAGTTCTGTGCATGTGACAGCCCACCATTTAATGCCATGACGAGATCTATGCCAACGTATTGACAATCACTTTGGAACGACCTAGGGTTGACGGCAGGTTGAATCAGTGATGTGAAAAAAAAAATTCAAAAGGGGGCGTGTGGTCAACTCCAAAACGCCGCCCTGTCTTGGCTAAAAGAAAAACGCCAGCCGAGAGCTCAAAGCACATCCGCCGACACACATACACCCACAAGTCACACACACCACACACCATACACACCCAACGTATACATACAGCGCATAAGACACCCAATGCCTAGATGCATCACGACGCAGCCGACGGGGCAGCCCTTCGCTTGACCAGCCGAACCCACCGCCTCCTCCGCCACTCGCCCCTCCGGCCGCCGCCGTCCTCGCCCTCCTCCCAGCTAGGCTGAGGCGGCGGCTTCTTGGAGGTGGAGGTGGAGGTGGAGGTTGTGGCCGAGGCGGCCGTGGACGGGTAGTCGACGACGCCGGTGCGGTCCTCGCGCTCGTCGTACATGTCGTAGACCCAGCGCTCGCCCTCGGTCTCGACCTCGACGCCCGTGATGATGCGCTCCTCGACCCACTCGCGGCTCCAGAGGTCGAGGGCCCACTTCTTCTCGCTCCATTCCCAGCCGTTGGGGGGCAGGACGTCTTCGAAGAAGCGGGTGCCGCGGGGCCGCTCGCCGTTGATGCGGGCGGGCGAGAGCGGGTCGTAGGGCGAGGGGGCGAAGAGCCAGGGTTCCCACTCGCCGCCGGCGGCCGACATGTGCTGCAGCTCAAATATTTCCACCTCGCGCGTCTCGGGGGCCGAGTCGAGGATGACGTCGTCTGCGATCCAGCGATCGAGCCAGGAGCGGGCCTTTTCCTCGCGCGGCTGGACGTGCTGCTGGTGCTGGGCGTGCAGCAGGGCCTTGATGGCCGGGTGGCCCATGAGGACGAGGGCCCAGCCGCCGCAGAAGAAGATGAAGCGCCAGGGGACGACGTGGGCGGCAATGGTCATGAGGACGCCGCCAGCAAAGAGGAAGAGGAAGACGGTCGAGGAGAGGGCCTCGTCGGCAAAGTTTGTGACGGGCACGACGAGGTCGACGATCTTGTCGTGGGCGTGGCTAAAGTCGGCCATGCTGTTCTGCAGATCGCGCATGTTGCGGAAGAAGTCCTTGCTGAGCTCCTTTGCCGGCCGGACAGTGGCGGCGGGGGCGAGGGGCGGGCCGCGGGGCGAGTAGGCGACGCTCTGCTCACTCGAGAGGGTGCCTTTTGGCGGGGCCGGGTGGCGTGCGACAAACGAGGGGACGAGGACGCCCAAGAGGAGCACGACCATGGGCAGGGCGGGCAGCAGGTAGGGGTCGAGACAGACGAAGGAGTAGACGGCGAGGAACGAGAGGGTGTGCGTGGGGCGGCGCCAGGCGAGGAGGCGCTCGGCGTCGGCCTGGAACTGGAAGACGACGCCGATGCGGGCGTTGAACTGGCGGAAGTTGTACGACATGGTGGTGAGGTTGAAGCTGGGGCGTTGGGGGTAGTTGGAGCCCTTGGCGTCGGCGGGGGCATCGGAGCCGTAGTCGTCGTCGGTGGGGATGACCTGCTGGAGGAGCCTGGGGCAGGAGATTCGAGGTCAGTCCGAAGCTTTCACGACGCGAAGAGCACAGGGCGGACGACGGAAACATGCCTCTCGACAAGCCGGTCCTGGATGCCGGCCTTCTCGCGGATGGCCGCAAGACCGCCGCGCAGGCCTTTTTTCTGCGAGGGCGAGGGCGTGGGCGTCGTCTTGCGCGAGTCGGGCTGGCGGTCCGACGGGCCCTGCGGCGAGCGGTCGTGGCCGGCGGCGATGATTTCGGCGGTGAAGTCGTCCATGGTTGGTGATGACGATGGGGGTCAGGACGGAAGTAGCATTGCCCGTCGGTCGGCGCCTTGCTCTCGCTCGAGGTGAGCGATCAGTCACGGGCAAGCTGGAAGCCGGGGTTAGCGGTGTGTGTGCCGCGCCGAGTCGCGGCTCATCGGATTCTGGGAATTTGCTGCGCAGCGAGGCGTGTTGAAGCAGGGATGGGGTCGAGATTCCCATGTGACGCAAGCCGGAGACGGCCCATGTTCTCATCCCGGTGGAGGACAAGCGCGCTAACAATTGTCGCAGCATATTGCACGGCTGTCCGGGCCACCCTGTTAAAGACGCGCGTACCCTGCACTCGGCGCCCCACACAGTGCCTGGAAGACGGATTCTCATAAACGGGAGCAATGGCGGCTCTTTAGGTCCGTCTTTGTTTCCTGCTCCTGTTTTCTTGTTTCATCTTTCTAAATGACATTCAGCTGTCAAGAGAGCGACTCACTCTCTCAAACAAACCATTCCTTTCATTTTTTACGCTCTCACTCGTCTATCCTCTATGCCATTCAAGGTCCTCGAGCGGTCCTTCCAAGCGTCAATAAGATTCCTCCATGGCATCTTCGAACCAACTACACCTGTTTCGAGGCCGACGCGAGCGTGAAAGAGCCTTTTCATAATGCTCTCCTCGATGATATTAAGCTTGCAGAATCAAGTGCTGGTGACACTGGGGCACGCCTTAAAACAGGTATACATAATTTACAGACCAATGCTCAATAGGGGGCGGGGGTGACACGGCTCTCCCTGGCCCTCTTGATATCTCATTTTTCTATTTGCCGAGAAAATGGCTCGTATCGCTCTCTGTCAACCCAGCCATTGTTGAATGCTCCATCTGCCCCAGTTCGTTAGCTGTCGGATGCTCGGAATATAGGCCGAGTTGTGAACTTAAACCAGGACCCTGGTCATCCTGGCCACCGCGCTGTCATTGTCCCATTCGACCAGCGCTCTGGTCCTCGATTCCTGCATTTTTATCTCGACGAAATTCTCCATCGCAGCCAACTCATGATCCGCTAGTAGATCGAGTCTTACTCGACAATCTCCGGCCACATTCTGCCCAAAACAACCAGGGTATATAAATTTCCAAAATATAAAGTCGAAGGCCCAGCTGTCTCTGGCTGCATAGTTCACCAACGACGTTTTGCTCTCCCAGCTCTTCCGAATTCTTCGGGACAAAGGCACGCTCCCGTCGTGCGTAACTGACTGGTCTGGCAAGATGCCTTTGGCATTCCGCATCTTGTCCTCTTCCTGTTCCAGAACGCCCAGGAAGGTGTTCAGGCGAGGCTCGTACGCTTCCATCCACGGGACATATCCACCGGGCCAATACTCCGGACTCTTCAAAAGGAGCCACCATGGCGGATCAAACGAAAACTCTGCAGGGGCGACGTAGGTAAATTCCCAGTCTATGACACCCACCACGCGAAGGTCCTTGTCAATCAAAACATTTGACGGGCGTAAGTCTTCAGAGTATAGCCGAAACGTCGTTTCATTGTCCCCACCGTTTTCGGGCTCAAATCCCGTCGCAAGTCGCCCACGCGATGCCAGACGCCGAAACAATTGACGAGCCACAAATTTGTCGCGCGCATCATCCTCGTCTTCAATAGCGTCGTTGCGCTGGAACGTTACTTGTGAAAGATGCATGTCGGCCATGGCAGAGTACCACTGCGTGGATGTAAGGTACTGCTGCGAGGGTAGTAACGTCGGGGGAACACCTGCGAACTCGACGAGGGAGCTCATATTCTGAATGAGAGGCCGGCCGGAAACAGATATAAGTCCCCGTTTGTCCTGGACCAATGATCCGATTCGAGGGAACGACAGGGTAGAAAGCCGCAGTATGATGTTGGCCATCTGCCTATAGAGGAACATGAGCGTTTGCTCATTGATGTTGTTGTCTAGCACATGAGGCTCGCCGAATCCAAGGAGGGGTCATTAAGAGCATCAGACATGGTCCTTTCATGCTCAATATAATTCATTATGATGAATGGACCGAGGCCAGTAGGGTTCTCCGTAGCGGTCCCGTAATGGTAAATCTCAAGCACGGGAATTGTGGTCTTTGCTGCGACGTAGCGCATCGTAGCCACCTCGTAGTTGACCTTCTCCTCGGGGAATTTAACAGTACCTAGTTTGCTTCAGCGACTTCATCACTTGACTGAAGTAGACTTTAAAATACCTTTGCAGGGGATCCTCATGGCGGCCGACGAGCCGTCCTTGAACTCTAGCCGATAAAGCAGGTTGTATCCACCTCTGATCGGCCTGTGAAGTTCCAGGGGCTCACCCGGTCTATACTTTATGATCAGATTGGCAATGCCACGGTACGTCTCGGCATTGTGCAGTGATCTCTCCCATTTCTCGACTTCCTGTCACTCTTTTCCCAGGCAAGGTCGTCCTTGTCCATTCGAATATATCTTGGTTTGGGAGACATCGCGGAATCTTTAAGCCGCACCGTCGAGGAGTGTCTTCGGCGTCGAGATGAAAATAATGGTGGTCGTGGTGATATGCAGAGGGAGGGGAAAACAGGAGCCAATAGGTTCGCGAATTTAAACTCCAGGTGGACGCGGCCTGATTGGACCAAGAAGCACCACTGCCGCTGAAGCTTCTAGAAAGCGCAGAGAGGCGGAAGCGAAGCGCAAACGTGATGAAAATATGGTCATAAGGGCGGCAGAAAATTCTCGAAAGAGGCGTGAGGATAGAGGCATCGTCGACACCGTAGCTGGGCAGCTTCCAGATGGACTTGGTCGTCGTTAAATGATGCGGGTTTGCTGTCGTCTGTGGTGGGTGCGGCTTGATACCTGTGACTCTGTGAGGATCCATTGTCGCGTGCTGCTGGTTGTTTTCAAGTGTCAAGTCGAAGCATCGGGGCCAAAGCCCAGGCCGTTTCCACGTCTGAGTCTCACGTCAAAGTCCGCTTTTGCTAATTGAAGAGTGCCGTGGGTGCCCAGTCTCCGTAGTCATCTTGGGATTTGATGATATTGCTAGGTGCATACGAAGTACGGAGTACATGTAACGTGGTAATTATCTATCATGCTGTTGGTCGTGAGCACCCTGCATGGACCTTTCTTCAAGATAGCATGCCTACAGGGCGGTGTGGTCATCGACACGACATGACACGGGGACTTTCTTCGTCTACATTCACATGTTAACTGTGCAGTCGGCCTTAGTACCCAACTGTGCAGCCCTAGAACTGGAGACACATGCAGGAAACTCGTCGTTGGAATTTTGCTTGCCAACAGCCCATGTGAAGCTTGACGCGTGTGATCATGCACGACATTTGTAGGATTATCTCCCATGTCCCTCCCACTTGATTGGCCAAGTCTACAAGCAGGCTGCAAACAGGCTGCAAACAGCATTGAAAGTTTGTCTCCCGAGTTGGGAGAGTGATTGCATTATTGGTCTATTGGTTCGGTCTGCCCATACTGAAGGCGTGCTTACCAGGAGCTGTCCTACTAGTTAAGGGCATTCCGACCGAGACTACACGCGAAATGCATTCGACCAACGACCAGGAACGACAGTTCAAGCTTGCAGCATCATATTGACTTGAGCCCAAAAACATGTTCGCACAACCTATATTCATGAATGCTCCTGTGTAGCCGTAAGGCTAACGAATCTATCAACGAGCCAGCCTTAAAGTCTCGACACGTATGCAGCACGTCCGAGTCAACGTAGTTTCTTCCAAGCGAGGGGTAAAACTTGGTCGGTATCGGGGACATATCTCCTGAGCACATGATGTATTGCCGCAGCTGTTCAATGCAGTGGTCCGGATGCAGGAGAGTATTTTCAGGTGAAGCTCGCCTTGCGTGGCCGTGTCCATCGGCGCCGTAGTACGTCGGATTGAGTGACCTGCGAAGGTTGTTCTTATCATCATGGTCAGTCTGGATGTTCATGCGACTAGGGTGACGCGTCACTTGCCAAACAATGCAGCGTGTGGAACATGTCTAGCCTGCCAGTTCCTTGGTAAATATACAAGCGAGAAACAAGGTTGATACGAGCAAAGGGTCATTACCCAGCAACATAGCCACCTCGTTGATGGTCCCAATACTGGTTCACGGGTTCTCCCCATGTAGCAACCGCCTCGTCTCTCGTGATGAGGATATATCGCCCTGGCGACTCTTGTCAGCGTTCACGTATATATGCATATGTCAGACAAGATAACCATGTGGCCAAGGCAGTCAATGACATGGAGTCAAGCATCATGCGAGGACAACGTCCTTGTCAAGCTTGAATACTACTGAAAGATTCTACTACGAAAGGATTGTGATTTTCTAATCTCGACCTTAGCTTCATAGTTGGCGCTCGTTCGTATCCTCCCCCACATTCAGCCATGCTTTAGCCACAAGGCCGCCGACATCGCACAGGCAAGAATAATGTCAATAAGTGTCAATACCAATCGAAGTACGTTGAGAGATAATAGCGATTAGTTACATTAAACTTCGGGATTCCCAATAACCCCCTGCCCACTGGCAGTGCTGACTCTTTGTCTAAACTTTGAAGGATCCGGAAAGACTCATGTCAGTCACTAGAATGGCTCCGCCAGTGCGGACCCTATTTAGTTAGCTGGCAATTGGGTGAACGTCCGTAATGAACTAAGGCAATTCAAGTACATACTTCGTACGGAGTACGTACCTCTCTTTTCTCATGATGGGCGGGGTGAGATGGACGTTGGTTGCGGAGTACCTGTAATTATTACTCCCGTAGCCTCCCCCTGTGGGGGTTGACGTATTGACGTCCGCATAAGCCCCCACAGGGGAGCCTACGGGTATTAATTACATATAAAAGCAGGTTGCGTCAAAGTCCGTTAACTCACTGCGGCTTGTTCCTAACTTCCTACTGCTCATTAAAGGGCATTTTCTACAAAGGATTCACCGAGCTTGCGGCCATTCTTGTCCTCTCGTTTTACCAATGGAAAGCGAGCGAGCAACTATATACCGCGGCAATTGCCATTGCGGCCGTTATCGCTATGAGCTGTCGCTGCCGGACAAGATTTCAACGGCCATGGCATGCACATGCAGCCTCTGCGTCATCAAGGGGTGCCTTTGGATCGTACCGCCCGAGGGCAGGTTCAACGTTATTCGAGACGATGGTTATCTGAAAGAGTATGCATCAAAGGCCATTTCGAACAAGGTAAACCCATACCATCTCGGTACCTCTCGCGACCTTGCTATTGACTGGTGCCAGTTCTGCAGCTACTGCGGCACAGGAGTGCTTGGCCAGCATCTGGTTGGACCGACGCGTGGTCAAACAATGGTCAATATTCGAGCCATTCAAGGCGTCAATCCATTTCAAATCGAGTAAGCGGAGCATTAATACAACCGGGCACCGTGTGACTCTGAGCTAACAAACGATATCAAATTCAAAGGTCAAATATCACCACTATCGAAACAGAAGACGAAAGAGATAGGCAAGAGCCTGCGAGTTCGGAGCTGTCGGCCCCCCATGTCTTCTCATGTCACTGCGGGAATCTGCGCGTGGAGCTTGACGTCTCAATTCATGACCAGGAATTCAAGGAGGACAACTGCAGCTTATGCGTGCGAGTAAGCTCAACCCCTGCGAAACAGAGTATGCCAATAATGTACTCCAGATAACCGCTCGACTAGAATGCCTACATTGGAGTTTATCCAACAAAGGACCAAGCAAGGGTTCATGGTAGAGAGCACAGCTTTGAATACTATGGCATCAAAGCCGAGTCGACGGGGCGCAGGTGGAGCAGCACAGTCTATTGCCAAACCTGCGGCGTCTTTACTCTCAGCGTTATTTACGGGCCGCCCATTAACGTTTTCGATAAGCTCGCCCCTGAGAGGAAGGCGCACGCGCTTGAAGTTTACTATAAGAACATCAACTTACTGCCGCTCAACGTGCGCGCCTTGAAAGGGTTCCAAACTCGGCTTTTCCCTAAATCTATAGACATTCAAAGGTCGGACGAGGGAACAGAGGGCTATAAGGAGCTGCTTGAGCCGTGGCGAGGAGGCGATTAGATGTACGTTTGAGTCTTTCTGCTTTAAGCCTCGCCGGTATTATGCCCTGAACGGGCCCCATTCGAACAATTTGCGCCAACAGCTAGTCCCCCTCGATTGTTGAAAATTAATTAAGAAGTTGGACAGTCTGGCCCGGGCAAATTGAGCATTTCTTGTTCCGATGCAAACAATGGACAACGTACCGAACCCGAGATGTTACAGTGCACCGAGACCCAGAGGGGAAATATCTCGTTCTACCTAGGAGGAAAGTCGCCGTCCGACGACGCAAAATGGACGCCGAAATTGAACGCAGTCTGCGCAACAATACGATTTGCGGTAGCCACCGGCCGGCTCGACAACACGCAACGTTAAAGCATCGCAATACCACCTCCCTATTAACCTTCTTCAAATTCCTCAACAGCAGGCACCGCTTCAGCCGCCATAGATAGGATGCTGAACGCTTGAAGAAAAGCCTTCAAGCCAGCTTGCTAGTAATAAAACGCATCACGAGATCCCAAGGAGAGATGAAAACAAAGAGAAAAGGCTAGTAATGAACACTGTATGGGCTGTTAGGAGAACATGGCAAAGCTTTGGAAGGGACATGCATAATAGCAAATAGTGGCCCTGTTGGCCAGATAGCCACCGGGCGGAATAAATTGTGTGTGTGTGTAACTAGACAACCGGCCCAAACAAAACTTATTGCAGAAAAGTGGCCATCGAAAACTGGACAGAGATGAGGATTGCGTCTGTCGAATGATACCGTAACGTCGCCCACCTAGCTTACAGCACCCCCCCTTCTAGCACTTTTCACGTCATAAATAAGGCACATTCCAGTAGCAACTAAAGCCGTATTTTAATATCACGATAGTTCAATTTACTGTTTTCTAGCTATTCAAGCTGCTAGCTAGGTGTAAAGACATCTGGCGGCCAGCTTTGTACTGTTGGGCCACTCTGTGAATTGAAGATGGGGTAGATGAGGCTTTAGCCGTGTCGGTGATGCCACGGATACCATGTGAAACTGGCGCATTGGGCCATTCTTGAGATCCTCAAAAGACTGGGCCAGTTCCGGATGTTGTGTTTAATGCCAAATCTTGTCTGGCTTCCCAAGTCTGAAAGCTCCAGAATCAACCAACTTGGCGAAGAAAGAATCATTCTCGGCTGCGACGTCATCGCATTGTCTTGAGATGCCCGTGAGATCAAAGTCCGTGTCGGGAACGGGGATAGGGTCCATGACAACATCAACGTCCCGACCCTTGGCGTCTTCTAAATTGTCCACGCGGTCCATGTCTTTCATAGTGGCATCGGCCGCCGAGGTCATGTCGGATGTGCTTCCTACATCTTCACACTCTAGTACGCGGCCTCTTCGTCCATCTCAACCGAATTGCTCTTGATGTCATCATCAAAGTCCTCGTCATGACTCTGCAAGGCTGCGAAGCGTAGTGTCAAAAGCATGAGCCCTTGCAGATGCACCGCAATATGTCGAGCGATGGCCCTTGAGGCGTCCATGGTCTTTTGCTTTTGTGATCCGTCTGGGTGCGAGCCGATGTCATCTACATCGGACAACATCTCCGAACAGTCTGCGCCTGAAATTCGGGCATCTGGTTTCGTCATATCAAGAGCCTTCCTGGCACATTTGGTCTTCTCTTGTTTCGACTGTCCCTTTTGTCGTTTACGGAGTATTACCTCGGCCTCATTATCGTGCTCGTCCACTGCAAAACAGCACAGGAAACAATCGTTCCAAGCTCTTGGCTGCTTCGTCATGCTCTGTCTTGAAATACACTGGAGTTGTTTCTTTGTGAAATCGCCGTCATGGAACTCTTTTAGGTGCGAGTAAAGAGCTTGAGGGCTGTGGTAAACGTCCGGGTTGACTTCGCAGATGGCACATACCCAACTTGGTTTTAAATAAGTTTCCCGATGCCATCGCCTGTTGTGAAGTTCCATATGGTCAACCCATTTGTCAAAGGTCGGAAAGACCGGATACGCTTCTGAACATCCTTCCGAGAGGCAGACGTAAGGCTCGAGGTCTTGGTCTACGTGTTGCCTAAGAATAGTTCAGTTTCCTCGAACCCGCGTTGGGAGACATCGTGAGACGCTCCATGCGTACAGCATCATGTGTGCTTATATTGTACCATGTCGGCGCTGGTGTACCCAAGAAAGTGGACGCTACATACCGCCATTCGCTTTTGGAAAGTGTCTCTGCGTCGAGTGCTTCAGAACACCACTCGCAAGCTAAGGTGCTGCTCTCCCCGTTCGTAATAGGGGGTTGGGGATAACTGCATTGCCGTACCTGGATCGACAATGTCTTCGGCAACCATGTCGAAGCTTTCTTGACCTGTTGAGTGTTGATGCGGGATAAGGCCTTCGCCAACCGACTGATTGGAACGTCAGTTTGTGTATCGTTATCGGATGCTTCCTGGACAGGCGACAGCCCTGCATGTGACTCTCGATGTTTCTTGTACTGAGAGCCGAGCATGAGCATCCTCGCATATCTGTCTGTCATTGACTTGGTGAGATGGTTTTTGAGAGCCTGATGAGCCCCGGGGTACAAGGCCTGGACGGCGCTCGCACATAGATGCTCGAATGTGTTCGGCTCCAGGCTTGCGGCAAATCTGGAAGCTCTCGCATCGATCTTGTCATAGCTTGCTTGGCGAATCGAGACCCCGAGACGGTTGAGTCGAGTGAGGGTATCATCGATCGCCGTCAAAGCTGCCAAGGAGATCCGGAAGGCTCTTGGCTCGGACTCATCCAAGCTTGTCGGCGTCGGACCTGGCTCTGCTTGACCGCTCGATCCGACAATACATTGTTGCAGACCGCAGCGGAGGACATCGAGTAGACGAGCAACCAGGTCTTGCAGGTCAGCGTGGTTTCTGAGTCTCGTGTCCAGGCAGTTGCTCCTCCGGGCAAAGACGCCGAGATGTGCCGCCCATATGGCGAACCGTTGCTGAAACTCGGCACACAGATCGGCAGTGGCATCCAGATGCGACGTCAGAGAAGAATCCTGCAGTTGGTCGAAGAGGCTTTCACATTCACAGGCCAGGATGTATAGCAAATCTTTGCTGTCGTGGTTTAACGTCATGCTGGGCTATGGCGGGGATGTCAGTCATGGGAAGAGGACGAGTCTTGCGGGTTTATGTATGTGTACTGCCGACCTCGACTGATAGATATCAGGCAACGGAAAGCTGAGCGGGGAAGTTAACATGACTTCGTGTCAGAACAGATGACGTACATGGCTGTCTCACTATACTGCACTCGCCGAGAACTGAGCTCGGGTCAGTCAGCCTTGTGATACCTGACATCTGATATGAAAGACCAGGGCCGCCGGAATCGTTCATCGACCCCGCCCTTTGTCTCCCTCGCAAGTTCTACTGAAGTTTTGACTCTCGAGGCAACGGATCGAATTGTGCCCAGCCCTTGTGCAAAAAGGACTGAAAATGCCTTTTATCGATGTATTTGTCGAGTGGAACCTACTCCAAGGCCTTGGACTGCTGCTGGGCCAGAGAAAGGCGCGACACAATGAGCAGCTGGAACCCCTCAGCCATGACGGGGGAGTGCATCTCGATGCTCAACTACTCGAATTCGAGCTTCGCCACGCGTTCACGGTCAAGGATTATACCCTGTATCTGAGAGATGAAGTGGCTTCGGAATGCTGGGCGAAACTCTTCAACCTGTGCTCTTTGTGGGAGCGCCTTGCGCGGCCTAGCAGCACCGAGAGTTGTTCAGGACAACGAAACCAGTCATATCCGCGTTTGAAAGCATTGACGACATTTCTAAAGTCAGAATCCGAACCAGTCGACCTAGTGAGTGGTCCAAATCAGACAATTTTCAAACTTCCCGGCGACACTGCCGGGATTCGCTCGTGCTTGAATGCCGTCACAGCATGTAACAAGAGCCTCGATCGAGTCCTCGAGCGCCTCAAGCGAGCCCACGGGCCCCTCGCACGAAGAACAGCCGCTCGACCACTCCGGAGGCAGACAAAGGAGGGAGCATGGAAGAAAGCCAGGATACGAAATCAGGTTATACTCGTTTTGGGGACTTTATCTGAACGTCTCCAATGCGACACTCAGCACCAAGTACTATTGAAACTCATCCAGGACCCCGATGCAGATGCACTATTACCCGGTCTGCAACTCATGCTCTCGCCGTGTTCAGATCCCGAGCTAGAACTGTGGCACGAGGTTGTGTGCCACACGTCCTACCTGTATGTGGCCTCCTTGTGTCCGCGAATGTCTCAAGCTCTAATTTTTCCTCGGCTGATTTTTCAGATGTAAAAACGCAATCACGCACATCGACAATATCTGTACAGACCTTCAGCAGCATCAGGGCCAAGGGAAGACTTTAATGCTGCTCATCAAACATAAAAGGCTGTTCGGTGCCTGGACAAGCACCACCACCTCTAGGATGGACTACGTATCGCGAGAGTCTTTTGACCAACTCATCATCCAAGGTGCTTTCCGGCCGCTTGATCTCGACACGCTATTCGACAAGGCGCCGCCCACAAAATTCGGCATCAAGGACAAGCGAGCACTTGCTCTTAAACTAGGCTTTTGCCTTATGGACTTTTTCGACGCCGACCTTGCCTCCAAAAGTATCTACTTCACATACTTCTCGGAACTAGGTCTCGACAAGGAGTCCCCGTACCTGGCTTTTAATAGCTTAAAGCATTCGGCGACAGCCGACCTATACCGCTTCAAACTCGGCCACCCTACATTTTTGTCCTTTGCCAAGTTGTTGCTAGAATTGGAGTTTGGCCAAAGCATCGACCTACACGTTAGCCCGGAGAGCAGCCAAAACAAGTCCGCTTAGATGAAGCTCATGGAAAGTATCGAGGAGATTGAAGTAGAGAGAAGTGACTCCTATCTCCAAGCCGTTAAGGGCTGTCTTTTCGTCTATCGCCATATAGCCATGGCGCTAAGATCTGGCGACCTCTAAGGCAGAGATGCAGATCCGACGATATAGAGAACGCTCTATAAAGAAGTCGTTTATTATCTCGAACTTGGGCTTTCCGAGTCTATCCCTAGGGCTGTTCACAAACGCCAACGGTCCGAATCACCGCCTCCTCCGGATTCCTCGGACGGCTCTCGCACTGTTGCCATTCGGTCTACGGAGTCCGAACAGACAAAGGCTGGACATAAAAGGCGATGTGTTCCCGAATCACAACGGGAGCAGCTCCTTTCTATGGCTAAGTGTAATCTTGGAAACCCGGATTCGAAGTGCAGCCCCGCCTGCTGTGGCCAGTGTCTACACGGCTCCTTTTTAGAGGAGGCCTCTCAGCTAAACAACGGCACAAGACCCACGCAGCATATACCTCCCGACTCTGTGGCCCCAGCTTGGTAAGCGGGCTCCCAGATGCAAAGATCTTCCTTGAAGTCGCGCATGTTCCTAATACTGGTCTGGTGGCATTGATTTCTAGCTACAACACGTCAGCTCGCCAACCATGTCGCCGCGAGGACTTCGAGGTAGCCATCATATGTGCCTTGCCTCTCGAGTACGACGCTGTTTCCTACCTCTTCGACGAGTTCTGGGACGAACAGGGCGATCAGTACGGAAAGGTCAAAAAAGACCCAAACATCTACACAACTGGCCGCATGGGCAACTGTAGCGTCGTCCTGGCTCTGTTGCCTCAGATGGGCAAGACAGGCGCCGCCAGTGTCGCCACCAGTATGCGCTCGAGCTATAGCAACGTGAAGCTTGCTCTTCTTGTCGGAATCTGTGGTGCTGCGCCGCGCAGCCAAGATCGCGAGATCCTGCTCGGCGATGTCGTCATCAATAAGACCATCGTCCAGTATGATTTTGGCCGGAAGTATCCAGACAAGTTTATCGGCAAAGACACTATTGGGAATAACCTCGGGCGGCCCAATAAGGTTATCCGCAGTCTCCTCGCTATGCTCGAGACTGAACGTGAGCATGATAGTCTGGAGGAACGCACCACCTATTTCCTTTAGCAACTCCGGGCTAAAGCTGCCCAGAAGCGGCGTCATAGCAAGTATGACTATCCCGGCACGGTCAAAGACAAACTATTCAAGTCGACTTATCGGCATAAACATAATACGTCACGGAGTTGTGTGTGCTGTGATTGCATCAGCGACTTGGATCCCGTGTGCGACGAGGCTCTTTCTTCATCATGCGATTATTTAGGTTGCGACGACGGATACCTTATGGCAAGAGACCGGCTCCGAGCTAGGGAGGAAGTGGAACACGACGGTGGCGTTGCCCTTCAGACGGTGGCGGTACACATCGGTGCTGTCGGGTCGGGAGATACAGTAATAAAGTCGGCTACAGACCGCGACAGGATCTCAAAGGAAGCGGGCGTGATTGCGTTTGAGATGGAGGGCGCTGGGGTATGGGACGAATTACCTTCCGTTGTCATCAAGGGAGTGTGCGACTATGCCGACAGTCATAAGCATAAGGGCTGGCAGGACTTTGCAGCAGCGATGGCGGCTTCGGCGTCAAAGGCGATCCTGGAGCGCTATATGCGAACTGACCAGGCAGCGTAAGTAAAATACTTCGAACACTCGTTAAGTTAAGGTAAAGTAGTAGGTATAGTAGATTGGTTAGCTGTTAAGTCTGACGGCGTTATTAGTTAGTAAGGCGCATCTTTATCACTACCTTACTGTTGAGGAGAGCGGGCATAAGAGGCCACAGTCATGCCCAGTGGACCCAACAGTCATGCATAATGGAGCCTGCCTATGCAACTGACTCCCCTAGCTCAAGGACATGATGTAGGCCTGACTCAGGTATAGGAACATCTCAATGCCCTCTTTGGCTAGCTTTGTGTAGTCTCTGTACCTATATGAGTCCCTCCCTTGTCCCAATAGATAGACCAAGACATGCATCACTAAATTCACCTTTCTGTGCCCCTATTTCTTCCCTGCGCTCTCAAACCTCTGCTTGAGACTTACAGTCAGCCGTAAACGCAGTATATTGGAAATGTAGGCGTACAACCCATTTACACGCGTATAGTTATAGAGGTTTTAAAAATAAAAAGGCGCCTTAAGGATATAAGAGCGCCGAACTGGGTCACTGACTTAGGAAGTCTATCTCGTTGTAGAGCAATAACGATATCCGCAATCTGTTGGACGACTTCAGTCTTCTATTTCAACGAGAGCAAGGGAACTGAGTGTCGAGGTCGACTCCATTCTTGAACTCCCCATTGTCCACCTAAAGCTTGCCTCGACGGGCGCCACAGGAAAACTAGGGGGTGCTCGGCTTAGAGGTTAACACACAATGCTTTAACTCACGTCTATCCAACTTAAACTTAACTCGTAGTTAACTGACTATTGTAGAGGCATCGATAACGAAGTCAACCTTAGCGTAGCTAAGCTATTTAGTTCATTTAAATTAAGTGGTTTGTATCGTTGCTTAATTGGATACGCGCGAGTAATTCAAAACCCGGCTAGGAGCCCAGGCTTGCAGTTAACTGTTACGCAATAAATGATATAAACAGTATGGGTGGTTTAACAACGATCGGGCAGAAGATCTCGAGCTTAGGTAGCAAGCGGGTCATTTATTCTCTTATGTAAAGGAGTGGAATTGAGCTGAACTAATACACCATAATGTGCACCTGCTAATAAATGGCATTATTGCCTACTGGTAAATTCGTTGCTTGCCGAGTTGCTAGGCAGCGATGTTATTGGCCTTTCTGTATAAGCGAGAGTTGATCTTGGCATGCGTGGTGACGGGGCTGTAGGCGGCTGTTAACACCCTTCTGCTGTTTGGTGCAGCGTGCAGGGGATGGCGACCCAGTTTGACATGGTTATGTCTTTTTCATTTGCACAGACTTTTTGGCAGCGTCGTCGATAAGATCAGACACTGCTTTTGGCTGCGAGGCGAGTGAGGCATGTGCAGACTTGAGCTCGACAGTCTTCTGCGTCTTCATACGTTCGGCCATGAACTTTTGCGCTTCGGGATTGATACAGCGATCTTCTGTCGATATTTGATACCAGGACGGCTTTGTCTTCCATGCTGGCTGTGTAACCTTGTCGCCAAAGGTACTCGCAACGGGCGCCTTCTGGGTAACGGCCATGACGAGAGCCTTGTCCTTGGCGAGATCTTGACAAAACGAGTCATGAAACTGGTCTGCTTTGATCCAAAGGTAGCCATCGCTGTCCTGCACGAGGCGGCCATCGGTAGCAGCGAGGGCCGGGTATTGTGCCGAGATGCTTCCCGCACTTTCATCCTTATCGGGGCCGAATGCCGCAATGTAAACAAGCCCGACGACGTTTGGTAGATTTCCCGCCTCAGTAATGACAGCACCACCATATGAATGCCCAACGAGCAACACGTCCCCTTTGATCTGCTTCACCACCTTCTTGGTGCGCTCGGCATCATCGGCCAATGAAGTCAGCGGCAATTCGACGGCTTGTAGAGAATAGCCTCTCGCATCGAGGTTGATGATAACGTCAGCCCAGTGGGCTGCGTCGCCCCAGAAACCGTGCACGAAAACGATGGTTGGCTTGCTCATGGTGTACGATTTGCAGAGATGCTCCAGTTTTTAGTAATTACCGACTCTTTGCAACAGCTTTCACGAACGATGCACTTCTTTCCCGTCCTACAGTCGTTTTAAGTAGTTATGGGGGAACCACTTCGCTTCGACATGGCCATACACTGATGGAAACTCTACACATACAATGATGTAATGGATTACGCCAAGCATCCAGAAGAGCCGTCAAGTTGCAACAATTGAGTTTACTTAATCGCTAGCATGCTACGGAAGTGAGGGCTTCCGGTCCGTGCCACGACGGTAGTGCCGACATATGACTGTCATGAACTGCAACCTAGTTTAATGCTGTGAACCCTAAAAAGCACAGGAGCGGTAAGCGTCCTCTATAACCAATAATTCAATTACGACTAGTTATCCGAATATTCGAAAGACCACAAGGTAAAGAGAGCGAAACGAAGGAAATTGGCGAGGAATGAAGAATGCCCCCCACCCCCTTTTTCTCGCCTCGTTAGGATGGGTGTACTCAGCATTTATTACCTTGTGACAAAAGTTTTGTGACAAAATTGTTCATGTGACAAAGAAAAATAAGAAAGCGTACTTATGTTCAGATTTGCAGAAAGCTTTTTGCGATGCAGATGGAAAATCCATGGCCGAATTTGAGTTTGGTATTGTTAGACAGTCATGTCCCACACCTGGCACGACGACAGCAGTTGGGTAAAGCGACATAAATAGCATTAGTTAATCAATGAGAATTATCTAAAGAAATAAGAGAAAGGATCGAATGCACGCACATTCGTGTCGTGTTTTTATGTCCGCAGTGCACCCCGATGATAGTTAACACAACAACGATCAACGAACTGGTTCTATGACATATATTCTTAAAAAGTCCCGCATAGGATTGCTTTGGAGCACTCATCACTACCGTAGCTCTATATCATGCTCTTCCTATAGGCCCTTCTTCTTCTTCCCGTATAGTATTAAGTAAAGTCTCCGACCAGTGCTCAGCCACATTGTCTATTAATTACCAAGGCTCCCCACTGTCTATTAGTTTTGAATCCCTTCTTAGGAGCGCGCACCCCACCTACGGGCATCGAACGCAGAGCCAGTAAGAATCCAAGACAAAGTTTTCAAAGACGAGACACGATCCCCACAGCTGAACATTCAGAAATGGTTCAAGGAATGCTACAATGAGCAACTCGACTCTTGGCGAGCTAGGCAAGGGACAGACTATCAAATTAACTAGACGAGTCAGGTGGATGGCTGCACATGGTGTTTTCAAGGAAAGCGGAATTCTCATTATCAGCTCTTTTGATGCTGCTTAAGGTCATTGCCTACCCGTTCCTTTAATTCTGCCCTCGCAAGCTTTTCCTCTCTCTCCTGAATTCTCGTAGCGCCTCCCGTATGCTATAGTAGTGCCGGGTGTGACGTTGACGGCACGGCGTATCCGCAAAAGATCCAGCCACCCCAATTAGGCGACAATAAAGGCATCCATAATTTCTTTAATGCTATCGTTTCATATAGGAAAGAAGCTGTTGACTTCCTCACCACTCTGCGCTTCGAAAAACTTCCGTGCTCTCGCGACAAGCTTGGCTAAGTATTCTTAACTACAGCATGTCTTTGGCGCCAACTTACGAGAAAACTTCGTGATGCAAGACTTGCTAAATATTGTTGCCTCTTGAGTAGTGCTTGGATGCATGTGACCGCTTCAAGCTGCACGTCTTGATCCAAAAGCCTGGTTCGAGGAACTTATTGGGTATTACGCGTCCTCGGAAGGGGGATTGATAGGATGTTCGACCTGCCACTTCGTATTTCGCATGCATGAACAAGGTCCAACATTGAAACGCCCTCCGTACAGTCAATTTTTACACGCTCCTCGACTTTACTTTAGTCCCGGGCTCCCCGTGTCTAGGTGACGTGGACCCAAGTGACTTGATCCTTCGCCAAGAGACATGCTGCTTGCAATTAACCGCAGCCAACTGCAGCAAGCGTGCAGCCAACCGCAGCCGGTCTACAGGGAGTACCATTTATTAGGAGGCATACGAGCTGACAAGTCGACGGATTACCTGCCATTTGAAGCTGGCCGCCGAATCCTGTTCGCCGCTCATCTCGAGCCTATTTCCTTTTGCGTGCCCATTCCAGACCGCGCGAAGGGACTCGCGAGGTAAAGAAGACTTTTATCCTAGTTTCTTTCTCGATTATATTCAGATTCAGGCAAAGCAATCACGCAACTTCTTTTCCCACCTCCACCCCAATCGCACTGTTGCCTATGAAGCCAAGCTGCACTGAGTACAAATATCGCTTGACCACTTACTTGGTAACCTGCCCGGAGAACGTATTCCTGCACCGAGTATCTTGGACTTCAAATGTTGCTCCAGGCCGCCACGGGGCAAGCATGGGGACCGGGCCAACCACGCATGTGCTGAGGCCACCGTCACACCCCCAGCCGGGCAAATGTCACTCTGGCTGACTGGTAAGGCTGAGCTCTACCTTACCCCCGGGGCAATCAAGGATCCGGCCTTGACGAGTGGGATGCTGGCGAATCTGTTTTCTAATTTGGGACAAGCGTATTCGTAAAGCTGGCACTGGGTCCGAATGACGACGCGGTCTCGGCGGCAACGTCGATATTACATGCCATGCAAGGCGGTAGAGGGGTGGCACTCCAGGGGGCACAGCCATCTCCCATGCCCGAAGTACCCGTGATGAACCTGGACCCTATACATGGCAAATACAAATCCGCTCATGCTTTAAATGGGCATCGGGAAACCCCGTACTCAACTTGACTGATTCCTGCATTTCTACTGTAGCTCCTGTTTTCATCCTTCGCCCCGCCGTCCTCTGCATTGGAGACGGGGAACCGTCAGTCGCCCGTTTCAGTCGGCATGTAGGTCATGGTTGCCCTGCTTCAGTGAAGCAAAGGGCTCTTATCCGCCGTCCCCTCATCTGTAAAGCCCAAGTAATGACCGACTCCTAACGCATTGTGACAGAAAATCCCTATCTTGAGAAAATAGAATCCCGCAGTCGTCTCACCGTCACCACCTTCTACGCCTGTCCCGACTCATCGCCTGTTTTTGTGTCCCGATTCATCTCGCCCCGAATATATGTCGAGGTTCAAATGGCCGACGGAGAGCCTAGTAAAGATCCAAACTTAACAGATGTAGCTGCGCCATGCATATTGACGATTTTCTAGTTCTGTACAGTCTGTACATTTACGCTCCAAACAAAGGCGCACCCATCTTCTTCATAGCTGGGTACGCCATCTCCGCCATCTTCTACATCTGGCAATGCTGGTCAGTGTCCCAATACCGTGGCAAAAGATATTTCGCTCCTCTGAGACCTCGTTCCCTTAGGTGCTATCATGCCGTCAAGTTGACCGGACTCCACCTGATCTGTGCAGTCATGTTTACTGTCGGCTATGGACTTCGAGAGTACGGAGCCTCGAACTATATGTACGAGAATGATGACATGACTCCACTGATCGTCTTCATTCTTAGCCAAGTTTTCGTATATGTTTGTCCGTGAGTGATGGGCCCCCCGGCTCAATGCTGCTGACTTCTGCTGATTGACTCTATTTCGGGTTATCGCAGTCCGCTTCTTGAGCTCGCCAACTACCATATCCTTGGTCGTATTTTTCACTACGTGCCACACCTTGCCCCAATTCCTGCTGGCAAGGTTTTGGGCGTTTTCGGTGGCTTGATGGCCGCGGTGGAGCTCTTGAACGCTCTAGGGGTAGCACTGGCTGCTAATCCATCATCGGGGCCTTCTCAGCAAGCGACGGGTAGCTACCTGACAGTCGCCGCTATCAGCATTCAACTCGTGGTTATTGTTATCTTCGTATGCATCGCCGGTACTTTCCATGTGCGATGCATGAAAACCAGGGTGCCTCTGAAGAACATTAAGACTCTACTGTCCACACTGTACGCGAGTATGGCCTTGATCTTTGGTCGTTGCATCTACCGCCTGATAGAGCACGCGGGTCCTACGAAGAAGAATCTTGGGGACATCGAATCTCTCCGAGCCCTCAGCCCTCTTTTCCGAAACGAGGTTTTCTTTTACGTCTTCGAAGCGAGCTTCATGCTCATCAACTCTGCTTTATGGAACATATGGAATCCGGGTCGCTTTTTGCCCAAGGACTATCATATCTATCTGGCACAAGACGGCACCGAAGTACATGGTGAAAGGGATACAGACAAACGACCGCTTCTTGCCAAGACGGCGAACGTATTGACGTTTGGCCTGCTCTTTCGGAGGAAGAGAACGAATTATGCAGCGCAGGAACTTGCTCAGTACCGAGACGCTCGACAAGAGGAATCATCTGGTCAAGGCCCCTCTGGTCAGTTGACGTCTTGAATGTTTCTGGCCAAAACAAACCAGCTGTATTCGATCTTGGATGGATAAGCCCACAGCAACTGGGACGAGCGTGCTTAGGGCAAGGGGCAGGAATCTTAGACAGGAGTTGCGTACTCAACCACGTGCATGCGACCATTTCTCAGAGTTAACACTCGGTCAAACCCCCGCACTGTCACAAAGATATTGATGAATCTCTCAAGTATGAGTTGGTTCGAGAGTGGACTACAGAACGGGTTTTTAGCGACGACAAAAATTTCTTTGCACTATGATTGAAGGATTTCATTCTCACAGGTATCTGATCAAGTCTCACACGAATTATGGGACTCAATTAATATACACCGCCTATTGCCGTGTTGAACCGTCACTTGAATGTCATATGCATCATCCGAAGTCGAGTTCCAAGAGGCACCCCCAGAGTTCAAAAGGAGGTGTTCCGTACCCGATGGGCGTAGCAGGCGGAGGGTGTGTTCGAATTGATCCAGAATATGGCCAAGCCGACAGTCACTGATAACAGTCGAGTCGACCTCTGGCCAGACCCTGATACCGTCATCAAGAATAGTAAAAGATGGGCTGCAGTGGCTAAGACCCCCTTCCCAAACGAGACACTCCATTTTGACGTCGGCGTCCTCCCTCTCTATGCTGTCTATTGGTAGCGCGAGCCGGACGTTGAGCAATATCTGGAAGCCCGAGGCAAGCTTGGCTGCTTCGCTCTGCGCACCAAGCTTGTCGAGGCTGTCTGTAGTGCATGAATTGGGCATTTCGTTGTAGATGGCGCACAGAAGCCGCCCTGTCATGGTCCTTGGCTGAAGCACCGGGGTAAGGCTTAGGGCGGTCGTTGTTGACAATCTTGACGTGAAGGCCGATCGTGAGGACGCTGTTCCACGCCGCCTCGGCTGTCTTGCGGGCCCTGGCTGCTCCCGTTCTCTTCTCGCCCGCGGGGCTAGCTTCAGAAGCCCTGCTTGCGAACCTTGGTCTCCCAGTAGTCGTCGTACGCCCTGCGGCAGTCCTCGATAACACGGCTGCCAAACTGACGGAACATAGGCCACGCCGTCGCGATGCTAATATGTCACGAGCGGTACCAGAAGAGCAGAATGCCCTGCCGGGACGAGGCCGTCCTTTCGGCTTGTCTAGCGAGTATCTTATACAGCGACCTGGTTTTGTTGGACAGAAGGCGCTCGGGCTGGGTTGTGGTGTGGCCCCCAACTGTCGGCAGAGCCTTGAGCGATGACTTGTTCGACGTCCCTTTGGTACTATGGGGTGTCTGAAGGCATGCCTTCGAGTAAAAGCCGAAACTCGATATAGGCTTAGCCGGTTATACTTTAAAAGTAATCCGTATTCTCTAGCCGCCTAGTCCAATGGGTCAATCTTGCCCCAGAAGAAAGTGATCCTGGTTCTCAACAAGAAAGACCGTTATCCGAATAGTGAGGTGATGAGCGTCGGCGTCCATGGTAGCGGGCGGCCCTGACAGGATCGACGGCTGAAAGGCGCTAACCAGCCTCAGTGCTGGCATTTGGTTGTCGTCTGACTTGCTAGCAAAGACGGCCATTATATCCCGTAAGTAGAGCCACAGTTGACGGCTCAATGACGGCAGTGCCCGTATGGACCTTTGGGCAATGCTTATCGCCTCGGTTTCCCAGTCGTGCGAACTCGCTTCCATAGCCGGCGATATCTCGTCAACAAACTGCTCATAGTGGCTGTACGATACGATGGGCTCTGGAAGGCTCTTCAGGTATCGCAATAAGACGCCTGCAGCATCATGGACCGAGTAAGGCGCCAAAGAATGATTCGTTCCATATTTCGGAGGCGTTTCGAAAGCAGTCTGTAGGCGCATCACTAGAGTAGGGTGTCCGCTAACAGCAAAGATGTCCTTGACATCTGTCCCTATAGAAAAAGCCGGATATTAGCTTGACAGGGGAAACCAGCGGCACAGAAATGGAACAATACCCACCTTTTTCCTTTATGAAGGCTCCTATCTTTGCAGAGGTGGCTGACCCTGTTCTCTGCATCATCCTGGCTCTGGCTATAGCATGGGGTGGTGAATAGATGTCGATAGCACGTCACTTGCTGCAGGGCCCATGTACCATGTTAATATCATAAGCATCAGCGCCAGAGAGCTCTTGTGCGTCTCTAGTCTAACAAGCACGTGCTTGATATCCTTCTCCTTGGTGACCCAGCGCAGTCGATCGAGAATGCTCATTCTCATCTCAGACTGTAGGGCCGTAGCGAAGGTGTCGAGCTCCGAAAACGCCGTGACACATGCAGCCAAGGTCACAACCACCTGCTCGACCATGATAAGAGAGGTCCTCGACCTGGAGGCACAGACGTTGCCGACGATGAAAAGCTGCAGCGACGACAGCACGTTCCGGATCTCGTCGACCTCTGCCTTGATCCTGCGGCATTCGTCTGGCGCGTGGCGAGCCTTCTCGATGACATCGGCGAGGATTTTGGAGACCTGGGCCGCAGCCGTCAGCAGGCCGATGACGCTGGCCGCCGCGCTCAGCGGGTCAGACATGGCCGGAAGACTCTTGGCTTCGTTGTCGCAGTGAGCCACGATCTCGTCCGGCCTGGACAGTTCTGTGGCGGGATTGAAGGTTCGGAGAGCAGATGTGATGGGTGAGAGGATTGAAGAGCCTCGTCGTCTGCGGGGTTGGCGGCTAGGGGCGCGGCGCAGTGCATACATTGACCGGTTGGCCTGTCTTAAATGTATAAAGGGGGCCTCGCCAGCTCGTATTGTCGGACGACAGACACTTCGCCACAAGCCCCTAACAAGGGTCATACATGTGGTAGAGCAGTCGATAGAGGTCCCTAAGCCCCTGTCAATGCTAAGGCTATTAACTAACTACTTTTCCGCCTTTTTCCACTACTCGAGGTTCTCCATGTGGGCTGACGGAACGGAATCTCGGTCTTTCATGGACGCAGGCGCTCAAGTATCTTCGCTTCTCTATGCTTGGTAATACGTTTCACCTTTATTTCCTGAGCGGCTCTGGACAGACAAGTCGGGGTTGTCGCCGTCTTGTAGACAAAAGACGTCATGGCCAGGGAACCGCCATTGCCCCAGCCCATATAAAGAGGCCGGCGTTACCCAAAAGCTCGTGTGAAGCCATGTTCTAAGCGACGATAACTCGGAGGGCACATGCCCCCACTTTCTTGGCCTCGACCACCGGTCAAGTCAGGCCCTTCCTTTGTCTCGTTACTGTAGTTATGTTGGCCCCATTCGGATTCTTGGCTTTATCGACGGAGGTCCTTAGAAACTGTTGTGGACTCCGGAGTAGTTAGGGTTCTCCCCGCCCCTCGCGGCTCTATAAACATCTTGCCACGCTCGGGATGTTGAAATCGAGCAAGTGGATGGAGGAATATGTTATACAAGAACCTGGAGATGTAGGAACCAATTGCCTTGGTTGGATGTCAGCGATGTCGTGCGACTGTCCGAACCTTGGGCACATGGACAGCCATGATGGTCCGCTGAGAGGGATTCACGTTCTCAGCGAACTGCCAAAACAAGTGTGGCATTTTCCGGTTGTAATCTATAAGAGCAAGGCGGTAAAGGCAGTGTTTCCAAAACTCTTTGGTTCAATGTTGGTTGGCAAGTGTAATGGGAAGCCAGGACGTTGTCTATGTTGCCCCTTACATGCCCTACCCATTCTTTATACATTTCAACGTGAAGAGTACATTTTACCACGCCGCCCTTGCTGTTAGAGGCTACACGAGATACGCCATCTAGGCTTCTCCAGCCACGTACGTAAAGCTTCAACGATACCGAGTGCGTCGGACATTGGTATCAGGCATGATAGTCTGCATCTGGAACAGCGGCAGTCTACGGGTGAGCTGTTGCCCTTGAACCGCACCGAGGCCAAAGTCGGCTACGGAATTGGTTTTGCATCGGCCGGGGCATCACCCCGACCGTCTACTTCGTCTTGACCGTGTCCCCCAGGCTCCTCAGCACGTCGACGGCCCCCGGCGTCTCATACCAGGCCGCATAGCAATACCCGACCATGAGCAGCGCCTCGTCCCTCGATCTTTTGGCATAGGGCCCGCTCGGCCGCTGCAAGACGCCGGCGTCCGGGTTCTCGATGAGCAGGTCCCAAAAGTGCGGGCTGTAGGAGTGGACTACGTGGTACAACTGCTGGATCTGGGTCTTGATGGTGTGGGCTAGGCGCGCCGTCTCGTCGGGCTGAGCCAGCAGGAGCTCGGGCCGCGCCCGCAGAACGGGGCCGACGAGGTGGCCCCGAATAAGGTCGACAATCTCCTGTGGCTTGGCGCCGTAGAGGGCCAGGCCGGCGTTTTGTACTGCCCGCAGGTCGAGCAGGACGCGGACCTTGATGAGGAGCAGGGCGACGGCGTGGCTGATGTCGACGAAGAAGGAGTCCAGCCATACCGCTGGCAGTGGCTCGAGCACGTCGGCATCGTGGATGTCTAGAAAGGGGAGGTCCATGTCGCCCCAGTCGTAGTCGGGATCCTGTCCCGTGGTGGCGTACCATTTGATGAGGTCGTAGGCGTCCTGGTCCCTGGCGAGACGGATATATAAGGCGGGAATGACCTGGCGCAGGCCCATGTTGTCGCCGCGGCACAGGCGCATCATGTCGAGCAGGTGGTCCAGAGCCGTCTGGACAAGTTCGGCCGGACCACCGGCAGTGCCGTAGCTCAGCAGCAGCGAGTCGACGAGGCCGTAGCGCGCGCGCATGTAGGGACGCGTCTCGAGGATGCCCCAGAAGTGGCCGACGCACGTCTCAAACATCCTCTCCGGTGTGAGGGCGTCGCCCGGCATGTCTCGCAACTTGACGTACTCGCGCTCGTAGTGCAAACGGGCCTTTTTGACAACGTTGCAGGCTATCTTGTGCTCGTCGCGGTCGGCGAGCTGGCATTCACGGCCGCAGTAGTAGACGGCCTGGCACGCGGCGCAGCGCTTGACGTTGTCCTTGAGGCGACATAGCTCGCAGGCCCGCGGCGCCAGGCCGTTGAGCTGGTCCACGTCGGCATTCATGATGAGCGGCATCTTGGGCGGCAGCACTCCGTATTGGGGTATGTCTGAGGGCAAACGCGCCAGAGGACGATGAGACGCGTCGTAATTAAGACACTGGATGCGGTACTTCGTACTTGCTTTCAAGGTTCGCACCGCTAGCTGGATATCAACTCCGGTTTGTGTGCCCATCCCCGAACACTCAAGTACCGTATACCTGGTATAAATCAGACATGGTTGTGCTATTATGTTCTAGGCCAAAATCCACAAGAGTGGTGATGAGAAGCAAAAAGAAAGAATCATGCTGCAAAAAGGGGCCAGCCTAGTTGCCGTCGAGGACAGTCTATTGCTCAAGGACGCGTGCGAGGCTAGCCAATGGTCAAGTGCTGAAGGAACACATGACGGCTGTTCCTCCATTGTTTTCTTGCTTTTTCCGTCCTGTCCCTTTTCTTCTCTTTGTTTTGGATGCCGTGCCGCGACATCCTTGGCGGTCCCCAGCCTTTTAACGCTAGCCTGGTGTACTGTAGGTACAGTACGTAGTCCGTTCTGTACGATACAAGTACGAGAGTATGAGCTCGCATAAATGCATACCTCGGTGAAGGATTCCCAGTGGCTGGCGGGTCTTGTCCAATGCACAAAACCTGGCCAGTACTCGGTTCCTTGTTGGAAAGACGGCAAGAAGCTGTGTCCAAAGCGTACTCGTGCAGATATAGCCCAGTTCAGTAGTGTCGAAAGCAGGGGGCACGCGCGTGCACATTCGATACACTTTCTTCTGCGAGCCAACTCTGAGTCTATCAGAGGGCAAACTCCGTCGATGGTGGCATCCCATACAGGTACCTACTAGGTACATACTGTACGTGTATATGCAAGTATGGGGATCTGGCTGCAAGGAGGGGCAAACGGTGCGCTCGCTACTAGCATGTGTGTGCATACCTCGAGGTACGTACATGAGATACGTACCCTGCTCTCCTTTATTAGCCGTCCAACCGTCGCGCGTAGCCAGGAACACGGCAGTTTCTTTCCAAGGGATGAAATTGGATTGAGAATTCCCGGGGCGCACAGGGACTCGACACCTCGTACCACGGACTAAACCGTCAACGGAACTCTAGAGGCTATTCCCTACATCGGGCCCACGACTGGTTACCCTGGCAGAACATAACTGTACGGAACAGCGTTGTACCTTAGGTACCTAGTACCTGTCATGTATCGCTTCACCTTTCTCTGCTGCTCGGGGACTTTGGACCGGTCGCTGCAAAGTAGTCCGTCCCTACCTCGCCAATCAAAGCGCGTTGGTTCCATCTTTTCCTCCCCTTGGGTGCCTGTACCTCGTTGTCCTCAGTAACCCGTGGCGACAGGCCGGTATCTATACCTCCCCCGGGTCACGGTTGCTGCCCGCTCGGCGAGCTCCACCGCTGCTCCACGACCCTGTGCCGTCTGCCAGATGCCAGAGCGGGCACGCCCACTCCCTCGCCCTCAATCCGCTGGCCCAGTCCTGATCCCCCCCCCCCATTCCTCATCCTCGTGGGGGAGAACAGGAGGCGAGAGAAAAAATAACCACCCCCCAACGGGCGAGCTCGGCTCCCTCAGCTTCTCGTTTTCTGCTTCCTTTAGCTCGCTCCGCTTCCATCAAGGGCAGGACGGGCCCTGTGCTATCGCCAACAAAAGACTTTCGGCCGCGGGTCCGCAGCTGCCGTTCGTTGCCCTCGACGACGACGACGACGACGACTGGCTTCCGTGTCCGGAATGAGGCCGCCTTTCGCACGCACTCAGCTTCCTGTTCGGACTGAGTGAAGGCTGCTTGCTGTCCGAGCGACGAGCAACACCAATCGCCTGGCTCTATGACGCTGAAGCACAAGGCACCTGCTGGGCCCCGACCGGCCAACTCGTCTTCGCCTCGTCTGTGAGTGACTTCCTGCTGCACACACCAACCACTCTCTCCTCTTTTTCTCCTCGCCGGAGGAGCTTTTTGCCCCTGCCCCAATTCGACGCCGCCACCGCGCCTCTTGAGCTTCAATAAGGCTGACCTCCAAAGCTCCGCATCCAATCACTCCTCGTCAATTCAACGGGCCTTCGGCCTCGTCGACAACGCCTCCATGCTCACCGCGCCCGCTTCCGGCCACCATCCTCTCCCGCCCGACCGAAATGGCCAGTCTGCACCCTCGACCGCCCCCTACGACTTCTTGCCCTCCGTCAGCTTCGATGACCTCCATGCCAGCATCCAGTCCGCCTCGACCGACTTCAAGCTGACCCGCTTCCCCTCGCCCACCGGAGACGCCTCCATCCTCGACACCTCGGCCATGGCTGACCGAAGGCTGCACTCTCAGAAGCCTGCCGTGGTCGGCCAAGCGCGCGTCGCCAATCCCCCACCAGCCACCAGGCCCGGGCGCTCGGGTTCCATCCTGCGGAGACCTAGCACCTCCAGCAGGCAACCCAGCACATCCTCCATCGTCTCCTCCTCTTCCGGTACCCTCGAAGCCCCCACGGGTCCCACGACCGCGCGGACGCGTCGTCAGAGCCACTACCCTCCCATCTCGAATCCCCATGTTGCGTCCAAGCCTCCTCGCAAATCCATCGGCCCTGGCGTCGTTGGGGACGTAGACGCCGAGAAGCAAGGTTCTCGAGGACGACGCCCCAGCCTGAGGAGTGAACGGGGAGTCGCCCGTGACTCGTCCCGGAGATCTGTCGATGGCTCGTCCGGAACGGTGGCCGACGGGCCGCGGGTTACGGCAACCTCGAGGGCCGCCAAGGCAAAATCCGTGCAACCACCCCCGCGGTTGAGCCAAACAAACACGTTTGCTGCTTCCAGCCTGACCCCGGACCAGAACCCTCTGTCGACTCTTGCTTCGCGCTCGCCACGTGGCGCCGGGAGGGGCATGACGCAGACGTCTGGTGGCAAGAGGGCTTCCATGATGCCTGGCGCCAATCACCCTTCCCATGCCACGGGCCTTGGCGCCAGGACCATCAGTCCCACTGACACGAGGAGGATGAAGAGACTGTCCACAATGCCCCAGTCGCAAAGTCTCAACGCCGTTTCCAACACATTTCCCCCTCCGCCGCCCATCTCGTTGGACTTGCGGGCACACTCCAGGTCTCCCTCCATGATCCCTCGCAGGACATCAGCCACTCCTTCCTCTGCTCGGACTACCCCGGATGCCAGCAATCGCAAGTCGTATAGCTCGGGCCTCTCTGCCGGCTCCGCGACGAGCTTCAACACCATGCGGACTTCCTCGGCCTCGTTGCAACCCCGGCTTCCCCAGTCGTCGTCCACGTCTCGGCTCCCTGCGCCAAAGCACACGACTGTGCACAACCAGCTCCCCGCCGAGGACCAAGAGGACGTTCCTCCGGTTCCGGCCATTCCCAAGGCCTATGAGTCTCCCAAGGATTCCCCGGCCGAGGCGTATTTCACGGAAAGGGGCAAGGCCAGTTTGGGCACCGTCGACTCCCTGGTCGGCTACGGCAATTTGACGGGCAGCATCTCCATGCCCGTTCATCCTGAGCCAACCAAAGCACAGCTGCACAGGACCAGCGTCAGGAAGAGCTCTGCCGTTGACACAACGTGCGCAGACGAGGAGACCAACGGCACTAAGCCGAAAAAGCAGCTTCAGCCTCTCAGGCTGCCACCGCTCAACATTGGTCCCCTGAGCATCCCCACCGCTGCCAAGGTTGCCTCGCTTCAGGACTCAATCGACTCTGGGCGCGACCTAAGCCCTCCGCCCGCGAGGCGATTGCCCAAGACGCCCTCGACTCCGCTGACCGCGTGCAAGAGCTCGTTCTTTTCAAAGAATAAATATGACGACACGCTTGATTTTGCCTTCCTAAGAAGCAGCAGCTCGATTCATCAGACTTATCGAGTAACCCCGACGCCACCAGAGGCAGATTCTTCGGACTCGTCGATAGCTACCTCGGAGAACAACTACAAATCGAGCATATCGCCGTTTTTGTCATCATCACTGCCCAAGGGAGGGGTTGACCACGGCCTTTTCAAGAGGTCAAAAACGGGCGGGGACTACATCACCCTCACTGGAAACGAATTTGACGATGCGGTTCAGCGAAAGCCTGCCGGCCCTAGGGGACCGAGCCTGGACATGCCAATACCCAAGTCCCCGCCGCCTTCGGATCCCATTCCGGAGACTCCTCAGACTCCGTCGTCGATTAACTCGCTGCGGAGAAAGCTCAGTTTATCGTGGAAGCGCAGCAGCCCCAAGGGCAGCACGACCGCCTCGGGCGATACTGCGGACAAACCGGCAACGCGACAGCAGGCCAGGCAAGAGAGCATGCCGCCCCCTCGGATCCCTGCGTCCGCCACGAATATCAACCTGCCAAGCGCGAAACGTCGCGGTCCGAGTCCTACCGCAGCCCCCAATGGTACTTATTTGGAGTCCAGGAGACGCAAAAGCTCTGCGGCAAGCTTGACCCCCCACTTCACCCACGACAGAGTGCAAAGCGACACTTGGACCAGCAGTAGGAAGGCCATTGGCGACTCAAACACGTTGCCCACAAGCCACAGTTTCGGGGGTGTCAACAAGGCTCTGAAGCCAAGGACCTCGCTGAGCGCTTTCAGCAGCGGAGGTTATTCGGCCACCGAGCTAGACAAGGATGACTTGGCTGCAGAGGAGGAAATGCGCAAGATGGGCTCTCGACGCAAGGAAACAGAAGTCGCTGCCAGGGCTCTCGATGCTCTGAGAATGCGGGCGACGCCGAAGGAGCGCGTCAGCCCCAAAGAGGCCATCCGCATAGCCATGCTGAACATTTACGAGCGCGGGGAGATTATCGACTTCGGGGACATCTACTTTTGCGGCACGCAAAACGCCCACAAGGTCGTGGGAGACGTGCAGTCCGATGCGCCCAACTTTGGCTACGACGACGAGCGCGGAGACTACACGATTGTTCCGGGCGACCACCTCGCATATCGCTACGAAATCATCGACGTGCTGGGGAAAGGCAGCTTTGGCCAGGTTGTTAGGTGCATCGACCACAAGCTGGGAGTGCTTGTCGCCATCAAGATCATCAGGAACAAAAAGAGGTTCCATCAGCAAGCTCTTGTCGAGGTCAACATTCTGCAGAAGCTTCGCGAATGGGTAAGTCGTGCTCGCGCCGCGGCGCCGACGTCGTCTTGTCGACTCGCCTCACGTATTAACTCGCTTCACAGGACCCCAAGAACAGGCACAGCATGGTCAACTTCACCCAGCACTTCTACTTCCGTGGTCACCTCTGCATCTCGACCGAGCTGCTGGACATGAACCTCTACGAGTTCATCAAGGCCCATGCGTTCCGGGGCTTCTCCTCGCGCATCATCCGGCGCTTCACGAAGCAGATACTCAGCTCATTGATCCTGCTCAAGCAACGCAAGGTGATTCATTGCGACCTGAAGCCTGAGAATATCCTGCTGCGGCACCCTCTGCATTCCGAGATCAAGGTCATCGATTTTGGATCCAGCTGTTTTGAGAACGAAAAGGTGTATACGTACATTCAGTCTCGCTTCTATCGGTCGCCCGAGGTCATACTCGGCATGACGTACGGGATGCCCATCGACATGTGGAGCGTTGGCTGCATCCTGGCGGAGCTGTACACGGGAGTTCCCATCTTCCCGGGCGAGAACGAGCAAGAGCAGCTCGCTTGCATCATGGAGGTGTTTGGGCCGCCGGAGAAGCACCTGATTGAGAAGAGCACGCGGAGGAAGCTCTTCTTTGACTCTGTTGGCAAGCCGCGGTTGACCGTCTCGTCCAAGGGCCGCAGGCGGCGCCCCTCGTCCAAGACGCTGCAGCAGGTCCTCAAGTGCGACGACGACGTCTTTGTCGACTTTTTGGCGCGCTGCTTGCGGTGGGATCCCGAGCGGCGGCTGAAACCTGAGGAGGCCATTCGCCACGAGTTCATCACCGGACAGAAGCCTGCACCCCCGGCCGCGCGCGTCCCTACCCGAGATTCCTCTCCGGTGAGACGCAGCAACACGATATCCACGCCGCGGCCGTTGCCGGATCCGCCCGGCGCTGCGGGCAAAGTAATGAGCGCCGTCGCGCGCACGGGTGCCAGCCCCCATAAGCCGGTGTCCGGGGCTGCGCGACGCATTTCTGGCGCCACGGCAGCCACTGCCGCGAGCATCAACAGGCGAACCAGTGCGGGGAGCGGCGCCATCAGTGGCTCCTCGAGCGGCCTCCCTCGAGCAGCGGTGAGGGTGACGAGCGGGAAACAGGATCTCGCCGCCGCGGGAGCCACAGCTGCCATGAACCGTCGAGCGTAGCCCGCAAGATCGGTGACAAGGTATGCGTGGCCCGGGGTCAAGTTTGCGTTGGGACCGGCAACGTGAACATGACGAGCTTGCGAGGTATTGAGCGTCAGGTGGAAGTGCATCAGGCGAGGCGCAAATGCATGGGTGGAATGGACTCGACAGCCTCGAGAAAATCGACAAATCGTCTTGTCCCGCCCCCGAGAATTTTTCCTTATTTTTCCTTTGGCCTTAGGTCCGATACCCGTCGGCATCATTTTGATATTCTCACAGCCCAGACGGGACGGCGGCTATGATGGCCATGGGGTTTCTTCCGATAGTTACTCGCCTCACGGCCGACGAACGCTAAACGAACATGGCTCCAAGTTGGGAGCAGCAAGACGGGAGGGCACTGGCTCTGCCGCTCACCGCTGTGTATACTACTCATGAGGGGAGGGGCTAGGTGATATGCCCAAGGCTTGATGATTCTGCGCTGGGTGGCGAGGCGAGCCTGGCAGAGAGTGGGCGGCGGTAGGATGGGGAGGTGATGCTCCTCGTTGCTCGGGTTGGAGACACTGGGAAGGGCCAGGCAGGCCACTCTGTCGTTATTACACATAATGCCTAGATCCATCTAGGACATAGACAACTCTTGATACCATTGGCTTCGTTTCACACTAACTATGAGGCCTCCATGATATTGGTGACGAGAGCGATTACGTCGGCGAGGGGGGCATGGGCGACCAGCATCAAATGCGGCGTGGTGACGTCCAGAAGCCTTCACCACACACGCACACACACGCACACACACACACTCCTTGACCCGGACTAGTCTGGACTGCGCGGCACTGGGGGGGAGGTCGGCAAAGGGAAGATGGTGGACACAAGTGGAAAGGGGGTAGAATGGCGGAGTGACGGATGATGAGGTACTGGATAGACAAAAGGCAACAAGACTAACGCGAAGTACAATTCAATGACGATGATTATGCGGATAAATACGAAACAAGAATAATAGGGGAAGGCAGCGAGCGAGAGCTTACAGGCGCAGTACCACGGGCTAATAAAGCACGGCGTCTGTCCGATGGGGCCTGGAGGACAGGAGGAAGAAGACGAAGGAGAAGAAGGAGTGCTCTAGTTCTGGTCTGTCGTGCCGCGGTGGCCGTCATGCTGAGGGAAGGACTGGACGGGGTGCGTGCCTCGGAGGCCGCTCGTGAGGGGCAGGGACAGGAGACGGGGTTTGGATAGCTCTCGTCGTGACGTCTCATAGGACGATGCGATTACGAAAGTATAAAAAATAAAATAGAAAAGAATAAAAAGTAGTGGTGGTGGCTCCTCGTCCATATTCTCCGTCGACGGTAATCTACTTCGTACACGTCTAGGTAGCACATGCACATGCTGTACGGAAATAGGCGAACGCTAGCCGCAAGGGGATGCATCTTTCATACATACGTAGGTCATTGGCACTAGAGCTCTTTCCCTCCTCGCTCACTTAGGCATCGAGACGGGACACGGCGGAATCAGCACGTACCAGAGCGAGGCGTCTAAGCCATGCCGACCGAGGAAGGGGGGGATGGCGTGGGTGCGTGCATGCAGGAGCAGCAATGGGCGAGGAGGAAGGGCGTCTCGTCTTTGCCTCGGTCCTACGGGGGAAGAGAGGAAGACGGCGACGAGTGAGTGAGTGAGTGACATCAGTTGAGAAGGGCGGCTCTTGGTAGCCAAACCGAGGTTGGTACCACTAAGCACTTGAAGGTCCTTTCGGCGGCGGGGACACAGTCACTAGCTGCCGGGTGCCGGATGCATGAACGAGCAGCAGAGTCAGAGGGGGCTAAGAATAATAAGAAAGCGAGTGGATGCGCAGTCACCGAGGTCAACGGAGAAACGCTGACGGAGACGACGACACGAAATGGTTGGCGGCAATGGGAGGGTTATACCGACGAGCGACCGGCCACGAGGTCGACTTTTGCTCACGCCGCCGGGGACTCCGGACACGGCTCTCGGGGTGGAGAGGAGGAGCCAGCCAGCGAGAAGCCCAGCGAGAAGCCCAACTCCACAGCGGGGCCAGCAGACACGGAACGGGGCGCAGCCCACCCATCCAACCCATTCTAGCCCGGGCAACATGTGGCGCGCAGACATGCACAAGTACCCTTTCAGGGTCCCAGGGCCCGCCGCCGTTCAAACGGTTGCGGGACGAGGCTGGAGAAGGAAACGAAGAGGTCGCGCGTTGCCAGAGCCTCGGCTGTTGTTGTTGGTGGTGGTGGTGGTGGTGGTGGTGGGAAAAGGCAACTAGGCTGCTTGCCGATGGAGACAAGGTTTCGAGCTCCGACATGCGACAGATGAGGATGCAGGTTTGCCTTGTACAACGGGACAAAAGAGCAATTCCCGGCCTTCAAGAAGCTCGCGACGCGGACCCGCCGGACCTTGAGGCGTTGTCGGTCACTTCATCCTCTGGTGTCGGCAGACTTGCCATGACGATGACCTCTGCCACGTCCGTCGGCAAAGAGTCATGTGTAGTCGCACCCTTACAAACTTGGTGCTTTGTACAACATTGGTCCATCTGTCGAGTTGGAAAGGGTTCCGAGGTGATGAGTGTTGCGCACCGACGCAGCCTCGGAGCGGTTTCGACTCCAAGGCACCGGTTCAGGCGCCTCGCCTCTTCCCTGCCTGCAGGTCGTCGCGTCGGAGCTGCGCCGAAATGAGATTACCACCGAGTACAAAGTACTCCTTGGCCTGTTGACACGGCAGAAAACCGCACCAGGACCATGCTGAAGAGGGTAATTCCCATCAAGAGTCCAGGGTCCAACTGAGCATTCATCCGTGGCTGCTGTGGCTTTCTTACTCGGCACCCTGATGTAGCGTTGGCGGTGCTTTGCGTGCGTTTGTTATCCACCGTGGCGTGATCTGAGGGTCAAAGTTCCCCAACGGTACGGGCTTGACGGCCTCGCTTGTCTTCGATTCTCGTTTTCCGGTAACTGTATGTGGCTTTCTTTGTTACCGATCCAACGGCAAGGTGCCTTGGCGGGGCAGTCCAAAAACCTCACGCAGCGACACTCCACTATCTGACAAGACATGTGTTAGACATGCATGCCGTCCAAGACATGCTGTTCCATGTCGACCACCGAGAACAGCGGGGGTCCGAGTCCACACTTGGTGGCCTTCGCGTCAAGAGCCTCAGGGCCTACCCATACTATAGTTGTCCTCGGGATATGTCAGAGGGGAATGCTGTGCAGCCATGACGACACCACCCGGGGGCAGATGAATCGACAAGACGGGGGGGGATGGGGACAGAGGAGGGGGCGTGGCTGCAGCGCCATGGGTGCGGCTTGTCAGCGTCGTTGCCGACTACTGCCAGTCCCTGGTTTTGGCGAGTACCTGATCTTGGGCGAGGCTTCTGTCATCGTGTCCCTTGCTCGTTTTCCTGTTGATGCTTTCTTTTTTCCCCTATTTTTGGAGAGGGGAACTGCGAAGACAAGCGTGCGGGGCTTGACATGTTTGGCCGTGCAGGGGAACAAGCCGTTTCCCGATGACAAGCAAGGGACCGGTGGACTCGCAGCTCTGCGCAAAGACAGCTGGCCCGGACATGTCGAGAGAGCCGGGCTGTTGGTAGTTCCTCGAGGGCATACGCAGGTAGTCAGCAGGCGGCGAAAGCAACAGAGTGATTGCATAGGACCGAGGTCTCTCTCTTGTCATCAAGTGCCGGGCTGCGGAGGATTGCGCTTGGCGGCGTCGGTGGGGCGTCGGTGCGAGCGGCGGCGCCGTGCTGCTGGCATATAATCAACTGTAAAGGAAATAGTATTAGAATAAACTAGAGTCAGCGCATGCCGTCATGATGGGGTTCTTTCGGGCGAGTTGGGGAACGCTTTGCTGCATTGGTGCCTGCTGCCTGCCACCACCACCAAAGGACAAGGTGAGGTAGCGAATACCGTCAGGTGTGTGTGCACGCATGCAGGTCCGCGGTGGTTTGCATGCGAATGGTGTTTTGGTTGATGGGATGAAAAAGCTGACGTCAAGGGGTCAGCATCGCGAGCTGTCCCAGGCAGCGGGGAATCCACAGAGAAGAAGAAGACGTTGTGCGCGCTGAAGCCCTAACCCGTGACCGACCCCTCCTCGTTCCTTCCTCTCTGTCTCTGGTACGCGATTTCGACGAGCGTCTTTTCCTGCGTCATTTCCTGCGTCCTTTCCTGGGTCCAGCACCATCTCATCTCTCAGGCTCCCCCTTTTTCCACCTTCTCTCCGTGGCCCGCATCGCAAACATCACGAACCCGTCCCATCATCCGACCCAACACCCGCCCAGCAGGTCGACGCCACGCCCCCCCTCGCCTCGTCTCGTCTCGCCTCCCCACGCTTCAGCCCTGTGCTGCAGGTCAAATTCCAGGCCCCCAACGCCCGCCTCCACCCACAGGGCACACTCGTCTTGTTGCACGCACACGCCCCCTCCCCGATTGAGGACCAATTGGTGACTCCCTCCCGCCGAGCCAAGCTTTTTGCACTCTTCACCTTGTCTATTCTTGCGCCGCTGCGCCATGCCCACTCACCATGCCTCCGTCCGGCTCCTTCGAGGCCTGCAGCCCTGGAGGTAGTCACCTGTCAGACTCGCCAACGGCCTTCAAGCCCTCGCTGGTGCCTTGTCGACGACATGGCCCGCCGAGCAAGGCGTGTCGGTAAGCCACCTCTGTCCACGACTCTCTTGGCTGAGCCCCATCCGTCACTGCCTTTCTCTAGGCTGCCGAGTCTATAATATAAGGCTGCGATGCCTCTCGCTCCACCCGGCATCCACTCCCATCCTCATCTCATCTGTCAAGGCTATAAGCACTCTCTTTAAACCCAGTTCATCGTCCTGCTTGTTCACGCTTCCCGTTTGCTTCACCGTTACTCGTCCACGACTCTCTTCCATTCGCCGTCTGGCCGTTCACGTCTGGCGCCCATATCTGCCTCGTTTTGCTCTCGATTCCTCCCTCGCCGTCCCCGAAGGCGGCCTTGAGACGACCAGAGCACCCTTGGACGGCATACCGTCGACATCATGTGCTACCAAGTCGTTGAGCTCTACTCGGCCTGCCGCTGCCTCTACTACCAGCACGCCATTGACCGGTGTCCTTCGTACGGCGGGCGCGGCCATGGCATCCAGAGGCGCGTCATCTACGTTGGATACGCATGCAGCGCTCACTCGACCCGCACCGCACAATATGCCACGCCCTACACCTACTCCGACTCGGGCTATCACAGCGGCGGCTCCGCCCGGAGGGGCCATCGGTGAAACGTGCTGTCTTCGCTAATGGGCTGCCAGTCCGGGCCGCTCCCGAGGCTGGTCCTTTTCGACTTTGCTGGCTGGGTGCGCCATTTGTACTCGAACAATCCGTCACAGCTGTCCGTTTTGCTGGTCGAACACCGCCGTCAAACGACGTCCTCCGAGTGATCCAGGCACACGCAATCATCGTTGCGGCCCTTCATGTCTGCCAACTCGCGGCTTCCCAATGTACAACCTTCCGCCTCGAGCCCCGCAGCTCGTTTGTCGAAGACACACAACAACAAAAGAAAAGAAGAGAACCCCGTAAATCGGCCTGTTCTCATCAGCAGTTCACCTTCTTGTTTCTCGTCGACGCACAGGACTGAGCCTCGGACTCATCCCTTGTCAAATCACTCTGGCGTTGAAGAGAATCCCATCTTCCAACAAAGCTTTATCCATGCACTTCGACAACGCTGTTTCCCTCGCGAAAACAACTCTTCTCTTGTCTTTCTTCTCTTCAAGAGCCCTCGCCTTGTTACAATCCCCCACCCCTTGCCCCCCTTCCTTTTTTTTACCCGTCCGGCATAGCGTTGATAGATCTCTTTTCCCCCACTTTCTCTCTCGCCGCTCTGGCAACAGGACGGCGGGCGACTCAGGAATACGACGGCATGGGGTTATGTTTAAAACGAGAGCAGCCAGGCGTTTGGGGCATTACGAGCTATGCTTAGAAGCCAAGACTACTTCTTTGCGCTCAGGTTGGTCCACGAGGAACGTTTTGGGGACCATGGTGATGCTCCAATGTCGCCTCTGGGAGCCTTCTGGTCATGCTCGATTCTCACGCTTTCCGTCTTGGATGATTTTTGCTTTACTTTTGTGTTTGTTATGGGGAAGTAAAGGTGATGCAGGCTTGCATCAGGGAATCTTGCGCAGGTCGCAATCGGCCATGTTCATGGACGGCAGGTACCGTCACTAGGGGATTAGAAAACGGGGTTAAAGCACTGGATGCTGCTGCTCCATCTATACAATACAAGAAGCCATTTGCTTAGCAGAGAAGGCGCGATGTTGCGTGGCTGTGTTACAGACCAGTCTGTCGCGGGTCAGACGTCAGCAAAAAAGCAGACAGGTCAATCCGATGTCTGTCTGGGACGGACGGGCGTCGGCTATGAAGCGGGCGGATGCGAACGGGTCCGCCATTGGATCAACGGGTACGTATTCGTAAGTACAGACGGGACACCGGTGACGGGCCACGGAGCCGAGGCGAACACGGGAGGCAGTCAGGCTATAAGCACTCGTGGTGGTTAAAAATAGATGAGTTGCCTGATTGGGTGACGGGGCGCCGGGGGCGGGTGAGCTTTGGCTTGTAGTACATATAAGCGTTTCCTCTGCCACTAGAGGAGGGAGGAGGAGGCGGAGGCGGAGGGTGGCTGTAGGAGACTCTTTGCCGGCTTGCACCCGGGCGACCTCGTACTGGTTACTGATCGTGCTGCAGCAGTCAGGCAATGGATGTGTTTGGCGTCAACTGCCGGCCGGTGGTTGGGTTCAAGCCGAGGTGCACCTAAGAGAACACCCAACTAATACTGGGTACCTGACCTACAACACCCAGGTAAACCGCTGACTTTGCCCCTGGATAACCACGAGGCTTCTTTCTGCCTGGTCGGGCGGGCAACGGCCCAAGCCGTCAGCCGGTCCGTTGATGCGTACGAGATGTATGTAGTGTTATGCCTTGGCTCAGTCATGGACTCTGCTTCAGACGCTGACGGAACGATGGAGGCACTGAGGTGAGCTTACTGTAATACCTAGGTACCTACAGTGGGGTAATTAGTGTTACCCCACCGAGCTCTCTCTGCCGGAGCTCGCTTCCCTCCGCTCGGGCCGATGGATACGGTGTGTGCGCGGCACTGTACGGTGCACTGTGGCTGTGCCTTGGGCGCTTGCTCCACTTGTCACAACAGCTGCTTAGTGCGGATGGAAAGATGCAGTCGGCTTCACCACTTGCCGAGCGAGTCGCGCTGCAGCTCGTCGTCTGGCTCCTCCCTCTTTGTCTCGTAATTCACCCATGTGTCCAAAATGGAAAGAAGCCCAAGTCGCGTCGCTTGCCGTGGCGAGGGAAGGCGCTCTCGCCTTGCTCCGACGCATGCCTCGACCTCGACAGATTCTGGTCCTTTGCTATCCCTCGACATCGCCAGCATCCTCGTATCCCTCATCCCTCTCAAATCGCCTCCTCCCCTCCCGTCTCCGGGGCCCTGATACGTCCTCTGCTACTTTGCATTCTTTCTCGCGTCTTCGTTTCTTGGCGGTTCGCTCTCTCACCACCAGCCATCGAGCAATCCTAGGCTGGCACCATCACTTCTAGCTCCTCCCTTCTCGGTCCCGGGCCGTCGACATCGTGTCCTTTCCCCAGCCGCTGCCGTCCAAGTGCTTCCACCCCGGACCGGCGCTCGGCCGCTTCTCGTCGACTTCAAGCAGCTCAAGGCAAAGCGGCAATGTTCTCCGCGCTTTTCATCCATACCCAGGCCTAGAAGCCCCTCGCCGACGCGGATATGGAGGCTGGCGATTTCGACGTCACCCCAACCCCAAGTAGCCGCCCCTCTCGGTCAGCGCTTCGGGCTGACAATGATCATGACTCTGCCTCGACCCTCGCGTCCCCGACGGGAGCCGCTGGTGTCCGACATCACTTGTTAAAGACGTCGGCCAGTGGCCCCACGATAGTGGACAGAGATCTGCCAGCACCGCCCGTCCTTGATCAGGCTCCAGTCGCGAGCGACACCCTTGTTTCCTCGCAATACCCAACAACTGAGCCAGAGAACAAATCCGCTGCGTCTTCCACGCCCTCTCCCGCCTTCTCCACCGCTCCTCACCTGGCCGGGGAGCACGGCAACACGCCATCGCAATCCCCTAGGCTCTTGGTCGATCGCGCTCCGAATCGTCTCCTTTACCATGTGGGTGGACCTGGTCAGTCGAGTCAGGCTCTGAGCCCGGACGTGAATGCCGAGCTCGGTGACTCTGGGCCTTCGACAACAGGCTATTCCTCATCTCCACGGGCTATTCCTTCGCGAGACCCGGCCAATGCCATGGCGCCGGAAGAGGGCGGCAAGCGGCCCGCCGCATCTGGTGAGGGTGTCCGTCCTAGTGGTGTTGGGGCAGCAGCCTTGGAACATGCCGGTCGCTCCCGTGTCTCCAAGGTTCGTCCAGCCTTCCAGTCCTATCCGACCCATCACCCAATCATAGCCGGCCAAGGCCACGGGCTTGACTATCACCCATCGCGCAACAAAGTTGGCCCCTTCGACGCCAAGCTTCAAGGCCCGGCCGCCCCTGATCACGAAGAGCTCATGTTCTTTTCAGGGTCATCAACTGCGGTGTCCCTGCGTGACATGCATGACACACAGCCAAGAGACGGTTCGCCTCCGAGTACCGCTGCCACCGCCTTGTCTGACATGTGTCGTGGCCGCTTCCCAAAAGTTCAGGCCGCTGTGGAGATTCCGGAAACGGAGCGATCCCTCGAGAGGGACACATCTCGAATCGCTAATTCGGTGGCTCCAAGCCACGAGCTCGGCTTCTCTGCATCCAAGGTCCGGCCATTCGTCACTTTGCTGGACCGGCCTGACCATGCCTCTTCGTATCCAGTCTATGAATCCAAGGCAAGACCTATGGCTAGCTCCAAGAGTCCTGGGAGGCAGCTCCAAATGGAAGGCATCGATACCAAGGGCGCCTCGTCATCACCCCCACATGAAGCAGTGCGGGTTCCAGTCGCCAAAGCCAAACCTTTCACCGACAGTCCTCGGGATGCCGTTAGTTCCCACCAAACGCATCATCACCACCTTCCGAAAGCACAGGCTTTTACGGGCCGGCTGGTCCCTTCCGCCTTTCCATCGCAAGGCGCACTGGATCAGTGTCAGAGATGCCAACCCCCCGAAGACGTGCAAGGGACGAGCCCCATGGTCCCGACCGCACGCTCAGCCCAAGAGCCCGCCAGGGGCGCAGGCTTCCCCACAGAACAAGTGTCTAGCAAGCATTCAATTTCAGTTTGCGATGAGTATCCTACGTACCCTGGTCCGGAACCGCATTCCATGGACACGTGCCAACGTTTTCCCCCGTACCTGGGACAAGGCCAAAAAGACGTCAGCGAGCAGTACAGCCAATACATGACGCCACTTCCGTCCCGAACAAGCCCGGATCAGCATCAAGTTGCTCAAACCTCGCCGCTCCTCCGAGATGACAGTCTAGCACGGCACGGTCGAGTCTTGCAAGTCACTGCTCCGGAGAGACCCTATCCGAGTCCTGAAGACGATGGATTTGTCACAAACGCCTTGTTCGGCGGCCCGTCGTCAAGAGGGCAAGCACCTTCCAAGTTCGCGGGTGGATTTGGCTTGTCGGAAGCTTCTGATTCTGCTCACGGGATAATACACGCCCCGATTCCTGTTTCGAAAGTGCGGCCCGCTTTCCAAAATCATGTGTTCAGGGAGTATGCCGGTCACACTCCAGTCTCCAAGGCAAGGGTTGCAGAAGACAGCTGCTTTGCCCCAACGCCTTCCGATGATCATGGCGTTGATCTAGAATCCGGCAAGTTTCAGAAGGCCGAGAACGACAGTCTTTTGGGAGAGCAAGGGGCAAAGGCGTCGAGTGGGACCCCGGGTCGTCGCCAGTCCCTCGGCTCTGCTCTGGACTACAAACGCACAGCACACTGGCTTCGGGACGTTCTGAATAATCGCGAAAGCTATACGACAAGGTTCACGGAGCGCCCCGCCAAGAACAAGCAAGACCCGTCCGTCTTGCCCGAGCAGAGACGGAAATCGGAGTCTATGCTGTCCAACATCCTGTCTGCCCGTCGTTTGACCCGAAACTCGTCACAGAGCACCAGGAAGAGTGTAAAGTTTGATGGACGTGGCTTCAAACGAGCCGTCAACGACCTGGAAAAGCTGTTGAATGAGGCTCTTGCCATTGCGTCGCACGTCGTCGACCGTCCGGGAACCCCTGCACGCAAGGGATGCAAGCCGCCGTCCTCCAGCCTTCGCTCCCGCCGCCGAAGCGTTTCGAGTGGCAACATGGGCTCCGAAGGTTCGCTGGTAAACCTCACCCCTGCCTGTGCCCAGGAAACGGCTGGGAGCATGGAAGAAGTGGAGCTGGACGAAGTTGCTCGCCCAAAGAGGCCGACTTGTCGACACGCAGCAACATACTCGGGTCTCTCCAGGCGGCCGCGGCTGAACGAGATTCTCCAGAGCTACTCTGGCGAAGACGTTGAGACCAAGACGAGGGAATCTACCCGCGACCTCGACCATGCACACGAGGCTTCCCTATCAGGTCCCAAGGTCGCGTTCGAGGTACCGTGCCGGGATTCCAGCAGGCATATGCGGGTACATGTCGTCACGAGAACCGACAAAGGCAGCATCGCAGGCGACGGAAGCAGCGAAAGCTCGCATTTCGTGGCCAAACACGGTGACCTACCAAGTCTCCCAAGGGAGATCGTGGCCCAGCACAACACTGAACCAAAATCTCACCGCGGCCGCGCAGGGGCTGGTGGGATCAGGAGGGCTGCCGGCCAACATGTCGCCCGGAGAGCCCACGCAACTCGGCGAGATGCAGGCCAAGGCGAGGAAAATCTTCCCGAACGTGACATTGCCGGTCGTCCGATGCGCGCTGAGCACGGCATCAGCCTCCGGCGGCGGTCTCACGTGAGTCTGCGAGACGCGCCGGGATTCAGCCTGGCCAAGTCGCGCAGGCGACAGCCAACAGCGAGAGACTGGTCGCCCATCCGGAAGAGATTTGTCGCGGCCGTGGCATGCATAAGCACGGCTCTGGTCGGTGTCATCCTGGGCATCTATGCGGGCTTGGTGCCCTCAATCCAGTACTACATTATCGACCAGTCCCATGCCACAGTCCACGGAAACACGGGATGCTTCTTGGGCTTGGCCGTGCCAACCTTGTTCCTCTGGCCGTTGCCGTTGCTCCATGGGCGGAAGCCTTACATCCTGTCCAGTCTTGTGCTGGCGATGCCGCTGCTATTCCCTCAGGCTCTTGCGGTCAACTCACAGAGGCTCACCAATACGCAATCGTGGCGGAGCATGCTGCTTATCGCCCGGACGCTCATGGGCGCTTCACTGGGGTTTGCGAGCATGAACTTCCATTCAATACTCACCGACCTCTTTGGGGCGTCTCTGATGAGCGTGAACCCGCATCAAGAGGTCGTCGACCAGTACGATGCCAGACGACACGGCGGCGGCATGGGCGTCTGGCTTGGCATTTGGACTTGGTGCTGGATCGGGTCCCTCGGCGTCGGCTTTCTCGTCGGCGCCTGCATCATTGACAGCTATCCTCCGGCGTGGGGCTTCTACGTCAGCATCATCATCATTGCCGTCGTGCTGTTCCTCAACGTCGTGTGTCCAGAGGTTCGCCGATCCGCCTTTCGCCGCTCGATTGCCGAGGTGAGGACGGGGAGCGACATTTCACGGCGAATCGCTCGAGGCGAGATCATGATGCACCGAGTCAAGACCGGCCCAAAGTGGTGGGGGCAGGAGGTTTACCACGGCCTCGCCCTGTCCTTTGAGATGCTGCGACAACCAGGCTTCGCCATCCTGACGCTCTATTCCGCCTGGATCTACGCCCAAGTGGTACTCATCATTGTGCTGCTAGGGTCTTTGGCTTCGCGGCTCTACCAGCTTCGATCTCCCAAGATTGGCCTTCTCGTTGGCTCCATGGCTCTCGGGGCCTGTCTCGCGATTCCATTCCAAAAGGCAAACGTCTTTTCGAGATCGCGCCAAGCGCAGATGAACAACAACTTGGCAACGCTGAACCGAAAAGTGGCGTGGTCTTCTCATCTTGTCCGCCGGACCATCTTTACTCTTCTCCTGCCGCTCGCAGGCATCTGCTACGCCGCCGTCTCTTCGGGTCCGCCATTGCACATCAGCGTCCCGACCTTGTTTGCGGGGTTTGTAGGGTTCCTCTCATGCCTCGCCATTGCAGAGTGCAACGGACTGGTCATGGAAAACTTTGACTGTTCCGACCTATCATCGGGCATGGTTGGGCGACAGCGTGGCGGGTCCGGAAAGAATCAGCAGAAACGGACCAACTACTCGTCGTTTCCGCGGGTCACGGCAGGCTTCGCCGTCATTCACGGGCTTGCCTTTGTTCTCGCCGCTGGGGCAACAGCTCTCGGCGGACTCGTCACCCGGACTCTGGGCCAGCAAGTTTCCACTGGCGTGGTGGCGGGCATCCTCTTTATACTCTCAGTCATGCTTCTCCTCGTTCTCATCCGCTTCACAGAGGTACAGATCATACCCCAGTGCAAGTCTGAGGCGATGGACAAGCTGGTCGAGGCCCGACGACGGTCGAGCACCCGCCGAGCGTCGATGCCCAACGACCCCCTGGCTATCATGGAGGAGGAAATGGCCTGGAGACCGGTCATGATCGGCAACCCGACGGGGAAAAAACGCCGCATGAACATTCTCGAGCTCGGCGGCCTCACTCGCTGGAACGAGATCCGCAAGAAGAACAAGCTCATTGACGAGGGCGCACACTTGAATCGAGCAGCCTGGGACCAAGGCATGGAAGCCCTCGATGATCAGATGAGCGACCTCCAAAGAGACGCGCGAGAGTTCTTCGGCATGAGCAGCGGGAGGAGCAAGGGCACGAGACATCTGCGTCGCACAGACGAAGGGAGCGAGACGGCAGACGAGTCCATGGAGATGGAGAACATTGAGATGCCAAGGGCGGGGGCGGCTCCGCGTGGGCGGGCTCGCCGCCACCCGGAGAGATGTGCCATGAGCCAGACCAGCGGAGAGGAAGGTGAAGAGGCGCGGGGGGCGCGGCACCGCCATTGAAGGAGACAATTCCCTGTGGAGGGACACAGACGTGAGCAACGACTGCCTGAGCCTGCCAGGGATTGGGGATGGAGAGCAGAAATCCTAAGTCCGTTGTAGATAGTATTGTGCAGAATGCCCTTGACTCCCTATATATACACGCCTTGACAAGCCAATGGCCCGTGATGTAGATGGTGATTATATTCCAATTTGCCTCATGTTTGTCTCTACAATTCTTTACTAAGCGCATCCCCCTCGAGGTATATGAAAAGAAGAGCGAGCATGCTTGACAATGAATGAAGACACGATAGAGACGCCCGGCAAGGCATTTTGGGTGACGTGTCGACAAAAAAAGGGAAGGGGGGATACACGAAGAACCGCGTCCACGGGCCCGCTAGCGCACATTGGGGTAGAGGTGCTCGCCGCGGCGGGTGGGTGTCAGCCTGGGCACCCAAGAGGGCGCGGCGGCTCCGTCGTCGTCGTGGCCGGGCAAGGGGCGCGGGGTGACGAGTTCGGGGGACAGGTAGAGGGGCCCGGGGGTGCTCTGGCGGCGCCAGGGTCTGCTGTTGTTGCCGCTGGTGCCGCTGGGCTGCTGCTGCTGCTGCTGCTGCTGCTGACTGTGTTGCTGTTCGTGCTGCTGTTCGTGCTGCTGGGTTGCTGGGCGAGGAGGAGGACGGTGGAGGAGGGGGTCCGTCGTGGTGGTGATGGACATGTGGGCGGCGCGGGCGGGGCCGAGGCGTTTGACGATGAGGGAGGAGGAGGAGGCGGAGGAGGAGGAGCACGAGGGCTGCGGAGGGGGCGGACGGGGGGGCGTGTCGTGGGGTTGGGGGTTGGGGAGGGAGTGTTGTCTTTGGTGGTGGTGGTGGTGCGGCTGCTGATGCTGGTATCGATGCTGATGCTCACGGTCATGGTCATGATCGTGGTCGTAGTCGTAGTCGTCGTAACGGTAATAATAATAGGGGTCGTGGTGGCCTTGCTGGCGTCGCGGCTGGGAAAGCCAGGGGGTCACTGAGGACGGGCGAGAGGGACGAGGCCGAGGCCGGGCGGGCAGCCCGGAGGTCCAGTTGGGCGGTGGGCGACGGGGCTGCTGCTGCCGCTGCGCGGGGCCATGCTGGATCCGATGCTGTGCCTGCTCCGCCGGGTACGGGGACGGCGCCTGTCGCAGCGACGCGACGCGCGAGGCAGACGGGAGGTGGCCCCTGTCGCTCTCGTCGGGGGGGGACGTCGACGGCCTGACGAGGCGCACCGTCGAGGAGGAGTCGGGTAGATGCGGCCCGGCGTCGTCGTCTGTGGCACCGCCTCCTCGCGCCATGGCAAGCTGCTGCTGCTGCTGCCTCGCCGGCCGGGGGCCGTGTCCTGGTACTAAAGAAGGATGGTGATGATACGGGTACTGGTTGTGGAGGTGGGGGGGGGCGCCAAGCAGGAGGAGGGGCCGGGCGCCGGCGGGTGCTCGCGAGGAGAGCCTGCGGCCGCCGACGATGCGCGGATACGACACGGGCGAGCGGCGGACGGCGCCCGAGCGCGGCGACTCGGTGACGGGCGACAGCGGCGACTCGGGATGCTGCGGCGGGCCGTTGTCGTCGCCGCCGCCGCCGTCGTCATAGCCGTAGTAGTCGTAGTCGCAGCCGTCGTCGTCGTCGTCGGACAGCGTGGCAATGGTGGTGACGCCGCTATCTGCCGAGACGGCGCGCGGGCGGCGCGTCTGGCTCAGCCGGGCCGACGAGAACAGCGGTCGCGGGGGAAAGGCTCGTTGCCGAAGCTCGGGGCTGGTCAAGACGGCGGCCGACGGCGGCGGCGGCGGCGGCGGCGGCTCAGCAGCCCGCGCGCCAGGCCTCGTCGTCAGCGTCCTCGCGGCAGCTCCATCTGGCTGCGGCTGCGGTTGCTCGGCCGCCGTCAGGAGGGGCGAGCGCGACTCGACCTTGAGGGCCTTTTGGGCGGCGGGCAGCACGAGGGCGTTTGCGACGCCCGGCCTGGGCGTGGCGGCCGTGACGGGCGTCACGACGCTGATCTCGGCCGCGTGCGAGACGCGCTTGGGGTCGCCGAGCACCCAGTTGCCGTGCTTGTCGGCGACGTAGTACGTGGCCGCGCTCGTCGAGGGGGGCCGCCAGATCCGGCCCTCGGGCGAGAGCGACGTCGCCCGGCCGTCCTCCTCGAACTCGGTCATGGTGCTGTCGCTGCGGCCGAGTGCGTGCCCGTGTCCGGGTTGCGACGACGCTCCGGCGACCGCGTGCTGCCCGCCCCCGCCGCCGCCGTGCTCGGGGATGTGCAGCTTGGGCGGCGCCGGGGGCGGGGCTCTGGACCGCGCGTAGGGCGGCGAGGCCTGCACCAGGCGGACCTGCGGACAGGCAGCTTCGTCCGGGTGCGACGACGGCGTCTTTGTGGCCCCGAGCGCCATTGCGGGCTTGGCTGGCAGCAGCCTGGACAGCGGCCTCGTCGGCGTCGACCTTGGCGGCGGCGGCGTCGTCGTTGTCGTCGTCGTTTGCGTCGGATGGTGCCCCGGCGACACGGCGAGACCGATGGCGCTCGGCCTCCAGCTCGTTGAGACGTACCGTCCGGGCGGCGCGAGGTTGTCCGGCGGCGGCGGCGGGACCGGCTGATTCGGCCGGGCGAGCCACGAGTTGCCGCCGCTGCTGCCGCCCTTGTCGACCTTGTAGCCCCATGTGTCCCGCCGGTGGAGCGCCTCGGTGCTGTCCGACCGCCGGTAGGGGTTCCGCTGCCTCCTCCGGTAGAACCTGAAGAGGGCGATGACGCCGACGGCGAGGGCGGCGAGCCCAATGACGCCCACCGAGATGCCCGCCTTTTGCCCGGCCGTGAGCGATCCGCCGGACCCGTCCTGCTGCTTGCCGTCTCCCACCCCGATGGGCACGCCGGTGGGCGTCCTGGCCTCGGACGCAGAGGTTCGCGTCCGCGTGCTCAGGACCGACGACGACGTCGACGTCGAGCTCCTCGCGGTTGAAGATTTCCTGGTCGTCGTGTTGGCTGTAAGCGTTGCAGAGGTCGACACTGAAGGCGTGTGGGCGCTCCTCGTCATGGCGTGGGTGCTCTGGGGAGGGGGGAAGGAGACTTGGCCTCCGCCGCCGACGGGGGGCAGGATGAGGGTCGCGGTGACGACTCCATGGGTTGGCCGGATTGCGTGCGGCAGTCCGTGGCACATGCGATGAGCCCTGTAAATGACCAAAGCTGCCGCACCACTTGCGCATCAGTCGCTCGCATCTTTCCATCCCCATGCCACGGGAAAACTCACGACTGGCTTCCTCCTGAGAGCAAGACCCAAACGACTTCTCCGCGGCAAGGCACTGCACAGCTCCCTCGCCGACCGTGTACTCGGAGTCGCCAGGCGTCGAGCACAGCCAGCCCAGGGACGGGACCTCGCCATTGCCGCCGGCTCCGTAGTTGAAGGCTAGGAAGGAGAGGAAGCACCCCTGGGCGCAGCCGGGCACAAGCCGCGAAACGTCGTCAGGCAGGAGAATCGCCGAGGCTGCGGCGGCGCATAACAAGACTGCGAGGGGGGTGAAGCCGAAGACGGCCGGGTTCCTGGCCATTCTATCAAGAAACCTCTGGGGGGCGTGGCGCGGTCAGCTTCGGCGGCCTCGAGGAGGGAGGGTGCAGTTGTGTGTCTCTGCATCTTCTCTCGTTCTCGGTGAAGGAGCCGGGCTGGCAGGCCAGGGAGAAGCAGACAGCGCAAAGGACAAGACGGGGGAGCGAAGCCAGCCCTGTCGGATGCTCCACGAAGTCGAATCGCAAGCACGAACCTAGTAAAGTAAAGAACGAATGGGAATGATCCTGAGACGGCCAGCATCCCAGCATCGTACCCGAGCAAAGGCGAAGACGAAGACGAAGACGAAGGCGAAAGGCGAAAGGAAGAAAGGCGAAAGGAAGGAAGAAATAAGCCTGCCACGAGGGGGATGCAAGACGGGCGACGGCGAGAAGCCAAGGACACACGCAAGGAAAGAAGCCCGGGACAGACAGACGGCTAGGAAAAGGTGCAAGTGTGCAGAACTGAGGTTGGAGGCTCATCTAAAGAGCAGCCGTCCCGCCTCTCCTCGCCCCAGCATCCGCGCCTCCGGGCATCCCATCCGCGCCCAGCTGTTGCCGCTCGCCCTCTCCTGCATCGTCAGCGCCTCGGCTGGTGCAGCTCGCGGTCATGGTGGCGCGCAACGCCCAATCAGCGGCATCGCGTCCAGGCGGTTATGCACCACCCTTGGCTTGGTCGATAGGCGCCCGTCGTTCTTCTCTTGTCGGTCTGGCCTCCTCTTCTGGCTAAGCGCGTTGAAAGAGGTTGCAGATGGGTCACGTGCCTCCTCGGGCGCAAGGGGGCCAATCAACGACGCGCTCGAGACGTCGTTCGCGCCCAACACGAACCACGAACTCTGAGCGTCACGACATGCCGTTTCAAGGCTGCAGCCGACGGACCCTGGGTGCCGGCCAGCAAGTCTCAGCTGGACTGTCGACACGCACATGCAGTCTCCGAGACGCTGGTGCCACCTGTAAATATGTCATGGGAGAAAAGGGAACATGGATTGAGCTGGTCCGGCGTCCTGCTGTATTTAGCCAATGTGCCGTGCCCACGATGGCCCTCGTTTGATGCGCTGTCCACAAATGACGTGAGCGCTACATCGTGCATCCATTGTCCAATCCAAACCGCACCATCATCCTCACCGAGTCGGGGAGGGAGGAAAGTGCAACGAGCATTCGTCTTGGCATGCTCAGCCTGTAGAGTCCGACAAGCGGATGAGTTCCTGCCACCAGCGCGTGCTTCTCTAACACCCCATCATCAGATACGCCAACGCCAAAAGCAACACCATGAATAGAAAGCGTGCCAAAAGACAAAGAGGGTCTCGACATGTTGAGCGGATCCGTCCCGGAGCGCGGAAGCCGACATTTGAACCCACTGCAACTGACCCGAGTAAATGCTATGCCCCGGCTTGTGCGTATTCAACCAGCCCGTCTTCACATGGCCATTTCGGCTTGTAGCTTCCGCAGCTCCGCCTCTTCGTCGTCCTCCTCCTCTGCCGCCCTTCTGTTTGACACGGCTGTATTCATTCACCGTCAGCGCCTACTGCAAGTGCTTGATGGGACACAACTCACGCTCCGCGTTGGCCGGCGATGGCATCGTGTGCACGGCATCCGAGACGGGCACATTTCCCGTCTTCAAGATGGCTTCGTCCAGCTGCTCCTGCTGAAGCTGGTCCAGCTCGTCTTCGAGTTCGCCGTCGTCGATTGGATCCGTGATCGACGCCCCCGTAATGGCCGTGACAATCTCTTCGCTGAGTGCGTTTTGATCCCGTAGTTTCTCCCTGTAGGTTCATGTTTAGCACAGACTCACCCCGTGCGGATACAAGAACAAAGACGGAGGCCACATACATGGTCTCGTCGACCTTTTCGGGCGTGAGCTTGCCGTGGATCTGCTTCATCGCATGGCTGGCCTTTTCCATGGCCGCCAGTGTCTCTCTGTTGATGTTGGCCGACTCGATCGAGTTGATTTGCTGCTCGAGCGTCCCTATCTGCGCAATCGTCTGGTCCAGAGCGTGTTCGTGCGTCTTCTTGCGTCGCAAGGCCGCCTTGGCCACTGAAGTCCCATTCAGTACCGGTAGCCGCCCTCTTCTCCCCGACTCCCGGAGGACGTACCGTTCTTGTTTGTGTTTGCGTTCTTGCGGGCAATGTTTTGCTGCTCGTCTATTTGGTTCTGCAGATGCTTCTCACGCTTTTGAAGCATGTCGAGATGCGACCGCAACCCGAGAATGGCATCTTTGGGCGTGTCTTTGCGTTGGGCGGCGCCCCCGCCAAACCAACTCCACATTCTCTCGGTGTTTGCGGCGGCGAGGAGGAAAACGGGGATCTTGTTGTTGATTTGACGGCGTGATGGAGCAGCCGGAGCCTCTTATCGAGAGATGGGGGAGAACGATCGTGGGCAGGTGACTTTGGCAGAGGCGCGGTCGACGAGGATGGTGGGGTCAAGTCTGCTGGAACTGGCGTCAGTCAGCCACAGTGGAAAAACAATATGCGACAGAGTGAATCCCCGGCACGGGTCACTCACAGGTGGTGGTGCGTTGGATGCCTCCCGTGCCCAAAAGTCCGTCGTGAAGATGCTTTTCCCGTCGCGCGCCGCGAAGCAAGAGAGCCGCCGTCGTCGCCGCTTATCCACGTTACGGCGGGACGATGACGGCACCTGCCCGCGTGCCCAGCAGCGGCTTGCAAAGTTAGCCGCACTTGACCCGGCGTCATGTGATGCGCTTACTCACATGTTCACCAAGTGGGACACGTGCCAATTACAAAGTACTTGTCAAGTCATATATGATAAGTTATGCCTCCTCAACTTTGGACCACGAGCCTGCAGAGCAACTAGACTGTGGAATCATACTTTTGTCATGACATCCACGTCTGATTAATTGCCCGAGGGAAACTTGTTCCAGTAGTACCATCAAGACGTCGGAATCGTGTATTCGCTCAGAAAACTCGGTCTATTACGATTTCCACCGTCTCGCGAACCAGCATATCCATTAATGCCCCAAAGTGTATTCGCAGGTAGACTCGATCAAGGCTCCTCAGCCTCGAACAGTAGACCAAGGCCTAGGCCAACAAGAGCAGAAAGAGGCCACCTCCAGCCATCAATAGCAGCGTGAACGAAAGTCTCTCCTCCTGCTAGGATTCGGCCTGGCGATAAAGACCTCTCCCAAAGGCTCGCTGATCTTGCGCTATGCGTACCGGGGCTCCGACTTGAACTCATAGACGCTTGATACTAAAAAGTGTAAAAATGAAGAAGAGGGGGGAGGAGAGGGAGAGAAAGGGGGAGGAGGGGATAAAAGGCGTCAAGACAAAAACAGCCAAGGGAGGCCCAAAGCTTCGGGGGAAAGCACTGCCCTGCAGCCAACTCAATCGCACCTTGAGGGTGGCGTCGTCACTGCCCGTGTATAATATGCCACCCAGTAAAGCGATCGTGGAAGTTTAATCCAGGCAAAAATATCGGATACATGAATCGAACGGCAATTCGGGTCATGGCCTGGCGCGGGTGTTATTTGTTTCCACCCTTTTCTTCAGTGTCGATGTGCCACACGACATAGTTGGGAAGGCCGACGACCTGATAGCCTGCGCGCTTGGCCATTTTTGCGAATCCCTCTGTCTCGGCTTGGTTCTCAAAGGCGTAGCATGGAAAGTTGATACCTGTGTTCAAGTCTACTTGTTAGCATCCCTGGTGTTCTCCGGGGGGGGCTCGGGGCAGCGTACCGGACCGGTGAACGTCGGCCTTGACGACAACATTGACGCCACCGATTCCATCGAGTTCCATTTCCTCGTCCTTGTTGTCTCGCCAGTCACCCATCCGGGCCATGTACGTTCGGCCTGTATCGTATTGCTTATATCCTGTGCCGAGCGGTGTCAGTATTGACTCGCCAGGCTCCAACTCCGGTGTGACGAACCCTCGGCGAGAACGACGTTCTTGTCTAGGCTCTCGGTCAATCTGCGACCCTTGTCCGACTCAACCCACGAATTATAGTCGACTGACGCACACGCGTTAGCCCATGGCGCACCCTTCTCACAGCGTCGGTAACTCACATCGTCCTTCGATGTCGATGCCGTCCTTGTACCGATGAAACCAGATGTCTGGATGCCAATGTCAGCGAACCTGTGCACGGCGTGACAGGGCGCGCGCGGTGTGGACCTACTCGGAACGATGATGTCCTTGTCGTGCGCAATCAAGTCCTCCAGGACCTTGGCCGGACTGTCCACAATGTCCACATCACGCCAATAGACCCACGAGTGCTCCGGCTTGAGGGCGGCGGAAAGAAGGTAGTTCCTGGCCTTGCCCATGGCTTTGCGGCGCGGGCCTTGGGCTTCAAAGGAATGCCGTTCCTCGACGTTTTGGCTGAGGTGGTAGCCAAAGTCCTTTTCGACAACAGTGGCGCTGTGGAAGGGAATCTGGTCTGGTCGCTTTTGAATGCGGTCGAGTTCGGAGGAGAGCACGGCGAGGGTGTCGTCTTTTGAATCGGAGACAAGGAAGGCGAGGTCGATCAGGTGATGGGGATAGGTCAACTCGGCGAGGAGCTCAAAATACTTGGACAGGTAGGGGGCGGCATCCTTGAGGGGGGTTAAGATGAGAACCCTCTCCTCGTTGGCGACAGCTTTCCGCGTAGACTTGATGGGGTTCAGGTCAACGTGCTGTATCGAGGTCGAGTCAATCTTGAGCGGGGCGTGATGGTTGAAGACGACGGGCGTTTGCGTGTGCGCGTGCCACCTTGCGTACTCGTTCTGCGACATGTCTATCGGCGGCTTCGAGGGTCCCCAGCAGTAAAAGCTACAGGTGGTCCGTCGTCAGCAGCCGGAGGGCGGGCATGGGCCTCGGGGTTGGTACCTCTGCATTTCTGACGCCGAACTGCTGATCCCGCGCCATAGCAATATCAGGATGCCGGCAATGGTGAGGAGCAGCAGAAAGCGCGTCCTCGTCGCGACGTTCCAGAGCGCTCTCGACGGCGGCAGCTGGGCCCTCGCGGCCTTCCAGTTCAGCCCGCCCTTGGGGAGAAGCATGGTAGGCCTTGCGACGGGAGCCTCGTCACGGCGCGGTCTGGCGAGTAGGCGATTGGTCGGATAGCCCCCCAGTTGCGCACCTCGCGCGACGAGGGCAGAGTTCCACGGGGGTGCGAGGACACGGAGTGACGGCCGCGTTTCTGACGTTCGTGATCGACGCGCGGGGGAAGCGGCCTCGCGGGAAGAAGTGGGAAATGCGGAGACGGGAAAGGGGGAGAGGAGAGAAAAAGAAACAGAAGCGAATGAAAGCGTCGCCAGGTAATTATCACATCAAGGTTGCTCTCGAGGGAGTGGTGTTTCGCGATGCACCAGGATGGACAGGCCGTCAATACCCAAGATGTAGGTAGTATGTATGATGGGAGGAAGAATGAAGCGAGGCTGGCTGTAACGCTGGCAGACGGAGGAGCTTCTGGCGGAAAGGGAGTAATAATACGAGGAGCCCATTAATTAACCGTGGCAGGAAAAAGCGAGGCGCTGGGGCCCATCGATTACTGCACGGTACGCGGGAGACACTTTGGTGAGCGGAGCATTTTGGCTGTTGGACGACAGCGGACGGTGGAGGGCTGAAGTCCCGCGCAGGTAGCTTCCCTGCTCCAAATATAGCCGCCGATTGTGCCTTAGCAGTGAGGTTAGTGCAATGGAGTTGGAGGCTACTATCAGTGCCCGGGGTTTTCTTTCCCCTTCTAGCGTGCCAGCTACCCTGTACAAGCTACCCTTGGGACCAATGACCCATGGTGCGACTCCGAGTCGAGTGTGATGGCCTGCCCGGCGAGTCGATGATATGTCGTTGCTTTCTGCGGAGCACAGAGGCGCAACACGTGGTCGATCCGTCGCCGCAGTCTGCTGTCTTGTCTTGGTGGTGACCCGTCGGCGCCGCCTCGGGACACGAGGTAGCACCTGTGCTTGCCGAACCCAAGTCAAACAGAGCCAAGTAAAAGGCCGAGTAAAACACGCAGCGGAGATGGAAGGGAGAGCCGCTACCACGGTTGACTACCGCTGCGAAGAAGCCGCCGCTGTTCCAGCACACAGCAGGCTGTGTATTCGCATATACAAGACGTCTGCTGGTCCATCAGGACGCACGCGTGCCACCTGAATAAAGTGTGGCCCGTGGTTCTATCCCGTCTCGTGCGTTTCGTCGAGCAAGTTTACCCGTGCCTTTGTGACCAACCACGGCCGAGACGGAAACTCCTGTTCAATGTTGGCCTCTGCTCCCCTCCGCTGCGTAACACCTGCCTACCGTTGCAAGGCCAAGGCGGACTGGCCGAGTCGAATAGCAAGCTCTAGCAAGCGCCGGCATGTCGGAATACGGAGTGACGTGCCTCGCGCCGACAGTGCCAATTGTCCACTGTGACAAAAGGTCTGGCCGGTTAAAGACACACGACGGTAATTAGCTCTTGTTGCGCCATCGCGCATCACGGAGCATAGAGACAAAACATCAACTCCTCGAGCCTGTGCCGTAATTACTGTAGCAGTAGCTAACTTAGCTGCTGGGGCCCGAAAAGGCCTAGTGCCACGCCCCTTGGCTGTCCGTCAGCTTCCGTCATCCATGGGAATTCACTCCCGGTGTTGAAACCCCAGACGTTACCCAACGCTTGATTCAACGTCGCCCCCCACAAGACCGAAGACCGCCCGTTGCAAGAGATTGCTGGCCCTCTCATGCCGTTGCCTTTGACCAAACCAGTCATCTCCACGTGCACCTCTCGTATTCTCCCGCCCACCAGGACGTGCTTCGGCGCCCATCGTCTGCTCATGTCCGCCCCGAGGCGCTCCACCCGACTCAGCGCTCAGGCAGACACGAAGCTAGCCCCCCTCCCGCCGCCGCCGAGCAGACGCAAGAGAAAGGCCGGACCAGATGTTGCGACAGCACCCAACCCCGTCACCCCAATAAAGAGACGCGCGCAACCTGCAGCACCCCGGCCTCTCACACCGACGCCAGAACCGGTGGCTGCCGAGCAAGGCGACGGGCCACCAACGGCTCGCCACAAGACGCTCGCTCGGATAGCGGACCCTGCGTCTACCAATGCGACTCTCGTGTCGCCAGAGACTTCACGCCTGGTGGCGTCGCGACATGCCGGCTCCGTTTCGCCCTCGAAAGCACAGGCGGTCAGGACGACGACACACACCATTCTCCAGGAGGCCTGCGAGCATCTCATCAAGGTTGACGAGCGGCTGCGCCCTCTCATCGAGAAGAATCCCTGCAAAATGTTCTCGCCCGAGGGCCTGGCTGAGAGAATAGACCCATTTGAGAGCCTGGCGAGCGGCATCATATCTCAGCAAGTGTCGGGCGCCGCCGCCAAGTCCATCAAGGCAAAATTCGTCGGCCTCTTTGGCCAGCACGAGGACCCGACGCCCAGGTTCCCGCATCCCTCCGAGGTGGCCCAATGCCCGCTGGACAAGCTGCGGACGGCCGGACTGTCGCAGCGCAAGGCCGAGTACATCCAGGGGCTGGCAGACAAGTTTGCAAGCCGGGAGCTGAGCGCAAATATGCTGCACGACGCGCCCTACGACGAGCTCGTCGAGAGGCTCGTCGCGGTGCGTGGCCTGGGCCGGTGGTCGGTCGAGATGTTTGCCCTCTTCGGACTCAAGCGGATGGACGTCTTCTCCACCGGCGACCTGGGCGTCCAGAGAGGCATGGCTGCCTTTGCCGGACGAGATGTGGCCAAGCTCAAGTCAAAAGGGGGCAAGTGGAAGTACATGTCGGAGAAGGACATGCTCGACATGTCGGCCAAGTTTGCCCCGTATCGCAGCCTCTTCATGTGGTTGATGTGGAAGGCCGAGGATAGCTTCACTGACGTCAGCACCATGGAATAACGATCGATGCCTGATTATTATCACGCTGCCAACATGGCTCGCGGCCTTGGGGCAGTTCATCGGGGGGGTGACCAACAGGAGCTGAGGAGCCCCCGGTGAATGATGCTGGTGTTTCATCGCACCCGCCGAGCAAAACAAGCCTTGGATAGAGTACTATACCATACCGTAGGCCGAGTAGGCAACCGAACAAGCATCCGTACGTACTGTACTGTACTGTGCCAAGCGTCTAGTACCTACGACAGCAACACGTCTCCTTACAGGTTGACAGCGACAGGGCACAAACAAGGCACGTTTCACATATGGAAAATCATGGCTTCCCTGCCTTGTCGCCCAGGAGCCGCGGCCGCCGATCACGTCGATCCAATCAACCGACTTGGTGGAAAAGAAGTTGGTCGGGGAATCGTGATACAGCGGCGCCGTTGGGGCACGTGCAAATAAAGGCGGCGCTTCCGGGTTACCTCTGCTTTGTGCGCGGTACCTGGCAAGGGCCCCGAGAGGAAAGTGGCACTCTCTCGCATCTGTGCCTTGCCTTGGCAGCAGCAGTAAAATGATGGAACAATAAATGCTTAATAAATGATGCATAAAATCGAAGGGCTGCTGGGGGGTGGGAGGAAGAGGCCGGAACTGAGAGTCTTGGTCTGTAGTACATGGAGCCGAAAATTACGGTGACGTCAAGCAGGCCGGACCGTGATATCGGCCCTCAGGCTCCATGATGAATTCTTTGCGACAGATGTGAGCACACCGGCGCTAATCCTGTATGTACCGCACCGACGTGGACGGCCAAGAAATGAACGGCAGCCGTCCAACCGGACCGGGGCACGGGAAGCGACGGGACGTTGACGAACCGTGCGCATTGTTTTTTCTTGATTATTTCCCTTGCTTCCTTTTCCTCATCAGCAAGACTTCAGCCACCGATGCCACACTGTCTACAAACTGCACCGTGTACAGTACGAAGCAGAGACGAAACGAGACGAAACAAACAGGCAGATCCGAGCTTCTCCAAGGACAAGTATGTGTGTACTGTACAGTACTTTATACAATACGAAGAAACTTTTACGGTAGGTACGGTACAGTCGGGAGCTGTAGCCCCTTTTTGCTAATGCTAAGGGAAGCAGGCGAGATTGCTGGTGGTGAGCCGCGCTGAGTACGAGTTGTGGGAAAAGGCGGCTCGTCGTCGGGTGTGCCAGTAGCAGGTCATTTGCACTGTACATAAGTACTGATAAAAGGTCATTCAAAACACCTCCTGACCGAGCGCATGCTCAAGCGACAGTAGCCCAAAAAAAGACGCTCAAGATGCGACATGGTGCCTCTTGTGCTTGCCGCTCGGGGCGCCGAAGATGAAAAGGCATGTTCAGCGGGAATGTCTCTCTAATTGACAGTGTGTTTGTACTGTATGGATAGGGACGCCCATGAATTGCACGTCAGTGGATGCTAGTGCTATTGTTCATCCCGTTTGCTCGCCATCTACCGACGATCTACCCATTTTTATCTCCTCGGTCTCGAGGGCGCCTTGGGGCGTCTTGGAAGCAGGCATGGCAGGGCATCAACCTTGCCAGGCATGATGTATTTTTGGGCATCGTCAGGTTGATCGAGGTCGAAGAAGAAAAGAAAGGTTGTCCAAGTCAGATGGTGGCTTGCCTGCCCTATCCGACATCACTCGCTTTCCGCGAGGCCGCCCATTCCTCTGAACCAGTTGTATGCCTGGATGAAGCCGCCGCCCCTGACCCAAGACATGACTCAGTGGTGGCACAATGGTTCCTCCACAACACCATCGGCGCAAGGGGCAGCAAAGTACCTAACTGCACGTGTCATCGTACAGTAATACTGAAAGTCTGCATCTGGCACCTGTTGACTGGCAGCACATGCAAACAGCCAGAAACAGGACGGACGCAACGCCTCACCTGTCATAAGCAAAACTCTGCGGCATAAAAAAGTCGCAGCACTGGCGAGAAAGCGAAGGTGGGTACAGTACCTATTTACCTATGCCTTACAGTAAGGTAAAGCAGCACAGTATCTCTCGTCCTTGAGCCACACGACTCAATCCCTGCCCGCGGAGCCTTGCAGCAGCTAATGCAAAATCCACGGCTACTACGAGATGCGTTCTAGCGCGTCACATTAGTGTAATGTACTGTGGTGCCAAATAAGGGGCCAATGGTCCGCCGTGAAGGGCTCTGGGCGGAGAGGTAGTCAGTCAGTCTATGGCCTGTTGACGGCTGCTCATGAGCGAGCACTCGCGAACCAGTACGTGTCGAGCGAGACCTTTTGCAAAGCATTGGTTGACGGCGCACAAGGCAGTGAAAGGGGAGATGAGCTGCCATGTGCGCATTGAGACTGTGTTACTGTGCGTGTGTAGCTGATTGTGGGCACAGTAGAGCTCCAGCGTGGAGTGATAACGCGGCCTCTAGACCGAATGGCCCTTGGACCTTGGACGGCTTTAGGGGGGCACCCATCTGGGCCAAGAGCTCTGTAGGTACCAAGGAACATTGCACAGGGCGAGATGAGGAATTGGTGCATAGGGGGTTTAGGTACCAGTACTTGGGCCGTGATGTTGACCAGACAAAGGCTGGCACACGACCGTGGCACACCATGTAGCCGAGGTCCATGTTCTGCAATGGGACATGGCTTGGGGGACTGCGTATTGTAAACAGCCATCTACCGGCACTCAGCATGGTGGCAACATTGAACTGTCTGTGCATCATCAGTGGTACCTCATCTCACGGGCCGAGTCGACTCGGCCCCGGACGGACTGTTTTGTACCTCCCGGGAAGCTGGGAGGTACCGCACAGCGCCCCCTGAGCGAATCAGAGCGCCTGGAGAGCACAGTGTCAGAGCGGGCGGGCGTGGGGTGCCGAGAGAGCAATGGGAATCCACATGTCCTTGCTCACGCCCAACAAAAACAACACCCCTTCCAGATCCCAGACCGGGGGGGTCGTCGGCCTGCCTGGCTTCTGGCGGCACATTTCATCCGCTGCTGCATGAAAAAAGAGGGCCTACCACGTCGTGGATTCTCTCTCGCTCGACCTCTATTTTCCTCCTCTTTCTTTCCCCTCCCACCCCCCGTTCGATCTTTCTCCGTTCTTCTCCCGTTGTCGCCGCAGTCGTCGCCGCAGTCATTATCTGCCTGCACCTTCGTCTGCCGCCTTTGATTCGCGCCACTCGTTTGCCAGGGGGGAAAGGGTTTTGCAAAAACAAAAACCAAGACCTTCCTTCACAGCGTCCTTACGAAACCCGTTGCCAAGAATCATCATAATACCCGTTGTCCTTCGACCTGTCTATTTTCTTCCCTGTCAAAAAGCCGGGCCATAATTCGAAATAACCCAGGGCGCCATTTATCCTCGGTGAGTCAAAAAACACCATTTCCGAGCGTGTGCGCGTTCCCTGTCTCTTGCTGTGCACAGCATGTACCCTTTCCCTGTGTCCAGGTACCGTCCCGCCGAGGCACAGTGCAGCATGTACTTGCCTCTGCCAGAGCGCCCGCTCTCCTGTTGTTTCCCCAGTGCCTTGGACGTGTTTGTTTCTTGCCTCCCTCTCCTTCACCTTCCCCATCCCTTCCACCCTCTTCATTCTGCACCTTCTTTTCCACCCACCCGCTTTTTTCTTGGGCCTCTCTCGTTCTCTCGCGCACTCTCCATCACGCCTTCCTTCGCTCTCTCGGCCACGACTGTCAACCCCCCCGCGCTTGCTGGGTCGCAACGGGTGCGCCACCGGAAAAGGGGCCGTCAGCTGCAAAAACGTCAACGACTTGCGGCCACCATCTTTTCCCATCAACATCGTTTGCCACCACCCGGCCTCTTTTGGACTGCGACTTGATAGTGTTTTTCCCTCGTCGTTAATCGCCATCCAGCACCACTCACAGTCAGGATCTCCCTTCGCAATCACCTGGCTCCGCGTCTGTTTTCGCTCCTGGCCTACAGCCGCGTGCGTACCCAGCCAAGCAATTCTAACATCCGTCCCCTCCCTAGGCCACGATGCATTCTGTCGCCATTCTCTCGGCCCTTCTGGCCGTGGGCACCAGCCTCGTCTCTGGTCAGTCCCTCCCCCTCCCCCGAGAGTCGCCCGAGGCTCTACGATTTGCATCTAACCAGCTCTTCCCAACAGCTGCCACGACATGCACCGACGACATCAAAATCACCCAGGCCACCCCAGTCATCGACTGCGACGTTGTCGATGCCGATATCACTGTCGACGAGAACCTCTCCGGCAGCTTGGTCATCGAGGGCCCTAAGCAGCTCAAGAAGGACTTCACCATCAGCAATGCTACCAAGCTCATTGGCATCTCGAGCAGCTCCATCAACTCTGTTGGAGGAACGTTGAAGCTTGACGGCCTGCAGCTTCTGAGCACTTTTAACATGATGTCGCTCAAGTCTGTCAACACCCTGCAACTCATCAACCTGCCCCAGCTGGGCGGCATGACCCTGGGTACCGAGGGCGTCACCAAGGCCAGCGCCATCATCATCGCCGATACCTTCATCAGCGACCTCAGTGGGCTCAACATTGCCCAGGCGGACACGATCGATATTTCGAACAATGCTAAGCTCACCATGTTCAATTCCGTCCTTGTCAATGTCACAAAGACGCTCAAGCTCACCAACAACGGCAACAACATGCAAGTCAACATGTCTCTCCTCGAGTCTGCCGGCGATGTCCAGTTCCGCCAGGTCAAGAGCTTCGATGCTCCCATTCTGTCGGAAGTCGAGTCTATCAAGTTCAACGACAGCCCCGAGCTCCTGTCCGTCTCTGCCAACAACCTGACGGAGATCTCGTCCAGTCTCACCTTCATCAACAACAAGAAGCTCAGCAAGCTCTCGTTCAAGCAACTCAAGACCATCAAGGGCGACATGACGATCCAAAACAACACGGCGCTCAAGGAGCTCGATGGCTTCCCTAAGCTGGAGACTGTCGGCAACATTCTGCTGCGCGGCAACTTTGAAGAGTAAGCTTATTTCTTTCTGCTGACATCGTTTTGGGCGCATTGACTAACAGCCTGGCAGTGTCAAGATTGACAACCTCAAGGATGTCAAGGGCAGCGCCACCGCCTCCTCGACGACGGATATTTCCACCTTCTGCAACTTCTTCGGCAAGCTCAAGACTGATGGCGCTATTCGCGGCAAGCAGTCTTGCACGAGCAACAATAAGAATGCCAACGAGGGCGGCTCCGGTGGCCAGTCTGGCACCAACCAGGAGAAGGACGCTGCCGGCATTGTCAGCGTCAACATGGCTCTGCTGGGCCTGGCTGTCTTTGCGGGCTTTGCGCAGATGCTATAAGGGCGTCGGGCAGGTAAAGCATATGTCGGATTTGGCGTCGTTTGTCTATTCACCCCGCATGTTTCCTGTTTTCTTTCCAGCCGGCGGACGGTGGCGGGTTGCCAACTGTATCAAAGCACGGGGATGGTCGCGGTCACGACGGTTCGTGCACGCGGCATCAATGATAGGACTTAATAATGGATTGTGTATCTGATGGCTTTTTGTTGCCCCAGCGCAGGTGATTTGTCCCGGGCTCATGTCTACCCTGCAAATTGTTCCGGTGCAGTGGCGCGTATGTGTACTCCCGGGACCATGCCGCTTTGCGTAGTGAGAAGAAGCCGCGTCAACGGCAAGGAATGGATGCTGGGCTTTCTCACAATGCCCCAACAGCACCTGTACGGCTCCAGTTGTGTGTTCGTACAGTATGTGCTTGTCGTTGGTTCTCCAGGCAACAGGCGCCTGGTAGCATTCCAGAACTGGTCACACAGTGCGTGGCATGCGGCAAACCCAAAGAAACGAAAATCTCCGAAAGAGCCCTCGTCCCACCAGTCTCCACGTGCGAGCGGAGTGTTTGCGCTGGGAGGATGCGAGTATCACATGGTTCGGGGTTGGACCGCAGACTACAGAGCCTGATTATTTGCATGTGTCCCGTAATATATATATATATATATATATATATATACCTATAGGTATGCATGCCCGAATATGTATGCTCGTGGGTATATCTGCCAAGTATGTACAAGTGTGATGGCCATGTATGCTCCCAGATTTCTGTATATGTTTATAGAGATGCACAATAAGTACGCCGTGGGCCCTCAACTGGCCCATGGTTCTGAAGGGGAAGGCAAACATTGTAAGTAAAAAGTCATTCAGTGCCCTACAGAAGGGTGCCTATCATACATACATGGATAGGCAAGGCCAGATCAAGGCAGCTCGGCCCATGAACCCAGTCATCTAGCATTTCCTTGAGAAAAGATTCCGAGTCTGATGCTCCCTGGGCGCAGCAAGGCTCTCCCGTGTGGTGTCGTGCGGGAGGGAGGCTTTGACGGCCGGGGAGGGCGCTGAGAAGCCAAATGACGAGCGAGGCCCGTCAAGTGGACGTGTAGATTCCCTGCTCGAATTTGTCGGTGTCGTAGAACCTCGGGGCAATGACGTTGCCGTTAAAGACGCGCCCGTCGAGCTCGTTGACGGCCTGGTAAGCGGTTGGTTCAGTCAGTACCATGCGCCAAGGCATTCAAGTGGTGGGTGTGAGAGCGGGGAGGCACTGACCCGAAGGGCAGACACTTGATCTGTGAAGCGGATAAAGACCTGGCGGGACTCTTGGTCGATATAGAGCCGCTCAACGCGACCGTACTGCAGATTCTGCGTCAGCATCTTCAACGTCGCTTGCTGAACCTGAACGATGGCTCTGAAAGGAGTATACCTTCTCGCCACACTCCTCGCCAATCTCTTGCCCGAGGCCCTCCGAGATCTCCTCCTGCAAGTCAGCCATGTTCTCCAGCATGTTCTGGACGACAATGACCTGGCTCATCTTGCCGAATTTGCCCTGGTCGTCTCCCTTGCGCTTGCCGCCAAGAATCTTGCCTCGGCCGCCGGGCTCAGCCCAGCCGCCGCCATCCGCGTCCGCCTTCTTTCGACGCTTGTCGACCTTGACGCGGAGTGGATTGACGATGCCGGACTCGTCCGCCCCGAGACCCGTGCCCTTGGTCCAGCCGTACTTGCTCATGAGGCGATGAGCAAAGCCAGCCTGGCCCGGAGCCTTGGATCGCGGGGGCCCTGCTGTACCGTCATCGTCGGTGCCGGCACCCGGTGTAGCAGGCGAATAGGAGGCCCTGTCCTCGCCCTCGACCCCAGCTTCGTCGGCTTGCTTGTACCGGACGGGCTCTCGCGAGATGGTGACTGCGGTGGACGGGGCAGGCGGGCCGGGGCTTCGAGAAGAAGGGAGAGGAGATGGTGCTGCTGGTGGAACTAGCTGGGTCGAAGACATTGCCAATCGGCGCGCAAAGGCGTCTCCGCCAGTTTCGTCGTTTGCCGGCGGATTGGGAGGCGACGGGGGCGGTGGCGCGAATGCGTAAGCCGACGGAGGAGCAAACCGATCTGGAACAAGAGTGTCAGCTAAAAACCTTTCCTGGGTTGACGCAGCTCGACAACGACGTACTCTGCGGAAGGCGGCCTCTGTCGTCCTCATCGCTCGAGATATCACTAGTAGCTCGGCGTTTGCGGTGCATGTACAGCAGTGCTTTCCAGTCGAGCACCTCGTTGATCTTCTCGTCGCTTTTGACATACTGCTCGGCGTTTGTCGGCCTTCCCGCATCGTAAAACTCGTCCCAGTTGATGTCTAGCGACTCTTCCTGCTGCTTCTTTCTCTTTTTCTTGCGCCCCCCGCGTTGGGGTCTCTCACCCGCGCCGTACATCCACTCATCGTGCTCGGTGGCGGTCCAGTCCGCGAGTGTTGTCTTTGGGCCGACCGGGGCGGCAGCGGACGCGGTCTTGGGAATGGCCTTTGGAAACGTCGCTTTGGACTTGGCCTGCTTGAGCGGGGGGCGGCGAATCTGAGGTTGAAAGAGCAGGGCCGGATCTATGGGCTTCTTGGGCTCACTCGACGCCGGTTCAGGCTGCTGATAGCGGACGGGCGCCGCGGAGATTATGGCAGGCGGAGTGGGATCGTTGGGGTCGTGGAGGTTGTCGTATAGCGAGAACGCGGCTCGCGCAGGAGGAGGCGGCGGCGGCGGTGCTGCCATTGCAAAGTCGTCGGGCGCGTAAAGACGCGTTTCCCAACACAAAAAAGGAGAGTTGGCAGGCGAGTGCCAAAGCCCCGGCTGACGGTGGCCCACGGAGCTGGTAGAGCTTGCAGCGTCCTCAAGACGCCATGCCAGGGTCAGAGGCGCGGCTGATGTTGCGGCGAGAGCCGAAGTGGGCGAAGCTGCTGCAGATGTAGCCCCGCGTGGGGAGTTTGGGTGAATTGGCTTAGGTAATCAGACACAGTGTCACGTGCGTGCGGGCTGCACGCACACGCACCTTGTTAGTTCTGTTCTGCAGCCAGCCTATTGATAGGGCAGTAGCAATACGCCCAAAGAGGATCCTTGAGATGTATACAACTATATACATATACAAGAAAAGCACTAGCTACCTACTGAGGCCTCAAGGAGCATTTTCGTGTAAAAGATCGGATTCTGGTCATGACAGGCAACTGGGTGAAAAGCTTACAGGGACCGCAAATGGTCCCCCGCTATCAAGGTATCTGTCAGCACTCGGCAGGACGAAGACTTAACATATATAGGCTATACAATTAATACCTCCATTGGGGGTGCCCCTATTTTGCTAGTGGTCAAGTGGTATTTGCTATGTTTGACAACATCACTACTCCATAGAGCCATGATGCAACCGCTCTTGAGGCTCCCTCTGTTTCTTTCACCCAGTTTGGCAGGTTCTCCGAGGGAGGTATCATCGCTCCGAGGCGATGGTGGATGGACAGTTTCACGCTGGGGCCGTTTCATGTTGTGGGGCGTTAAGAACCCGACTTCTTCGCTGGCCTTATTAATGATCCTCTCGGAGCAATTCCGAGATGTGCCTGCCACGCCAAGCATTGCACAGTGAGGAATCGGAAGGACAGTCGATCTCAAAGCCAATCTGTGCATATAACCCCTCAAGACCCCCCCTTGCCTGAAGTAGTAGAAAGAACAAGCAATCTTCCTTTACACAACAGACATGGCTCCTCGACTGTCTGCCAATACGCCCGATAATGCCACTGCTTATGTTAACGGCCGGATTTATACAGTCAACGAAATCCAGCCTTGGGCAGAAGCTTTCATCGTGTCTCCTTCCGGCACATTCACTGCCGTCGGGTCTACAGATGAGGTTCTTGCGAAAGCCCAACACGATAACCTAGTTGTGCATGACCTCCAATCTCAGTTTATCATGCCAGGTATTCACGATGCGCACGTGCATGTTATGGTTGCCGGGCTGTCTCAGTTGAGCACTGCAAACCTGGGTCTCGAGGAAGCCATACCGGCATCGGAAGCGGCAGGCAAACTCAAAACAGCTGCATGCGGCTGCCAGTATGCTCATGCCTTCAGCAAGTAAGCAACATGTCATGGTGGGAAGCTGTCTTGGAACTATAGTTCCAGGGCCAGGAAACGCCGAATGATGGATCATACATTTCTAACAAACCCTAGTTGGCTCGTCGCAGATGCCTACCATATCGACGACTTCGACCGTTCATGCCTTGACGAAGCATACCCCGACACTCCAATCATGATCCGAGCGGCAGCAGGCCACAGTCTTTTGCTTAACACAGTCGCTCTGCAGGAATCTGGCTACGACATATCAAACGAGCCGCCCGCCAAAGGATCGTACCTCGGGCGCCGACTCGATGGCAGCCTCACAGGCGAAGTAGCCGAACTCGGCATGACCAAAGCTCTCATCTCTTATCCCAAACCCAACCTGTTCCATGTCAAACGTGCAGTTCAACACGCCGTCTGTCAGTTGCATAAGGCGGGCGTGACATCCTGCCAAGAGGCGTCCGCCAACACGCCTATGCTGCAGGCTCTCGGCCAACTCGATGGAGACAATCAATTGAAGATGGACTTATACACGCATATTGTGTATGCACCGGAACATTTGGGCGAGGAACCAGCGAGTCAACTGCACAAACTGCTCGACTCGGCGGAGTTGTTTAAGACAAAGCACGTCAACACGCAGTTCGTCAAGATTATGCTCGACGGTGTGCCCTTGGCGCCGTACTACACGCACGCGGGGCTGAGTGGAAAGAACGAAGTGGACGAAGACAAGATATGTGTTGATGATGTCGTCGAGGCAGTAGCTAGGTATGATGAGAGGGGTATGACGTGTAAGATTCACTGTACAGGGCACGGGGCGACTCGAAGGGCCCTTGATGCTATTGAGGCGGCGAGAAAGAGGAACCCGGGTGGGCCGAGGCATGAAATCGCACATTGCTCTGGTGTCCACGATGGCAAGTCTTTTTCTCCCCTCAGCATATGCATATCAAGCTGTCCAAATCTAACGCCCTTACTTTACAGACGACTACTCCCGTTTCCGCGCGTTGAACACAACAGCAGAAATGTCGCCATCCATCTTCTTCACCCATTCCTTCAGCCCTACCGAAAACGCCCTGATGGACTGGAACTTTCCTCGCATGCTCAGTCACAACGCACATATAACCATTGGATCAGACTGGGGCGTCACTGAACCCCCATCCCTATTTCCCGGGGTGGAAGGCATTGTCCCGGCCGTCGGCAATGGCGATCGTGCCAAGGGGGCGACGACGCTGCTGCGGATGTTGACGCTGTCGGGTGCAGAAGCAGTAGGACGCGAGGAAGAGACGGGGAGTATCCAAGTAGGCAAACGCGCGAATTTCATCCAGGTTGACCGGGATTTGAGTATCGGGAGAGAGGGGGCTTTCAGGGACGCCAAGGTGCAGAAGACCTGGTTTGAGGGAGAAGTTGTTTTCGAGGCTTCGACTAGACAACTCTGAGGGCGGGTGGCGTTTGAACATGGACTGATGAATTTTCTTTTTGGCACACACATTCCGCGAGCTTACGTTTATTGGGAGACGGCTGATTTTACCTTGAAAATCTTTTTTCGCACATATATTCGCCATCACGGCAAAGATGGGCGTTTTCCCGGTACCTCTGAACTGCAAGAAGCAGCCAAGATGCACTCCAGACGGGCGGATGAAGATCTGTTTTCTCCACTCAAAGGCGGGTAAATCATGGGGTTGCCCCGCACTCCCCTTCGGCTAGTTACGACCAACTCAGGAAGATTGCCTAATGGGGAAGGAAGATGAGATATGAGGGAAGGGGTTCCCAACGAGGCAGCCAAGACACAGCGATGCTGATGATGAGTCTATTCAAACCAGGCGACCAATGTCGAGTGGTCTGCCGTCCAGGCTGCCTAAACTGATAATAAGCTTTCATTTGTGCGTAAATAGCTGCACGATTCCCTGCACCGTCTCATTCAAGTCTTGCTACTGCAGTAATTCGGAACTCTCACGGTTGCCTGGTGCCACCTCTGATCCCTTGTCCGACATTCGGCCTACCCACCTGATTTTGACTCGGCCACGTATAAGTTGGGCGCTTGAGTGTTATTACGGAGTAGATTCGGGTTCGTTTCGACCAGCTGTTGCCTAATAGCGCTTGCCTGAGCCCCAGTGACCGCATGGAGCCAGGGTCTTGCCGGGTAACCGAAACATTTTGAAGTCTTTGTTATTAGTGCTTACGGTACGGAGTACAAGAATGTTTGCTGCCAATACGTACCGCACTAGCTTGTCTACGTCAGCCTCCATTTGTCGCGTCCAAGCCTCGGCCTCCAAGTAATTCTATGACCGGCAAACTTCATCCAGAATGCCGCACAACCGGTACGACTACGTTCGCAGAACCCACAACTTCCCATGTCAAGACTTTCACTTGCCGTGTTCATGTGCACCTAGAGGACAATGGAGTGATTACGTGACTGACCGACTTGAGAAAGTCTTTGCTGACGCCTCGTTGACTGTCAGTTCCGGCTCGCGGGGCTAAACTAGGACCTTGCCGTAAAAGCCCAAGAACAATTGAGGGCCAGGGCAACACGGCTGCCGGCAACCTCCAAAGGTGCCCTGCTCGGCTCAAGCGGCTTCTGTGGCCCTAATCGGCCACCGTAAGCTTACGTTCGTCATTCCCGCACCACCCGCAGATTTCGACGCAAAGTAGAGGATTTATGCCCGTGGATTTCACTGTGCAGTCTACGACCACCGGGGCTGTTCTCGGGAATGGCAACGTTTGGGTCAGGGCAGTGCTTGTACCGCCACGCCGGTAGCCCGGTTGGCGTCAATTCGTACTCGGAGTCAGCATCAGTATCGAGGCGAAGAAGCGAGAAGAAGGGTTGTCAGTGATATCATCACCATCTGATAGCAGCTCAGCTTGCTTTAAATGGAACTCTATAGCCAAAAGCCTACCCAAGGTTTTTCTTCCCTGTAATATCCACCTCGCTCAACCTTGCATCCCGTGGCATGCCCAATCTCATCGAAATGTCCGTCAAGAAATTCATGCTCACTTGTACACTATTTTCTTCAGCAACAAACGCAGTTCCCAGAAATAGCAATTCGGCCGCTCAGAATCTTGCCGATCCAAACTATGGCCCCGTGCCCGGACAGAGCCCTCTCTACAGCTCGTACAGGGGGAAAGCTCCGCCGTTTCCTGGCAACATAACTGAACCCATACTGCCGACAGCCAAAGGATCTCCTGGAGCTGATGATGTGGTGTGGCAGAACTTGCTGTCTGCTGAATGGGTCATCTTCTCGTTTTACCAACATGGAGTCGAGCACTTCAATGCTGCATCTTTCATCAAGGCCGGCTACCCCAATACGACGTACGATCGCATTCAAGAGATTCGCAACAATGAAGCCGGCCACTTGCGCATCTTTCAGAATCAAATATCCCCGAATTCTCTCAAGCCTGGTGCCTGCAGATATACCTTTCCATTTTACGATCCGAGCTCTTTCTTGGCGCTGGCTACGGTGATAGAAATCTCGAGCATGGCCTTTTTGACGGGCCTCGTGCAGATGGCAAAGTTGCCTGCCTCCCAAGGGGCAATCACTGCCATTGCTGAGACCGAGACTCGACACGAGACGTGGTCGCTCATCGACATCTGGAAGTCGAACCCCTTTGGCGGTCCGGCCGACGCAGTCTTCCCATACGCCAATGAGATTCTCGGCATCACCAACGCTTTTATCGTTCCGGGCAGCTGTCCTCCCGAGAATCCTGTATACCCGTTTCCGCGACAAAATTTGCCTGCATTTTCAGCGGCTGATGCTACGAAAGGGCTGCAACCCGGCGACAGCTTTGCACTAAACTTTACCGACCCCAGCAACCAGCCACGTTTCGACAAGGGCAAGCAGTACTATGCTACTTTTTTTCACGGGCCATCCAATATCAGTGTAGCAATTGACACTGAGAGCTGGCCCGAACACAGCATACAAGTCAAAATCCCCCCTCAGTTTGAGGCACGGGGAGTGATCATCGCGGTGCTGACGGACACTGTTGGTGCACCGACAGTGGATACTGTCAAGGCCGGCCCGAGTATCCTTCTGGAGCAGCCGGCTGCACTTGGATTGGCGGTGTTGTGAGAAAGATGGACAGGGTCCGCAGAATCAGACGGCATATCCCCACGATAGGTCTGTTGAGTTCATGGGCAGATCTGGGAATCCATCATCCGATGCGCAAAGTGGATGAAATGTATATGTACTCATCGAAGTCTTTTCCCACTTGGAATAAGTTGTCTGAAACGACAAGTCCGATTCACCTCGTCATCGTGTAGTGGCGGGAGCTATGAACAAGACGAAACATAGCTCAAGAGGTGCTAATATGCTAAGAGCCAGGTTATCGTGTCTTCGGAGGATCCCAACGCATGAAAATAATACATTTCTTGCGCATCTGGGGCCACTTACATGTGCCAGAACAATGAAATCCCCATTTTGTATCTAAACGGGTCCCAACAGGTGTATATGATAACGTCTCTGGTATTCCATGGCCAATGGCTCGATCCAGCCCCCATGGCAGTAATAGCACACCGATACCTCGTCGTTGGAAGGCGGGAGCAACTGCAATGTCGTTAGACCCCGAGGATGCTTCGGGCTCTTCGTAATTTGCACTATGGTATTGTTTGTCCTAGTTTTGTGACGGAATGAGGCGGCGGGGTTGAAGACGATATCCGTAGATAGATACCCATTAATTAGGTGGTACACTGCCGAAGTTACTCTAGAAAGCGATGTGGCGCCGAAAGACTAACCATAGAAATATATGAGATTAAAATGAGACACCCCCCCTTAGGGCCTTGATTGACCTTGCAAGACGCTTTTTTGTCTTTTTCGTGAGCTTGTTTTTGGACACCAGTTTCATCGCCTACATCGCGAAGCCATGAGCAATATCTTACAGTTCGAGAGTTTCTGTCGAGAGTTTCTGCCTTCGCAACAACGACTTATTTTAGGTACGAGTCCGTATAAACATCGCGCTGTGGAAGAGAAACCTAGAGCGACACTTTTTTATCTGAAGGTGACTCAAGAGCTCAAGGGGCAGCACCTAGCGTTGCCCGAATAACCACCGCAATCAATCGTTCCAAGCCGCACAGCTATCTCGGGATTTTTTTCTTCTAGAAATAGTCACGTATATATACCGGCGAGAAACCCACACCATCGTGAGCACTAGATACAGTACCTATATATATTGAGGTCTGTACACCAGCTGCTTGCAGCGCCGGATAAACAGCGGCACGCCCGGAAAAACCCCCTGCCACGTGCGCCACCTGCAACAAATGCCCCTCCAACTGGCAACAACCCCGCCAAAATTTCCCTAGCTCGGAAGACCCCCGTTTGTTTTCATCTCGCCAAGCGGGCAGTACGTGCAACTCTCTGCACTCCGCATCCCAGCTCCAGCTCCTGGCCAGATCACGGTCCATCTGCATCTACCGACCGCTAGAAGCTTTTTCGATATCGGGCAGCTTGCAGGTCGGACGCGCATCTGCATCTGCGGATACCGTGGACCCAGCCCTGGGTTGGCCCGACGTCGAGCGACACATCCAGCAATCGGCTAGCTACGAGTCGTCATGTCTGATCTCGCGAGCCGCGTCACCGATCCGACGGAGGCGCCCAAGAAGGCGCTCGAGGGCGATTCTCAGGAGCAGCCCAAGGAACAGCCCAAGGACAACGCTGCCGAGCTTGCTCCTCCAGCTGCCGCCGACTCTAGCGTCACCGATGCACAGCCCGACGGTGCCGACGAGACCCCTGGCGGCGGCCCAGGTCTTCACGAACCCGAATGGGACGTCGAAGTCTCGCTCAGTGAGCTCCAGAACAACGAGGCCACACCTTTTCACTCTGCCACGACATGGCAAGACCTGGGCCTGTACGTTGCGTCCCCACTCATCCTGGCGGCTGAGATGCTGACTCGATTTGTGCAGTTCCGAGCCAATCCTCAAAGGCCTGCTCGCCCTCAACTTCCTGAAGCCGTCCAAGGTCCAGGGCAAGTCACTGCCTCTGATGCTTAGCGATCCTCCGAGAAATATGCTTGCCCAGTCCCAGTCCGGCACCGGCAAGACGGCCGCCTTCGTCACTGCCATCCTCTCCCGCGTCGACTTTACTCGACCAGACCAGCCCCAAGCCCTGGCCCTGGCGCCCAGCCGGGAGCTTGCCCGCCAGATCCAGGGCGTCATCGGTGCTGTTGGTCGCTTCATCGAGAACCTCAGGATTGCGGCCGCGGTCCCCGGCGCCTTGCCTCGAGGAGAGCCAGTCAGGGCCAGTGTCATTGTTGGAACGCCCGGTACTGTCATGGATATTGTTCGTCGCAGACAACTCGACGTCTCCACGCTGAGGGTGCTCGTGCTTGATGAAGCCGACAACATGCTGGACCAGCAGGGGCTGGGCGATCAATGCTTGAGAGTCAAGGGGTAAGTCCGACTCCTCCCCTCTTGATTGCGAAGCTAATATCAGCCGACTTTAGCATGCTGCCAAAGGATATCCAGACGCTTCTGTTTTCGGCCACCTTTCCCGACAAAGTTAACAACTATGCCGGCAAGTTTGCGCCCAACGCCCACACTCTAACGCTGCAGCGCAGCGAGCTCACCGTCAAGGGTATTTCGCAAATGTTCATCGACTGCCCCGACGACAACACGCGATACGGAGTTCTATGTAAGCTCTATGGTCTCATGACCATTGGCCAGTCGGTAATCTTCGTCAAGGTTTGTCAAGCATTCAATCAGCGCTCCCGTGCCCATTCTGACATTTGCATGACAGACCCGAGAGAGCGCCAATGAGATTCAGCGCCGCATGATTGCCGATGGCCACAAGGTTTCCGCCTTGCACGCTGCCTTTGACGGAAACGAACGAGACGATTTGCTCGCCAGGTTCCGCAGCGGGGAGAACAAGGTCCTGATCGCGACCAATGTTCTGGCGCGCGGTATCGATGTGTCCAGCGTGTCCATGGTCATCAACTATGACATACCGATGAAGGGCAGAGGCGACACAGAGCCAGATGCAGAAACCTACCTCCATCGCATCGGACGTACTGGACGCTTTGGCCGCGTCGGCGTCAGCATCAGCTTTGTGTACGACAAGAAGAGCTACGACGCGCTCAGCAAGATTGCCAAAAACTTTGGCATTGACTTGGTTCACCTCGACACGGAGGACTGGGACGAGGCCGAGGCAACGGTCAAGGATGTCATCAAGAAGAACCGGGCACAAGCTGCCTACGCCCCGAGCGCAACCGACAAGTTGCAAGCAGCGGCCCCGTAGGGGTGGCCCGCTGCTGCTACGAATTTCAGTTGGCACTGGTAGGGACGGCCTCAGAGAGACGGAGAGGAGGTGGTGGGGGGGGGACGGGGTTAGGTTTTGCGCAATACGGCGCCAAATCGAGCTTGATGCATTATGATGCATAGGATGTGAGAATTACAATGAGATACCAAAAATCAACCGGACGCTTATGGGGGGTTGCTTTGCCGACAGGTCGGGGACGAGTCACGATGCAGCGATTGCCGGTGCAGTGAACGAGGTCGGTGACTCGTGACGGGGAAATGCGCGTCTTGTTGCCTCGCATCGCTTCCCCTTGCTCTGTGGACAGGGCATCGTCTCCACCGAGAATCGGGAAAATGGGGTTATGACGCCTGTTGTGTGTGCTTGGACTGGACGATATATTGCAGCGTGTAATGCTTCATTTCTCCACCTTATGCTGCTTGGTGAGAGCATAAGGCACGCTACTATCCGCTGCACTAACGTGTCTACGTCTCGACGGAGCCCGTGGATAACAAGAGGCCCGCTAGAATGGGATCCATCATTTCCACCCGCAGAGTGCCATGATGAAGCATCAACATGAGCTCGAAAGTATCGAACTGTATGTATGCGTGCTCGCGTGTAGGCAGGCATGGTCGTACCGTGCGACACTGTGCAGCGCCGGCGGGATGACAGGCACGGACTAGGGCGTTGTGTCCCGGAAGCTACCGACGACACGGTACGAGCGCGTACTGTACGGCAGCTGGACGGAGGAGTATCACGAGGCCCTGCGTGCCTGATTCTGTTGCCAGGTGCCTCGCTGTCAACCTCCATCCCCCCTCGCTTCTCAACCGCCCGATGAGACACGCCCTTTTCCAGCAGCAGCAGCCCCAACAGAACAGAACAAAGCACACCCGCACCGCACGCATGGCGAGATGCGGTGACCAACCAGGGACCGACCAGGGACCGACCAGGGACTGCCTCGGGATGTGGACCCGACCGAGTGCAGTGTCTCGCTGTGTGATGTGATTTGAGTTGGGACGGCACCTGCTGTGCCCGTCGCGGACAAGCAGATCCCTGCCCCGGCTCATCAATGCCGCATCCCATCCAGACCATGACGCCTCCTCCGGTCGAGCTGTTGCCCAGCAGACGGAGGAAACGTGCTACAAGGGGCAGCGTCTCGTGAAACGGCCTCGTCGTAGCACTCGACTCGACACAGCAGCTCTACACAGCAGCTCTACACAGCAGCTGCTCAATGGCATCTGGAGAGGCGAGCCACGTTGCACGTACTGCATGGGCTTCCCAATCGGGAACGACCCATTGGGTCGTGGTTCGGGCCCGCCCGCCAACGCAGCGAGCGTCGACGCCCAACCTTGCATCAGCAGACGGTCGACTCGAGATCCTCGTTGGCCTGCTTCATGCACCTCCACCCATTGCGCCGTCGGGCATCCATATGCCTGTATCAACTCCGAGACTCGGGACGTCTCTTGACATGCGACGTGGGCCAATTGAGCTGCCGCTCGATAGTGCTTGACCTTCCTTCTCCCAACAACAGGGGTGGTCTGGAAACCCGTCAACTTCTCCCGCTCGAGCGACTCCCCCCCTGTCATGCGTGGGGGACGTGCTCTTTGGCGTCAATGGAAGAAGACCTAGGCCGAATTCACCTCGAGAAAATCAGATGGACCCAGCCGTCCGGTCGTCTCGTCAACGACCTGAGCAATTCCCACCCGTTCGCAGCTTGCTCAAAACAAATGCTGCATCGCGAGAAACACTTGAATTCGCTGGCTCGTCTTTGATGTCCCTATAATAATTGTTTCAAGACTGTGCGCCCCCCTTGTCGCCGGGCAGCTGCACTACACCTTCGTCTCCCAACCCAACGAAGCCCAAGAGGTGCTCCGGAGCCCTGCCCAATTCGTTAGACGCCCTTCTGCCTCTACCCGACTGCCCAATCCAGCACATCTGCATGGAGTCCCATCATATATTCGCCGCGCAGCCCGCCCACCAAGAGGAGCCCGAGGCTTTCGAGGCACAATCAGTATGAGTTCCGGTCCTGGTGTCCAGTTCTGTCCCTACCGGACCAATTTTGATTTGAGCAACGTGCAGTACTCCGACTTCTCCAATGTCCAATACTTCCAGCAACCCCCAGACTCCGATGAGGAGGAGCAAGTAGAAGAGGACCTCCAAGGTAAGTGGTTCTCATCCGATGCCCCACGTGTCAGCGTTGACGACAAGCCAGCCTCGGATGACCCTGGGACTGGAGACACGACAGAAGAGCAGCAGCAACAACAACCACAGCCATCGACGACTTCCTCCGCCGCCAGGAAGAAGAAGGATAAGAAGGGTAGGCGAAAGAACAAGGACAGCCCTCCAGAGGACCACAACACCGACGTAGCAGGAGACGAGAGGCTTGCGTCCACATCATCAAACGGCAAGAAGAGCAAGAAGGGCGACAAGGCCAAGAAGAACCATGGTGCCGCGCCGTCCCCAACTGAAGATACCCCGAAGGTGCCCATAGAAGCGGGCGAGGACGAGTGGGCCACGCAGGCCAAGAAGAAGAAGGCCAAGAAGAACAACAAGAAATCCAAAAGCGCGAAAGCCAAGTCGCCTGTCATCGCATCGACTCCAACCACAGCCGCTGCTGTGGACGCACCCGAGGACGGGGAGGATACAGCAGCTGAGAATCCGGCGGAGTTGACACGAGACCCGACATCGGATCCGACATCGGACTCGGACATGGCAGACCAATCTGCCCCCGAACCGGCGACGCCCCCCCCGGGCGTCACGGACAGCGATGCTGTCGGCACCGAGAGCCACGCACAAGGCGTGCCGGCGCCAGACAACTCCGAGCTTCTTGAAACCGCCCAGCCGGTTGACGGAGCGCAACCCTTGGAAGAGATTTCGACTGCTTCGGCCGAGAACCCACCGGAACCCGCCGAAGAGACAGTAGCCACGGAGCCCGCACAGGCTGAAGAATCATCGACAGCCCAGGAGTCTGCGCCAGCGGAACAGGCCGAGACGACTGAAGAAATCACTGTGCAGGCGTCGGCGCCCGTTGACGAGGGGGAGCAGGCTGAGGATGTCCCTGTCGCGACCGAGACACTTGCCTCAATTGAGCCGGAGAAGTCAGCTGCAGATGGAGAGACGCACGACGACGAGGCTCCAGCTTTGGAAAACACGACCTCAGATACCCCTGCGGAAGCAACTGAGACTCAGGACAAGGGAGAAGACGCTGCAGACACTCATGTCGCCGTTCAAGAAGAGCCAAAGCCTGCAGAAGAGTCACAGGAACTGCCGCAAGAGCCGAACTCGACGACACAGGAGCCAGATGAGAAGCAGGACGAGCTCACGGACACGCCAGTGGAGCCTGTCGCCACTGTAGATGACCCCGTGCAAGCGGAGGAAACAGAGGCTCCCGCCGACTCGGAGACAGTCGAAACCGCTGGGACAACTACCACAAACGACGCCGCCCGTGATCCAGCGGACGAGGACGCCAAGTCCGAGGAGTCGCCAGCTGAGGAGGACAAGCCCGAGGAACCTGCGTCCGAAGAACCCGTAGTCGACGAGCCCAAGGCCGAAGAATCCAAGGACGAAGAGACCAACGCAGAGGAGGCTCCAGTCGTGGAGGCCAATGCCGAGGAATCTACACCTGGAGAGATCAAGGCTGAGGGCTCTACCGAGGACACCAACGCTGCGGCATCGGCCGTCGAGGAGGCCAAGGCGGAGGGGACTCCAGCCGAGGAATCAAAAACTGAGAGTTCACCTGCTGAGGATACCGAGACAGCAGCATCAAACGCTGCAGAAATTTCAGCCGACGAGGCCAAAGCCGAGGACCCGCCAGCTGGAGAATCGACAGCCGAAAGTACTCCTGCTAAAGACACCGCGGCTGAGGCATCAAATGCCGCGGAGTCTCCGGTCGACGAGGCCGAAGCCGAGGAATCCAAGGCGGAGGCCGATGATTCCCCAGCTGAAGTGGCCAAAGCCGAGGAACCTTTAGCCGAGGAATCCAAAACGGAGGACTCGCCGGCCGAGGACTCTCCCGTAACTGAAGAGACCAAGGCCGAGGAATCAACGACGGAGAACCCTCCAGCCGAGGAAACCAAGGCGGCGGATTCTACAGCAGAGGGATCTACGGCTCAGGAGACCACGGTCGAAAAGGCCGCTGAGGATTCGAAAGCTGAAGACTCTCCCGCTGGGATCACCGAAACTGAAGCAGCACAATCTGCCGAGACTTCAGCTGATACCAGTGTGGAGGAACCAAAGACCAAGGACGACAAGGAGCCTGTGGCTGCTGACGTGCTTCCCGTCTCCGAAGAGGAGAGACTGCAGGGGCCCGAACCTCCCACTGAGTCTACAGAGGAAAAGCCGTCCGAAAGCCCCGACCAGGTATCCCCTGCAACTGACAACGCCGAAACTCAGCCAGAAGGGCGACAAGAGGAAGATGACACAACCGAGCCGGAAGCCCCTTCAGGAGCTCAGGATGCCACGAACACGAGTCAGTCAGAAGCGGAGCCGGCAGTAGAGTCTAATCCACAGCAGTCACTGGCTGAGGAAACGAATGTGGAGTCGAATCCTAATGAATCGAAGCCGGACGAGGCGGGGGAGACAACCGCAGGCACAGATGAGACGCAAGAGCTCGCTTCTTCCACACAGCCCGCAGTTGAGCAGAAAGCGGAAGAGGCATCTTCACCAGCGGAAGAGGCCCAGGTCGAATCTGAAGAGCCAAAGACCGAAGAAGCTGAGCAAGCTGTGGCTGAAAAGCAGGAATCCCCTGCAGATCCTGAGCCCGCAAGCGACTCCACTGAGCCTGCCGCTCATGAAGAGGCTGCCGCAACTTTGCCTGAAGAGAAAGCTGCCGATGAGGGCGCTACGGAAACGGCAGTCGTGTCAAGCGATCCAGACTCCAAACATGTTCACTTCGATGAGGACGAGGCGACCAAGGAAGTCTCCGCTGAGGATCAGTCCGATGCAAAGGCAGAGGAAAAGTCGAACGATGTCTCTGAAACTGAAGCTGCCGTCAACTCAGAGGCTCAACCGGTAGACAACATTTCACCTAAGGAAGAAACGCCAGCTTCTGGTGGGGACATCGAGCAACCCGCATCGTCGGTGACGCTGGATGATGGCGCTGAAAATGTGTCCACCGCCTTGTCCGAAGACAATGAACCTCCGGCGGAGGCCGGTGAGCTTGCAGCAGCCAACGAAGATTCTGCAGAGCAGCCGGGGACTCAAGAAACCGAGGACGACAAGCCGGCCGAATCAAGTTTGGATCCCGAGGATGAGGTGTCTGCCCCTTCAGAAACTGAAAAAGCTTCTGATGGAGGTGATGCTGACAAAGTGGAGGCCAAGTCCGACGAGCAAGAATCGGCAGCAACTGGTGAGACTTCAGTGGAACTTGACGCAGCCGTCGAGCCCGACAATGTGACTTCTTCGACTCCTGAGGACACGGCCAAGCCTGACGCGGAAGAGAATGCTGAGGGCGAGGAAGCTAAGACGGAGGAACCTGAGAAGGACCCAGAAGTTGTAGCCGTGGCCGACGAAGCGCCCCAGGAAGGGACCTCCGAGACCAAGGAATCGACAGAGACCACCCCCGAGACAGAAGCCGATAATGAGCCGCCAGCCGGTGATGCGCAAGGTGCCGTTGACTCTGAAGCTGGCAAAGATGATGTCAACGAGGAGGCACCTGCTCAGACTGAAGAGGCTACGAGCAACGTTGATGTCATTGCGCCCGCTACCGAGACAACTTCCTCCACTGACGAGACTGTCAAACCCACGGAAGATGACGCCCCGAAGGACGAGCCCGAACCTTCGCAAGGAGACACTGCGGAGCCCGAACCTCCAAAGGACAGCCCTGTTGAGGCCGAAGAGGAGACGACTGATCCTGCCGAAGAGTCAAACAAGGAGCTTCCGACGGATGCCGAAGTTGGACAGAAGGATGAGGGCGAGACTCAACAGGAAGCCGAATCCTCCGACGAGCCCGAAGCTGTGAAGGGAGATGATGCTCCGGAGGAGGCCGATCAGACCGGCGAACTTGAGGTCCCGAAAGAGGCTGAGGCGCCCGTGGAGGCCGAGACTGAATCACCCAAGGAAGAGGAGGTGCCTGCTGGGGTCGACACCGAGGCTCCCAAGGAGGACGTGCCTGCTGAGACCGGGGCTTCAGAGGAAGCTGACCCGCCTCAACAAGCTGAGGCCCCCAAGGAAGCCGACCCGCCCGCGGAAGCTGAGGCTCCCATTGAGGCTGAGGCTCCCAAGGATTTCGAGGCGCCCGCCGAAGCTCAGGCCGACGCTCCCCAGGAAGCCGAACCCGCTCAAGAGGCCGAAGCACCCACTGAAGCCGAGGCCGAAGCTTCCAAGGAGGAAGAAACGCCCGCCGAGACCGAAGCCGAAACCCCCAAAGAGGCTGAACCCGCTCAAGAGGCCGAGGAGCCCACTGAAGCGGACCCGCCTGAAGAAGCTGAAGCGCCGGTGGAGGCCGAGGCCGAAGCTCCCAAGGAAGAGGTTGCCTCTGCCGAAACCGAGTCTCCAAATGAAGCTGAACCTGCTCAAGAGGCCGAAGCACCCACTGAAGCCGAGGCCGAAGCTTCCAAGGAGGAAGAAGCGCCCGCCGAGACCGAAGCCGAAACCCCCAAAGAAGCTGAACCCGCTGAAGAGGCCGAGGCGCCCACTGAAGCTGAACCTGCTCAGGAGGCTGAGGCATCCACTGAAGCTGGCGTCGAAGCTCCCAAGGAAACCGAAGCCGCTCAAGAGGTCGAGGCCCCCAAGGAAGAAGAGGCGCCAGCGGAGGCCGAATCTCAAGAGCCCGAAGCGGCTGCAGAATCTGAGGCTCCGAAGGAGGATGAGACGCCAGCTGAAGCCGAGACTTCGAAGGAGGCCGAAATTCCCGAGACAGAGGCGCTCGTGGAAGCCGAAGAATCTCAGGAAGCCGAAGCGTCCACAGAAGCTGAGGCACCCACGGAGACCGAAGCGCCTGTGGAAGCTGAAGCCCCTGCAGAGACGGAAGCACCCAAGGAGGCCGAGGCTCTAGAGGAAGTCGGAGCGCCTGCAGAAGCCGAAGCGCCTGCTGAAGCCGAAGCATCTGCGGAAGCTGAGGCACCCGTCGAAGCCGAAGTACCCATAGAGACAGAGGCGCCTGCGGAACCCGTGGAAGCTGAGGCGCCTGCAGAGACGGAAGCACCCAAGGAGGCCGAGGCTCCAGAGGAAGTTGGAGCGCCTGCAGAAGCCGAAGCGCCTGCTGAAGCCGAAGCACCTGTCGAAGCTGAAGCACCTGTGGAGGCTGAGGCGCCTGCAGAGACGGAAGCACCCAAGGAAGCCGAGGCTCCGCAGGCAGGCGATGAAGCTGCCGACGCTGGCAACGAAATCCCTGCACAGCCGGCCGAAGAATCGGAGCCTGCAAGCCAACCTGCTGAGGAGGCTGAACCACAACCGGAAACGGCGGTTGAGCAAGCTGAATCGGCCCAGCCTGAGAAGGAGCAGAGTGAAGATGCTGAGCCAGCAGCAGAGGCGGAAGACAAGGCCGAACCAGTTGAGGAGTCACCCGCGCCTGACGCAGATGAAGTTTATGCACAGGTGAATGGAGAGACGGAGGCAGCAGAAGACGAATCCAAGGCAGAGGCAGACAAAGCAGAGCCCGAGGCCGATGCGGAAGACGTCCAGCCCTCTGAGGACACCGCTCCAGCCCAAGCAGAGGCTACGAAGGCCGACGAAGAGACAAAAGCGGCCGAGCCTCCCGAGAAAGTGGCCCCTGAGGCAGCCCCTGCTGAATCTGCTACCCCGGTTGAAGCGGCTATCGGGACTGAAAGTGCGGTAGCTGCCGAAACTGCATTGGAGGCAGTCGAGGCTGCTGAACCGCCAACAGTCGCGTCAGATGATTCGAAACCTGCGGAAGCATCTGCGGAACCTGAGGCCGACAAGATAGCCGATTCTGCGCTTGACGAAGAGAAGCTTGAGAGAGCAGCTGAAGAGCCGCAACCGCCAGCTGCCGTTGACGACACGGCTGAAGCTGAGCCCTCTGTCCCTGAACAGGAGCAGCCCGAAACGGATGACAAGCCAAGCGATGCAACTCCCGAGTCTCTCCCGACTGCCGAGGAAGAAGAAAGCAAAGACACGGTTGGGCCAATTCCAACTACCAAAGAAGAAGCCCGAGGATCTCGGTCGAAGAAAGGTGAGGAAATTAGTTCTTTCAATGTCTTATTTCCTTTGTCGAAACCGCCTGAAGACTTCACGCCCCGACTGGCTGTGGATGTCTTGGCGCCTGACCGCAGGGATCGCCTGGATGAGGAATCGGCCATGTGTCAAGATGCTGGAGCTATATCACCTGCCCCCGAAGGACCGACTGACCCGGAGACGACACCGACGACGAAGCAAGCCGAGGCCAAGGAGTCCCAGGAAGAAACCCAGACCACTGAGGAAGCTGGAGGACTGGAGCCCACTGGAGTAGACGTTCAGGACCAAACGGTTACCGACGATATGACTCGCAGCATAGACAAAGGCCAGGTCTCGACATTAACCACTGAGGCTCAAGAACAGCTTGACCCCGGAACCACCGATCTCGGTAAAGGCGAACCTAATCGTCCGACTCCGAAGGACGAATCCACTCGCGATGCCCCTGACACTCATGGTGAAGCCGACAAGACTAGGGAAGTTGCAGTCATCCCAGAGACTTCCGGAGAAGACAGCAGCGAGCCTGTTGCAGAAGCTACGACGGAACCCATCGTGCTAACCGAAGGCACGGCCGAAGTCCCGTCAGATGGGCAGACAAATGCCTCCCAGGTTGACCTATCTGGAAAAGACAATGACGAGCCTGCGGAAAAGCATACGCCGGAGCCCATGACGGAGCCTGCGACCGAACCTCCGTCAGAACCCTTGCTAGAGCCTACGCGAGAGCCTACGGAGCTTCCATTAGAGACTTCGGCAGAGCCTACGTCCGAGCCCATGACAACGCCTGCGGCAGGATCTGTCATGCTGCCCGAAGGTCTGGCCGATGTTTCATCAGAGGGTCAGCCAGACGCATCTGAGGCTCAACTATCTGGAGAAGGCAAGAGCGAGTCTACGGAAAAGCCTGCGGCAGAGTCGTCTGCAGAGCCAACGCTAGAGTCCTTGGAAGAGCCTCCGTCAGTACCCGTGCCCGAGGCTGCGATAGAGTCTCTGGAAGAGTCCATGCCAGAACCTACTACGAAGTCTTTGGCAGAAATAAATGAGGGGACTCCGGCCGATTCAGCTGTAGAGCCCACGCCAAAACCCTCGAAAGAGCCTGTAGCAGGACCTGTGGAAGAGGCTATTGAGCCGGTGGCAGAACTCAGGGAGGAGACTCCGGCCGAATCAGTTACGAAACCCATGCCGGAGCCCGCTGCAGAGCCTGCGGCAGAACCTATGGCGGAGTCCACATCAGAGCCCACGAAGGAGCCCGCACCTACGCCGGAGCCTGCCACGGATTTTACGGAAGATACTGCAGCAGAACCTGCTCCGGAGCAAAAGTCGGAACTTTCGGCCGAGCCTATGCCAGAGCCTACGCCAGAGCCCACGCGAGAGCTCACGGCCGAGCCCGTAATAGAACCCACGTCAGAGCCTCCGTCCGAACTCACGCCAGGGCTCCCAGAGCAGATTGCGGCCGAGCCCAAGGAGGCCCAGGCAGAACCATCGGTAGAGCCTATGGCAGAGCCTGCAGAAGCGCCTACGGAAGAGCCTGCGGTGGGGTCTGTAGAAGCGCTCATAGAAAAGCCAGCAGAACCCAAGGAGCAACCTCTGGCAGAGCCCATGTTAGAGCCCACGGAGGCACCTGCGCTGGTGCCTCCGGGAGAGCCTGTTTCTGAGCCTGCGGCAGAACTCAAGGAGACCTTGGCAGAACAACCAGCAGAGCCCACGCTCGAGCCTGCCGCCGAGCCCACGCCAGAGTCCGCTTCAGAGCCAGCGCCGGAGTCTACGGAGGCGTCTGCGGAAGAGCCAGTAGAGCCCAAGGAGCAGCCCGCGTCTGAGCCTGCGGTAGAACCTAAGGAGACTCCGGCAGAACTGCCAACAGTGCCCACCCTAGAGTCTCTGGCAGAGCATCCGGCCGGGCCCGTGGCAGAGTCTACGGAGGAGTCTACAGAACCCAAGCAGGAACTTCCGGCAGAATCCACGCCAGAGCCCACGGAGGAGCTCCTAGCAGAGCCTACGCCGGAACCTCTAGCAGAGCCTACGGAGCCTGCGGCAGAGCTTACGGAGGCGCTCGCGGAAGTGTTCGCAGAACCTAAGGAGCTCGCGCCTGAGCCCGCATCAGAGACTATGGAAGAATCTACGGCAGAGCTTTCGGAGCAGCCTGCAACAGAACTTCAGTCTGAGCATACGGCAGAGCCTCTAGTCGAGCCCGCGGCAGAGCCCACGCAGGAGCCTCCGGCAGAACCCGTGGACACGCTTTCAAAAGAGCCTCCGACTGAACCTGCGGCAGAGTCTACGGAAGAGCCCATACAAGAGCCGACGGCCGAGCCCGGTACAGAGTCCCCGCCAGAGCCGACGGCAGAACCCATGCCAGAGCCGACGGAGGAGCCAACGCCAGAGTCCAGGGAGGAGCCGACGGAGGAGCCCGCATCTGATCCTACGGCGGATACCACGGAAGACCTTATGGTAGAGCCTACGGAGCAGTCCGCGGAGGAACCTCCGTCCGAGCCATCGGAAGAGTCCGCCGCGGAATCAAAGGAGGAGCACCCGGCAGAACCTGCGGCAGAACCCGAAGAGGAGCCTCCGTCAGAGCCCACGTCGGAGCCCGCAGAGAGTAGGGAGGAGCTTGTGGCAGAAGCTGCGGAGAAGCCCCCGTCTGACCCTGCGGCAGAGATCACGGTGGAGCCCGCGGAGGGGCCTGCGTCTGAATCTGTCATGGTGCTCGAAAGCCCGGCCGATGGCCTACCGGAGGGGCAGACAGGCGCTTCCGAGGCTGGCCCATGGTCGGCGCCCATGAGTTCCGACGTCACAGCTGCGGATGTGGCAGCTGCAGAAAGCTCTCAAGCCGTATCCCCGGAATCCGCCAGAGAAATCGCCGCCAGCCCTTCGGTTGCTGACGTGCCCGTGCCCGAGAAGGAGGACTCTACGTACTTGGAGCAGCAAGAAACCCCCGAGTCTGTTCCCGAGGTTCCGGCTTCGGCTACCGAGGAAGCTCAGGGAAACGAAGGCATGACATCTCAACCAACTGCGCCTGATGCCGACTCTGAAGACTCGGCAAGATTGACAAAAAGCTCGCAATCCGAGGAGTCGAAACCTGAAGTGGAACTGGCGACTGCATCTCTCTTTGCAGCAGCGGTCTCGGGAATCGCTCTCGGCGCGCTCGACGGCAGTCAAAAAGACGATTCTCCGGAGGCAGATGCTCCTTGCGAGCCAAGCACCGCGTCTGTGGAAGAAGTCGTAGACAAGCTGGATCCCGCGGACTGCGAGCTGGATGCTGGCACTTGCGCCCCCCCTGATGACGCTGGAACGAGGTCGGGGCTGCCAACGGACCCGGGTTTTTTCGACGCCAAGCCCCTACCAACAAATCAAGCGATTCCTTCCCAAGGCGATTTTGGAGCCGCAACTCCCGGAATTGAGGTCCCCGATACGGAGATGGTTAAGCGCGTTCAAGCGCGAATACTTCGGCGGAAGAAGAGACAGGCTCTACGACAAGCTGAAGACACAGTGGCCGTTGCCGTGATTATATACGCAACAGCAGAAGCACTTGTTCCTCCCGAGGGCCCGGCTCCAGGTTCGCCCATTGACAAAGGCAAGGATGGATCCAGTGCGCGACACCAGGCGACTTTGGACTCGCAGACTGCTCAGTCTCGGAGAGATTCTGCCCAGCGCAATCCGGAGTCTGGAGATTGTTATGAGACAATTGCTAACTTGTCGATTACAGATGGCAAATCCAAGGATGTGGGATCGTCAAGCAGTGACAAGGACAAGGATAGGCATCGGAGACACCGGCACTCGCATCACTCGCACCACTCTGGTCGGAGCCGCACTGACGAGGAAGGCAAGGAGAGCAGACGGCGCTCGTCGCACAGCTCGCACAGCTCGCACTCTCGCCGCGATCGGGAGCACAGTGCAGGCTCGGGCAAAGACAAGGCGTCTTCCGGGAAACCTCGCAGGCACGACAGTGGCTACTCTGGAGAAAGCTCCGGAAGCTCAGGGCGCAGACGCAGGACCGCGGAAGAGCAGGCAGAGCACGATAGGAAGAAGTTGGAGAGGCGGCAGAAAGAGAAGGAAGTCGAACGTCGTGAGCCGTCGGGCTCTGATCGGAAGAGCAAAGAGCCAGAAGCCCACTCCGAACGCAGCCACCGATCATCCCGGCGTCACAGCCACTCGGGCCAGTCGCGAACGGAGCAGACAAAAGGTACGAGCCCACGCGAGCGAGAGCCGGTGGTGCAGCAGCCCGAGAAGCGGTTCTTCGACGTCAGAAACGCGGAGGGCATCGTCGGTCGCGGCCCCCCTACCCCACCCTTTGTCGGAGAGGCCTTTATGCCGCCGCCGCCGCCGCCGCCATCGTCGTCCAAGGACTCGAACAGCGCGGAGGGCCAGAGGCACTCCAAGCACAGCAGCGGGCGCCACTCGACGGATCAGGCGCGATCTAAATCTTCCAAGTCCCGGGAGGAGAACAACTCTGACGAAGGAAAAGCTGCTGGATCGAGCCGGTCGCCGCCGGAGGACGCCGCACGACGGGCGAGACATCACGAGCGCAAGAAGGACAAGAAGCCCGGAGGGTTACGCGGCTTTGTGAAGAAGCTGTTCAACTCGTGATGAGAGGATGGTGACGAGATTGCACATGATTGACGCTGGATGAGGAGTCTTTTTCTTTTCACGCCTGTTGGACGAATAATGTATCATGTGTACGAATGTAATGACCGCGCCGGAGCTGTATGTTTTTAGCTTGCCGGACGAGGGATGTTCATGTGGAATACTGTGTGCGATGAATCTTGTTTGTCTATTTCAGTTTATTCGATTGGACTTGCTCTCCACTTCGAACGACGAGGTCCCTTGTCGCATTATAGCTGTTGAAAGTTCAAAGAGCGTATATCGGCAACGAGAATTTCCCGGTAAAGACACTGTTAGATTATCTCGGAGCAAAAGAATGAGGGCATTGGAAGTGCATGATTGGCAATTGTACGCCTGTAAGCCGAATCAATCGAGGTGGTCGTCAAAAAGCATCATGTGGTCTATCATGTGACTCGGTGAGCAGCACAGACGTGCCCCACTCCCTCCGGCCTTGATCGGAGATCGGAGAGAGAGATGATCCAGGCCTGCCCTAATTTTCAGCCCCATTTGGCCATCGCACCGAGAATTTCGGGCATCGCAAGCCAAAGTCGCTATCAAACCTCAACCTCAACCCCCCGAAAAGACGCAGGATTCTACCTCTTTGCGTTCTTCAAGAGTTCAAACTCGACACCGTCTCGCACACCACAATGGCTCCCCAGGTCGTATGTACATGACACCGCTTTGCTGTCGGCGCCGTTGCGCCTCTCGATCCCTCGCCACCTCTCCGTCTTTCTCTGCTGAGGAGGGATTGAGAGGAAGGGGGGGGAGAGGGGGCGATGACGGCGTCTTGAATGGACAGTAGGCTAAGGTCGCATCTTGTTTTTCAGCAGCAGAAGAAATCGGGCAAGGCCCAGAAGCAGGCCAAGAAGGTAGGCAGACAACCCCCCCTCCCCCTTTGTTCTCTCTGGGTGGTGGTGAATGGCGACGACGAGGGGCGCGCGCTGCAGAAGAGAAACACGCAGCGAAGAATGATGGGCTGACATGGGGCCCGGTTTCGCGCAGTTCATCATCAACGCTCAGCAGCCTGCGAGCGACAAGATCTTCGACGTCTCGGCCTTTGAGAAGTTCCTCCAGGACCGCATCAAGGTCGAGGGCCGCACCAACAACCTGGGCGACGACGTCGTCATTCGCCAGGCCGGCGAGGGCAAGATCGAGGTCACTGCCCACAACGACCTGTCCGGTCGCTACCTCAAGTACCTGTGCGTCCTCCCTCGTGATCCCTTGCGTGTGTCAGGGCTGCAGAGCGCAAGGAAGAGGAGAAAAGAAAAAGAAATTCGGGGCTAACTTGCGTCTGTTATCTTTGCCGTGCAGGACCAAGAAGTTCCTCAAGAAGCAGCAGCTTCGTGACTGGCTCCGCGTCGTCTCCACCTCGCGCGGCGTCTACGAGCTCAAGTTCTTCAACGTGGTCAACGACGAGGCCGATGAGGATGACGACTAAGCCCGCCGCCCCGATGTGTCGAGCACGGATGTCCTCTGGCTGGTAAGCTGGGGGTGCGGGTGTTGGGCTTGGCGGTGAAACGGCGTGCTGTGCTGGGGCCGGACAAGTAGCCAGCGACCAATTCAATCAACCACCCGCTCCCAAGTGAGACTTGCTGCGGAGGTGTGGTGTGCCATGCGTTGGAATCCCTGTGCAAAGAACTCTTGATGGTTCTGTAGATTTTTACCGTGCCTTGGTTGCCAGCACACGACTCTTGGGTATATGTGTCGTTCTATATATCGTACACGACCGTGCGCTCTGAGGAAAGGACATGACGCACGGAAGCATGCCGCCACGAGCCAGCAGCAAAAGACGCCGACATCTCCGACTCCTCTCCTCTCCTCCATCCCGCGTCAGGCCACTCGTATCTTGCTCAAGGCAGCGCCCTCATGACAGCCTCAAAAGCCACGAGAGCCACAGCATTAGCCGGAAAGGCGCGCAGAAAACACGGCAGAAACCCCCTCCAATAGCCCCTCCACCCGCTCTCACGATAGACAGCAACAGCAGCATGCCGCCAGCGCGGGAAGCGCCTCACGCCGTCGCCGAGCGCACCGCCAAGGGGATCCGTCATGATGCGCTGCTTGACCAGGTCGCTCGGGTAGCTCGTGAGCCAGAACACCTGGGCGCTGAGGCCGCCGGCCCAGAAGTTGACGGCGGGCGCGGCCAGGTCGGTGTGGCGGCGCAGGGCGCGCGACAGCACGTCGTAGCCGGCCCACCAGAAGAAGAAGAAGCTGCGGAAGAGCAGCGTGGCCGACAGGCCGTGGTACAGGCCGCGCAGGCCGTGGGCGGCGTGTATCTTGGCCACGCAGTCGAGCGGGCCCGAGTACAGGCGCTGCGACTTGGCGGCGGCGTACTGGATCTGGAGACGGGCCTTGACGTGCTCGACGGGCGCGGCGATGAAGCTGACGGTTGCGCCGGCTAGGATGCCTGCCAGCCCGTGGCCGAGGGGGGGGAGATGCCGGTGCTGATGCGGAAGCGGATGCCGCTCGGGGCTCGACGACGGACGGGGGAGCTCACCACCATCCGAAGAAAGCGAGGAGGGCAAACTCGAGCGCAGCCGACGCAGCAGCATGTCAAACCCGAAGCCGCCATCCCCCTCCCCCGTCCCCGGGGCCCACTCGTCCACCCCAAAGACATGCTGCGCCAGGACGCGCCGATACACAGCCAGCGAGCCGAGCATGACGGAATCCATGACAGCCCAGCCCACGAGCGGCGGCGTCGCGCCCTTGTACAGCCCAGCAAGGCCCTCGAGCCGCACCGTCTGCACCGCGCACTGCAGCGGGCCGCGGAACCGCTGCGCCGGCGTCGTCTGCAGCCGCACCTTGACCGTGTCAAAGGGATGGCCAACTGTCTCTGGTTGGCCGGCCGGCATGGGGCATGGAGAGAGAGAGAGAGAGAGAGAGAGGAAAGGGGGGGAAGATGCCCGGGCACCTCACGCACCGGAGAGCTTGGCCACGCCGCTGAACATGCCCGCCACGAAGCCCCTGTAGTCCCGCCCCGGCACCGCGTCCTTGCCGCCGCCCTGGCGTTGCGCGTGCGCCTCCGGGGGCTGCGGCGGCAGGCCAAGGGGCGCCGTCGGGGAGCCAGCGTCCGGAGCCGGCGCCATCGTGACGGCGCAGGAAAAAAGTGAGCGGTGGTGATGGAGGTGGTTGACGAGGGCGAAAAGTAGGTCCGCAGTTTTTGCATGTAAAGTTACAGTACAATATCGGGGCAGTGTCGCCGTCGTGCCGGTGCCGGGGCGCTGTGGACCCCTCCGCTGTCGATGACGGCCCGATCTCGTCCGAGAAAGACGGCCCCAGCGACCGTGGGGAGGCACATGCAGTATATATATATATATATATATATATATATATACACATATATTATATTCATGACTTCGCACTCGTGCGGAAAAGACTGGAAAGATTTCCATTTTGGAAGAAACTGCACACGGACTCAAATCATGGCACTAGGCCAATGGTTTCATGTCCGCCTCGTTTTTATGTGACTGGTGAATCTCGATTTACATCGCCCCCTCCCCCCCCCCCCCCCTCGACTCTCCACGCCTCGCCCGCCGCGTCCAGGTTGAGCGCGTGCCGACCTCATGTGCAACCCCCAATCGGCCTCTCAGCAAACCACCAAGCTCAATAGATTTCACCACCCACCGCACCTCGACATTATCGCCTCCATCGCGGCTAGTCATGCATCCAAGGCCCCAAGCCGAGCCCCAGCAACTGATGCTTCGCTCTAGTAAATAGAAACCGCCTGTCGTTTCGTCGTCATGAATGAGGGAATCGAAAGAAAACTTTTTCACCAAGGAAATGCTGTCCTGGCATAAAAAATGGACAGCATCTCGCCTTGCTGTGCGAATCGTGCCCACTCCAGCCCTCTGCGTATCTGCCCCGGTGCTTCCACCGTTCTGCAAACACCCCCTTTCTCTTCGTCATCTTCGTCTTCCACTACTCGCCGGGTCCATCCATGCCAATTTGAGATTCAACGCCATGGGCCGGGTCTGCATGCGACCGGTTTGCTAAAATGTATCCGTGTCCTGGCTGGCAATGGTGCCAAATGTGTCTGTGCCGTCAAGTTAGCCTCGATGCCATCAACTCTCTATCCGCCACGTCAACTCACCTCTCTTCCGCCGCCTCTCCTCCCTGGCTGCATCCGCTTCGGGACTCTTGGGCGTCATGGCCCTGGGCCCAGTGGGCCTTCGGGCGGGCACCCCGAGCATCGTGTTCAGATTCCTGTTCTCGGGCTTTGGGCTGCTCCCCGAGCGGTGGCTGAGGTGCGTTGCCGTCAGCGTCCCGTAGCCGCTCTCCGAGCTCTGGTGCGGCGGCGGGCTGTTCTCCTTGAGCTTCGACACTCGGCTCGCCCGCGCCGGCGCCTGCGCTCCGGGGCTCTCCATCGGCTCCTTGGGCGGGCGTGGTGGCCCGGGCGACGAGTGCCAGTACTCTCCATCGGCCGTCGCCCCGGCCGACGAAGGGTTGCTGAACCTGTGCGTGTTGGTGGGCAGGCGGTTCAGGCTCGTCGCGGAACCAGCCCACTCCGTCGACCTGGGCGTCAGCGGGTTGTTGTATTCCTGGGCAGACGTCTCCAGCGCCGTCCGGAATCGCTCAGTCTGCCCGGGCCGAGGCTGAGGATGCTGCAGGTTCAGCGAATTGCGGTGTGCCTTGTACTTGGGGTCCTCCGGGCTCATCTGCACAATGGCCGGGCCATGGTGTTCTCGTTCCTGCATCGGAGACGCCAGGTTCTGTTCGGAGAATCCCGAGTGAGGCTTGTCCTCCTCACTGGGATCGTATCTGTAGTTGTCCTCGTGCAAAGCCAGACTGGAGCCAGAGCGCGAGGGAGGCGGAAAGTCGTCGTATTTCTGACCTCCCTTCTTGGAGTTTCCGCTGCCGCGGAGCACCCGCCCCACGCTCGAGGCCGTCGTCTCTGACCAGCGCGAAATCTTGGGCAGCCATCCGGACGAGCTGCTCGACTTGTGTTTCTTGCCCTTTTCCGTGCGAGGCGTGTTCTCGGCACTCAGCGGCTGCTGCCCAGCCGAGTCGGTCCGTTGCGGTGGCGTCTCGAGTGGCACGGAGCCGCCCCGCTGGACTTGGTCGGGCGGGCCGAGCGACATTCGGCTGGGGGGCTTTGTTCTCTCGGCCGTAGGGCTGGGAGGGTCGTATTGGAGTTCTTCGTCGTCCTCTTCCACCGTGCTGATGGGACGATCCGAGAGCCTCCGGTCGCCTCCCAGGTTGGCACCTTGCCCGCGGTTCTGCGACGCCAACAAGTGGCCCGAGTGGCTGGCGTGACTGGCCGTCGAGTTGCCCTCGGGCTCGTAGCCCTTGTCTTGCTCGTATTGGCCCTCGGGCTGCAGATTGTCAAAGGACAGGGCGGGCCCCGCCGTGGAAACTGGCCGGGCCGTCTGCGTCTTGAGGACGTCGACTTCGCCCAGCAATTGCATCAGCATGTCTTCAATGCGGCTGAGGTCATTCGTGCCCTTGGCACTGAGGCCCTGCAGCGCCCGTCGCCACAGATTCCGCTTCTTGCTTGCCGAGTCATCGATTGTGCCGGCCTGAGAGCCGCTCTGTAGGGAACGCGACGCCGCACCAGGATAAGGCCTAGGGCCATTGATGGACTTTTGGAGCTTTTCCGTGTTCTCCACGTTGGCAAAGACCACATCGTCACCAGTGTCCTGGACCAGGTCTTTCATCTCCCGAAAAGAGTTGCGCATCTCCAACGCCGCATTCATGAGCAATGCCACAATCTCCGTGTCGCGGGCGCTCCTCTGTGCATCACGCACCATTAACTATAAACTGTTAGCACTTACCCTCCGTCACTGCCCGAGCTCGTATGGCTTACATGTTGCATCAAGGCCACAATGTCCTTGTTCTCAATGCGCTCCATGCCCGCGCCAGTGGCCGCATCATAAAAGGGAGACGTCATTCCCTGAGACATGCCGCTCAGGTGGCGGCCATGGTCCCGAGGGGCGTAGAAGGGGTCGTCGCCGCCACCGAAGTCGACGGCCTTTCCTTTGGAACCGGCGTCTGGCGTCCGGTTTGGCCCGTTTGACATGTAACCCTCGTCGTACTTCTGGCCAAAGCCAGGGCTACCGGTGTGGAACGGGGCGTCGAGCCCATGCGCACCCAGCAAGTTGTCGTTCAACGCAGGATTGACAATGGGGCTGGCGTCCTCGTAAGGGTTCGTTATGAGCGTGTCTCGCTTGCGCTCATCCGAGGTTCGGTGCCATTCATCTTGATCCTGGCTCTGCGTGGCGGCCATGCCAGCGGCAGCTCCCAAGGCAGCCGCTCCCACGGCCTCCGTAACTCCTAAACTCCCCTCTTTGCCGCCATGGTCTTGCCCATAGCCAGTATAGTCCTGCTGAGTCGGCGTCGCCCGACCGGACCACGACCCTCCGTCCCGCCGTCCGTCAAGACGACCCTCCACGAGGGAAGGGTTGGTGTGCAGGTCATCGTCGATGTAACCAAGCTCGGGCATGGGGTTGTCAAAGTCGGGAACGCCGCTGGCGCCCACTTTTGGAGTCTCTTCAAGATCAAGCCTGTCGACGCTGTGTGCAGGCGTGTTGCGCGGTTCCCAGCCCTGCATGGTGCGCTCCTTGAACGACTTGTTCCGGAATACTCCCGCGGGTCGGAAGGCCTCGTCAGCACCACCCTCGGCGGTCGCTTGCTTCCTCTCCTGTGCGGCTTTCAAGGCTGCGGCTGCGGCGCCGACTGCTCCGGCTGTGATGGCCGCCTCCGAGGCGGTGGGGGAATGCCTGTACTTGGTGCGGGGGACCTTTCGGCCGTGCTCGTCGACATCGAATTCGGAGAACTCTTGCGACTGCGTCTGCGATAGTGACCCTGTGGAGGCATGCGCCTCTTCCTCGAGCTCGCGACGGCTGTCGACGGACGTCTTGCCAGGGCTCAGGCCTCGGCCGCTGTAGGCCTTTGACCCGTTGTCGTATGATATGGTAGAGTCCCGAGCACCGTGGTGGTCGTAGCCAGATCCGGCAGTTAAAACAGACTGCTCGAGCATCGAGCCATCCACAAGCGAAGCAACGGCCGACTCTACGCCCATGGGCGGGTGGACAAAGTCGGGATTGGCCCCGACGCCTCGCACTTCCTGCGCGGAATGCTCGTACAGGGCGTCGCCGTGACCGCCGCCCGTCGAAGTTTGATCAAACTCTGCGCTTCTCGCCTTGCTGGGCACCGACTCTTGCGAGTGCGCGGATCGCACATGCCAGCCGAGCTCCGGAGTCTTTCCCGGGGACGGTTGGCCGTTGGGAGAGTGCAGATCCCGGCAGCTCTGGGGCGGTGGAGCTTCGCTTCCTCCCTCGGTGTACCCCGAGACGCTCGGAATGGGACTCAGGCCCCGCGCCCCCGCCTGATAGGGGACGTACTTGAGCGGAGGCGGCACGTCTTGGTGGCTGAAGTAGCGGTCTTCATAATCGTCTTCGGGGTAGTCGGGCGGGCTGCCCTCATATTCGTCGTAGTGGCCCACCTGATTCCGACGACCAGAATCGTCGGTTTCACATTCCTGGTCGTATTCCTTCTTTCCACGGGGAAGGGCCATCAGATCGCCGTGGGAGACGTTGGCGTGCTTGGTACCTAGGGTCTGCTGGAGGTCGACTGGAGTTCTTGTCCCCGTGGGCGTCAAGGCGGGAGAGGCCATGGCTGCGTCGTGTCCGGAAACGAGCTCCTCGCTGGCGGAATGAGGCCTGTCGGTGACGGCAGAGAGGATGGACGTTCGGGTCATGTCGGACGGGTTGATGTCGCTCATGAGCGGCATTGGCGGTGCTGGAGCGGCGAGGTCCTCCTCATCTTCATATTCCTCTGCGTAATGGTCGCTGCGACTCCTTACAGAGTCTGCCCTCCTTCGGCGTCTGTCACGCTGCCTCCTCTCCGGAGAATCGGACTTTTCGTCGTCCAAGGCGGAAGACGCGCTTTTGGCCATGGCGGCCCCCGCCGCGCCGGCGGCCGCCCTCTTGAGCAAGTTGTTGCTGCGTTTCGGGGTGACAACATCGGAATCGTGTCCCTGGTAATCGGCATCGACGGAACTGCGGCTGAGGCTGCGCAACGACGTGTCGTCGTAGTCGTGTTTTCGTCCCTCGTGGTGACGGGAAGCATCTCGCGAACGATCGGTCCGCTGGCCCGACGACCGCCGGCGATCTGTGGAGACGTCATCCCGTGAGGCGGATGTGCCCGACGTCGAGGTGAGGGACCCACGCCGGCCCTCGCGCTTGCTCTGCTCCCGCTTGAGGGCGCTCAACTCGGGCAAGATGAGCCTGCGAATGGCGTCTTCGACGGTTTCGAGGAGCTTCGGATTGTTGATGGATGACTTTGAGGTGCCCGAGCGCATGGAGCGTGTGTCGAGGGAGCGATGACTCGGAGATATATTCGACGACAGAACGCTAGACTCGGCCGCGGAGACATTGGACTCCTGCTGGCTGCGGCTAGACCGGCGACGTGGCGAGCGGAGCTCTTCAGGCGCGGGCTCACTGACGCTGCTCGTCCTGCTTTTCGAGTGTCGCTTCCGCTCCGGCTTCTCCCTTGGCTTGTCTGCAATCTTGACGCGCTCCTTGCCTCGAGTCTTGTTGTTGCTGATCTCGCCCATGGCGGCGCCGGCGAGCGCTCCCGTGGCAGCAGCAGCAGCCAGGCCATGTGGTCCGCGGAATGGACTAGCCGAGCGCCTAGCATCACCGGTGCCTCCCGAGCCATCGAGAAAACTGTCAGTCGGGATGGCGGAGATTTCCGAGGGGTTGCCCGGCTGGTAGGATTCGGCCGTGGGGATCAATGGGCTGGCAGGTCGTCGGCGCCGACGATTGCGGTCGATCTCTATGTCGATTGGATTCCTCGAGACATTGGACTCTTCCGTCGCCGATGCGTACGACGTCATGCTGTTAGCGTCTCCCTCGGCCAGCTCTATTTCGCGCGAGGCAATGGCCTCGTCGAGCGGTATACGTCGAGTCAGAGAGGCCTTGCGAGAGCCTTTGGTCTCCGTCACCTGGATGTGATCGCCCTTGCTCTTCTTGGAAGGGGTCAGGCGCACGCGGACGCTGGGCTTGCGGTCGGATCCCGGGTTGGCCTTGCTTCCCTCAAAATACTCGATCAAGAGGGACGTCTGGGAGCGGTTGGTCTTGTGGCCGCGCGTGCGAATCGTGACGGGAGTGCCGTCCTCGGGAAGGGAGTAGGAGGATTTCTCGTCGCCAGGCTTGGACACATCAGTCGTCAATTCGGTCGGCGTCGCTGTCTCGGTCTCAGTCGGGGCAGGAAGTGGCGGAGCCTTTTTGGAATTAGCGCCCATGGTGACGCCGGGCAGAGAGACGCAACAGTGGCGAGGGTGCCGACGACGACGGCGCCGAACGGGGGGGCAGAGAGCAGAAAAGTGCTTCCAGAGGTCAAGCGGGTCGAGGTTTGCTAAGAAGTCGACGTCAAGACATGCGGGATGAGACGAGACCAGCTGAAGGGGAGTGAGAAAAATCTGGTAACACAGCAACAGCGTGAGCTCGGCGAGACACCAATGAGCCGTCTTGCGGGCTGCTGCAGCAAGCGACTCACCAGGAAGCACAAGAGAACAAGGATGCTGCAACGCTCTCGGGCGGAAACAGCCGCGCAGGACTATGCCGGGCAGAGAGAGGCAATCTCGGACGAGGAGTTGAAGATGGCAAAGATGGCGCTCGTGGCGACTGCAGGCGTGAGCGAGATTGGATGTAGGTACACAAGCAAGGCAAGGCAGAATTATGTACAGTATGCCGTCGGTGACGGCGGGCCGCAGGAAGCTCGAGGCTGGTCCGGCCAGAGGGGGTGATGAAGCAGGATGTTTCTGGGCAGCACCAGCCGCAGAGGGGCGGTGGACGACGAGGAGGAGGCGAGCGCGGCGAGGCAGCACCAACATGCAACGACGACGGCAGGGGGGCGTTTCGATTGAGACGGTAATTGTGTTGTTATTGCGCCCCAAAAAACAGGCTGGGGTGGGTGGATGAAGTGATGAGTTGGCGCTGCCGACGTAGCTTGTCCAATCGAGCTTGGAGCGCCAGGGGTGGCTTGACGTTAGGGCCCGTCGGGATCCACGGGCGAGCTGGCGACTGGTGGAGAGGCTTTGTTTCGTCCAGACTAGAGAGCTGTCGTGTGCTGCTGATGCGTGCTGGCAAGCGTCGTCGTCGGAGGGAATGAGGCAGGGCAGGCAGGGCAGGGCAGGGCAAAGGGCGTGGTGTGGCGGAGGTTGAGCGACAGCTGGAGCGACAGCTGGCAACGGCGGGCGCTGCTGAGCCCTGACGGCTCTGGAGGAGTAGGTGCGGACAGGGTACGGACAGGGTACGGACAGGGTAGCTCGATAAGGCAGGTCGAGCTGGTGCTACGTGCTGGTGCTACGCAGAACTCGTACTGTGCACCTCGTGCGCTCTGCGGGGCCGTCCGATTGATTCGCGGGCAACGCCAAGTCGATAAATACAGTGCACGCTACCGTGTTGTTTGTGCGTCGACACTGTCGGCTGTTGACATGCCCTGGGTGTACCGTAATACCTACTGTGCCTTGCTGTATTACAGCACGGTTTGCGTCCAGTACCCGGGCAAGCAGCAAAAAGGCCAAACACGACGATGAGCTCCCAGGTGCCAGGCTTCACCGTCATCCGACCTCTTGCGCATGCTTTGCAGATCCCTCAAAAGAAACCTCCCGGTGGCCAGACTCGCCCTCCTCATCCAATTGCTGCTGCTGCATCTCGGTTGACCCGGCCACCCAGAGGCCCTCGAGGCTGTTGGCCAGCGCCGTTGGAGGAAGCCCTGGAGCGAGGATCCCCGCAGTGGCTCGTGTCGGCCAGTCCCCTAAGACGGGCCGCCCAATGAGGAACCATCCACCCCCGCGGCTCCACACAAGCCGGCCCGGGGGTCCCCCCCCTGCTGGCTGCCGTGGAAACCATCCATGCCATCATCTCCAAATATTACTGTAGGTACGGATGGACACTCCGTACGCTTGCCGGCAAACACGAAGCAACCCCGGCCGGCCCTAATACCGTAGACGACTCAGAACTCATGCTGGCTCCTTATAAAGCCCATCCATTCATTTCTCCCTCCCCATCAACACCATGCCGGCATCCTATGCGGCCCCGCCACGCCCTCATTCCAGCCGATAGGGCTGAAACTCGGGACAAGAGCTGATTTCATCATCATCTCCTCCTCTGCCCGGCGGAGCGGAAAACGGGAACACGCTTATTCTGCGGGACGGGGACCCAAGTACGTAAGCAAGCACCCATCCCATCCGTATCGGCCGTTATTATTAATATAATACGGCTCCGGGCCGGTGAAACAGAGCAAGGGCTCTATGTACTGTAGGTAGGTAGGTAGGTACTCCACGCAAACGCCAGCGCTGCTCCAGATGTGTCTGTGTCTGTCGCGATGATAACCACGGCAACCGACGCGAATTTGTTCAATCAACCCTGGAAAGCAAACGGGCCATCTGCCTGCCGTTTGGCCGCTATTCGACGCACCCGGCCATTCGACTGCACAGACGACATGGTCTGGCTGGCGGCGAGCTACAGCCGTCGCCGCCGCGCGGGCAAGACATGCATGCATGCCTGGTGAATGCTCTCCTCGTGTGTGCCGCTGTCGCCCAGAGAACCCAACCCGTCTTGCACGACCTAGGCTGGGGCTTCTGGGCCAATGGCCACATGTGAGACGCCATTCGACGAGCTTCTGCGCCTGTCTTTGGGGACGCTGCTCAGCTGTTGCCGTCCTACGTAGATGCAGCATTCGATTGCGGGGGACGACATGGGGTCCTACTCTCGCCAATCGGGCTCGGCAAGCAAAGACAATGGTTCCCTGTGCATTCAGGCTGATGATTGATACCGAGCACGTGAGTAGAGTTGATGCGGATTCAACATGGCCAATCCGCCCTTCAACGTCCGACACAAGCCAAGCGTCACCAAACGCCGCAGGCCTGGCATCCTGCCGCCTGGGAAAAGGTCCAATCCGAAAGCCGTCACGGATCGCCCGCTGATCCGCCTGTCGCCTGCCATGGTCCAGTCCATGCGCCCCGAGTCCCAGCATATCCAGATACTCCCAGCCCTCGAACAAACGACCTCGCCATTAGACGCCTCCTCCCCTCACCTCCGCTTGAGAGAAGAAAAGAAGCCGAAACAGTTGGTTGATACATGATTCATAAAGAGATGGGCGATGCATCTTCAATCGTTCAGGCACATCCTCGTGAGGGTGGCGCCGTATGTGCCTCGGGCGGCGACCGTGGCTGCTGCTGATTCTGCTGGCTCTGCTGATTCTGATTCTGCGGTACCGCGTGGCAGTACCCCGGCGGCCGCCCCCTGGCACCCTCGGCCTCGCCCTCGGGCTCCGGGAGCACGACACGGGGGTACTCGGCGAGAGGCGGCGGCGGTGTCTTGGCCTCGTAGGGCGGGGGCGCCTCGCCGAGCTCGTTGAGGCCCTCGAGGGGGCGGGTGCCGCCGAGGGTGGCCCAACGGCGGCTGGTGCGGGCGACGAGGAAGCCGCCCGGGCCGATGACGCGGTCGTCGGCCCAGCCGGGGCCATTGGGGTCGCGGGCGCGCTGGTGGCGTCTCCACATGAAGAAGACGAAGCAGCCGACGCTGAAGACGGAGAGCAGGGGCACGATGATCCAGATGAGCGGCTGCGTCGGCACGCCCCCTTGGGCGTCCTCGGCCGACGGCGGGGGCGGCATAGGTAAAAGAGCGGACCGGCGACGGGGTGGTGAATATATAGTCTTTCGGCCGGGAGGAACGGGAGGAGGATGAGCTTGTAACGAGCTGCTGCTGCTGCTGCTGCTTGCTTTAAAGAATATCAAGGCAGCTTATCCCAGTGCGAGCGTACGACCCTAAGAATGGGCACATCCAGCGTCGTGTCGGGAGAGCCCAGCTCCCTCTGGTCGAGGAGCAAGCTCGACGGCCGTATAAGCCGAGGCCCCGAGGCGGATCCGGGGGCTGTCGTCGGGACCGTCTCGGCAGAGCTCATGGAACGGGTGTGGGGAGGCGCCGGCGCTGATGCTGAGCGGGGCAGAGACGACGGAGCGTCTTAGGATACCGGCATACCAGGGAGGCGAGGACGACGGGGAGAGGAGGAGGAGGAGGAGATGAAGTAAGAGAAGGGGAGGGGAGGGGAGAGGCGAGGGGAGGAGAGGAGAGGAGAGGTTGTATCATGTATGTAGGACGCGGAACGCAGAGCAGGCAGCGTCGGTACATGCCGAGTACCGCTCCCACGGCATCGCTCCCTCAGAAGCCATGTAATCCAATGGCGCGCGCGAGCGATGTGCGTGACGCGGTGCGGTGCGGCGGGGGACGGGCCACAGACGGCCGGCTCTTGCAGGGCATGGCTGGACGGCGGCCAAGGAGGACGTGAGGTCACGCTCTGCACCCCGTCTTGTTTCAGCAGGTCGAGGCACGTCGCCTCCTACAGGTGGCTCACCACCACATCAGGAACACTTGGCGGTCGGATCCATGCCAGTGAGGTGTGCAAGGGGGGGAGGCGAGTGGCTGGTTTCGAGTGTTGGATGTGGTTGGTCGGGATAAGGGTGCTGAAGCTTGATTCCTTGGTGATGGGGTTGCACAGAAGGTTATCTGGAGGTTGTGCTTGTCCATCCACCATCATCAATCAACATGCGCAGACGGAGTTGAGCGAGCTTCCCTCACCTCGACTGCCACGGCTCGGGACACCGCCTAGACCCCTTGGCAGGCCTTTCTTCACAGTCGGCTCCAGACCCAAACGTGCCCCTTGGGCACAAGGGGGTCCAGGCCCGAGGAACCGCCATCAAACACTTGATCTAGACGTCGGCGACGACTGGCATGCTGGGGGAGAGACAAAAGGCGGGCGGGCTACGGAGTGCTGGGATAAAAGTACCTCCCAGGTACCCACTTGACCACTTGACTGCCGTCCGTCCCCGCCCCTCCAATTCTCGACGCTCGCAACCCATCCGCACTTCGAGAGAGGGCCTCACCACCTACGGATCCAGAGCCACGCACGCCATCCCGCTCGCCACCGTCACCATGCCGCGCGCAATCAGAGGTCGGTCTGCTCCTCTCTCTGCTCCTCATTCTCTCTCTCTCTCGCGCGCGCGCGCTCCCGTTTCCTCTCCCCCCACCCCGAACCCGGTCCGCATATGGCCGCTCTCTCCAACCACTCAGCCAAAACCACGTTTTCCCCCTTGTCTCACAGAGAGAGAGAGAGAGCGAGAGAGAGAGAAAAGAATATTCATTTCCCCCATGCTAACGCGAAACGCCTAGGCGTCCTCATCGAGTGCGACCCGTCCATCAAGTCCATCATCGTCAACATCGACAGCCACAACCACGACTATATCATCGAGGACCTCGACGAGGAGCGCGTCGTCGTCAAGGAGAACATGGTAGCCCTGCTCAAGCAAAAGCTCGAAGACGTACGTCACCCTCGCCCCATTCTCCCCTCGTACCGAATCACTGGCTCACACACACCCGCGCGGCACAGCGCCTCAAGGAAAACCTGCCGCCCGTCGACGAGTCCGGCTCCGAGTAGAGAGGCTCGCCTACAGCTTCTCAAACGTCGGCCTCCGCTTGCCAAACATGCCCGCCATGGCCGCCGCCACGTCCCCCGCCTGCAGCGCGACCGAGTTCCACACCGTCGTGTACCGCAGGCTGTCGGCCGTCGCGTGCTCGCGCCCGTAGTTGAGCAGCTCCTTGGTCCCCTGCACCGCCACGGGGCTCTTGCCCGCCAGCCCGCCCGCCATGGCCAGCCCGGCCTCGACCGCCGCACCTTTGCCCTCGTGCACCTGGCTCACAAAGCCCACGGCCAGCGCCTCGCTTGCGGAGAAGTCGCGCGCCGACAGGCACACGTCCTTGACCCACGACGTCGACCCCACAATCTTGGGCAGCCGCGCCAGCGTCCCGATGTCGGCCGCCAGCCCAATGTCGACTTCCTTGACGGCGAAGCGCGTGTCCGACGAGCAGAGCCGCATGTCGGCGCAGCAGGCAATGTCGATGGCCAGGCCGAGGGATATGCCGTGGAGCACGCAGATGACGGCTTGTAGACGCGCATGCTTGGTTAGCCCGGCTCTCCTCATCAAAGGGTAGAGAGCACTGGCAAAATTGCAAGGTGGTTAAACTCACGCTTCTCACACCTCTCCATCTCCGTAATACACCCCTGAAACTCCTCGATATGCTCCCTCAACGCCTTCGCCGTCCTCGCCGCATCCCTCCCGCCGTCGCCCTCGCCGCCCGTAGCCGCCAGCGGCCCCTCCTGGCTCGCCGCCCGCACGTCCAGCCCCGCGGTAAAGGCCCTCTCGCCCGCGCCGCTGAGCACCACGGCGCGCACTCCGCCGTCGCCGCTGAGCTGGCGAAACACGCGCCCAAATTCGAGCCACACGGCCCGCGAAAACGCGTTGAGCTTGTCCGGCCGGTTGATCTCGACGTGCGCCACCAGCGGCCGCGGCGACGTCACGACAAAGTGCGCGTAGCACGAGTAGCCTGCCAGCGGGGGGGCCGCCATGCTTTGTTTTCTTCCTTTTTCTGCTTCTTCTGCTGGGCTGTGGAGGATGAGGTGGCTCTATCCCACCGACGAGGAAAATCCGCAAAGACAGCCGCAGCAGCGCCGAGTATCGATGGCGGTCCGTGTTCCGTCGTCGGGTTCCTCGGCCAGTGCGCTGCTGCTGCTCTTGAGTGTACAACGCTTCGATGGGGCAAAATAATACGAGGCCCGGACACGACGGACGTTGAAGTGAAATGTTTCGGATGCTTACGTCCTGTCCTCTCTCTCGGATCTCGGCTGCGGCTGCTACCATCTGTGCACTTTGGAGAGGGGGGAAGGCTGATGGATAGATGCCGAGGTCCGCCCAAGCGCCGGCCTCTTGTGGGTCTTCAAACAGGGGGTTTGGAACTTGGTCCGCACCGACCTCCACCGGATGCATGCAGGCCTTGATTTGCCAGTCCCTCCAGCCAAACAGCGACCAGGAGCCCGAGACTCACTTCAGCCTGGCAGGTCCAGCAGCAGCAGGCCTGTCTCGAGCTCCCGTTGGATTTGCCGGGAGAACACTTCAAAGACGCCCTGCCTAGGCAACAAACGCATTGGACTACTCAAACACAGCAATCAATGAACCGTCCGTAGACGGCTAGCAATGCATATAAACATGGAGCAAAAGCTGGGACAGTATTAAAGTTGCTTCCCCATTCTTCCCCAAACAAAGACACCGAGCGCGCTCACCCCAAAGCTCGAGATCCGTGAACCGTCCGCCGACGGCAAACTCTCAGCGCAACCGTGCGTCCGGTTGCGGTCCCTCCCGTCTACTTCGTGGCGGAGCTGACTTCGCTGTCGATCAAGACGCTCGAGTGCAGTATCATGTTTCCTGCTCCGCGGGAACAAACATTCCAGGGACGGCCTTCTCCAGCAAATCAAGCTCACAAAAGCGCAGCGCCAAACAGGGTGAAGAAGAGCGTCAGGCCGCAGACAACAACAGGGGCTTTGTCCATGCCAGCGTGCACCGACATGGCGGCGCTGTCGTCATCGCTCTTCCCGCCGCTGCCGCCGCCCGTGGGAGAAGCCTTGCCACCAGTGACGCTCGCCGTGGCGGTACCGCTGTCAGACGCATCCTGGGAGCCACTGCCGGCCAGGCCAGGGCCGCCACCAGCGCCGTTCTTCATAAACTTCTCGGCCTGCTGGGGCATTGAGGGAACCAGGCTGGGGTCGACATTCCAGTCCGATCCCTTGGTGGGGCAGCTGACGGAATGCGTCGTCGTGGCGGCGCCGCCAGCACCCGTGGGCGCAGGGTTGTCCTTCAAGGCCGACGCAAAGAGCTTGAACTCGCCGTTCTCGGCGTCGGTGTCGACCGTGTTGCCGCTGATCTTGACGATGCCGAAATCGTTGCCCTCGACAGAGTACTCGTACATCAAGCCGCCCGAATAAACCGATGTCATTTCGCTGCTCATCATGGCGGCAATCTCTTCAAACTTGCGAGGGCGGTTCTTGATGCAACCCCACTCGGACAGGCTGAAGATTTGGTCAGCTAGAATCCAGGCATGGAGAGCGGTTCGACATACAAGATGGGCAGACCGTAGGTGGAAAAGGTCTTGACCTTCTGGTCCCAGCCCGACGTCTTGAAGTCGCTGTTGCACCACGAGTAGTCGTTGAAAGCAAAGAAGTCGGACCGCATGTCGTCGGTTCCGCAGTTCATGTAGTTTGCCGTCTGGAGACGGTTCGAGGCGACGTCGGCGGCCGAGTAGCCGACAGGGACCCTGCGGAGGCCGCGCGAGTTCATGTAGTTCTTCATGTCACGGGTGACGGCCTTGACATAGGGAGCCGACAGGTCGGTGTCCTTCTGATCGTTGATGACCTCGTTGCCGGAAAAGAAAGCCAGAGTGTTGGGGTACTGGGCGAACATCTCGACCGTGGCAAAGATGCTCTGGAGGTAATTGGTGTTGTACGAAGGACCGGGCTTGCTGCGGTTAATGGAGTACTTGGGGGTGTTGACGTCGAGGACGAGGTAAATGCCGGCATCCTCGAGCGCCTTCATGCAGTCGTCGTGCTTGGCCGAGTTGTCGACGGCGTAGACGCGGATCGTGTTGACGCCGAGCTCCTTGAACTTTGCAATATCGCGCGTGCAAGTGGCCTTGTCGGCGAGAGGATCCGTGTCGGCGGAGGAGCCACCGGGCTGGTAGTCGATGCCACGGATGTAGAATCGCTCCTTGTCGGCCCAGAAGGCTACATTGGAGGTCAGCGCGTTCCGGCTTCACGGGAGCGCGAGCCAAGGCGCGATGGGGGCTTACCATTGCCGGAGACGGTGACGGTGGGCAAGTTGGCGCGCTTGCTGGGAGGCTCCTTTTCGGTGGCCGTGGGTGAGGCCGAGACGGTGCCCAGGGCAGCCAGGGCCGAGACGAGGGCGAATTGCTTCATGGCGACTCGACGGCACGGCAAGAGACGATGGTATACGAGGGGGAAGTTTGTCGAGAACCCGACAACAAACAAGCGGAAGCGAGATGAAAGAATAGCAAAAGAATCAAGACCCTAAGAGAGTGGAGGGGGAAGAATGGCGATTACAGTCGTCTTAGTAACGAAGAGAGAAGGGAGAAGAAGCCAGCAACGAAGGAGCTGTGTAATGGAGGAAGAAGGGAGGGAATGGAAGGAGAAAGGGATGGCGTTTGGCGGACGAGGATGAGGACGAAGAAAAGGAAGGGGTGGCTGTGGCCCTACGGGGGGGTCTGTCCAGCGGAGGCGAGTCGGGCGTTGCGCTTTTGAGAGGGGTACAGGTACGGGTACAAGGGCGGGAGATGACCAGAGGCGCTGGGGATATGCACACTGTGCGGCCGAGCAGGCCAGGCGCTGGGTTGCACTGTAGAATTTACAGTACAGTCCCCCTAAGAAGAACAGGATCAACAGGAGCACGGGCACGGCGAAGCCGCCAGCTGATACTCAAGTCTTTATTGTACCGCACGTAAAGTCGTCAAGACAGACACGGTCCTCGCGCCTAAATGGAGCAGAGAACTGGGCGGGCTTTGGCCTTGGCGCTAATATGCGCACTTGCATGCTAATAGTACCGAAGCAGAAGGCGGCCGTGGTAGCGGCAAGGAGCCTGAAACTCACACAGACGGCGCACTGTGGGTGTGGGGAGGGGCCGTGTACAAGTACGTGGAATGGTGGGCTGCCTCGGCAAGAAGAGTCCAAGATGACTCGTATCAGCTCCGCTACTGAGGTGCTATAAGGTAAGCATACTACAATGCATGAATGCGCAATAAATCCAGCCCTGTTTCCCTTCCCAAAAGGCACCGCCAGAGTTTACCCGCGGGTTCTAGTTACATGGTACACGGGATTCTCCGGCTTTGACGCAAAGAAAAGCAGACCCATCCAAGACTCCCAGAGTGCCCAATTCAAGGCCTCTGCTTCACTTTTGGTTCTCGGGTCGCAGAGAACTAGCGACATGTCAGCCGGCATTCATCACGGACCGGCCGAGAGCACTTACCGAACGGCCTTGCCAGCCCTCCAGATCTCCAGGTTCCGAATCTCCTCCATCTCCTTGTTGAACTGCTCGCGGTAGTCCTTTTGGCTGTTGTACTCGAGCGAGCGCTTCGTCTCGCTGCCGTCCTTGACGCTGTCGTAGAGGTCGTTGAAGACGGGCTTGAGGGCGTCCTTGAACTTGGGCGTCCAGTCAATGGCGCCTCGCCGGGCCGTCGTGGAGCATGCCTCGTACATCCAGTCCATGCCGTTGGCGCCAATTAGCGGGTACAGGCTCTGCGTCGCCTCCTCGACCGTCTCGTTAAAGGCCTCGCTGGGGCTGTGGCCGCGCTCGCGGAGCACCTCATACTGGGCGAGGAACATGCCGTGGATGCCGCCCATTAGGCAGCCGCGCTCGCCGTACAGGTCCGAACACACCTCCTTCTCAAACGTCGTCTTGTACAGGTAACCGGAGCCAATGGCGACGCCGAGGGCAATGGCCTTTTCCTCGGCCTTGCCCGACACGTCCTGGAAGACGGCAAAGGACGAGTTGATGCCACGGCCCTCGCGGAAGAGGGAGCGGACGGTGCGGCCGGAGCCCTTGGGCGCGCACAGGATGACGTCAATGTTCTTGGGGACATCGACCTTTGTCAGGTCCTTGAAGACGGGGGAGAAGCCGTGAGAAAAATAGAGCGTCTGGCCAGGCGAAGAGGGTGGCCACGTTAGCGGGATGAGCAGGGAGAATCACCTGGGCATGAGTCGTACCTTGCCCTGTGTCAGCTGGGGCTTGATGGCGGGCCACGTCTCAGACTGGGCAGCGTCGCTCAGGAGGTTCATGACAATGGTGCCGCGGGAGATGGCCTCGTCGACGTCGAAGAGGTTCTTTCCGGGGACCCAGCCGTCTTGCTGGGCGTCCTTCCACGACTTGCCGTTTTTGCGGACGCCGACGATGACGTTGAGGCCATTGTCGCGGAGGTTGAGGCCCTGGCCGTGGCCCTGAGAGCCGTAGCCGATGAGGGCGAGGGTGTCATTTTTGAAGTAGTCCTGATGGGGAATTGGTTAGGAATGACACATTGGAGAGAGGTTGCGACTGACGAGGAGCTTCTCCTGCGGCCAGTCGGCACGTTCTGGGAGGCCAAGTCAGTATTGGCCGAGGCTTGGTCGGGGGGGTTGCATACCGTAGACGTCCTCCTTTACGCCGGCAAAGTCAATCGTCTTGACGCCGCGGACCTGCTGCTGAGCAATGGCCGGACGGGCGACGGCAGCCGTGGCTCTGGCCAGGTTGCGGGCCGCCATGTAGGAGCGCTGCTGGAGGCGGGGGGAAGCCAAGGGGCGGGCCAGAGGGGCGCGCAGCGCCTTGGACATGCTCCTCGCGGCCATTGTGAGTTGGGTATGCGGGGGGACGGGGAGAAGATTGCAAAGGAAGAGTGGTGAGGGGCGATGAGGGAGACGAGAGAAGGAGTCAAGAGTGTCGAGAGTGTCAAGAGTGTCAGGAGTGTCAAGCAAGCAAGGGCTCGAAATTTTTGGGAGGCGGGGAGAGGTGGAAAATGTGACGGGCGGACAAGTCACCGATCTCGGCGGTGGTGGGCTTGCCAAGGGGGACCCACTAGTCCTGTCGGTAGGCGTCAGGGGACCGTTGGGCGGTGCCTCGTGCGCCGACGTCGCCCGCGGACCCTGCTTCATTGGGGAATTGGACCAGGAATTTGTGCCGGGCTCATCGGACTCGGGAGCATCCCTAGGGGGTGTCTGTCGCTCTAGGATACATGCTGGTAGGGTCATGAAGGTGTACCTAGGTACCTACAGCACAGGCTCACATGTAATACCTTACCTAATACTCCTTGTGCCTATATATGTACATAAGTAGGTAGGTAACTTACCAGGCATAAGGCTTGGGAGCACAGCCGCCTCCCCCCCCCTCCTCCCCTTCTGAGCCCTGACTCGTCCCGCGCTGTCCGTGCTCGCCAGCAGCCCGGAGAGAAGCTTGGTGTCGCGCAAGTGACCGAGGGCGATTCGGCTATCGCGAGTGCAATGGCCAACGACATATTGTGGTCAGGCTACGTACAGAACCTGGAATGCTCCGGAATGCGAAACCCCGCGCGCCCGGCACGTCAACATTGTTGACCACGTAAACATTCAACTCGCCCTGGTCTGGCTGGTCTGGTGCCGATGAATATCTCACTAGGGGCCGTATCATGTGCGATATGTCCACTGTCCCTGCTTAAAATAGCACCGGGGCCCGAGACGATGCATTCGCTGCCTTGAACGCTAAAATGGCCGGCCTTATTAAGAAGCCAAAGAGTTTGCAGGCCACAATGCCTTGTTCCATTGTGTGCGTACGGAGTACGTACCCTTTACTCCGTGCCGCATGCCAAGGGGTGCCGCATGCTGTACCGGTAATTGGTGCCTGCAGACATTAGCCACCGTCATGTGATGCTGCGGCTGCCCCATCTGGCGTTGCTCATTAAGCCCTATTACCTACCGATCAGCGCCATCGTCAGGAATGAGCATCCCATCCAACACACTCCTTCACTCTCCTTTACTCTCCTTCACTCTCCTTCACTCACCTTGACCTCACCGCCATAATGACCATATTGTAATTAGAACATCCCCCATCATTTCCCTGCCGAGCGAGCATCGCCGCCCCTTGCACATGGACTTGAAAGCTCATATATCCATGCCGTGAGCTGCCAGTATGCGAGTGTGCTCGGCTGCCCGGAGTCCCATCCTCGGCCTTCCGCTTCGTATCAGCCATGATGCCGGGCCTTTCCCCCGGAGCTCGTGTCACCTCGTGTCACCTCGTGTCTCAAAGCAGCAATTACTGCACAGTAAATATGCGTAGCTGCGGACTCCGGGATCCTTACGGCTTGTCAGCACAACACTGTAACCCCGGATATAGACGACAGCATCATCGACGAGCCGTCATCCCAGCCACATGGCGCCACAAGACGTGGCAGAAATAAGTGGCAGAAATGGCGGGTGCCAAGCAAGTTGGATTCAAGTCTCAAAAAGATATATCCCCCTCATCCAGCCGACCACGCACGACCGCCTGGCTGCTTCGGCCAACTCACTCGTCGGGCACCTCAAAAATCGCCGGCACCCCCGTCCAGCTCCCCCGTGCTCGCTCTTCCCAGTACCCGTCCTTGCCCGTCTTGATCTTCCACACCTCCTCTCCCTCGGGCGACCCCTCGGCCCGGACAAACCACCGCGGCCTGTGCTCGTCGCCGCGCTCGTCCATGGTGCGCCGCCGCGCCCGTTGCGCCTCTTCGAGCTTGTGCTTCCACTCCTCGGCCGCGTCCAGCTTGCCCTGCTCCGCCAGGCGCTGGTCTGGCCGCAGTCGGCTGTCCGTCGGTGCCAGCCCTCCCTTCTCAATCTCCGTCACCTCGTTGAGCGACGCCGCAAACAGCGTCATGCCGTACGTCTGCGCCGCATTGTCCACCAGCTTGCCCGCCTGCCACACCTCTTCGCTCGCCGCCTTGCCCGGCCCCACAGTCCGGAGCCCCGCCGTCCATGTGCCGACCAGCCCGCTTCCCGTGTCGCTGCCGTTGGGCGCAAATGTGCTGACGTGCACCTCTTCGCTTCTCCCGCCAAACATGCCTTTGCTCTTGAATTCCACGTTGGCCTTGTGCCCGGTGCTCTCGTTGATGACGTGCATGGTACCCACAGGCTCCACGTACTTTTCCCCCATCACCACGTTGCGCAGAAACATTGTTGCAATGTTCCACGAGTAAAACTCGTCGCCGCCGTCGGCTAGGCGCAGCACCACCCTGACCCGGCCCTCGGTCGTGATCTCGGCACTCTTGCCCCAAAACTTTTGCCCGGGGGCGGGGGACTGCGCAAAGGTCCAGTTTGCCGAGTCTGCGTGCATGGCCAGCCTGACCGGCCTGTGCTGCACCTTTTCCACGAGAAGCCGGAATCCACCGGGCACCTCCTTGTTGGTTCGGACGAGCTCAAATGTCTCGCCCAGCAAGGGGTTAAAGGGCTTGCGCATGGCCCGCTCCTTGGCACGCCCGCTGCTGAACTGCGAGATGGCAAAGGCCGTGACAAAAAGCAGCCGCTCCGTCGCGCTCTTCTGCCTCGCCGCCTTGTCCAGCAGCTGGGCGTATTCTAGCTGCTCCGCGAGTTTCTGCAGCAGCGAGCTCGGCTCGTTTGCAGAAACGGGCATGCTAATGGTGCTAAGATCCTTGCCTACGTTCTTCCGCACAAAGGCGATGAGGCTCGGCGGCTGGACCGTCGCGGGTGGTACCGTGGTCCGTCGTTGGACTTGCTTCTCGATGGGAAGCGGGGTCAGGCTCTTTGGCTTGGACGGAAACAGATGGCCGGCACTGTCAGTGCTCAGTGGCCCCTCTTCATCCATCGACGAGACGGACGAGCCGTCGCGCGTCTCCGCCTCGTCGCCCTCTGTGTGGGGAGACTCATCCCCGCTGCCGTCAATCTTGACGACCGTCGATCTGGCGTCCTCTGCATCAAAGAACTCGTCCGTGGTGGACGTCGTCTCGATGCTCAAGCGAGATGCGCCCCCGGCGGACATGGGCACCACGGTCCGTCGTTTTCTGCTGCTGGCAATGAGGGTCGAGAATTCGGTAACGACCGAGTCGAGGTCCGACAGCAGCGCCTCGCAGTGATCGTGTATCGACTTTTCCGCCGTCGCCGCTCCTCTGGACCTGCTGCTGACCACGCCTTGGCCGTTGTTGGGGGGTGCTGCTATCGGCGTGTTATCGGACGACGACGTCAGTTGCGTCGCCATCGTTGGGCTCAGGGCCGGCGCGCTCGACTTGCGCTTCCAGAACGGCCTCTTCTCCGCTGCTGGTTGAAAGTAGTCCTCTCTCTCATCGTCGCCCAACGCGGCAGAGCCCGGGGAGAGATACTGTCCTGTGGCCGAGGGCTTCGGCAGCGCGGCAGCCTCTCTCGTCAGTCGGCGGAGGGCGTCGCGAGTGCCCACCACGCGGCTGACCAGGGCCTCGACTTGCTGCCATTCGACATCCTCGGAGCGGTCTGGTTGTCTGGGCGATTTCAATGCGCCCTGGTCGAAGCTGAGCTTGGGCTCACTCAGGGGCTGTGTAGTCTCGAAACCGCCTCTTGCGATGCGGCTGGCCTTCTCCAGCGCGCGTGCCCACTCTTGAAACTCTTTGTTATTCGGGGCTCTCAGGTGCCAGATCTCGGCGCCCGAGTCAATGCTTATTTCCCTCCGTCTCTCGTCGGCCGCGACGGCCGCAAGGCTGAGGGGGATCGCCCCGCGTAGCGCCGACGAGTTTCGATTGTAGTAATACGACAGTGTGCAGGTCGAGTAGTCGAGGGAAAAGAAGCGGCGGGCGTATCCTTGGCCCTTCTTTCGCCTCCGCTTGGAAAGAGTGCCGACGTGGTGCGTCTGCTGTCCCACCAGGTCGCTCCTGGCAGATACCGAGGCTGCTCGCGCGCGGGCAGCTTGACTTTGAAAGCTGTCGACAGATGCCGAGGGGCCGACATCGCTGCGCGGGCTGCCAAGCTTGCCCAGGCTCGACTGGCTCACCTGGGCCTGCGGAAGCTGCAGGTTCGGAACGTGATTGGCGGTCCGCGGGGGAGCGCCCGTTGGATAAGTGAGCACGACAAAGGTGGCCGTCTTGGACGTCTGCTTGGAGAAGGTATTGTCAAAGACGAGGCCATACATGCCGCTGTGTCCCGGCTGCACGTCGTAGGTCCCCAGCGACACCTTGTCCGCCTCGCATTTGCCTTGCCACAAAATGGGAACGAAGCCCTTGCCGGCCAGCATGTCCTGGGCCGTCGCCTCCTTTTTCGAGTTGCGGACAGACTTGGAGTCGGCGAGGCTGTGCGTCTGCGCGGCATCGATGTCGTCGCCGGCCGAGGAGAGGAGGGAGGTGGCGCCGCTGCCGGGGTGCTTGACGACGCCAAAGTTGCTGCGCGAGAGCTGTCAGTACGCGTGTCGCTAAGGCCGGCAAGGGGGCGCAGGGGAGGGATTGCACCTACACAGACTTTTTGTGCGGCTGGACACTCCATGACAAGGTATTTCCTTCGTCGACCTTTACCCAGCGGACGACGTAGGACTGTTTGCTTTGCCGTCAGCTGCCCTGGTCCATTGCCAGCACAAGATCAGTCCGGAGGGAGGCTCGTACCTTACTATGAACCTCGATCTTCTCGATTCCCGCCATGGTTTCCGCGGAGGCGACGAGGGCGTTGGTTTGGGGACGGGGTGGCAGTCCAGTTGTGCCACGGACTACGGTAAGCTTTTGGTTGGATTCGCGATCTTGGCTAGCGGTCCATGACGGATTGTGGCATTGGCTGGGGTCGAGGGACTCGGCTGAGGACGACGGAGAGGTTATACGAGGGTCGGAAGAAGAGGTCGGGTAAAGAGGCAGTCGGCAACCTTAGAGTGCCTCCATTCAATTTTCGCAGTGCCGTTGCGAGAGGCAAGCGAAGCAGAGCGGCGGGAGGTTGGAGGGGGAGCTATCTCGCCTTATAGCGGAGCTCGCTGGGGCACGCGATACGAAGGGGTACATACTGCACCACTTTATCCAGGTACTCTTTCCTGAGGAGCTGCGTCAGACTACCTCACGTTTCAGCCCCCATGTACCTCAGGAGACCCATGGGGGTCGATACTGGACATGTACCGCATCAGCCTTTCGAGGGAGGTGGCGTTTCGCCAGGCAGGGAGTCAGTGAAGGGCCAGCAGGGGTTTCGGGACTTGCTCCAAACGCCGCGCGAAAGGAGGCATTGTCTACAGGTTACATGGCTCTCGGCACGTGGCGGTGCTTGTTAAGCTGTGTGAACATGCGGCTATTCCTTGTACACACATGCTGCCTCTTCCGCTTGAACCGACCGGCAGCTCCGGCTCCCCGTGCCTTCGCCCGGAGACGTTAGACTTGTCCGTCGCCTATCGCCCTCCGCGGAGTGTTCACAATGCCGTTGAGAGAAAATACGTCTCGAAACAGCTAGTCATCTTCTTCCATGGCTTTCTAGGCAGCAAGCAAGGCAACGGGAGGCAGTGGCGTGGCGCCGGAAGGGAGCTTACGCGAGGCATCCGTCAGCCTTACTCGGCTGCATGTGCTGCCTGGCGAGTTCTTGATTCTCGCGCATGCAGATATCTTGGCACACAGAACCCTTCGTGTATGCGGATGGCAGCCCAAAATAACAAGGCTGATTGAACAGCGGTTGCCCGTGCCGGCTGGCCACGACAACCGGTCGTCGCGCTCCAGGGTAGGCAAGACTGTGGGCGGCAAGCATATGTCTTGAAAGACAAGGGAACGAGAAACGTCATCATCGTGCAACAAGCATGCAATACAAGCTAGATACATGTTGGCGACCCCGGTCCAAAGGGCAACCCGAGACGCGGCGGCTTGCGGCCACGCGGTTTGTCGCCGCGCAGGAATGAAGACCGGCCTGTCTCAGGCGCCAGCTGCGGCTGGGAATGTGGCTGGTTGAGGTTCAAGCTTAGCGGCTTCAGGCTCGCAGGGACACTCCAGGTCATTGACTGCCCAAGAGCATCAATACTAGCATTTGATAGGTTGCAGCGGATAAGCCAGCCGCTCACCCTCGCTCATGGACGCGGGCATCCGCTGGATCATGGCAATAATGGAAGCGGCCTCAGCGGCCTCCGGTAGATACAATACAGAGTACTTGCAGTGCACAGAGCACCAAATTGAGCCCGCGAGCAGCTAACCCCGCCGTGGCTTTTCGTCAGCCCCCTCCGCTCGTAGGGGGCAGTAGACTGTCCAGGTATCGGGAGACGTCAAGATACCTAGCTAGCTGAGGAACTCGAGTGTACCTCCAGGTAGTAGGCTCGGGGAGAGTACCCGCGCTGCATCTCCCGGAGCCTCCACTAGCTTTCCCCTTTGGGACGTCGATGGAGACTACCTCAACTCCTTTCCCAGCAATTACCTACCTTGCCATCATCGCGATCCGCTCCCCGACTTCTCGCCAGCATTTCCTCCTCCCATTCCTCCGGCTCTCCGACTCCGCCGGGCCCAGTCGCACTCTACAGCGCCCGTATCGTCCCTCGCTGCCCGTCTCGGTCTCCTTTGACCATGCTTCTTTGCGTAACCTGAGCCTCGTCCCGCCCGCAACCCACGGCCTTCGATCCGCCTGCCCGGCCCGAGCCGACGACGTCTCTCTCCTTTCGCGACTGGTGGTGTCTGCAGTTGGCTGTCCGAGGCCCCTGGGAAGATCGCGTTGCGACGCGGCACCGGGCACAATGACTTCGGCCTTGAGCAAGCGCCAGCTGGCGCGCAACGAGAAGCTTCTCCAGGACTTGGTACAGAGTGTCCCGGGCAACAACAGATGCGCCGACTGTCACATACCCAATCCAGGTTTGCAATCCCTTTCCGTGATGATGGGTCCAGAGCTTGTCTGACTTTTGCCGTGTCACAGCCTGGGCTTCGTGGAGCGTACGTGTGGTCCCCTGAATACCCCGTCCCACCGGAATCGCACGAGAATAACCTTGCTCACCGATGCAGCTCGGCGTCTTCTTGTGCATGCGCTGCGCAACCATTCATCGCAAGCTGGGCACGCACATTTCCAAAGTCAAGTCGCTGAGCATGGACAGCTGGTCCAACGAGCAGCTCGACGTGAGCACGCGCCATCCCTTCGCGCCGGCAGTGTGCCAGCTGACACCGCAGCTGCCAGAACATGCGAAAGGTCGGCAACGTCGTGTCCAACCAAGTCTACAATCCCGGCAACAGGAAGCCCCCGGTGCCCGTCGATGCTGACGAGGCCGACTCGGCAATGGAGAGGTTTATTCGCCACAAGTATGTCAACAACGTTCCCAACGACATCGGAAAGCCCCGAAGCCCACGCTCCGACGAAGGCACGCCGCCGCCCCTGCCGCCCAAGAACTCGACAAAGTTTGGTTTCCGCTCCGCTTCGTCGATATTTCCGCTGTCGTCGCGAGCCAAGCGAGAGGCCAAGATGGCCGCAGTCATGGGTGCCAGGTCGAGCACTCCGCCAGGCTTGACCAACAAGCCGTCCAAAGTCTTTGGTGCCACGGTCGACTTCGACGGACCCGACGAAGCGGACAAGAAGTTGGCCAGGCTGCGCGACATGGGCTTCCTCGACGACCAACGGAATGCCATTGTGCTCAAAGGGGTGAACGGCAGCGTGGACCGAGCGGTCGAGGCCCTCGTTCGCCTGGGTGAAGGAGGATTGCCGGGGGCCATCACATCGCCTCGAGAGCACGCGCTGCGAACGTCGAAGTCCCTGACACCTCTAAGCAAACCAGCCGGCTCACCTGTCGGGCTGAGCGTCCCGCAGAACGGGGCCCAGGAGCGGCCCACCACGGCCTCGACGTCGTCGTCAAACAACCCGTTTGACATGATGGCAATGGCGCAGCCCCAAACGGCACAGTCCACGGGCAGCCTGCAACACAAGAACCCGTACAATAGCAGCTGGGCAGATTTGTCGACGAACCCCTTTGGACGCCCCTCACATCAACAAACCGATGCCGTTAGCCAGGCCTTCCAGGGGTTGACGGTTTCCGCACCGCAGCAGAGTCTCTTTCCCCACCGCACAGGCGACGTGGGAGCGCCTCCAGGGCATCAGCAGCAGCCGGTGCTTCAACAGTACATGTCGCCATCTGCCCCGACGAGCCCTTATTACCACCATCAGCCCATGAACTTTCAGAGTGCCATGACTTACCCGCAGCCGCAGCCAGCCAGCTACAACAACAACCCCTTCCTCACCCAATCCTCGAGCCCGGCACAGGCCCTCGGCCCTCAGCAGAACCTATCAGTCGGGGCGATCCCGATACAGGGCGGCTTGACGAGCAACCCCTTTGCCAGGTCGCCGGTCCGGATCGCATCACCTGCTCTCGGACAGATCCCCGAGCAGGGGCAGTCGAACTTCGTTACCGCCTCACCTCAGCCTCTGCCGACAAACTCCAACCCATTCTTTGTCAATTCACTGCAGATTCCGCCCCAGCAAATGAGCCAGCAATCCGCTGGGCAAGCGGCCTGGGATCCGCAGTCGGCGTTCAACCAACAACAGCCGCAATACCAACCACAGCGGCAGGACAAGGCGTCGATCATGGCGTTGTACAACCGGCCCTATCAAGCTCCCCAACAGCCAATGGCGCCAGGATCGAGCTTGCTGGAGCAGACTCCGTCGGCTTCCGAGAATCAGGCCGCATACAGCGCGCTGCCTGCTCGTCCACAAGCCGCCTCGACGACCGGACAGCCTCGTTCCGTTTCACAGCCGCTCCCCGGGAGCACGAATCCATTTTTGACGAGCGGGGCGACGGCGGCGACTTCGGGACCCTTGTCCTCGAGCAGGCACATCAACCGGGATAGCATGAACTTGGACATGGCGTGGACCAACGGGCGGCACAGTCCGGACGCGTTTGCAAGCCTCAGCGCGAGGCATGTGTGATTCGAGGTGCACAGAATTGGAACAAGATCAAGCAAAGTGTCTTCGTATATTGTTGTATATCTAGGCGGCGGTATGAGTGGTGTAGAGGTTGATAATATAATGAAGCCGTGTCAGCCACATGTAACCAGTCTCTGACTGATGTCACACCGGACTCCTGGTTGTTGAGGTGGTTGAGGGGACTCGGCGTGAGACGGGGCCGGCAGGGTCCGGGGAGGGACGGGTCGGAGTCCTTTGGTGTGTCGGAGACGGCTGACGTGCCGCTCCAACAAGACATCTCGGCACATGCTATGTGTGGTGCGACTACGGTGTAAGCTGCATGCCGTTGAAGTTGTGTCGCGCTGCGTTGGTCAATCAACATAAGGGATAGATTTGGCGGTACAATATCATGGGCTCATCGCCTGGGCGCCGCCATTTCGGGAAGAGAGAGCGACACGAAGCGTTACGACCTGCGGCCCTCTCGGCCTGTGTGCAGCAGTCGGAACAGATACCCCGCTTGGTGGGTGCGGAAGCGGCCAACAAGCGGCGTCGACTAAGTTTTCTTGGCTATTGGATGACCAAACCGTCACGATACAGTGTCGCGAGTCCGGCTCTACTGTGTGCTCGCGTTGTCGAGGTGCATCGGTTCGGAAGATTCGTGGACGCAGTTGCAACGTCCCAAACATGCCCATTGCAAGGCCGTGACGAGGACGAGGCTCTCCAATGGGAACAGACTTGGGAGCGACAGTGCATCGCCAAGACGGCGGGCCTGTGCCACAGCCTCTCTGCTGCAGCCATGTGAATACAGTGCGAGTCTGCTCCAAGCCTTCAGTGGCCAACGGCGCCTCCCGTCTCCGCCGCAGCCGGAATAGCTGTTGCACGAAATTGTTAGCGTTGCCACTGCAAGTGAGTCATCTGGAAAAGATGCGGCTAAAAACCAATGGTGACTAATACATCTATCCCAATGTCTCAGCTGACTGCCACCACCGCTTTTGTCTTCCCCTTCCGGCCTCCCAATCTCCTCTCACGTTCTCTCTCTCTTCCCTTCTTCCCCCACCCACCGCTTCCATCGACGAGCATCCGCCAGTCCGCCAGACAACTCACATTAAATAAGGCTGCCTCTTGCATCGACCGCCGTTATCCGCGTCAATCTACCAGAAGCTTACACACGTACTTTTGTCTCTCTTCCAAATTTTTCATCACCCAGCTCGTCTCGTCCGCCTTGTTGCTTGCACATCTCTGCACATCTCGCATCCGACGATTCCGCCGCTCCAACAGCCTGCCGCCTCTCGCCACCTGCATTAGCCCAGCAGCCGTGGAATCTTGACAGCAATGGCACCAATGAATTACCAGAATTTGAATTGTAGTAGTAACTACGGCCAGGACGTCGCCTCTCGCGTCAACGTCCTCGCCTCGTGCTACGTCGTCGATCCCGCTGCCGGCCTCAAAGGCCTCCATTACTGCACTACGGGGGCCACAGGTATGCTCACTCCTTCCGCCTCCCGTCCACAGCCGTATTTAGAGCCTTGCCGCTGACTGCCTCTCTACAGGGGCGGAGTGGTATTCCTGAGGTCCCTACCTCAGGACTCCCCTCCCCACCGACAAGCCCCCCCCTCGCCGCATTAACCTCGTCCAACAAGCTCGCTCTTCTACCAAAGAACAAGAAGCGCGACATTCCGGGCCGCCGCCTGGAGCGACGAGGGGGGGCAGCACTCGCGATCAGGGAAGAATGTGAGAGATTCTTTTGCGAGTCCATGAAGACGGTGTTCCTTGGTGAGAGGGACCTGTCGATGTATGGCTCCGGCCTGTCCGGTGCTTATTTGCAGACACCGCCGCCAGAAGATGTTATCGCTCAGGCACTCCACGACGGCGCCGATCCCGAGCCTCCTGGCCTCGTGGTGGACGCATGGATGGAGGTCTGGGATTATGCCGGCGGCGCCAGTTTCCGTGCCTTTGTCGTAAACGACGGACTCGAGAACTCGCTGTTTGTCTTCTTCGACACCCAAGGCGTCATGGGAAGAGACCTCAAGAGAGCGTGAGTCTTTGCCCGTCTCCCGCTCACCATCTGTGCCCTCCAGTCGCTGACTAGCTGCAGACTCATGGCTCTCATTGAGCTCGCCGATGGCCCTCTGGACTGCAGCCACATTGTCACTTGCATCGATCGCTGCTTGCCCGCAGAAGAGGCGCACGAGCTGACAAAGAGCCTGCAGTGGGTTGGCTTCGACATGGCCACCCTGGACCATTGGGCACACGATTTGGACGTTACCAGCAAGAAATGGGTCTTTATGGGCATGGAGCTTTAGTGTTCGTCTTTCCGCTTTTTCTTTCTTCCCTCTGTTTACCTTTTCGGATCTCGAATCTCACATTGCACCTAGCTTCTTGCCGCGAATGATATCTACGCCACCCCTTGTTATGCCATGCTTTACTTTTCTCACTCTTGGGTCGGCGCCGGGTTACCGGTAACTATTATTGATTCACGCAAAGGGAGCAAGGGGGCCCACACGGCGTTCAGAATGCACTTTGGCACAGTTGCCGTTTTTTTTCACACCTTACTTGATTGGCTAGCCATGAGGTCATGGCTTTGGGGCTTGGAGGGACGAGTTCATTAAGACGCGAAATCAGGTCGTCAAGTCATAGCTCGTAGCTACAGTTGCTCAACAAAGATTGCACTACATACATGGTACGCAAGGGTCAGAGTGACTGGACCTCAGCTGTCTTGAGTAGCGCCCAGACCGCCTTCGAATGGCCGCACCAACAGCCCCTTTTCTTTCAGGTAGTCCTTGACCTGCTTGACGGTGTACTCGCCCCTGTGGAACATGCCGGCGCCGAGGGCGGCGTCGGTGGTGGTTTGCTGGAAGACGTCCTCAAAATGGGCGGGAATGCCGGCGCCGCTCGAGGCGATGACGGGGATCTTGACGGCGGCCTTGACCTGCGCGATGAGCTCGAGGTCGAAGCCCGAGTTGGAGCCGTCCTTGTCGATGCAGTTGAGGAGCAGCTCGCCGGCGCCCATGGCCTCGACTGCCTGGGCGAGCTCGACGACGTCCATGTCGCGCGTCTCGCGGCCGCCCTTGATGGTGCAGGCGTACCAGCAGTAGGGCTCGCCCTTGGGGCCGGGGAAGCGGGTGGCGACGACGTTGTGGCGGGTCGCGTCGAGCTTGGGCACGTAGACACGCTTGGGGTCGACGCTGACGACGACTGCCTGGTTGCCGTAGGCGCGCGAGATTTGCTCAATGGCCGTGTTGCCGAACAGCTTGCGGCCGAGCGAGTAGTACTCCTCCGCGGCGATGACGGCGTCGGAGCCAATCGAGACCTTGTCGGCGCCCGACTTGAAGTACATGGTGGCGATCTCGAGGGCCGAGACCTTGGAGCCGTCGGTGTCGACCGTGTCGCGGATGCCGCCGCCAATCGTCAGAGGCACGAAGACGGTGCGCGACGTCTGGCGCAGCACCTCGAGCATGGGCAGGTCGGCGACGGGGCAGTCGCGGAACGATGTGATGTTGAGAAAGGTGACCTCGTCGGCGCCGTCCTCGTAGTAGCGCCGGGCGAGCTCGACGGGCTTGCCGAGGTTGCGGACGGAGCGGTCGTCGGACTTTTCGCGCACGTCGTACTGGTCGCCCTTTGTGACGACGAGGTCGCCCTGGTCGTTTGCGCGCACGTCGAGGCAGGCAATGACGCGGCGCGTCAGGCCGTCGGCGAAGCTAGTGGCGGCGGTGTCGGCGGAGGAGGAGGCCGATGATGATGCGCCGTCCATGAGCGGCCTGGTCAGGGAGGCGGCACCCTCGCCGGTGAGAAAGGCGCGAATGGTGCGGAGGCCGGCGACGCCCGACTTTTCGGGGTGGAACTGGGTGGCGTAGACGTTTCCCCTGGCGACGGCGCCGACGAACGTCTCGGAGCCGTAGGTGCCGGTGGCGACGGTCCAGCCCTGAGCCTCGAGCTCGCCCTTGAGGTAGGGGAACTTGTAGGTGTGGACGTAGTAGTACTTTGAGTCAGGCCGGAGGTCGTACATGGGGTGGCCGGCCGTGTTTGCGCTGTTCCAGCCAATGTGGGGGACCGACTTGGCCGTGTCGTCGAAGCGGCCGAGGGAGCCCTTGATGATGCCGAGGCCGGCGACGCCCGGGTCCTCGAGCGAGCCCTCAAACAGGGCCTGCAAGCCTACGCAGATGCCCATGAAGGGCTTGCCGGCCTCGATGTGCTTGTTGATGGCGGCGAGGTAGTTTGCGTGGGCGAGCTGCGACAGGCAGTGGCCAAAGTGGCCGACGCCGGGGAGGATGAGTTTCTGGGGCGGGCAAGTCAGCCGAGGTAAAAGACATTGCGGGAGGGGGTTTGGGTTCTGCAAGTCAATTGCGGGACAGGGAGGCATAGCAGAGAAGAGGGTGAAAGCGGCAGTGAGTGAAAGAGGAAAATGAGGTGGGTTGGTATCGGCGGGGGAAAGAGAGGGAGAGAGGGAGAGAGGGAGAGAGGGAGAGGGGAATGAGAGCGAACCTCGGCCTTGGGGACATCTTCGGGCGATCTGATCCAGTCTACCTGGTAACCAAGCTTCTCAATGGCGTTGACCAGACTCCTGATGTTGCCGGCGACATAGTCCAGCAGGTGAACCGTGGGCATCTTGGGGCCCCCAGCCGTAGATGATTGGCTGTTCAGGTGGCAGTCGGATGGCAAGCCGAGGAGGAGCAGGGAGTAGGGAGCTCGGAGCAGGGAGTAGGGAGCTCGGAGCAGGGAGTAGGGAGCAGGGAGCAGAGAAGGACGAGGAAGAGAAAGCAGGCGGCGGCAGAAGACGCAGAGAAGCAGCCAGACGCAGGCGGTATAGGATACGGACGGAGAGAAGCAATGTAAGGCGGGCTGAGGTGAGATTTGGGTGAGTCAGACGAAATCCCCATGGTAGCTGTTCGCTAACTAACTTACGGGGGGGATCCGCACTGGATGGCGGGGCAGCAATTCATCACCTACCCCGCTATCGATAAGTGGCCGCTCCATCCTGCTGAGAGAGCTGAGAGAGCCCTGGCGCGCTAAGCAGCCAACGGTCTTCTTACTAAGGCAGGTACAGTACGTTCCCAAGATACCGGTAGTCCGTCCGGCGGGCAACAATCTTGATGTTGCACTTGCGATTGGAGCTTCAGTAGCATTTCTCAAGAGACGCAACCCTCGCGGCAGCCAGCAGCAAACAAAATTGATCCGGACTCGGACCTCGACCATGGCGGCGATCTCGGCCCTTTCTGCGGACGCGCCGGGAGTCCTGGGGCTCGACGAGGTGCTCAGGCAAGTGGCCCAGGACGACCAGGAGGAGTGGGAGTACGAGTACTCTGCCACGGAGACGGAGGTTTGTTAAGTCAGAAACGCATCCCCTGCGTCGAGGCGGACGCTGAAAAAAGGACGGCCAGACCTACTACTTGACGCTCGAGCTGTCGTACCCTGAGTTCAAAGATCGAGCGACCCGGGGGCCGCACCACAGCCGCGGCGGCTACTACAAGAACTGGATGGACCAGTCTGCGGCGTTCCCGAGGGCTGTAGCCGCGAGTGACAAAGACGACGGCCATGGCACGCAGAGCGACGACGATAACGACGACGATAACGACGACGACGGTGAGCCTGACGGCCAAGGTGGCGGCGATGGCGACGGCGACGATGATGGCGGCGACGACGACGGGCCCCCTCTGGACCCCGAGCTCCTGGCAGCGAGCAAGAGCATGGAGATGGAGAGACAAGCAGCGGAAAAAGAAAAAGAGACTGCGCAGGAAAAGGAACAGGACGACGACGAAGAGGAGGAAGAGGGGACGGAAGCGCTCGAGGACATACAAATCCTCGACCTCCATTCCGCCAATCCCATCATCTCGTACAGAGGGCGCGTCTTCGAGGGGCAGTGGGCAGAAGTTATTGGGACGGAAGCCATCTTGGCGCGTCACGACAAGGGCAAGCCACTGCCAGCCCTGCGACATCTGGCGGACAAGGTGGATGTGCTGGCGGCAAGCTCGTCGCGCATCATGACGACGGAAAAGGTGCTGAAGCCAAAGTTGGCCGCGGAGGACACGCTCGCCCCGATCAAGGAGGAGTGGAACATTAGGATCCCGCGCGGCAAGGACAGGACAGGGGAGCGGGCGCTGCAGGTGGACTTTCTGGAGAAGCTGATTGCGCTGAAGAAGAAGAAGGGGCAGACGGACCAGGTGACGGTGTACGCGACGGACGGGGCGGGTAAGGACTGGAACGACAGGCACGGGCCGGACTACAAGCAGCGCGTCAAGAAGAGGCCTGGACCGGTGGATGAGGACGACGAGGTCGAGAGCGAGAGCATGGGGCGCGGGCGCGGACGCAGCAGACGTGGTCGCGCATGGGAGCGTCGCAGAGCCAGGACTGGGGCAAGAGGAAGGGGTGTTGGCATGGGGGCGAGTCACGAGGGAAGACGCGAGCTGTCCATTCCAACGCCCGACAGATGGGAGGAGCTGTCGCGGCAGGACGAGTCGGGTGCAGACGTCGAAGACGAGTCGGGGGCAGAGGACGTGTCGATGACGGGCTACGATTGAGCTACGATTGAGCGGTACAAGGCAAGGTTTGCTACGTCGGGAGCCTGTTCGTCGATGAAGGCGCACGGCTCCACTGAGGGCCAAGTTGTGAAGGAAAATCAACAAAATTCAACGTGGTGGGAAACGATGATCCAAGACGGCCAAGGGAGAGTGCAGCGCACACGCAAGCGTCAAGGCGGAGAAAGGGGCGGGCGGGCTGTGCGAAAAGGTGGGGAGGTGGAGGTGCCGGGGCCCCGAAGAGTCAGGGCCGAATTGAGAACTGGCCGTGTGTAAGAATGAATGTACTGTATGCATCTTTGGCGGGCGGTTTGTCTGGCCTGGATGCAAAACACGGAGAGTGGCCGAGCCGGAAGTTGAGCGAGCAGAAGCCAGCCAGCCAGTCAGTCAGCATGCATGTATATATTTGCGCCTGCGATGGTTGCAAGAGGGTGGTGGGAAGCATATGCGATACTCATCAACTACCTAGGTCCAGTAGGTATTCATGCTTCATGTATTGGAGACGACTGCCGAGCCGAAGAGGACTCAGCCCTATAGAGACGGACGACTAACTGCAGAGGCTTGTTTCCTTGCCAAGAAGATGACGATGGAGCCAATTGGCAGGGTTCCGAAGCTTGGCAGGGGAGAGAGAGAGTGGTCGGTTCCTTCATTCGATGAGGGATATATGTAAGTTACCGAGTACAATTACATGGTGGTGAAGCCGGATAAGCAACGTGGAATGAGCCGTGCGCGGTCTGGAACCATATGCGAGAGAGAGAGCCCAATTGGCGGCAGTGCGAGAGGGGGGCGCAGGCGCAGCCGTGGCTGCAGAATGCATGTTTGTACTATCGAATATTGACGGTGCCTGTGTGAGACTGCATCCCGGAGCAGCTCAGTCTGCGCACCAGTGTTGTTGTGCTGTTGTTGTTGTGAAGAAGGTCTGTCTGACTCTGATTCTAGGCCTCTCTTACCAGATACCGCCTAACCAGGCCCTGCGGAACCTCCCAACATACTGTACAGTAAATTACACGACAGTTCGCAATAAGCGCAGCCACAATTCTCCACGTCCTGGTCTAGAACCTCTCTGCCGGTGAAACAGGCTCTCGGCGCCGTGTCGGTGTCGCCCCCAAACAGCCTAACGCAGCAGGGGCCAGCTAAGGCGGGCAGGGTCCTGTCTCTGCTTATTCTAGGCGCCTACAGGTACCTCCGCCCACTGTCTGTACCCCACCTGACCGCCCGTACCGCCCCACCGCGCCGATACCGTGCTAACTCGGTAGGTAGTTAGTACTTGTCTCGCCTGCCGTGAGCAACTACGCGCCGCCTCTCTTCTCCTCCATCGACAGCTTCACTCCGTCTCCTCCCTCTCTCCCTCTCTCCCACCACCCACTCCCGCGGCCCCTTCGACATGTATCCGCCGGCAGGGGCTTCGTGATCGCCTTCTATACCGCCTTCTATACCTCCGAACCCCCCTCCCCCTCCCCCTCCCCCTCCCCTCTGCTTCTTTCTCTCTCTCTTTCTCCCCCTCTCGTTTCAACTCCCTTCCCCCAGATCGGCTTCGACGGCACGGCTCAACTTACTCGCTCTGCTACTCTCGCTTACCGGGCGTCTCGTCTCTCGCTTCTGGCATCTCCTCTACCTTCTCCATCGCCGTCCTCTTTTCCCATAGGCACCCTCAACAGGCTTTGCAACACTTGCCCACTTCACGTATAGCATAGCGCTCGACCACCAGCACCAGCAGCATCCTTACTCTACCCCTCGACCCTCGTCAGCAGGGTCGGGCCCTCCACCCGTCGAGGCCATGAACGCCTGGCTGCGCCGCGCTGCTGTCCTGCTGACCCTGCTCCTCGTTGTCTCCCTCGTCGCCTCCTGGCTGCCCACAGCCCTCAGCCCCACAAAGTCGAGTGCCGAGAAGCGCGCCCGTGACCGCCTCTGGGTCGACAGCAGTCCCTACTTCTGGGACCGACTGCTCTGTCGCTGGGGAAGCCTCTGCGGCCTGCATCACCTGAAAGAGGACCCCGCTGCCCTACCCGACCCCGGCGCCGATGACCAAGAGTGGCGCGAGCTTCGTCGCAGATCCAACCCTCACCCTTCGTGGCTCGACTCCAGATCCGATGAAGACGCCCAACCAGCAGGCAGCAAGAGAAACTTCCGCGAAAGGCGAAGGATCGTCGAGGACATCCCCGACTTTGTCTTCAAGCATGCGCCTCTCGTCCACCTCTACTCGGGCGAGCAGTTTTGGCCCTCGGACATCGCCGAGCACGTCCAGCACATGAACGTCACCGTCGACAACGCCCCCCTCGACCACCAGGACCAGCCCACCCTGTCCAATCTCGACCGCCTCAACGCCCACGACGGCATCGTCGTCCTCCATAGCCGCGACGACGTCGAGTCCCGGCCCCCATGGCTGCACAGCCGCGACAGCGTCCCCAACCCCTTCCCAGACGGCGACGGCGGCGAGCAGCCTCCGCATATCGGCAATGGCAAGCAGGACCGCCTCGAGCCCACCACATGGTTTGACGTGGACAAGAAGCATCCCCTGCATCGCATCGCCGAGCCCTGGCCCCGCAGTAGCTCCCGCCGCTCCCGCCCCGGCGAGCCCCGCTTCTCCCGCCGCGGCCACAAGCCGGATGCTGACGGCTACTCCCGGGCCCCCGCCGTGCTCGTCCTCGTCGACAAGGGCTCGGGCGTTGTCGACGCCTTTTGGTTCTTCTTCTACTCGTATAACCTCGGCCAGACGGTGCTCGGCATTCGTTTTGGCAACCATGTCGGCGACTGGGAGCACTGCATGGTCCGCTTCGAGCACGGCGTCCCCCGCGGCATCTACTTTTCGGAGCACGAGGGCGGCCAAGCCTACGCCTGGGAGGCCGTCGAGAAGCGTGGCGACCGGCCCGTCATCTACTCGGCCGTCGGCTCCCACGCCATGTACGCCCTGCCCGGCGAGCACCCCTACGTCCTCCCCTTTGGCATGCTCAAGGACGTCACGGACAAGGGGCCGCTGTGGGACCCGACCCTCAACAACTACGCCTACCACTACGACTACACGCGAAGCAAGCCCGAGGACGAGGCCGACCCGCTGCGCCATGCGCCCAGCCTCGTCCCCGCGGCGTCGAACCCCGCTGCGCCCACCTCGTGGTTCCACTACAAGGGCGGCTGGGGCGACGAGGTCTATACGCTCGCCGATCCCAGGCAGTGGCGTCTGTTTGGCCAGTATCACTACGTGACGGGCCCCAACGGCCCCAAGTTCAAGCGACTCGAACGCTCCAAGCTGTGCGGCAAGCCCAAGTGCCGCGTCCTGTACGAGCTGGACCCCAAGGGGACGTGGTACTAGGGCACGCAAGATGATTCCCTTTCTTGTCCCTACAGCATCTTTCCTTGTTCCTCTATACACGTATGACTTGAATATTAGATCGAGATACCCCTTTGAAGTGCATCTGCGCCATTTACATGGCCTTGAGAGACCATCATTGAACCTATTATATATAGAACACGAGCTACTTGAGAGGGAGGCCGGCGGATGAGTAGACGAGGCAGCCTAGGGAGTGGAGATGGGAGCTTAAGCCGGACGAAAGAAGCCAAGCGGAACATTTTGATCTGGCTCGTCTGTGTGGATAACATAGCCGCACGTCCCAAACGCCGAGTTTGGGGCACATGGGCGTTGGGGGTCCTACATAGATTCTTCTTGAATACGAACAATGACGCCTATGCGTCCATTTTGTGGTCTTTCAGTACTTGCTCGCTAGATGCCGGATTAGCGAGTCGAATTCGCATACGAGAGTGGGCTGGAGAAGCAGGAATGCGAAAGCGAGAGCAAGATGAGAAAGAAAGAGAGCCTTTTATTTGTATCCCTTGAGCCCGTCAGCCGACGCCGGAACCCTCCCCCCAAACTCCAGAGACGACGCCGCACCGCTGTGGTATAAATAGATCCCGCCCGACATGTATGAAGGAAGAAACGCAACATGATGAAAAAAATATAGATGGTGGAGGGCATTACAGTTGAATGAGATGGGATGATGTATCGTGCATGCAAGACTGGGGGCGTCTCGATTTCGGACCCTTGCCCCCCCTCCTCCCGGAACCCCCCGACGGGGAGGTGTATGTATGTCTTGCAGCGTATCCAAGAGCCGCGCCGTCGACTGCAGACAGGCAACGCACGTGTCCAGACTTCCCGCCCAATCGCGTGCCCCTCCCTGTCTTCAAACAAACGGCGAGAATATAAATGAGACATGGCCATACCAAGAGAGATTACTCGAGTAAAACGAGAAAAAAAGAGGGGGGGGGGGGGGGGGGGGGGGGGGACGGATTGGTGTTTAAAGAAAAGGGGAGTAACGGGCGCGAGAGAAGCCCATCACTCATCCTCGTGGATGCGGAACCCCACCGCGTCCTCGCCGGGCCACGGGCGGTTCGTGCTTGGATACTCGGACGGCTGGCTGCTCGACGCGCTCTGGCCGTCTTGCTCGCGCGGATCCACATTCTCCCCGTCCTCGACGATGCCGTCCTGGTCCTCGATGCCGGGCCAGGGCTCATCCTCGGGGAGATGCCACCGCTGCGAGTCGAGCACAAGCCGACGCGCAGCCAGGCCGTCACTCTCGCCTCCGTCGTCATCATCATCATCGTCGTCGTCATCCTCCCCGTCCACATAAGACTCATCCGATCCGCTGCCGTACAGGTCCACGTCTGGGAGAACGTAGCCCGGCTCGGGAGCATGCATTGTGCCGGTGCGGGCGGCGCTGCTGCCGCGCAGGAGCCGAATATCCTGCAGCGGCGCGTTGCTGTGCGGCGTCGCGTAGGCAAACGGCGTCGTGCCCCGCGGCGCCTGGCGGTCGATGAGGCTGGGCAGCATGGGACTCGGCGAGGCCGTCCATCTCGGGGTGAAGTGCTGGTGGTGACTCGGTGACCGCGTCCGGCGCCTCTTTATGACGCGCGCCTGCGACGTCACCCGCATCGTCGGCGAGGGGCGCCGGCTCTGGCCGTGTGACACTACGCGGCTTCCGCTGGCTGCGGGTGAAGGCCGCGCCGGGGCAACGACCGGGACAGATGTCGTGCGAACCAGAGGCGGCACTGCCGAGTCTCTCCACCGCGCCGTCAGCGGAGACTGACCACGCGTGACAACTGGACTCGTGGACCGCCTCCAGGACCGCACGCTGTAGCCACGGGCCAGCAACGGCGACATGGACACGCGCTGACGGTCCCGGCGCATGCTCAAAGACGCGCGGGCGGGGGGCCTCTCATCCAGCTGCTCGCTCCAGGCCCAGTGTTCCTCGAGGGCGTCTGCTTCGGGCACCTCTGACGACTCTGTCACGTCCGGGTAAACGCGGGTCATCTCGCGCACTCGCTGCCACGTCCATCCGGCCGCATAGGCCTGAGAGTCCTGCAGGTAGGCGTCGGGATGCGTAATGAACAGCCTCGGCTCAGACGACCGCATCATGACGGAGCTGAGAAACTGCACGTCCCACAGGCCCGGAGTCATCATTTCGGCCGGGCTTAGGAACCGTAACCGGGAATCCTTGTGGACTTTGCGGAGAGGCACCCATTGTTGGTGCAGCCCGAGGAACCTGGCCGATGGAGCATCGGACGGATACGCACGCGGGACGAGGCGCAGTTCTCGGAACACGCTGCCAAAGGCCGCATGGACGGCGGCCTGGACGCTGCGGTAGTCGGGACCCTTGACCGAGACGGTCTGGATCAGGCCCCGGCTCCGCAGTCGCCTATCCACTGTGCTCGTGTTGCTGCACGCTCTAGGCAGCAGCCACTCTGCGTCGTTACTGGGCGTTGCCCAGTCGTTGCAAAAGGGCGATTGCGAGCGCCTTGTTGCGGTGCTGAGGGTCATGGGGAGCTGGGTCCAGTCGTCGCCGTCTGCGGCCGCGTCGGAACGGAATTGGTGAATCTCCTGCCAGAGTCTCTTGAGGGGAAAGGGGAGAAAGACAACCTCGACGACCCAGGCGTGGTGCGGCGAAGGGAGATAGGACTGGAGCATGGCGACCTGGGCCTGGAGGGATTGAATATGGCCCAAGACATTAGGAAAAGGCTGGGCGCGGCTGGCGAGGCTCGTGGATGCCGAGGCTCCGCTCTGGGTAGCGGCATCGTCGTCCCGGGCGGCACGGGCAGTCGCCACGCTGGCATTGTCGTTGGTGAGCTTCTCCACCTCGTCCACCCTGCTCTCCAACTCAGACATTCGGACATCGATGTTCTCCATCCTGTCGTGGCATTCTTCGTGGAAAGAAACAGTCTCGAGGCGGTCCAGGCGATGTGCGTGCTCACCGACGGTGTTGGCCAAGTCTCTCACGGCGCCCACATCCGCGCCAGCCGGCCCTTGGGCGACACGAGATTGCGTGCTCGGAGCAGAGCCGGGCCGAGACGTTGCTCCGCGCTGCTCCTCGCGCTGCACAAACACAAACGATGCATCCTGAGCGTGCGTGGCCGGGTGCACGTCGGTGGGCTGCTGGGCTGAAGAAGGGACATTCGCATCACTGACACTGGCCAGTGTCCGTAGACCTTTTCCCGCAAAGGGTCGCAGGTACCTTGCTTGAACGGACGGGGCTGTGGAGGCCGTCTGGGAGGGTATGAGGCACTGGGAGGGGATTGGGGGCAAGGGATTCGCGATTGCGGGAGCAGGAGAGTTCATCACGTCGCCCCAGGCCAAGGTATCAGGCAAAGAGCCGGGGGGCTGGCTGGCACTGACTCTGGAGCAGTCGTGATACTCGTCGGGCAAGTCGTGGACAAATGACAAGGGCGCAGGGTCGCCGAAGCTGGTGAAGTCGATGCCGGGGAAGGCCGGGGGCGTCGTCAAGGAGGTGCCGAAGACGGGGCTCAAGGGGTCGCGGCCCGCCCTCGGCTTCTCATTCTCCTGTCCAGGGGCATGGGCCAGGGGAGGTGGCTGCGGGCCTTGATCGTGGTAGCAGGCGTGATGGTTGCACATGCACCAGCCGGCCTGGTCAGGGACGGGGCTGCCGAGGACGTGGCGAGCCCAGAAGCGGCGACACCCGCACTTGAGGCCATTGGCGCCCGGGGTCAGGTCGGCAAAGTTGCAGCCGCCGCAGGGCAGGCCGGGCGGGGCCGTCGCGTCATTGTAGATGTCGAAGAGGCTGGCGTGGGGGGGTTCGAAGGGAGTGGCGGCCATTGGGGTAGCCGGCGGGTGGCGAGCTCATGGGGAGCAAAGACGAAAGGCGCGAAAACGAGGTCGAGGAAGGACGCGCCGGCGACGACTCCGGGGGATTCCGCTGCAAGGAGCAGAGCCAGTTGCGGGTTCAAGCCGGCCCTGAAGGGTCGCGAGCAGAAGAGCAGGTCAGTTCATGGCAGCTGAGCGAGTCCCGGCCGAGGTCCAAGAGCTTGCTTGTGCTTCAGGCATCGGCGATGGTCCTCGAGCAAGAAGGGAAGCGAGGACAAGTCGGGGAGGGGGAGCTCTGGAGCGGGCGCGCAAGGGGTCGCGAATAGAGGCGAAAGCCACGGGCTACGTGTGGATAAATAACAGGAGACAAAAGCCGTTTCCCGCTGAGCGCCACGGTCGAGACGCGACCCATGAGGTGGAGGGGAGGTGAGATGATGCAGCAGAGAAGACGACGAGAGGGTGCATTGGCTTGTCAATTTTTAGCTAGGACTCGAGGTACCTATAGCTTCTCCTAGAGTCCTACTGTAGCATGTAGGTAGGCAGGTAGGTACCTAGGTAGGTACCCCGTAGGTCGAAGTACTGTACAGTACGGAGTACGAATATGCCTCTAGTACACTGTCGTGGAAGCTCCCCATCACCACAAACAGGCCTCGACGCGCGCTAACAGCAGTTGGACGAGGCGCCTGCTCCTTTGATCAACTCGAGGTATCTCAACACCCGTAGCCCATCTGACAGTACCTACCTCCCATCGCGCCCGATAGTACCGAAGTGCGGACGGGAACTCTCGGCCAGGGGCCCAAAGAGCGCTTTCTCGACGGTCAAAAGTACATTGGAGCGACAAAGTCTGCGTTGACTCACATCCGCATCGTCATGCCATGCAAGCCGATCTGCCCGAGCGTCGCGTCGCGTCGGCAAAGCGGCATTAACCCCATACGGCATCCCCAAAGATGCGGGGTGCCAGCTCCCGTTGCCGCTTCGTTAAGGTTACGGATAGTAAGGTTACGGATAGTCCTGGCACCCTCGGTACTGTACTCCAATGACTCTATTAATCGAGAGCGGCCTATCCCAACCAGCCAATCATCTAATCAATCCATCAATGACTCTTCCTCGCCCTCCGACACACCCACTTGCGAGGAGAACGGGAAGTAAGCCAGAAAAAGAAAAGCCACCCGGCCCCTCCCCACGGATAGCACAAGTAGAAGTCGGTCATGGCCGGCTTCGAGTGGCATGCTTGTTCGATTCACGTCTAAATCTATTATTATGCGCAGCGTGAAGCACGCAGAGCCGCTACAAGTCGACCCAACTGACACCACCTTCCTCGACTGTCACCTCACTCGACACCACCCCCAGCGAGGCCATATGCTTTCTCTTCTCCCTCCCAGAGGAGCCTGGGTTCTGCCGGCTGCACTGCAATCGGTACTCGTACTGAAAGGCCTGCTTACCTGCCCGGTCGTCGTATCTGCTGTTGCTGGCACCGTGAAGCACATTGCAGACGATAAAGCGCGGCGGTGCGCCTCGACGGGCTTCCAAGCTGCCGATTGTGTCTCACAACGGCATCGCGCTGGTGGCATGGCTGAGGTCGCTTTTCTCCGCCCCCATCATGGCTGTGACTGTGTCTTGCTTGGTGCAACTGCAACTGGTGACGGCTGACTCTTCCCCACGCCATATCCCGTCCTAGGACTCGACAAGAAGCCACAAGGCGCTTGGCCGAGGCGCGCGTTCCCAACGTGTCGTGCAACAATGTTGGTGACACAGCATCAACACCACTTGCCAAGCTCATACCTCGCCCCAGCTGCCCATTGGGCCATGCGAGGCAATCACGGACCCTGTGCCCATCGAGCCGCCAATGTCCCAGTAGTGCCGCGATGAGCAGCTGCTTCTCCTTGCCGACCGCCTTGTGCTCTGGCTCGCGCAGCTGCTGGGGTGCCGCAAGGCAACCGCATTGGCCGGAATCGACGCCTTGAACGCCCGCCGTTCCACGGGCCGAGACCGTGCGATGAGTGGGTGATGCTGCCGCACGCGACTGATTTTGGCTGCGCTGTCCTGTGCATTCGGCGTGCCACCGTGTGAGCTGCCGGCCGATGATGAGCTCTTGGGGCGCCCCGAGAAGCGCGACATGAGATATTTGAAGACGAGCTTGACGTCGAGGTCTTTTTCCCATTCTTCCTGGGTAAAGGTGTTGTCCGGCTTGGCATCCTCCCTCATCTCATCGCCCACCTCTTCTGACGTCACCCTGGACGTCCTGGCCGGCTGGGGTGACTGCTGCATCGTTGGTTGAAAGTCCGGAGCTGAGGGCCGCTCGTTTTCCATCAGCTTGGACGACTGTGGTGAGTCGCCAGACTCGAGGATGACGGGCAGTCCGGCATAGGGTAGTGGCAGCTGCTGTGTCCTGGCAAACGTCGAGAATGCCCCGGGGTGGTGTGAGAGGCAGTTGACCAGAAGCCCAAGCTCTCTGGACAGGGTCTCGAGAAGCCGTGGATGCCAGGATTGCTCTTGGAGCCGTGTCGACAGGGGTTCGCTGCCCAGCTGAGGCGCGGTTGGCGTGGCTGTGTCGTCCGGCAGAGACTCCCCAAGTAACAACGACAGGAGCGTGTCGTCGATTCCAAGCAGATCTCTCACAACCTTGCGCGTGATGCTTGCGAGCACGCCTTCCTCCTCCTCTCCGGGTTGAACGTGGTCCTCGTCATGCCAAGTCATGTTGTCGGAGTCGGCCTCCGCAGGGCGTCGGACGCGCTGCATCGACGCCTGCGACTTGCGTCTCCGTCGCGTCTCGCGCTGCACTTGGTCAACGAGCATTCGGCTGTGGTCCAGTCGCCACGCCTCGATGCGTAGCCGCTTCTCCTCTTCCTCATGCTGACTGTGCTCTAGGTCGAGTTGGCCGCGGCTGAAGCTGTCGAGCCTGCGACGCACTCTACGCGGGTTGAACCTTTCGAACTGGTAGATGTGGTCCTGCGCATCCCTGCCCAGAACAGGCTGGTCGGACAAGCGAAAGGAACCAAGGCCATCGTGGGCCGGCAGGACAGGCAAAGAGTGCTGGCCCCCGTGCTGAGAATGTTCTTGCGCGCCAGGCAGTGATCGAAACTCGGGAAGATGGCTGTCGAGGCTGTCGAGCTCGGCGTCGTCTTCCACCGAGGCGTCGTCGATGGCAGACTGCGAGGGGGCTTGTTCGGCGCCGGTTGACTGTGCCGACCTGGCAACGGTATTCAGGCTGCCGAGATCGCTGAGGAGGGAGCGACCTGGGGTGAGAAGCGAGTGATCGGTCCCGCTGAGATAGGAAGTGGTGGTAACGTCGGTGGGCGCGGAGAAGAGGACCCATGATTGGGACTCGACGGGTTGGCACTCCGGGGATGCTGCGGTATAGCCATGATCGTCGACAGTTGCCGGGCGAGCGACGCGCTGCACGACCTGGCGCGTCGGTTGCTGAAAGGCCATGATTGCGAGTGTTGATGGCGAGGAAGACGGGCGGCGTGCTGGCGCTTATCAAGCGCTGGCCGCGACTAGATGGGCAGACGGGGGGAGTCGAGGTGACGGGGGTATGACGGTGGAGCCAGGAGCCTGGACGCCCCACCCTAATCGGGCTGATAAGAGCCACTCGACGCGACCGATCAGGGCGGCGCGCGAGTCAAACAAAGCCACGAGTTGCAAGTGAGCCGTAGCAGGGAATCTCGGGGAGTTCGTGGGAGAAGTAGAGGCGGGCATGCGAGGTTGGAAGAGGTGAGGCAGCGTTGGGCGCGTACACGGTTGGGGGCGGAATGGGGAACAGACCGAGAGTTGGGGGCGTGATGGCGTGCACAGGTCGGAGTCCCGCTAATCAGAGCGATGGCGGAGGGAGGGGGGTGAAACCGTCGGTCTAGACCAAGAGTACGGAGTAGTCCTGGCCTCTTCAAAGGCACAAAAACGAGAGGACAAGTGAAGGAGGCAAGAGGTCAGGCAGAGGAGAAGGGGAGGCGGGGGGCGAGGGAGGATACGATGGGAGGGAGGGTACGGACACAAAAAAAAGTAGGTTGCCGGCCTTGCGGTGACGAAATACCAAATCTCCTGTGCCAAGGGCATCTGGCGCATACAGACTCTGTACTGTACAGGACATACATTACGTGTTAATGCGCGACCGTCAGCGGCGTTCGGGTACCGCCTGCCGCCCTGTACCTGCTGTTCCGGCAATGCAGACGGCCGAGAGTTGCCCACGCCTTATCCGGCTCTACTTGGTCCCTGTGTCGCGACTCGCGTGCTGCTTAACCCCTCCTGTCCAGGCTGCCATTTGCTTCACCCCAGCCTTGACTGCCTGTCCCATTTGCACGGACTCTCGAGAAGATGGCGGCGGTATGCGACAAGCAAGCTGCTGCCTCCCGATAAGGGAACCGACTTGGACTACTGTGCCTTGAACGCCCACCCTCTCCCGCCCTTCCACCCGTCCTTCTAGTCTCCAACCAGCTAGCCAGACTCGCAATCACATCTCCGTGTCGCCGCCGCCGCACTGCCCCCACGGCCTGCTGCCTATCAGCTGACGCCATGCACGCGCTGCCGCCGTTTCCCTTCCCTCGAAAGCTGTCCGTGCGCACCAGGCACTGCAGCCAGAAGGTGCCAACGGCATGTCACCATACACGCGCACATGGTGCTACCGCCGAGTCTGATGGAGGGGACCCTCTGAGCCTCTGAGCCAATCTGCCGAGCCCATGACGTATCCTCCGTAGTTATGTACTCCGTATCCTTGGCTCAATCAGCAGCCAGACCGCGCAGCAGCTAGCTGACATGGCATTTCTACCACTCCTTTGCTGCCCTGGTCACGACATGCTGTAAAATCGCCCCGCATCCTCGATCTGCGACGTTGGCGATACTCCTGATCAGCACTATTGGTCACAACCCATCCAAGCGTCGTCTCATGTGCCCACGTGTCCCAGTCCGAGGCCTGTCCCAACAGCAGCCCGAGTTCAAAGCACTCAAGTTTGTCGATAGAGCTCGTCTGGCGACTCGTCATGCCTTCCTGCTGTGACTACGACGACCTACAGAGAATGGCGCCCCCGTGCAACGAAATGAAGGCTTCATGCCCCGGATCTGACGTGCATCGTGTCTCAAAAAAAGAAGCAAACAGAAGGGAAAGCTGGGCGTGAGTTATGGAGCAAACGCTGCATCCAAGACAGCCCCAGATCTCACAACCCATCGAATCAAGTCCTTCGGAAGGTGGATGCACGAATAATCAGTTGATTTGCCGGATCGACCACTCGCAGCTCAAGGAGCCGTTACTTGACATGCCAATATGACGCCAACCAAAACCCATGTATCAACCGCGTAACCGTTCAAGCCTCCGACTGGAAGGCCTCGGGGAAGCGCCGCAGGTTGTCCGCCAGGCGGCCGTGGTTGCTGAGGAACTGGACATAGGCACCATCGACCTTGACGCGGCCGGCGGCCTTGCGCTCGAGGTAGTCCTCGCGGCGCAGGGGAGTGAAGCCCCAGTTCTTGGAGATGATGATCTTTTGGCGGCCGGGAAACTTGTACTGTGATCGGCGGAGGGCCTCGAGGGCAAGGTGACGGCCTGCATGCTGCGTTAGAGATCCACCTGGAACCTGCCAGGGTGCTTCAACATACTAGAGTCGCGAGTGCGGACGCTCATGATGATCTGGCCAATGTTGACACGAGCGACAGTGCCGTTCGGCTTGCCCCAAGCACCACGCATTCCCGTCTGCAGTCTATCGGCACCGGCGCACGACAACATCTTGTTGATGCGGACGACGTGGAAGGGATGGGCGCGGACGCGGAGGTGGAAGCCTTCCTTGCCAGTGTGCTTGACGAGATATTTGTTGGCGCAGATACGGGCGGCCTCGAGGGCCTCGGAGCTCAGCTGCTCATACTCGTTGGAAACGAGGTGGATGCAGAGAGGGAAGTCGTCCACATTGGCGCGCTTGCGGCCAAGATCGAAGATGCGGATCTTGGGGTCGGGGACACCACGGTTGAACCGGGACTTGGGGAACGGCTGTTTGGAAGAACGACATGGTCAGTAAACCGTATTCATGAGCCCGCGCTGCATCGCCATCGTCTTGCTCCTCCCGATTCTCTTCTGCCATCATAACTCCAGAAAAAATCGGCCAAAAGTTCACAGGCACCGGCAGTCGGTCGAGATCTCACCTTGTTCTTGCAGTAGCGGTAGCAGCGAGCAGGACGACGCGCCATCTTGTCGGACTGTGCTGATATCGTGGGGTTAGTGGTATGTTGGGGGAGAGGTTGAACCCGATGGAAAGGGATCGGGACGAACTGACTCTATCTTCGATACGCACCAACTTTGATTTCAAAGCATTCGTTGGTAAGCCCGGTCGGTGCCTCTCGCTTAATCGTCGGGGCTTTAGGGCTCAGCCAAACCCGGCGTCGACCACCATTGGCCCGACCGCCCAGAGCCCTGGCCCGCAATTTTCGCAGAGCAGCCAAAAGTGGGAAAATCTTCCATGATCCATGAATCTCACCATCCCTCAAGCTCATCAACAACCTCGCCACCCGACAAGTCCGTCCTTGCGTCGCCAGCTCCAACCGATAAGATGGCCCCTCAAAAGAAAAGCAAGAAGGATGCCAACTCCATCAACTCCAAGTTGGCGCTGGTGATGAAATCCGGCAAGGGTACGTGATGCAGTGCCCGAGGGTGAGCAGAGGCATCGGCCGTGCTAACCAGAGGCAGTCACTCTTGGATATAAGTCTACACTGAAAGCCCTTCGCTCCGGCAAGGCCAAGCTCATTATCATTGCTGGCAACACTCCTCCCCTGCGCAAGAGCGAGCTCGAGTACTACAGCATGCTGTCCAAGGCCCCCATCCACCACTTCTCCGGCAACAACGTAAGTATTGCAACAGAGATTGTTTTCTAGAAGGAGATCCGCCGTGACGGTCCCAGTGCATTGGAAAAATATTATCAGGACGCACACATACCTTGCTAAGCGAGAACTTCGGTTCTTGCGATCATGCCCAGAGAAGAAGTCGCACGTTGACTTTGGAGGGTTCACTTGGCTGACTTTGTCCCGACAGATTGAGCTCGGCACTGCCTGCGGAAAGCTTTTCCGCTGCTCCACCCTCGCCATTCTGGACGCTGGCGACTCGGATATCCTGAGCGACCAGCAGGCATAAGCTGCTTCGTATGGCATTCATGTGGCGTTTGGGGTAAAATGGGTTCTCGGGCATTTGGGGATATACCAATCAATTCTTTGCAATCGTGAGACGACTTGATAGAGGGCTTTGCAGCTTGACCAGCCTCATATTGTCGGCACTTGTGGCCAGGTGTATGGCCTCTGCGTCTCAGAGATGCTGAGGGCCGGACATGACCAACTCGATGACAATAATACTGATGGCCCTTTTACTCCCCGCCACAACTCGTTTACATCTGCCACCGAAAGCCAACTTGTTGGTCATGGTGTGAATCACGGTTTCTGCTGCAAGTCTAGTCTCCCTGCGGACGGTTTCCTAGGAAACTACGGATGAAAGGAGGTGATGAGAATGCAGCTGAGACGAATGCCGGCGCAGTCCAATGAAAGCGGCGCCGCGGGCTGTCAAGCGCTGCATGCCAGGCGTTGTTGCCACATGTGTAATGCTCACTGCCTCGCGGCGGCCACGATGGGGATTCGGTGGCTTTGGCTCACCATTGCATGTGCTTGTTGGGCGGCCAGTCTAATTTTATCAGTGGAGGAGGAGGGGGCCTTGCCGCGGAAGCGCCGGGTGTAGATGCCGACGGGTTGGCACTGTGAGGCCCCGCGCTAATGAGGCGGCAAAGCACGGTGTGAGTATCTTGGCAGATACCCCCGGGGCGAGAACGGATGGATTGCTAGCCCGTTCCGGCCACGCCTTGTCACACTGAGGCCGGCCCGGGCGATTGGATGGACATTTTAGGGGCGCGTTTCAAGCGGCTGCGCGGGTGGGCGCTGAGCCACGCCAGGACCGCCGGCTGCCACGTGAAAGGAAAGAGGAGCGCAGAAATGAGGTGCTTGATGCTTGCTTGGCTTGCTTGGAAGCCTGGAACTCGGCCCCCCCTGGGACAAAGGCCTGTTGATGAGGCATTGACGGGCGCGGTAATTGACGAGCCTGAGCAAAAGTACTGCTCGCCGCCTTTTTGCGTGCCCGCGGTACTTGTCATTAATTAGTCAAAGTGGAGTCCCGGACTCTGACGGACGGGGGTAACCGTGTCTTCACAAACGGAAGCAGCGTCGTCGCTGTTGTTGTTGTGACTTTCATCTCCATGCACTCACCTCGAACCTCCACCAGCATTGCCATGCGCGCCAAACATCGGCGAGACCTCGACGCACCAAAATAATTACCTGCCCCGACCTCTTCTGCATCGGTAGCGCCCCCGCGCATTCCTCTGCACCTCGCAAACCGCTCGTCCAGTCCTTCCACGCCTCTCTCGCGCCATGTCGACGACGGCTTCCAAGAAGCCCCCCTTTGGCGGCACCGCCGTCGGCCGCGTCTCCAACTCGGACGCCGCCGCCGCCTCGTCCCCCAGCGCCTCTCCCGCCCGCAACTCGCCGCGCTCCTCGACCCCGACCGGCCACGCCCGCGCCCGCTCAGTCCGTGGCGCCGCCCATGTGTCGGCCCGCTCGGCTGCGGCACGAAGGGACACGGCTGGTGAGTCCGACGCCCGCGCCGAGGCTGCCTCGGCCGTCGAGGACCTCCAGCAGCGCCTGGAGAAGGAGGAGAAGCTGTCGGAGCAGTTCAAGAAGCAGGCCGACGTGCTGCAGTCCAAGCTCGACGATGCCGTCAAGGAGTCGGCCAAGCTCGAGGAAAAGGCCCACGAGTACGAGGAGCAGGTCGAGGCCTTGAGAAGCGAAAAGAGGGAAGCTACCCGCCAGATCCGCGAGATGGAGACCATCTACGAAGCCGAGCGGAGCGCCATCCTCAAGGAGAAGGAGGAACTGGCCAACAAGGAAGAGGAGATGCAGACCGTTATCCAGCGGTTAAAGGACAGCCTGGCCCAGAGACATAATGCCGCTGACGATGATGGCCGGCCATCCCGACAGAGTAAGTCGCGCCACTGGCCCAGCGTCTGACCCCGTTTGCTAACCGTGGACCAGCGGCCAACTCGTCTCCGTCGCTCGACGGCAGTAGCTTCGCGCCCCCCTCGTCGCTCCAACGCAGCGACTCTCGCAACAGCTCCAAACTGATTTTGCAAAAGGACAAACTTATCGAGAGCCTGCGTCTCGAGCTCGCAGAGGCACAGATTAAGCTGGTCGAGTCGGAGAACCAGGGAGGCGGCAGGCTGCAGGAGGTGGAGCGCCTGCTCATGGAAGCCCGCATGGCCAACGCGCGCCTCATGGAAGATAACGAGAGCTACCAGCTCCTCCTGCAGGAGAAGACGCTCAAGGGCGACTTTGGACAGAGCGACTTTAGCTACATGAATGCCAGCGCCCACCAGGATGCCCTAAACGCCCTCGAGGGCAACGCCGGAGGCTCGAGCCTGGCCGACGAGCTGTCTGATGCCGCCGCTGCCGAAGGCGACGGCGACCGCCGCCTTGAGGCCGAGTTCAGGTCGATGAAGGAACAGAACAAGGCGCTAACCATGTATATTAACAAGATCATCGGGCGTCTGCTGCAGCACCAAGAGTTTGAGTCGATTCTTGACCAGTCGGGCGACTTGAAGCCGCCCATGGACATCAACAAAGACTTGCCCCTGTCCCCGGGCATGAAGCAGCCACCCAACGGTCCGTCGCTGCTGCAGCGGGCCAAGTCCCTCGCCGTCGGCTCGACCAGGACCAAGCAGCGACCCATGTCGTACGTGCCGACCTCGGGCTCCGCCAACTCGGCCCATACCGACCCGGATACGGCCCCTAGCATACCCATTGGCAACCTGGGGCGATCGACGAGCACGAGGCGATCGAGGCCCCAGAGTGATCAGTTCACCGGCGCCGCAGGCCTTGTCGGTCAGATGTACCGGGGCCCGGATGGCACCGTGTCGCCGCCGCTAGGCAACTCGCGACACTCACCCAGCCTGTTTGGGGCCCCAGGCCTGTCTGTCAACCCCAACGCGGCCGCGCGCACCCCCAGCGGAGGTCAGGCCCCCTCGGCGGGCAACTTCCCCCACAGCAGGAGCGAGACTTCGAGCGTGAGCGGCGATTCGGCCGAGGTATCGACGTCCCCATCGCAGTCGCCGCCCAGGTCGCAGAGCGACAAGCAGACGACGTTTGCGGGAGGCAAGCCCCGTCCTCTGCGGTTGGTCCAGGAGAGAGAGGACGCGGCCAAGGAGAACAAGCGCGCGAGCTGGTACACGGGATGGAGCTGGGGGGCCAAGAAGGATGAGACACAGCAGCCCGCGGGCAGCTCGATTCCCGAATGAGAGACGGAGAGAGAGAAGCTCCTTGCCATGTTGATACGGGAGTCTCGGCCTTAATGTGGCGTCCGGTCCGCTTTGTGTTTTCCATGGTTAGTCCCTTTTATTTCGAGGAACAGTGGGCTGTTGGAAGAAGTATGGGCCGGTAGTTGTGTGTGAGGACACGGCGGCTGGATACACTTTGAATGTGGGCAGGACGAGCAGATTCACGGCCGACGCTGGCCTGTACGATTTACGTCACTAGTAGATATTTTGCCGAACCCGGCCTTTTTTGGGTTATGATGACTCTCTTCTGTCATGCTTGCGTGTGCATTGGTTGGGTTTACGGATGGACCGCGGCCCTGAGGAGGATGTGAGAGCGAGAGGAGAGCAAGGGGTTGACTGAGACCAGTGATTGCTGTCCTCGAGAATCTCAACAGGATAGAGAGTCAACCATCGTTGAGGAAGAAAGGCAACGATGACATGGATTGTACAGTTTGGAAAGATGGACTCGACTTCTTTCTGCCACAGCTCGGCAAGATGCTTGTGTCCACACTTTCCAACAAATGACAAATCATGGATGAAGAGCTGATGCTGGAGAAGTACAGGATGGATTGACTTGTCAAAAGAACAGCATTGAGGACGCCAAGGAGCCTGAGGGCGTGGTTTTACTGCCCTACTATTATTATAAGAAGAGGTACTCAGGTATGAAACCGAACGCAGAACAAGTCTGCAAAGAAATCGATCGTCTATTTGATGGCGGTTTTCGCGGCACCCACGCCAGTCGTTAATAAAGTAGAGCCATACGCTTCTCGTATACGAAGGCTGCGCCCAAAACAAAGCATTGGCGCATAGGCATCTAGATGCCTTCAGTGGCTGCATCCGGCGTCTACTCGCCATGCGATGTTTCCTATAATAAAGGGAAGTAAAAAAGAAGAAACAAAATGGGGCGGCAATAATAAGCACATAAAAAAGAAAATGTAATTTTATACTAATATTTAAAACGAGGCGGTCTGTGTCTTTTATCGCACACTACCATTTACATCAGCGCCCTCAATGTCGTCGAGCAGGCTAAATCCAGCTTAACCTGGTGTGTAGTGAGTCAGTGACGATAGTTATGTTAAAAAAAAGCGACCGTCTCCCGGTTTCGGCCGCCATCGACCAGGCGAGAGACTTAGGGCACGCCCTCTTGCCGGACAAGCGGGTCGATGCCGTGGGCCTCGCACAGGTCGACCATATCGTTTTCGAAGGCGATGCCCATCATCCACTAACACTTCTCGTACAGCTTGGTCATTTCGGCTACCTCGGGCTTGGACAGGGGCACAATGTGGTCGAAGACGGCCGAGTAGAGCCGGATATACCCTCGAGCGAGCCTGGCCGACGCCATCGAAACCCGAGACAACTTTGGGGATGGCGTATGCAGGAGAGTCAGTCCGGCCCGGGTCGACGCCCTGTGTCAGAGGTTCATTAGCAAAGTTGTCTTCTTTGTCTCCAGTTTGTTTTCCATGTTTCTTTTCTTCTGATTGTGTCCCCAATCATTTCCTCTATACCATTCTTCGCCGTCATTGTAACGGGCAAGCCGCTTTAACGGCGGCTGCGCCGCCTAGCTTCTAGAACCTTCCATTGGCTCGAAGCTATAAAATGCTATTGTGCTCTCATGTAGTAGATTCTCTTTCTTTCTTTCTTTCTTCTCTATCTTGATAGTAAACAGCATAGGGACTAGTTAGTTGTATCAACTCACTAGAGGCCTTTCACATACTATCAAGATCACTGAAGACATTGAAGACACTGAAGACACCGAAGACACTGAAGACACCGAAGACACCGAAGACACTGAAGACACCAAACTGAGTCCCGTCGAACTATTAGCGTTCAGCGAAGTCGCGATGGCCGAAGATAACAACAACATGCAGCCGGACGTCCTCAGCGCCCTGGTTGCCGAGATACGAAGTCTGAGAGAAGAGAGTTCCCGAAGAAACACCCAGTTTGAAGAACGTTTTATTGCCCTGGAACTCCAACAACACCAGCAAGCCCGTTCGTCTGAACTCCTAGAGCCAACGCCATCTGTCACCCCGGCTGTCCCCATTGAGGACACTCGTGTGGTCGCCACTCACAACCCTCACCCAACCAAGCGCCCCAAATTACGAGACATACCGAAATTCGGCGGCGACAAGGCCCAGTGGCGAAGCTGGAAACTAGAAACCGAAGGAAAGCTACGAGTCGACAAAGAAGCCCTTGGAGATGCAGAAGGCCACTTTATGTACATCTTCATGAGCCTAGAAGGCAAGGCTAAAGACAACGTGACCACATTTGTGGAGATGCAAACCGAGAAGAAAACGTTCAATGTTGCTGAACTACTCAACCGCCTCGAATTGCTGTCAGGGAGAGGGATCGCAAGCAGAGAGCTACACGCAACCTGCATTCGATTAAGCAAGGAGAGAATGAACCGTTCACGTCCTTTTACCCCCGCTTTGAGAGGGAGATCGCCAATGCCAACGCCGAGTATTGGCCAGATGACAGCAAGATTTCCTACCTCCAGGAGGCACTAAACGATAAAATGAAAGCAGCCCTCATAGGCTCTGACCCTCTGCCATCAGCAGCTATGTTGGGCTGGCGAGGAGGTGCGATTCGCTGAGCAGCCAGATGGAATTGTTGGGTCAGTGGAAAAGGCCTCGAGGCAACACAAAGAGTTCGGACAACTATGACAACCACCAGAATCATGGAGGCCAGGCTGCCCAGAAACAGCCTGGCCAGAAAACCGAAGTTAGACGAGAGGATATGATGGAATGGGAACCAACTCTACAAGCATCCGCGAAAGTGAACGCTGCGCGCACCCGCAGTGATAAGAACACATATGGTTACCAATCCAAGCGACCAGAAGACCAAGCGCTGTTGGGCAAGCGTGCCAAGTGGGTCGACCAGGCCGAGATGGACGCCCGTTACCGTGAAGGGCGTTGCCTCCGTTGTGGAAGAGACAACTGCAGAATCGAGCGCTGTCCATTGGCTGCGCCTATCCGACCCGCAAACACGACCCGACGCACTCAGGTCAATGCCGTGACCCCGTCACGACCAGCGGTCACTAAAGCCGAGGTCGCCGAAGACGATACTTCTTCTCATAACGATGAAGATTCAGACTAGGGACACGCGGCGGCTGTGAGAGAATGGGATGTGAGCGGAAAAGCAAAAATGGACGGAGAACCGTTCATAGCAGACGTCAGGGTGAACGGCACAGACTTCGTGCCATCTCTTGTCGACTATGGCTGCCTCTGCTACGGCGCGGTTAGCAAGCGCACATTTCACTCTCTCCAGTTGCCACATATACGCGTCCAGCCGCGCATCTTGGAGAATGCAGCGGGAGACGGCAAGGAGGTCAAAATCGACAAGATCACGTATGTGTCGATCGACCTCGATGGACATCAGCAGCATCGTGTTTTCATGTACGTCATCGACGATCTGAACTGGGATATGATCCTGGGTAAACGATGGATGGAAGACCAGGATGTTCACATCCATGCGAAGGAAGGATATCTCGAGATCGGGTCCAATGGAGTTCAAGTACGAGACCGACGACGTTACCAGCCTCCACAGCTAGATGTCTCTAATGTCATGGCCGCAACCTTTTAGCAGAAGCACGCCGTGACAAACGCAAAGGCGGCATTGGAGTTCACTCGGTCACGATGGCGGATATTGACAAGGCCCTAAGACCGAAACCGAAGACTGACGTAATGGAGAAGCTGCCACCACAGTACCACAAGTGGTCTCGAGCTTTCTCTCAGCAACTGGCCGACCAGCTGCCCCCTCATCGGCCAGGTGTGGACCTGAAGATCGAAGTGCTGAAAGACGAGCATGGCCGAGAGAAGCCCTACCCTGGGGACCGCTTTACAGCATGTCCCGCGAGGAGCTATTGGTACTACGGAAGACTCTCACAGAACTACTCGACAAGGGATTTATTAGAGTCAGCAGCTCGCCAGCCGCGGCACCAGTCCTTATGGTGAAGAAGCCCGGCGGAGGCATCCGCTTCTGCGTGGATTACAGAGGTTTGAACCATATAACGAAGAGGGACCGCTATCCCTTGCCCTTACTGAGCGAGACCTTGCGAACGATAGCCAAGGCAAGGTGGTTCACCAAGGTAGATGTTATAGCAGCGTTCCATAAGATCAGGGTCGCCCCGGCGACGAGGAAAGACAACTTTCAGAACGCGCTATGGATCCTTCGAATGGCTGGTAGTTCCATTCGGCCTGACAGGCGCACCAGCAGCCTTTCAGCGGTACATTAACAGCGCGCTCCAGGATTACCTAGACGATTTTGTGTCAGCATATATCGACGATGTCCTGATCTTCTCCTCTGGAAGCCTGCAAGACCACCGCGACAAGGTCGGCAAGGTCCTCCAACGACTGATGGACGCCGGGCTGCAACTGGATATCAACAAGAGTGAATTCGAAGTCAAGGCTGTGAAATACCTTGGGTTTATCATCGAGGCGGAGTGTGGGATCCGAGTCGACCCTGAGAAGGTTGAGGCTGTGAAGGAATGGGCAACCCCGACGAATGTTAAGTCCGTGAGGAGTTTTATTGGATTCGCGAACTTCTACAGGATGTTTATGCCAGAGTTCTCGGTGATAGCGGAGCCGCTAACGCGGCTAACGAAGAAGGACGTGCCATTCCGTTGGGATGAATTGTGCGAAGAAGCCTTCGAGAAGCTCAAGGACTTGTTGATCACGGCCCCGATCCTTGCACACTTCCATCCAGAAAGGAGACTATCGTGGAAGCAGACGCTTCAGGATTCGCGTCGGGAGGCGTGCTCTTGCAGAGAGATGATAAGGATGGACTGGTACGACCTGTCGCATACTTCTCGAAGAAACATTCGGCAGCCGAAGCGAACTACGCTATCCATGACAAGGAGCTACTCGCCATTCTCAGATGTTTGGAGCAGTGGGAACCAGAGCTACGGGCAGTAGAGCACTTCAAGATCCTAACGGACCACAAGAACCTGAGGTACTTCTACTCGGAAAGGAGGTTGACAGAGAGACAAGTGCGGTGGTCGGAGTTCCTGTCCAGGTTCCAATTCGAGCTCGAATGGAGGCCGGGCCGCAAGGGCGGATTGCCTGACGCACTCTCGACGGGACCAGGATATGCCGGCCAACTACTCCGATGAACGACTAAAGGGACGCATTATGAGGCTATTCCAAAATGATCACCTTAGAAGGGTCCCAATATCGACATTGTCTACCAACACCGAGGGTGCCCAGGAAATCAACTTCGAAAAGAGATCAGGATATTTGAAGATGAGGAGTTACAGCAGCTGTGGCACGCCGCACGGCAAGAAGACAAGCTTTATCAAGAACTCACGAAGCTGGTAGCAGATGGAGCGAAGAGTGTGCCAACAGACTTACAGAAGGAGAAGGTTGTCAGCATTTCAGAATGCTCATTAGACAATAGAGGCCTGCTGTGCTTTAGAGAACGCGTCTGGATACCCGGTTCGGAGCCGCTACGTACAAAGATCATCCAGGAAACTCACGACTCTCATATCACCGGACATCCTGGAAGGGACCTCACGTACTCGACTCTGTCGAGACGCTTCTTCTGGCCGGGTGCCGCTAGCGATGTACGTCGGTTTGTGCGCAACTGCGAGGTTTGCGGACGAAACACCATCTGGAGGATACAAAGAAAGGACTCCTAAAGCCGCTCCCTATTCCGCAACGCATATGGAGCGAAATTACCATTGACTTTATTACTGACCTCCCACCGTCGGGGAAAGATGGCGCGACGAACTGCATGGTGGTCACGGACCGACTCACCAAAGGCGTCGAACTCGAAGGATTGAACGATATTTCCACAGAAGCGGTTGCAAGAAGACTCTTCGAACGACACTACCCTGTCCATGGCATCCCAACGGCTATAACCAGTGATCAGGGTCCCCAGTTTGTCAGTGGTATGTGGAAAAGTTTCTGTCAGATGCTAGGGATCGAGCAGCGGTTGTCGACGGCGTACCATCCACAAACCGACGGTGCAACAGAACGAATGAACCAAGAGGTAGAGAGGATTCTTCGGATATGGACGAATTATCTGCAGGAGAACTGGTTAGACTTGCTTCCAATCGCGATGGCGACTATTAACGAGAGGAAGCAACCTCCACCGGACTGAGTCCGTTCTTCTTCATGCACGGCTACCACAACGAGCCAATCCAATTAGTTGAGCATCGAAGAACGGAAGACACGACGCAGGGGGAAGCGACAGCGGAGGATTTTATTCAGAGACTACAGGACGCCACGGAGTTTGCGCAAGCAGCGATAGCTATGGCCCAGGAAATACAGCAAGCGCAAGCCAACAAGCACAGGACAGCCGCACCGAGATACGAGCCTGGGGATTGGGTATACCTCAACTTGAGAAATGTCAAAACATCGCGACCCTGCAAGAAGCTCGATTGGCTACATGCCAAATATCAAGTGCTCGCGGAAGTTAGCCCACATGCCTACAGGTTGGATGTGCCTGGGCGCATCCATCCAGTCTTTCACGTCGACCTACTCCGGCCAGTCCCCGAGACCCATTGCCTTCGCAGAAACTCGATCAAGAGAGTGCCCCACCGGTGCTGGTGGACGGCGAAAAGATGTACCTTGTTGAAAGAATTCTGGATGAAAGAATGGAAGGTACGCATAAGAAGGTGCTCGTAAAATGGCATGATTACTCGCAGCCTACGGGAACCCCTTACTACTATTCGACACACCGATGCATGGAAGCAATGGAAGAAGCATAAAAGGAGTGTCACCTTCTCAAGTCATCTTGCCACAGATTGCCACGACCCCGGAAGAGGAAACGTTGGAAGGGAGGAGGTAATGTAACGGGCAAGCGCTTTAACGGCGGCTGCGCCGCCTAGCTTCTAGAACCTTCCATTGGCTCGAAGCTATAAAATGCTATTGTGCTCTCATGTAGTAGATTCTCTTTCTTTCTTTCTTTCTTCTCTATCTTGATAGTAAACAGCATAGGGACTAGTTAGTTGTATCAACTCACTAGAGGCCTTTCACAGTCATCACAAACATGGGCAACGCCGCTTGGGAAATAAGCGGCATCACGGCTTCTCCGGCGGCTCCGGGTTCGCAGAGACCCGAAACGCAATCTTCGACGGCCAGGGATCAGAGGTGGACAACAAAAGCACTATAGACGCTGACAGTCCGTCCACGTTGCCCCTGTTTCGTATTCTTTTCTGTTCCAACGAAAAGCTTGGTATTATGTCTGAAGGCTTGGAGTTACAAAGATGGCTGGAATGCCCATAATCTCGCACGTGGTGTCATGGCAAGTTGACGACCGATTTGGTTCCACAATCCACATTACGCAAATGCTCTGTTGCAAAGTGTCGTGCCTGTCTGGGCCTTTTCGCCGCCAAGTGTTGTTATATTCAAGTGATGGTGCTTGATTATCTGCTTCATAGGCTCGTGAACCACGAATCCGTAAATATTCCTGACCCCGAGTTGATCGTCGTGGGCTGCCTTGACCTGTTATGCGTTGAGCGAACACCCCATCGAGCTCGACCAGTTCAATACAGAAAGCCGGCCGCGATAGTATTATTGTGGAGCAAATTATGACTGTGGATCAGAATACGATTGTGGCGCAATCCAAGTCGATTCAGTCAACCGGGATTTCACTTTTTACTTCGCAAACGGCATTAAATTACTGTAAAGAGAATATCGTTCAATAGTTTGACTTTCGCTGTACACTTCAAAAAGGGGCCCTATAGCTTCTTTCACTGACCATTAGAAGAGCCTCTGTTCTATAAACCCTCGCCCATTCTTTTTAGGGTCATTATGCCTTTGCCCTAGTAGGCACATGTAATGCTATATCTGACAGAAATAGAAAGCAAGCCGAGGGACTGTCGTCCCCTGGTCAAAATATGCGCAAGACAGCGGAATAGACGTAGTGCTTTCAGCGTCTATACATGTAACCCATTGTTGCCGGCCAGACCTGTTGTGGTTTAGAGGCCCACGTCCGATGCTTAGGCCGTTTCCTTCTCAAAAGCCCAGAACTCCAATGCCTGTCTGTTGAATTGGACTGTCGTAATGCATTGACCTCACGATCTGCCCAAGTTCAGCAGTCTGCACCGCACATTATAACTTCTGCCATTCATCGACGCCATGATTGGATCCTCGGAGTATCACCGTTGCTTCCTGCCTCTGGCGGTCATCTTGAGCTCGATTTATATCTTGACCGGACGCTCTCTTCTGCCGTAGCACGACTCCTTCTATTAGTGGCGACAGCTACTATCGCTTTCTCCACGGGTGGACACGAAGAAGATAGCTAGCGTGATAGTGGGCACGGATCCGAAAAGGCCCCAGCGGCCGAGTCAGAAAACCGCAGTCGCCACAGTGATCAAGACGTTGTCGAGAAAAGATGGAGGCGTTTAGCGCCGACCTGCCATCTTCCGGGCTCGCGGTCCGCACAGCCGAGCGTCTCTCACCGCCCAGCCACGGATATCCCGGATTCGGGTTGCTCCCGAAGCCGGGAACCCACATTCGAAGTAGGCCAACCCTCGTGCTCACACTATAACTCACACTATAACGACAGAAAAGCCAGGTATATCCATTTATAATGGATCGCGGCTTTAATAACTCAGTATAAGCAATGCGCCGCTGCGGGCCTCGTGATTCATAGACATCTCTATTTGGGATCTGCTGGCTCGACCATTACGTTCTCCCACGGACCTGGTGGATCATTACCATCCGTTCTGGCTCACTCTACTTGGAATCCTTTTGTAGCAGGCGGGCGTAAGCCAAGCGTCGTTAAAACAACATTGTACTACATGTATAGCGAGAGACCGCAACTTCGCATGTGTATGCAAACCGGCTTCGTGCAAATGACACTCCTCATGGATGGTCTCGGGCACCTTTGCGAGACGTTGTAATAAGTTACGCGGATATACAGCCTTCACCGTTGTAAAGAGACGGACTGCGTTGCACACAAAGCTCAACAAGAGATGCTTTCACATGAGTGGTGTATTTCGTACCTCTTCTTCAAGCCCTTTGTTTATTGAAATCGGGGTTATATCAACCTCTATCACCCGTGTTCTCTACATCTTTCAAACTCCATGGTCATGTAAGTTGCAAAGCCATCATGGTTAATCCCTGATATTCGCTTCTGTACAAGGGTCCTGACCTCGCTTGACACTCCTGGGCGAACCAATGGTGAACTACCCATGAGCAACCATCTTCTGCTCCATATCCTGCTCCATCTTCTACTCGTCCGACCTTGGCTGGTTACGGGAAACAGCCCTGCCCATAAACAACTCATATCGTACCACATGCTACAAATATCTACAGAAAAAGAATGGTGCAGAGTAGAGCAATGACGCAGGCAAGAGCTATACATGGCTTCATCTACGAATTAAGCAGTGGTCTGTCGTGTAGCTTGCGTCTTATAAAAGGAGGGTCAGATTCACTCTCTGAAGGATAAATGAACACCTCTCCTCTTATACCACATACATCTAGATACTCGAGCAACAACACCTTATCGCAATGAAGCCCTCTGTCTTCTCCTTGCTCGTCTCGGCTCTGGCCGGCACTGTCGCGGCAAAGCCTGTCGAGGCGGCAGCAATAGCCGGGGCCGATCTCGAACCGGCCTCTCCAATGACTCAACATGCTCCCAAGGCTGTGCTAACGGTCCTTGTCACCGGCTTCGGCGTATGTCCTGTCTAATCTGCTCTTGGATGGGGTTGTATCGATTAATGCCCAAGCTAATCGCACGACAGAACTTCGCCCAGCTCAAGAACCCGTCGTGGGAAATTGCCAAAGGCCTCCCGTCGTGCCTCCCTGCCCTGGGGGCCGACAAGGGGAAAACTATTGAAATCCCTCCGGTGCGCATCCTCGTCCCTCAGGAGGCCATCCCGGTTAGCTACAAGGCGGTAAGGGAAATTGTGCCGTCCTTCTGGGAGACGTACCAGGGCCATAAGGTTGACCTGGCGATCCACATTGGCATGACCGCCGGGTCCGTGTATAAGATAGAGCGAAGAGGACACCGCAATGGCTACAAGATTGGGGACATCGACGAGGAGATTCCCGAGGACGAGGAGAAAGGTAAGAAGGGAGAAAACTGGATTTGGCAAGGCCTACCCGACGAGATCCAGACGGAACTGGACCTAGACGACGTTTTGAAGCGGTGGCAGGGATTCGGCGCTGTAAGTCACCGCCTCTCGCATTGCGCGCAAACTACTTACCACCGCGCATGAAAACAGAAGAACGCAAGCCTGCAAGTCTCTGAGGATGCCGGCAGATTCCTATGCGATTTCATCTACTACTCGAGCCTGTCGACGCTATGGAAGCGGCAGCGGCCGCGAAAGGTCGTGTTCCTGCATGTCCCTACCGACTCGTCTAGTCAAGCCGTCCGCCAGGGACAAGAGCTTACGCTCAGCCTGATTCGGTCGATGGTCGAAAGCGAGACCCAGCGAGCCGGAAACGCGGCGTGTACATGACGAGGAAGGAAGTAATATGGTAGATATTCAGGGAAGACCAAGCGAGCAACTACACATAAATGGGTTCCCGTTTCGATAGTTCTGGACCTCTAGCCCAGTAACTAGCCCGTAGCTCTCAATAGATTGTCTACCAAGATCCTAGGCTACGTAGTGACAGTCTTGATGTCCCTCGCCTTGACATCCCTCGCCTTGATCTTGGCAGCGTTTCGGCCAAGCAAGATGCAATAGCTACAGCTTTACACGATTAGCCGCTGCGTATTATAACACTTGGGCACATTTCCCTCGTCGGTGTAGCCAAAGCCAGCACTCTCGAGAGATCTGTGGCCACAAAAATCTTGCAAGAACAAAAGAGTCATAAATCGCTTTTCTCCTCAACGACCACGCAGCCTGCACCGCAAATTACAACTCTCGCCATGGACTGCATCAACGCCATCATTGGATCCTCAGAGTATCACCACTGCTTCCTGCCCCAAGCGCCGCCTCCTGGCGAGGCCAGCACCGTCTTTTGGATATATTTTTGGGAACATCTGACCATACTTGTAATTTCGTCGTCAGCAGTATATACGTCATGGTTGTCCTTTCTCATCTAAAAACGGGAAACGCGGCCCTCTAGAATTGGTCGCTTTGGTCGTACATGTAATAGTTCCGCATCTGGAGCAACTAAGAAGCAAGGGCACCAAAACTCCTATTCCGACTAGAGGCGGTGCAGTAGCATCCGGATAAAAGAACAAAAGACCGGCTCATCTCGGTGATCCTTGAGAAAAATCCTCTTGGTTCTCCGCGCCCATTCGCTCAGGAGTTGACTCGCCCCTGCCTCGGTGTAGGCATCATCCGCACCGCCGACACGGACGGCTTTGAGAAAGTAGCCCGAGCAGACGGCCATAAGCCAGTCGATGACGACGTCAGAGTACTGCTGACTGGCCGCATTGTCCTCACCATGGCGCGTATGGCGCGCCAGGTCCTTAATGGCCGGGTGCAGCACCGCATCGGCCTGGACTTCACGCGCCTCCCAGACACCGCGCAGCTCATCTAGGCACCCCCAAACGTCGTCGAGGGATCTGTCGTAGGTTGGAATGCGAAAGGCGGCGGCGACGGATGCCGGGATAACACCGTCTTCGATCATCTGCACCATGGCCTTGCGGCAAGCGTCAACGGGACCGGCGTAGTTGTCGCGACCCGAGGCGTCGCGGCCGACGAAGGTGAGAACAAGCGAGCCTCCTCTCACCACTTCAGAGGCGCGGAGGCGCAGGAAGAGACAGAGATCGTCGTGGGCTTGGGCCCGGCACAGCCGCTTCATTTCGTCGTCATGGGCTGCAGCGGGCAGTCGATCGAGATGGTGGAGGCAGCAGAGAGAGAAGCCGAGGTTGACGGACCGGGGCGGGACGAGGGGGCGGTAGAAGCTTCGTGGAATCAAGCCAAGGAAGACCGAGGACGGAAACCGGGCCGGATCTAGGGCGTCGGCCCAGGCGGAGACGGTGGCGGACAGTGTGTTGAAGTCGTTTTCCGGTCTGTCGCTTAGTAGAAGCTGAACCTGATCGGACTGCGTCAGGGGAAGCATGGCCTCCAGGGGCTCGATTCTACAAGTATCGATGCTCCAAGTCAGCGGAGCGAGTCAAGCATAAGGACATAAGGACAACGAAGTCACGCACGAATTGTTGCCATGGGCCGAGCCGTATTCGACAATGGTGAATTGCTGGTCGCTGCCAGACGGGAGCCCGTCACCGCTGGCAGCAGCTTCGCGGGCGGCCCTCTGGAGAAGCGGCAGCGTCTTGAGCATGGCCTCGTGCTGGAGCGCCGCGTGTGAGCGGTACGAGCCCTTGCCTTGCATGGGGACATCGTTGACGAGAACGGCGTCGTCGACGGCGAGTTGGGCTGCGGGCATGGCGGCTAAAGGCTGGGAAGCCCGACGGCTCGATGTAAAAGGCCTCGGGTATGGGTAGAAGGCTATGTGCTTGACGTATACCAGTGATGTGTGTACTCGACGAGTAATTCACAGTTCAAGCCTGCAAGTACCTGTGTTTCCATCGTGTGCGGAGTATATGTGTCTTATTTCTTCGGCGCTTTCGGCGATTATTGAGTATCAACGTCGGGGTGATGGTCGGGCTGGAGAGTTTGACCCGTAAGTTAACCTAAATCATGCGTATTAACAAGTGTAACATACGTACAGAGTATTGCGACTATCATTATCATTATCGATCATTATCGATCATCTCATCCTGACAAGACTCATACCAGTGATCGATCGCCTAGAGTCAAGCTTCAACAGTCTTGCAGACCTTGTTTAGCCTTCATTCACGTACATTCCAACACGACCTTGCACGAGACGGAGAGCCAGAGAAAATAGATCAGAGTTCCATTAGTCTAAAACGTGTCATGTCCGTAAAGCGCAAGGATACAGTCCTCATAACTCATGCCCCCCCGCCCACCGCCTTGACACTCATCCTCCTGCTCACCTTCATCCAATAGGCCTCGGCGCGCAACTGCTGAGCCACACGAAAGACCGTCGTCTCATCTTGGCCGGGGATGTGTTCAAAGGCAAAGTGCCGCAGCAGAGTGACGAGCGTCAAATGCATCTCCTGGAGGGCGAAATGCTTGCCTATGCAGACGCGATTCCCAGCCGAAAAGGGCCAGAAGGGCACCGCGGCATCGTCAATGGCGCCGTCCAGCCACCGCTCAGGCATGAAGCGCTGCGGCTGGTCCCAGAGACACGGGTCTGTATGGGCCTCTTGCGTGCTGGGGAAGACGGTGGTGCCCTGGGGAACGCGGTAGTTCAGCACGACCTCGTCGCGGCTCGTCTCGCGGGGGCTTCCGGTTGCTTGGCCGGGCACCAGGCGCATGGCCTCGTTGATGCAGGCTTGGAGGTAGACCATGCCCATCAGAGAGTAGCCGCAGTCTGTTTCCCGCCCCGGGTCGTCGGCGGGATACCACCAGTCGACCTCCTGGTAGAGCCGCTCCAGCGCCGCCGGATGCTTGGCGAGCAGCAGCAGGGTGAAGAGCTCGGCGTTGGCCGTCGTCTCGCTGCCGGCCGTCAGCAGCACCACGCTCTCGTCCTGCACGTCCGAGGTGCGGAACTCGGAGCCCGCGTCGTCGTCGCTGCTGCTCGCCTTGACGAGCCACTGCAGCAGGTCCGCTCTCGCTCCGGAACGCTCGCCGGACGCAAGCTCCCGCCGCCGCCCGTTGACAATGTCGCGCGTGAACTGATCGATGTAGGGGTCGCGCGTTGGCAGAAGCGGTAGCTTCCGAATCCAGGGAATGAGCATCATCCAGGCGGCCAGCTTGAGGCCCTGCTTGAGCCGCGTCGGCAGAGGATGGCTGCCGTTCTCCACGACGTGAAAGCTCTGCCCGAAGGTGGTGACGCCTATAATGTCTATTGCCAATCCATGGACGAGGTGCTGCATGTCGACGACGGCCCCGGCTCCGGCCCCGGCCCCGGCTCCGGCCCCGACCCCGGCCCCGTCACACGCCCGGCCCAGCTCTCGCACCGCAACGGCGACGCAATCCCTCATTAGCGGCTCCATATTGCGAATGCACTTGATTCCAAACATGCCGGATATTAAACGCTTGCGCCGGCCATATGCCTTCTTGTCGGTAAAGGCCAGCAGCGTCGGCCGGTCCGGGTCCTGCCTGAAGTTTCCGTAGATGGCATGCGACTTGGCCCAATCCTCGGATTTGATAATGCGCCGGATCTCGCCAGCGTCGGCTACAGAGATTATACCAGGCGCTAGAAGTACTATGGGGCCATACTTCTCGTGCAAGATGCGGGTAAAATGGTGACTAGTTGCCGACGTCAGACAACGTATATCACGAGAAGGCGATGAATACAACTAGAGGTGATGAGAAAGAGGAGTGTTACCTGGTTCCTTTGAGCGTGGCAATGGTCAGCGGCCACGAGCTGACCTTGTTGAGCAGCGGGCCGGGGATGGAGCGCAACGGAGAGAAGACATTCTGTAAGAGCTGCCGTCGTACTACTCCGTCAGTGGTGAGTTTTCTTCAAGAGATCATATTCTCTCATAGCAACAGCAGGTTAAACCTACAGAGACAAGCTTCGGCAAGATGAAAATGACGGCGACGCAAGTCAGGACCAGATTGGTCACGCTCCAGTGCCTCAACAGCAGTCCCGCCTCGGTGCTGGAAGACGGGAGTATCTGAGAAATGTTGGCGTCCATGGTCCCCTAACTTTCGCTGCTGGAGAGGCCCCGGAAGAGAAGAAAGGTCGGGAAGGAACAACAGGGGTGGAAGAGACAAGAAGATACGGAGAGAAGAAGACCGTAGGTGAATCAGCGAAGCCCGCGAACCGGCCCTTGTCATATTGCTATAGAGCACTCCCATGCCGGCAAATCATCGTCGTTCGATGTCAGCAGACGTCGGCGAGATCCGCTGCCCCCTTGTCAAACCGCCGATACCCACCGAAGAGTGTTGGGCCCGGGGGTAGGACCCGGGCATGCCTCCGACCCAATCACTTGGTTCGTGTTTCTCACTATTGAATCGATAATCATAATCATGCCTGGGCCCTTTCGTTGTTGGATTTGTCTGCTGGTGGCGAGCCTGGCACCACCAAGACTATAATCTTTTGTAAATAGTAGAAAGCAGCAGTGCCCCAGAGTAACAGGGAAAGCTGCTACGGGGCTTTGCATCAAACAAAGCTTGCCTATCGGGCGCGCCCTTCACTTGAACATGTAGACAGCCTTGACCTGGCAATAGGACAGCAGTCCTTCGAGGCCATACTCAACGCCCAGTCCACTCTGCTTGTGCCCGCCAAAAGGAACGCAAGGATCCGGCCGAGGGGGCCCATTAATAAAGACGCTGCCGGCCTCGAGCTGTGAAGCAATCTGCCTGGCCGCCTCTACGTCGCCGGACCAGACGCTGGCCGCGAGGCCGCCCTCGGTGTCGTTGGCGAGCCGCACCGCCTCCTCTGTCGTAGAGAAGGGCACGCAGCAGACAATGGGTCCTACAAACAGTCAGCCGGCTGCGTCTCGCGCCTCCCTCTCTTCACTCCTTGGTCGATAGCCAGGACACTGACCAAAGTTCTCTTGCCGGAGAAGCGGAGAGTCTGGCGGAGGGTTTTTGCAAATAGTCGGCCGCAGGAAGAAGTCCTCCTCGGTCGATCTCAACGCCCCGGGCCCGCCCAAAACGAAGTCGTGCGCCCCCATGTCAGCGGCTCCGTGAAGCGACTCAACAAGCTTTTCCACCTGAACACGGTTTTGCACGGGGCCGATGCGCGCCGCCATGTCCCGGCTCAAATCGGCCGTCGCGCCGGCCAGCTTCTCGACAAACTCATCAAACCTTTCTTCGTGGATGTACAGCCTCCGCGGTGCGATGCATACTTGACCTGCGTTGAACCACAAGGCGCCGGCGATTCGTGGGCACACAATCTCAACATCGACGTCGGGCAGGATAACGGCGGCGTTATTTCCGGCGCTGCCCTCTCTCAGAGATAGGGGTCAGCTCTTGCTTCACCTCGAGCAGCAGTATTCACGTGTTGGCCTCGGAGCGGGGGTGGGAGTCGCACGTTTCCAGCGTGATGCGCTTCATCTGATCGGCACCGGCCTTGAGGATCTGCTTCCCTGTGGCCGAGGACCCCGTAAAAGAGATCTTGTCGACACCAGGGTGCCGCACCAGCAGCGGACCGAGGTCATTGTCTCCGCTCAACGCTTGGAGAACCGAGGGCGGGAAGACCTGCTGCGCCAACTCTACCAGCTTGAGGGACGTGTAGGGCGTGAATGGTCTGTGTTTGGCGCCGCAAGGTCAATGGTCAGCGCTTCGCGGGATAGCAGACTTCAGTCGATGTGCAACAGCGTCAAGAGAGACATACGAAGGCTTGAGGATTACGCAATTCCCAGTGGCAAGGGCCGGGGAGATCTTTCCGATAGCTATGCCAGAGGTGAGTATGCCAGCAAGCCGTCTAGAAACCTGGAGCATACCGAGCATGAGAGGAACTGAGTCCAAGAGAGCGAGGGCGTTTAGCAAATGCATGTCGAGTAGTAGGGCGACGGCCGAGACAGCATACAATTCCACGGGCAAATGGCAGCAACGACCCCAAGGGGCTCCCGCGTGATGCTCACCACCTTGGACTCGTCCTCGATCCTGTCTTGTGGAATCCTGTACTTGGCTGTTCCACGTCAGCACAAAGAGCGCATGCCAGGCAGCAGAGATCGACGCACATGGATAGCGAAGCCACTGTGCAGCCCAGCAGACCTCGATGGCCGCGTTTTCGACCTGGAGAAACAGTAGGTTGGTATCATATTGAGTGGCAATAGGATGGCGCGGCCATCAAGGCTTCAATACCGTCCTCCCGCACTCGTCGGCAAGCAGCCGTGAAAACTCGGCGGCGTGGGAGAGGTAGAGATCCGCGAACCGGTCTAGCAGCTCGGTTCTCTCCTCGTACGGCCGCCGCGACCAGGCCGGGAACGCCTTGCGCGCGGCAGCTACACAGTCGTCAACGTCCCCCTCGGTCGCTACGGGCACATCCCAGAGCGGTTGTTGATTTAAAGGATTCGTCCCATGGCGCCCTGTTTTCGCGCCTCGAGGCTTGCCCCCGATAGTATTGTGAAAGTTGACCCAGTCCATGCCGGGATAGTTTGTCCTTTGGTCTTATCGAGCTGTTGACTCCGTTTTCGACTTGCAATGTGCGCAAAGAGATGGCAGATGAGAGAGATGTAACGGCAGCGATGACATGTGCCGAAGCTTTTATAAAGTCACCGAGTGCGCTGGGTCGGCGACTTTGCGCGTGGTCGCCGGTCCATGTACACGAGTGAAGCGCAGCGGCGTCTGCCTAGTTTGAAGAAAGTATCGGACCCAGGTTCGACTTCACTCCTTCGCCAATTAGATGGTATAAACTGTATCTTGTAGGCATAGAGGCAATCTACTTTGATTCCAACTCCGGGTTCCGACAGTTTCGAAGTCGACGCGGCAGATCTCTTCATGACTGTGAAACGGATACCAATGTTAATGCACAATAAAAAAGCACGAGCATCTCTGGACTCTGAATGTCCCCTTCAGCTTCAAAGACAAGTATCTCGAGCATACATCTCGAGCATACCCAAATCGTCCACCACAGCCCCTCGTCGTCATTCATCATGGTGTAGCCGGCGATTACGTGTATGAATGTCTGAGCTTCTCGTAGACATCAAACGCGCTGGAACTGTAAAATCCCTATGCGTACTTCTATTCCGTGTCCGCAGATAGTAAGCCCATGAACGCGGCGGGCGACGTGTCGGCTAACTTCACATAAGCACCAGACTTACAATGGTAATCAGCACCCAACGCTACTGTATGTTCAAAGCAACGTGTAACGGAACGAGAATCCCGTTGACAGTGCCAGGGCAGCTTGCAGGTCACGAGCAAACATATATGTCCCTCCATCCATCTACTTTCTTCGGATGCGGTTGATTGGCTTTGAAAGTTGCAGCAAGGAACCGTATCGGCCCATGATGTGTGCGCTGCCTGCCTATTTGGTTAGGACAAACAAGCGAAGTATACGTCTCGGCCGCCGACAGAGTTGCCAGGTGTAGCTCACAAGGACGACAAGCTATCAGGTAATGTCGACCTCGGTGATAGCTTGGCGATGTTGGGGTTGTTTCGGTGCTCATGCCACTCAGTCGCCCTAGGTCGTGTCTGGTATTTGGGCTAATGTGACTTTTTTATGAGCTATGATTCTCACATCCACGACATAATTATATCACAGGCAGAGTTTTCCCCTTCCGATGGTCTATGCTATTGTGTAAGAGACCGGTTCGTTAGGTACGCTCGGAAAGGTAGCAACAAAGGCACAGGTACAGGCGGCTGATATTCTCTATGTACCTCTTCTGCAAGACTGAAACTTGAAGAAGAGGAGAGCTGAGGTTTAATTCCCTAAGATTGACAGCGGCATGGTAGGCTCATGCAGCCAGGCGCCAACATCGAAACCACGCCACAAGAGCCCTTGATTCAGTATTCCTCGAGTATTGGTTTGGCTACAACGAGATATTAAAGACTACCTCTCCCTTACTCTCTCACTCTACTGTGCGGCAGCGACCTGGTCACGGCCACGACAAAAGCAGCCCAGGCGGCAAGGTCGACGGTCAGCATGCGGCGGGCGTTGACGGTGAGCCAATCGTCAAGATAAGCGTTGACGTCGTCGTCTGCACCAGCGGCAGGTCCATCGGCACAGATGAGCGCCCGACAGCTGGGGGCTATGGCCGGCACGTAGAGCAAGTGAGCGGCGGCGAGGGCGGAGCCGGCAGCATACCAGCGCAACGAAGAAGAGGCGACGAGGGCGTCTGGACGGGCGTAGAGGTTTCCGATGCCCAGCCAGGTGGAGGCGGCGATGGTGACGACGACAAAGGGCAGGGCGCGGCGGAAAAAGGAGGAGAAGTAGGAGCGGAGCAGCGGACGGGAGTGGGGCCGGTTCTCGGGCCGGTTGAGGAGGCCGAGGAAGAAGTGCTGGTCCCAGGCAAAGAGGAGGGAGCAGGTCGACGAGACGAGGGGGGCGGCGCGGAGGGCGACGAGGGGGTCGAAGAAGAGGCGCGAGGCCATTTCTTTTAGATTTTTTTTCGATTTTTTTTCTTTTCAGTGACAAGTTGTATTATGGTAATGGCGGACCGTCTGTCATCTGCGGCAGCGAAATCGGTCGCAGAGGTGCCGTGAGATGGGTTCCCGGCTCGTCGTGGATGTCGTCGGTGCTGATGTCGTCGTGGTTGCTGATGTCGTCGTCGGATCGGATTATTTGTTTGCGGGAGAGAGGTGGTGCCATTTTCGGCGACTTCCCCATTTCCTTTTCCACCTCACGCTGCAGGGCGGCCAGCAGCAGCTCCACCTCCCGCCGCGTCCTTCACGACCGGTCGCATGTCCGCTTCGAGTGGAGGAGGCGACTGTGGAGGAGGCGGAAGAGGAAGGACTGCCGTCTGGTGGCGCGATAGGCCGCCGGCCGCCGGCCCCCTATTCCTCTTCTCCTCTCCCGCCTCCTCTTCGCCGCCGCCCTCACTCACCACCACGTTGAGAGTCTCCCGCAATCGCCGTCTTACCTGGCGCGCAACCCAGCCATGGATGCGAGCCCTCGGCAAGAAAAGAGCAGAGCCACGGACAATGGCGGTGCCAACAAGGGCCCGCGGTTCTGGCTCGTCTTTGCCGCCATCGCTCTAACCACCTTTCTCGCCGCCCTCGACACCTCCATCCTCTCCACGGCGTTGCCGACCATTGCAGCCGCCCTCGGCTCCGAAGAGCTCTACCTGTGGATCACAAACGCCTACCTGCTCGCCTCGACGGCCACAATCCCCATCTTCGCCCAGGCCGCCAACATCTACGGCCGCCGAAGCCTGACGCTGCTCGCCGTCTGCCTCTTCGCCCTCGGCAGCGGTCTCTGTGGCGGCGCCTCCTCTACAGCCATGATGATTGCCGGCCGCGCCGTCCAGGGCATCGGTGGCGGCGGTATCCTTACCATGTCCGAGATTGTCATCTGCGACTTGGTCTCGATCCGTGAGCGCGGCCTGTACGCCGGAGTTATCGGAGGCATTTGGGCAATTGCAGCCGTCGTCGCCCCCATTCTCGGCGGTGCCTTTGCCCAGGGCTCCTCGTGGCGCTGGATCTTCTACCTTAACCTCCCCATCTCCGGCCTCGCCCTCGCCCTCCTTGCCCTCTTCCTCGAGCTGCACCGCCCCCCGGCCGGCCCCCTCCGTGACCAGCTGGCCCGCATCGACTGGGGCGGCAGCGCCATTCTCATCGCCTCTGTTGCCTCCGTCGTTCTCGCCCTCGGCTGGGGCGGCACTCGCTATCCCTGGTCCTCGTGGCGCGTTGCCCTGCCTCTTGTCCTTGGTCTTGCCGGCCACGTCGCCTTCTTCGCCTACCAAGCTGCCCCCTGGCTGCGCGAGCCGACGATGCCGCTGCGCATCTTTGGCAACCGTACCTCGGCCCTCTGCCTTGTCATCAGCTTCCTCCACAGCATGCTCCTTTTCTGGGCCTGCTACTTCCTGCCCGTCTACTTCCAGGCCGTCCGCGAGGCCAGCCCGATGCGGTCCGCTGTCATGCTCTTCCCCATTGCGACGACGAGCGCCCCCGCCGGCGTGCTTGCCGGTGTTTTCATCACCAAGACGGGCCGCTACCGCGTCTGGCAGCTGCTCGGCCTCGGCCTCATGTCTCTTGGCTGCGGAATGTGCAACCTCCTCAACGCCACCTCGCCGACGGGCCAATGGGTCGGCTTCCAGCTCCTGCTTGGATTCGGCTTCGGCTTCGTCTTCACCAGCACCCTCCCCCCCATCCTGGCCAGTCTCGCCGAGTCGGATGTTGCGACGGCCACCGGCGCTTGGACTTTCCTTCGTAATTTTGGATCCGTATGGGGGCTTGCCATTCCTGGCGCCATCTTCAACACCTACTCAAGCAATGCGGCGTCGCGCGTCTCCAACCCGGTCGTGCGGGAAATGCTCGTCGACGGCGGCGCGTACGAGCGGGCGACGAAGCAGTTCATGCTTACCCTCGACGGCAGCCCGGGCCTCAAGTCCGAGGTGGCGCAGCTGTACGTGGATGGGTTGCGGGTCATGTGGCAGGCGTCGATAGCCTTTGCTCTCTTGGCCTTTGCGTGCGCTCTCTTTGTCCCCACCGTCGAGCTCCGCGACGAGCTCAACACCGAGTTTGGCTTGAAGGAGGGCGCCGGGTCGGGCGTTTTGAGCAACGACACGTCGGACAAGGAGTCTCCATGACGAGACTGCTGGTCTGCCCCGGCGTTGGGATACGGCCAGGGCCCTTCGGCGACAGAGAGAAGAGTGCTGGTTTATTTCGCGGGCTCCTTTATCCACACATCAATGATTGGCTTGGCGTGCAGCTGATGTGGTGCGACCGAGTGAGCAGGGTTACACTGACTTCGACCCCTTGCCATTCATTCCACTTCTTATAGCGGACGTCACCTGAAGCTCGTTGAAGCTCGTTTTGGATTTTATATGCGGTTACTCTCTAGGCACTTGATGAGGTATCTACGGCGTGAAGAGAAACATGAATTGCAAGCGATAACGGCTTGTTTTTTTCTCGACTTACTTTACTTGTACACGGCGCAAGACTTCCTTTACATCACCGTGCAAGGGTACAGGAAGACAGTTGATCGCGTAGGGATGGTGCTTCAAGCGGAGGACACGACCAAGTCGCTGCGTGCTTGACACAGCCGCGGCTCTATGTCTTTTTACTGGCATTGCTAGGCCTACTTTACCGCCTGAGTGGAACTGATAGAATATTAAATGGATTCACTTGGAAGATGAGTCCACGCATACAGCATCACGCTAGACAGTTGGCTGGAAGGAAATAAATCCAAGGACGTACTCAATTCATTATCTCAGTCTCGGCGAAGAGATTTCAGACTGAATTGCAAATTACGTCCTACGCCCAAGAAGAAGACTTGACCTTGCGTGTTAATTTGAGCAATGATTTCATCTAAAAGCCATCCGCCTTGCTAGATGCCTTCATCCCGATCTCGAGTCCCTAGTCCAACGCCAATCTGCGTGATACAAGAAATAAATACCCAGACGCCCATGCAACAATTCCAATGAATACATATACAGAGCATCACGTCATGAAAAACTCAACACCGAACAACACTCACCTACTCCTTCAACAGACACGGAACAATGCCACCACCCCCCTTCTTCCCGTCCAGCATCTTCCGGATCAGCAGCGACGCCGTCCCGTCGAGCCCGGCCCCCTCAGCCCGAGACAGCCACTCGTCCACGCTCACCATCTCCAGTGGCGCTCCCAGCTCTGCCTCGAGATGCGCCGCCAGCCCGTGCACCGGGATCTTCTCATCCGCGCAGTGGTGGCGGTAGACGATCCGCCCCGTCGCTCCCGGCTCGTGCAGTGAGCCAGCAATGCCCTCGGCCACGGCCTCGACCGGCACGAAGTCGAAAGAGCCTCGCCAGGACAGCCCCATGTCGGGCAACGCGTGGACCTGGCCCGAGTATTTGATCAAGTTGCCCATCAGGTCTGTCGATGGCACGTTGCCCCCCGTGATGTTGGATGGCCTATGTATCCAGATCGGAATGCCCAAGTGGCGAGCGCACTCCTCGAGGTACACCTCTGAGGCCCATTTGGACGCCGCATAGCCCTGGGAGCCATCTGTCGGCGGATGAGACCCGGACACAGAAATCTCGGGCAGACCATCCAGGCCTGTCAGGTTGACGATGCCTCCTGACGACACAAAATGAAAGGGGACTCGGCGTGGAGCCGCTAACATCGCCAGCTCCTGTGTTGAGCCGACATTGGGCTTTCGGAGGGAGTGATAAGACTTGAGGAACGACACATCGGCGCCATTGTGAATAATCCTATGCGCCTTTTGGGACAGCGCGTCGTAGTCTTTCCGAGAAAGCCCAAGCTGAGGCTGGGAAAGGTCTCCTTCGTAACAGGTGACTCGAGCAGACAGGAGGAGCGGATGTTGCTCAAGAGCTCTGGCGGAGTTTCTCAGAGCTATACAATGAATACGGGATACCGCCTTATCGTCGAGGAGCATCTGAAGAATGGCAGACCCGAGGAATCCAGTGGCGCCAGTAAGGACGACCTCGAGCACCTCGGTGATCTCAAAGGCTGACCTGGCTTCACCGCCCTTCGATGTCACTTCCGGGCAACTGGTAGCAGCTTCCACTCGTGTCTCCACGGCCCAGTCGATCTGGTTCCGCTGTTCTGGTGATTCTGACGAGCTGTCGATCCTGGCCGCCATGCCCGCCAGAGTGCTCCACTGGAACAAATCAAAGACCGTGATCGGAGCACCAAACGCTCGAGCAACGCTCTCCCGCAGGACGACGATGCGCAAAGAGTTGCCACCGGCTTCAAAGAAGTCGGTCTCCGATCCAATGGGGACTACCGAGGGCAAGACATTTAGCCACAGCTCCCTCAGCTTCTCCTGCGTAGCCGTAAGGGACTCGTCTTCAACGGTGTCTGGGTCATGGGGTACAGGGAGGACATCGAGAGCGTGCCGATCCAGCTTGCCAGATGAGTTGATCGGCAGCCCATCGACCGGCACGATCCTGGACGGCATCATATACTGAGGAAGCGACAGGTCGCGCAGAAGTTGCTTGAGGAAGCGAGCCGTTCCTTCTTGCGGGCAGCCGGGTCCTGACAGAGCGGCAAAGGCGACCAAGAAAGCGCCGTCTTCGGATCCGTCGGCGCTGTGGCGCAGCGAGACGGCGGCCTCGGAAATCATGCCGTTGGAGCTCTTGACGATGTTGCTGGCGATGTCATCCAGTTCAATCCGGAACCCCCGGAGCTTGACCTGAGTGTCACCGGCAATGCGGCCAAGGAAGACGATGCGGCCGTCTGGCAGAAGCTTGGCCTTGTCTCCAGTCCGATACATTCGAGACCAGCCTCGAGCCACATCCTCGGGCTGTGCAAAGGGGTCCGCGATAAATTTTAACTCGGTGAGCGCTCTGTGTCGCAAATAGCCAGCAGCCACGCCTGCGCCGCCAACAAACAGCTCCCCGGCAAAGCCGACACGGACGGGCTGCAGCTGCTCGTTCAGGATATAGCACGAATAGTTGGGGAGCGTGTGGCCAATTGTCGGATCCCGTGTGTCTTTCGGGGCTGTCGCAATCAGCTCGTCCGGTCCGCTGCTGCTGTTGATGGTGATCTCGGTAGGCCCGTAGCCATTGTACAACCCCAGACCAGCCAAGTCGAGCCGCCTAAACTCGGAGACGACATGGGCACGGAAGGGCTCTCCAGAGAGAAGCGAGAATCTCCAGTCGACACACTTCGACAAGTCGTCGTGGCCGTGACGAATGAGTGCGAGGGCCTGCGTTGGGGTCATTATGGTGTGCGTGACTCGGCCAGAAAGCATCAACCAGGCCAGCTGCTCCGGGTCCCTGCGGGTTGCGCTGGAGGCGACCAGTAGCGTCCCTCCCGTCATCATCGATAACGCCATCTGGCTGAGCGATAGATCGAAGCCCAAAGGGGCCTGCTGGAGCACCACCCCACGTTGGATGCCGTAGAAATGGACCACGGCGTCACTATGGTGCACCAGGCTCCGGTTGGTAACTTGCACTCCCTTGGGAACACCGGTGGTGCCGCTGGTATAGAAGATGAACGCCGTTTCTGAACTTTGGGCCACATCCTCAACGTAAGTCGAAGGGCCGGAAGTGGGCTTGATGTTATCCACGTTCAAAAGCCGTGCGCTTGTCTGAAGCTGGGGTATCACACTGCTCGTAGCCTCGTCAAAGAGGATCATGTCCGGCTCGCAGTCGTCGACTATAAGTTGAAGACGTCTGGTCGGATTTTGCATATCCAGGGGCACATACGCTCCCCCAACCTTGACAGTGGCCAGCAAACAACATATAATGCGAACGCTTGGCTCGCAGTAAACACAAACCTTGGCCCCCGGTCTCAGCCCGGCCTGCTTGAGTGTCGCAGCAACGTCATTCACCCTGGACTTCAACTCGGTGTAAGAAAGATTGACACCGCTGTCATCTTTGACGGCCATTGCTCCCGGCTGCTTGGATGCCCAGTGGTCAAAATAATGGGAGATTGCGCCAAACTTCGGAGACGGTATCCTCATGCCCCTTCCGAGTTGCAGCGCCATCGCCCTCTCCTCGGCGGTGGGTGCAACGCTGGCGGTCACCTTTTGAGAGGGTCTCTCGGCCAGTAGGCTGAGTGTGCGAATGTAGGTCTCCAAAACGAGCCCTAGCTCATGTTCAGTGTACAAATAGCGTTGTGTCTTGACGCTGATCGAGGTCGAGCCGTCCTGGTAGCTTTCAATGTCGAATACCAGGTCGTAGGGATTGTCTGCATCCTTGAAGCCGACAAGTTCTGCTTGGCAATCTCCAAGGGTAGCGTTTTTCGTGGAGCCCATCTTCACGTTGAGGATAGCCTGGAACAAAGGGCTATGGGTCGTAGATCGAGGCACCTTGAGCTCGTCAAGAAGACCATCAAAAGGCATGCGATGCGCTAATGCCTCGTTGGCCTTGACCTTGGCCTCGCCAACCATGTCGCCAAGAGTCTTGGATGCGTTTAGCTGGAAGCGCAGAGGCAACAGGTTGACAAAAAAGCCAATGGTTTCCGTGTACCCAGCCTCTGTCTTGTTCGCATCTACGACGCCAATACAGACGTCTGTGGCCGAGGTCAAGTTGAACAGAACTGCTTGCAAAGCGCCCAGGTACACGTGAAACGGTGTCGCACCCATTTTCCGAGCTGCAGACTTGATATCGTCGGAAACAGCCGAAGGCAGAGTCCGCTCCAAGGCCCTGGTCTTGTAATCTGTCAAGGGCACACGCGCCTTGCACTCTGCAAACTCGAGCAACGGCAGGATGGGCGGCATGGTGTCGAACTGCGTCTTCCAATAGCGGAGCGTCTTGACTGAGATCTTTGCGTCTCTCTCCTCCTCGGCATAGTCCAGATAGCTCCTCGGCGTACCGGAAAGCTCCGTTCCGGAATACGCAATGGCCAAATCCCGCATGAGAATCTGAGCACTGAAGCCATCAAAAGCAATATGATGGAACCCGAGCACCAAGGTGTGATGGTCATTGCCGGGGTTGCTGCCGACAATGGCCTTGATTATAGGTCCAGTTTCGAGGTCGTAATGCGCCTTTTGAATTTGCTCAAACTCCTCTTGGGCAGATGAAGTGGTATACTGTTTCTTTTGCAGGCTGAACTGTCCATGTGAGCAGACGCCCTGGGTCGGCAGTCCTGTGTCTTGGTCGGTGTAGAAGCAAGTTCGCAGAGTTTCGTGGCGTCGAATGATGGCGTGAAATGCCTTCTCCAGGTCAGTCAGCCGGAGAGGACCTGAGATGCGGTAAAGTAGAGTGACGTTGTAGGTGGAGGGGTCTTGGAGGAGCTGGTGTAGAAACCAGATCCGCTCCTGGGCAGATGACAGCCGGCTACTCCGCTCAATCCTTGGCCGCTTGCCTATAAGGGATGGTATTTTCTCGTCGTCTTCCACGCTGGTGCACCCAGAAGTATCATCGACACTCTCCAGCAGAGACGATCCTATCTGTGAGGGCTCACTCGTGGCTTCATCAGTAACCGAACCGTCGCTGCTCTCCATAATAATTTCCCGTTCAGCTGGAGTCAACTGCAAGTAGTTAGCAGGGAAAACACAATATTCAAAGGCATTGTCACGAACATGAACCTTAACAGGAGCCTCTACTGCATCACCACCCCTTGCTTGCAGTGCTTTGGAAAGGCGAGACGCGGCCTCGCGGCACAGTTCCGCCACGGAAGCCGTGTTGAGGATATTCAAGACAGGGATGTCCACATCGAGCTCCTTCAAGAACCAAGATCGTATCTCGGCGGCTATCAGTGAGTCGACTCCTAGATTCATTAGTGGCTGCGAAGTTCGAACGGAGCCGCATTCAGCCTGAAGCATGCGTTCTAGCTTTGCGCAGAATTCTTCCTGAACCACGACGAGAACCTCTTCCGAACCATTCGCCTCGGCTAAACGCTGCGACAGTGACGTTTTCGAGCCAGTAGCTGACTCTTTGCGCTCTTCCTCAAGGGTGTGGTGGCTAAATCTTGGATTCTCGAACCAAAAGTATCTCTGCCCATCGGTTTGTAAGCTGCAGCGGTTGAGGCCTGTGATAAGCTCAGGGGAGTGTCGCGAAGTGGGCTGGCCGATGAGAATCGCCTGCGAAAACATATCGAGGAAGTCTCCTTCGGCGATCGGCATGTAGTTATACTGCCTCAGGGTTTCCTCGTGCGCGCCATTGGATGACACATAGCCGACGCCTAAAACCATTCCAATGTGCATCACACTAGCCGCCATTTTGCGCGTCCTTCGCTGCTGAGCGATAGCGCTCATGAAGAGGTTAGCGGCGGCATAGTTTGCCTGTCCCCGGTTGCCCACGATACTTGCCAGAGACGAGAACATGACGAAAAAGTCGAGTTGCTGGTCGTGAAAGAGCTCGTGCAAGTTCTGCGTGGCCTGAACCTTGGGGCCAAAGACTGTAGCATAGTCCACAATTGTTGACTCGCCGAACGAGCGGTCGGAGAGAACCATGGCAGCATGGGCAACGCCGCAGATGGGTGGCATTTCACGCGTTACCTGATCATAAACGGCCGCGAGGGCCTCCTTGTCGCTCACGTCGACCTGAAACAGCTTGACGTGGGCGCCTTGAAGCCGTAGCTCCTCGAGCCATGACGCATCGACTCTGCTAGTGTTTCTTGTCGTGAGCGCCAAATATCTGACGCCAGCCGAGACCATCCACCGACACAGGGCTTGACCAAGGCCTCCGGTGCAGCCAACCAGGAGATAAGCTTTGTCCGGGCGAAAGAGAAGACTGCCATTCAGGGGCTGGAGAGTGGCAGTCATTTCGGCTTCAGTGGCAAAGTCGACAACCGATGAGTAGTGCGTATCGAGGAGTGGCTTGCCTGAGAGCTCCGAGGTTCTGATGACCGGGCTCTCTGTGGCCAGCTGAAAGCCAGGGGAAGAATCTATGACGTTCCTGAGACGACGGACGAACACGGGACCCGGTGTTCCAGTTGAGTGCAGTTCGTCGCTATCACCTCCAAACAGATCCCTCACTGCGGCGATCAGGCAGCGAGCTGGCATGCAAAGTCGCAACAGTGTCGACTCTCTGGTCTTGCTATTGTTTGAGAAATCGACCAACAGCGCCGCGTCGTGGGGAATAAGATGCTTGACATCACGCTCGGGAGCCTGAGGGTGCATAAAGATTGTTTCGCGTCCCCCTTTGCTGGACCTGGTTGAGCACGCGAACGCGGTGGAGACGCACTTTATGCCCAGTTCAGCGGCCTTACATCGAATAGCTTTCCCAAGAAACTCATCTTCTTGGTGAAGCACAATTGTCGATGCGATGCCTTCGAGAAGCTGGGAGGCGACCATAGTGAGAGCAATCTCGCTCAAACGAGTAAAGCGGGCTGCTCCCAAGCAGTCGAACACGCAATTTCGAGGCGCAAAGACGCGGGAGCTGCAGGCCGTGGAGGCCACAAGGAGCTGGGTTGCCGGCTCATCCTCTTTATGCCCAATACACATATAGATGAGAGCGCCATCATCCGCACGAAAGGGGTAGAGAGACGCATGTGTCACTCGGATCCAGACACCACTTGACGCGGTGGCTTCTGATGACGGTGATGACGGCAATGACGGGGGAGGCTGGGCTATGACCAACCCGTTTCTCGCACGACGGACCTCGACAGCCTCCGTGGCCGGGGAGCTGCGGGTCTGGATCGCCATCTTCCCGGCGTTGAGCTGATCGTTGAGCTGGGTATCTGGTAGAATTCGAGGAATGAACCAACTCCCCTGCTCCAAGACCAGCTCCGGCTCGAAGGACCATAATATATCGTCCATTGGGCCTTTGAGCGTTGTTCTGAAGATGAGTCTAGCCACGGCCTCGGATATGCGAGATATCATGAGCGGATTGCCAGGGCCAGACTCCTCAACGTCGATATGTTGTATCTGAACGTGGTTGTACTCTGCTGCAAGGCTGCGGCATAAGCCGATAGACATGTTTGCGTACGGCTCCTTTTCGCGACAGCCTCTCGAGACCCAGAGTACCTGTCGGGCTTCGTTCATGGTCCGCTTCAGAGCTGCCAGCTTCCCCGGAGTCAGGGTCTTGAGCACCGGCTCATCCAGATCCTCCAAAACAAGAACCGTTCTCATTGTGGGTAGCTCCGATGGCATTTTCTCAAATGCCCCCACAAAACTGATGAACGCGTTTGATGGCGAGCCATTGACCGCGAGCAGGGTATCTGAGATGCTTTTGGCGACGCGGTTGTTCTTGCCGCCAATGATGGTAACAGCACGTCCTGACAGCCAGTCAATGGGGCTTGATAGGGGTTGGCGGAGTACACGGATGTCGTCGTTAACTGCCTGGGTCAACATGACGGAAGTCATGTATCGGGTAGCGTCGACAAAATCGTTGACGGTATGGTCGACCCCCGAGAATCCGGTGGATAGCAGCAACGAATTCCACTCGGCCACGGTCACAGTTGGTCCATGGCGTCTACCATCATCGCCTCCAAGCCACCAGCCTGGCAGACCTGACATCATGAGCTTGACACGGACAATATCGCTTGTGACCTCGAGAAGGAGCAGTCGGCCACCAGGCTTCAGCAGGCGCCGAGCATTGCGCATCGTCTGCGTAAGTGACTTGGTGGCGTGGAGCACGTTGGAAGCAATGATGAAGTCGTATGATGCCTCAGTAAAGCCTTGTGCAGCAGGATCTTTCTCCACGTTGAGGGGCTTGAACAACATCTTGGCAGTCCAAGGCGCAAATGCCTCTGCCGCTGCTTCGAAGAAGCCGGTCGAGATATCCGTAAAGGTATAACTCTCGAACGCAGTGCCAAGGGTCTCGAGAATACCTTTCGTAGCGCCTCCGGTCCCAGCCCCAATCTCGAGAATTCTCATCCGCGGGTGCATGTGGGCAATCTGCTTCGCAATACGGGACAAGTAACCGTTTGCCCTCTGAAACCCAAGACCAAACTTATAGAACCGGTTGAGAACGTCGTCCTTTATCATGTGCTCTAGCATTGTGGTTTCCTTGCGCAAGACGGCGCCGAGGTTCTCGCCAACCGCCTGGATCAGCAGTAGATCGACTTGATCCGGGAATCTGGCTGCCTGCTCAAGAAGCGACGAGCGCTGGTCCATGGACCATTCCTTCCTGATGGTAGGGTGTTTCCCGGCTTCAATCATCGGAAAGAGGTGATCAATCCACTCGAAGATGCGCTGGAAATGCCATTCCATAGCTGGCACTTCTTTGCGATCGATCTTGCCGTGGAGCTCTCGAAGGTAAAAGTACGAAAGACGCTCGCACAAATCCACCAGCTCAACGTCTTCCGGGTCATCCTGCTGCTGCTTCATGTCTAAAGACGCGACGCCATTGTTAATGTCAAGTTCCCACGCGGTCCGTGTGTATAGCTCTTTGCAGTCCTGGGGACCTAGCCTACGCAGAGAGGTGCAGGCCAAGCCTTGAAGCTGCATCAGTGGCTGGCCACTGGCGGAGACAAACATTTCAATGTCAGCTGTCAGTTCACGGCCGCTGCAGTCGGTCAAGTAAGCGTCAATGGTCAGCGATTCCCCATCGGAGACATGATCCTCCATGTTGGCCAGACGCAGGCTCCGGAGAGACGTCGGGACAAAGGGAACCTGGAGGCTTCCATCGCCAGGCCAGCCGTAGGCAGCGAATAGGGACTGGAATGCCGAGTCGAGGAGCGCAGGATGGATCATGGCAGAGAAGCGAGGGGCCATTTGCGCTGCCTTTGCCGTTGCCAGCCCGGACTTTCTCGACACGCTGTCGAGATGCTTGAAGTCGCCCGTGTAATCGAGCCCAATGCCGGAGAGGGAGGTGTAGAAGCGATCCATGTCTACAGTGCTTAGGGAGCCTACCGGCAAGTTTCTTGGTGGCAACGCAGTGTCGTTGGCGCTGGCTGGGGGGCCGAACTTGACACGCAGACGGCCGTTCGCATTGCATTTCCAGCCGGTTTCGCGAACGGTCGCGGGTGAAGACGTGTAGCACGCCCACTCTGCGGTAGTCGACTCCGTCTGTTGCTCACGAAGCCTTAGGGCAAAGAGTACGTCGACGCCCGAGGAGTCGTAGTCGAGCTGGATAGCGCTAGAGATGGAGACATCGTACAGTTCAATGAAGTGGACCTTGCTGGTTTCATCCAGCGCTTTAGCCGCTTCCATCGCCATGACAAGATAGCCCGCGGCAGGATAAATAACCTGTCCTTCAACCTTGTGGCCCTCCAGCCAGGGCAAGTCAGGGAGTCGCAGAGTATTGAGCCATCGATATTCCTGGGCCGCGTCCTCTGCTGACCGGACGCCCAGCAGCGGATGCGGTGGCTTGCTCCGCAGCCGGAGGGCCGCAGACCTTGTCGATTCTTTCCAAAACGACTGCGAGTGGTCCCAAGGGTAAGAGGGGAGGTTGGTTGCGGGAAGACGACAGAAGGTGGCGGAGGAAATGGTTTCGGCATACGAGGCGAAGTCGACGGCGTCGCTGCCGAGGCGAGACCACAGGAAGCCCAAGGTATCGCTCATGGCCTCGACATCGTCGACTCCCCGTGCCAACGTGCCTTGATAGGGGATCTGAGCGCCAGTCACCTGCTTGAACGTCTGTCCAAAAGGCCCCTTGAGGGCTGGGTGAGGGCCGACCTCGAGGGCGACGTGACAGGGCAGAGCGGCCGAGCTAACCACGAGTTCGGTCGCGCGCGTGAAGAAGACAGGCTTGACCATGTTCTCCTTCCAGTACTCACCCTCAAGGAGGCGAGAGTGCTGGGCAGCGTCCATGCGTTGGCCAGTGACGCTGGAGAACCACTCGCAGGATGGGTCCCCTGGCAAGCACTGGATCCGGCACGCCGCGAGAAGGTCTAGGTACGGGCCGCCGCATGGCTGCATATGACGCGAGTGGTAGGCCGTGTCGACCTTGAGGAGGCGGGCAAAGGTGCCCTTCTCCTGGAGTAGCGCCATGGCTTCGCCGACGGCGTCCTCGTCTCCCGACAGAGTGACGCTCCCCGGGGCGTTGGCGGCAGCAACATCAATTCGCCCGGCGAAATGGTCTCCGCAAAAGGCAACGGCCTCGTCGTAAGACATACCGGCAGCCATCATAGCACCCCGGTGGCCGCCGGGACCCCGGGCGAGTCCCGCGCAGACGCCACGGTAGTAGGCGATGCGGATGGCATCTTCGGCCGTGAGGAAGCCGGCGACATAGGCGGCGGCAATCTCCCCCGACGAATGGCCGATGACGCAGTCGAACCTGACGCCGGCTCGACGGAGCAACTCGACGAGCAAAAGCTGGACGGCCGTGCAGAGCGGCTGCGAGACGGCGGCTTCGCTGATGCGGGTGACGTCCTGGTCGGCCAGACATTGTTCCGACAACGTCCAGGAAGGCGGCTCGGGAAGGTTCGCCAAAGCCTCTTGCAAACTGTCCATAAAGCCTCTCGCAAAAGTCGTCCGCCGCAAAAGCTCGCGACCCATGGTCGGCCACTGGGCGCCTTGGCCCGTGAAGACGCCGAGAATCCTGCCGGGCTGCCCAGGTGGCCTCGCGTCCTCGCTGAAGGGCATGGGCACCGCCTCGTCGGCGGATGTCGTCGCCTTGTCCAGCTTCTCCCGCATGGCCTGAAGGGAGCTTCCGGAAAAGGCAACCCGGAGCGGGAGCTGCGATCGCCTCTTGGCGAGAGTGAAAAGCAGGCCGTTCACTTGTTCCTCATTATTCGTCGACCCAAGACTCTCGCAAAGCCCGGCTACCAATCTCTGGAGCGAGTGCTCCGAGTTGGCAGACACCACGAGCGGCGTGACTATGAGGCTGTCGCTACAGGACCGGGTTGGTTCAGCGGCTGTAGGATAGCCGGGAAAGCTCTCGACAATGGCGTGTGCGTTGGTTCCTCCGAAGCCGAACGAGTTGACGCTGGCGCGACGCGGCGTGTTTCGTGACAGTTCGGGCCATGGCGCGGCCTCGATGGGGACTCGCAGATGTGCAGAAAAGGGCTCGATGGCTGGGTTGAGCTTCTTGAATAACATGTTCGGAGGCACGACGCCTCGACGGACAGCCTCGACGGCCTTGATGAGACCCGCAAGGCCGGCACATCCCTCCAGATGGCCGATGGCCGTTTTGACGGATCCCACGAGCATGGTCCCCTCGGCGTTGCTTGTGCCATTGCCAAAGAAGGCGTCGTGGATGGCGCGTGCCTCGATCGGATCTCCCGCGGGAGTGCCTGTTCCGTGCGCTTCGAAGAACTGGGGTCTCCCTGCGTCCGTAGTCCAGTCCAGGCCGGCGTTTGCATATGTTTGCCTGATCAAAACCTTTTGTGACTCTGAGCTGGGCAGTGTGATGCCGCTCGTGCCTGCACAACTCATCTCATTAGCGAATGCCGCTCATCTTTTGCCCTGGCTTGTTCTCTTCCTAGAAGGAGATTTCAAGGGTGTTGCTGCTCGAGGCCTCACTCACGTCCGTCAGAGTTGACGCCGGTTTCACGAATGAGACCATGAATCCGGTCGCCGTCCTTCAGGGCCTGGGACAGTCTCTTCAGCACGACGGTGGCTGTTCCCTCTCCCCTCGCGTACCCGTCGGCCGAGGCATCCCACATCCGACTGCGGCCCGTCGGAGACAGCATATGCAGCTTGGACTCTGACACCATCATCTCCGGGCCAATGATCAAGTTGGCACCGGCCGCGCAGGCCACGTCGGAAACGCCCGAGCGGAGTGCTGTGACGGCCTCGTGAACGGCGACGAGACTCGACGAGCAGGCCGTATCAATGGTCATCGAGGGGCCCTTCCAGTCGAAAAAGTACGAGATGCGGTTCGAGAGGATGCTTCGAGCTGTGCCAGTGGCCATGTATTTAGGCAAGTGCTGCACGTCGCGCAGCAGCATCTCGTGGTAGTCGCCCGTCATGCTCCCAACGTAAACAGCTGTATTGGAACCCTTGAGGCTCTGATACGGGAGACCGGCGTCTTCGGTGGCCTCGTAGACGGTCTCGAGGAGCAGTCTCTGTTGGGGGTCCATGGCCTCTGCCTCGGGGGGGCTGGTTTGAAAGAAGGCCGCATCGAAGCGCCGTATGTCTTCGGAGAGTAAGTATGCCTTTCTGGCATTTGTGCATCCGGCCTTCTCACTATTCACGTCGTAAAAAGCGTCGATGTTGAAGCGCTCGACCGGAATGGTTTCCTGGACATCTCGTTTCTCGCAGAGGAGGTCCCAGAGCTTGGAGGGGCTGTTGGCACCACCGGGGAAGCGACACGCAATCCCAACGATTGCGATGGGCTCCCTGGCTTGTACTGGCGTGTTCATTGTGTTGCTGTGAGAATCCCTTTCCAGGTTGAGCTGGGGTCGCCGTCGCTACGGCGGCTGAAGCGGGAGTTTGGTGGTGTGATGAAGTGCAACGAAGTCGATGGCAGACATGGCCTCTCACAAGTTCATTGCCGGGCTGGAATGTCTCCGTATTTGAAGAAGAAGACGGCAAAGGCAACAACGCGATACGGTGACCCGAATACTTGCGGCCCATTATCCAGGGTCCACCGAACGCAAGGTCGCCGAAGTTGCGTCCGGACCCGAGCCGTGAAAATCACCGACCGAGGGTAACGAGTGTAGACTGTTGGCCATAGGTGGTAATGCCAATGAGTGTCTAATAAAGCAGCTGTATTATGTTAATACTGGGGCCCTCTGTATGACCGTTTGCATATCTGTAAAGCCTCTTCCTTTCCTGTACGCAGAGCACAGTTTGCAAGCAAAACGCCGTCTACACCATGCATCAAGTCTTCCGTTCAGCCTTGTTCAACTTCGAGTTCCTTCGCGTCCTAGGCGCCAGTCCGTATCATGGCGCCGACATCTGCGAGTGCCTCGAAGCCGCGGCCCGGATCAAGGATGGCGATCCAGAGAGCTGGTATCACGCCTGGCACGACATGGGAGCCAAGGCCATGTGCGTGGCCAAGGAAGCCCAGGCCTGTAATGACCGCGTCGCGGCGCGTTGGGCATACTTGCGGGCTTGTTCCTATTTTCGAGCCAGCGAGTTCTTCCTTCACTGCAACCCTGACGATGAACGCATCCTAGGTGCGGCTCAGGAGAGCGTCGATGCCTTCGACAAGGGCTGGGTTCTGCTGGACGCGACTGTGCACAAGGTCAACATTCCCTTCGATCAAGGGCTGTCACTGCCCGGCAGGCTCTATCTGCCTGCTTCAGATCAGAGAATCTCGGCCGAGAAGATCCCCATCATTCTCCAGACTGGAGGATTCGACTCGACGCAAGAGGAACTCTTCTTCTATGGTGCAGCAGGCGCTCTTCCGCGGGGCTATGCCGTCCTAAGCTTCGACGGGCCGGGCCAGGGGTTGCCCCTTCGAAAAGACAAGCTACGGCTCCGCCCAGACTGGGAATCCGTCACGAGCAAGGTCATTGACTTTCTCGTTGATCGGTTGGCACCGGAGCACGACCTCGACACCAACAGACTCGCCATCTACGGGGCATCGTTGGGGGGCTACCTGGCGTTACGGGCCGCAGCAGACCCGCGCGTCAAGGCGTGTGTGTCGTGCGATGGGCCCTATGATCTCTTCGACGTCACGCGCAGTCGCATGCCGTCCTGGTTCATCAACGGCTGGCTCAGTGGCTGGCTCAGCGACGGCTTCTTCAACTGGGTCGTCGACCGGCTTGCCGCTACCAATTTTCAAATGCGATGGGAATTTGGCCACAGCAAATGGGTGTTCGGTGCCGCGAAGCCGGCCGATGTCATGCGGGCCATGCAGCGCTTCACCCTCAAGGACGGCGAGACAGACCTTTTGGCTAGACAGCGCTGCCCGACGCTCGTCACGGGGCCTGCCGACTCGTTCTATTTTACGCCGGCTCAAAATGCAAACCGCATCTTTGCCGGGTTGACGCAGCTCGGTCCGACCGAAAAGCGACTGTGGGTGGGTGAAGGAAGCGCCAATGGAGGGCTTCAAGCAAAGATTGGGGCCCTTTCAATTCTACATCACAAGGTGTTTTCATGGTTGGATGAGCAGTTTGGGATCCAGAGGCAAATGTTAATGTAAAGGGATGACGAACGGTTGGATTATGACTTTGTCCTTGAACTACAAGGCCGTTCGATTTTTAGTTGTCTATCGGTCTATCCCCCTTCCTTTTTTTTTGTATCATTTTTGCTGAAGAGATCCCTAATTCGATATCCATTCTGAAAAGCGCTTGGCATCATTGTCCGAGAGCCGAGCAATATCGACTCGGCCAGCATGTAGTGACCAGGCTCGGTCGTGATGAGAACTCGCCGAACATCATGCCACCCCGGACTTCGGTCGTCAGCTATAAACACCTCCGAGCTATTCTTATGCGGCGTTGGCTGCGTTGATGTGAATCTGCCGCCAAGGTCATTCATTCATCTGCTGCTCTTCAATTAGGTCCCCTCACGGCCATGGCTCCATTTGGTACAATCTTCTCTTTCATGCCAAATGGAAGAGTTTTCAAAGTATGTCTTGATCCAGGTCTATTAAGAGCAGCTATTGCCGAATTTTGCATTCGCTTGACCAAGTAGGGGGCAAGACGAAGACGCACTTACACATGAGACGTAGATTCTGGCAGCGGCAAAGCTCAATGGCCTTGATATTGAAATCGCAGAGTACCAGCATATGGTCACGAACCGGACACCCGAGTTCCTTTCCAAGTTCCCAGGGGGCAAAGTCCCCGCCTTCGAGGGTTCCGATGGCTTCTGCCTAGCCGAGTCGGACGCCATTGCACAATACATAGCACAATCCGGGCCCCGCAAAGATCAGCTCCTTGGACGAGACGCCGCGACATGCGCGCAGATCCGGCAATGGATATCCTTCACCGACGGCGAGGTGACGCCCTTTGTCCTGGATCTCGTCATCTGGAGAGTGGGCTATGGGCCGTACGACGACGAGACGGAAGCCAAGGCTCTCGCTCGCCTCGAGTACGCCCTTTCCGTTCTTGACAAGCATTTGAATGGTCGAAGCTGGCTGGTGGGCGAGGAGCTCAGCCTCGCTGACCTGACGTTGGCGTCTGCTCTTCTCTGGGCCTTTCTTCATCTTATCGACGGTGAGATGAGACAAAGGTTTCCCAGTGTTGTGGAGTGGTATCTAAGATCTATTACTTCCGAGGAAGTCAAAGACGTTTTCGGATCCCCGGATTTGATCTCAGTCAGGCGTGTTAATACAGAGGAATGAAATTAGGATATAAGTCATTATACCTTGTACTGTTGTAGCATCATTGAACAACATATCCATTTTATTCTTATGTTCCAAGCTTTAAGTTTTTCTCTTCATCACCTCCTAGTTTCTAGGTCTAGTGTATATAATTCGGAACCCGCCTTGACCCAAGAAATGAGTTATACACCATGAAGAGGAGAGATTGAACAAAGTAAAAAAACCCTCGTGTAAACGCCAAGAAGCAAGATGCGCTGCTTGGCAACGTTTCACAAGCTGCTTCGAAAGGCCGCCACCACTCGGTCCCTGTTGCAATAGCCTGAACACGACACCATTCGACTATATAGCAACATAGATGACATGGAACCATTCACCGAACATTTTCTATTTATGAATGTTATACACCGTGTCAGAACCAGCGCTGAACCTTTGTAGCCAGTCCCCACAGAACACGACAAGAGCCAATCACTAGGAAATTGAGCCCCGGAGAGGAGCGAAGCTGAAAGACAGTCTCTCAAAGTCCAAGATTACGTAGAGTCGCTTCAGAAATGCCCCGCCCAGAAGTAGAACTCGGGCGTCTCCGTTGTCGACCCGGCCATACTTCCACACGTTGATGCCAAGATAGCACACTGGCGGCTGAGTCGCGCCCGCGTTGAGCTTGACCACATAGTCGTCTGGAGAAATGGTGTAGTTTGCGCGGCCCTCGAGCTCGTAGACTAGCTCTGGAAAGCTCCCTGTGCCGTTGCAGGGCACGGTGAACCAGTCTTGGTGAGCCATGTTGAATCCGGAGGAGCCCTGGGCTAAAATAGCTTGCACGATGGTACTCGGGGCTAGAGTGCCGTTGACCTGGTCGACCAACCAGCGGTACGCCTTGAGCGACAGAGGGGCAGCAAGACCTTCGGAACCTTCGTCGAGCAGACCAAGGGTCCGGGCCGCAGGGTCTGAATCGTTCGGGGCAATGGCGAAGTTGGGGGACTCTTGTTGACCTGTGGAGCGAATCCAGTTGCCAGTCAATTCGGTGCTCCAGTAGTTGTTCCTCGGCGGTGTCAGGGGGTAAAAGGCTTCGCCGAGCCAGGACGGGTTCCGGATTGCAAATTCATGCACCTCGCTTTGGTTATAGAGCGAGGTGTCGGTGCCGCCGAGGACGACCTTGGCCTCACCACCGAGGCACGGCTTCGACGAGGACAGCGTAGCGCACGAGTGCCAGCCAAACCGGGGGCCAAGTTTGCCGGCATTCCAGGACTGGTAAGAGGCCGGGTGGAGTTCTTCTCCGAGGCCGGGCGTCACCGGCGCCATCCCGTAGATGCCGGCAAAGGGCACGGTGGGGATGGCGGCGGCGGGATAGGGAAAGTCGGAGAGCTGGAGAATGGTGCCGGGGTTGCATATGTCTCCAACACAGACTTCGTCGGTGGCATAGTCGACGGTGAAATTGGGCGCAAACGCCGTTATAGGCCAGCAGCTCTGCGGCAGAGACGAATTCTCAAACGTCGGCGACTGTCGCTCGTTGAACCAGGCCTGTCCAGAGGTGCCGACGCACAACGAAGGGTCGAAGCGGTTCAAGCATCTGCCAGACCGTACGAAGAGAGAGGCCCAGGTCCAGTCGCTCAGCACAGTGAGCAACTGCCCCCCGACGGTGACATTGAAGAGATATCCAAAGCCGTTCCAGACAGCCGGGACGGCTGCACAGTTGCTGCAGTCCAAGGACGTGGAGGGGGCCGAAGCCGCAGCATCGACGACAGCGCCGCGACCGGTCTGGTTCAACGCCAACAGTCCACTCAGGACATGATGCGGACGCATGGTGAATCCGTGGAAGGGGGCTCGAGGGTATTCTTGGGACAAGACACTAAAGTCTCACGTCCATGAGCCGGGATGATGTGCAGCGCTGCGTTTATCTGTCGTTGCCCTGTTGGCAAGGTAAATCTCTGAGCGTGTGTCTTGTCAAGGCCCTGACTGGCTGGGGCGAGCCGGTTCTCGGCGCGAACATACCTCCGACCCCATCCGCAGTGAAGTTGAGGCTTCGGCGGTTTTCGAGACAAGCAATAGTTATGGGATGGTCCGAACTCGCCGAATACTGGGCTGTCTGGGTCTTGGCTACACCCCATGTCCTTTGGGGCTGAGAATAATAAAGAAGCATCGAAGGATTAGTTGGCCGATAGAAGTGAACGGAAGATGACTAGATAACAAAGCATTGTAGAAATTCATAAAAGCGTGCACTACAAGAGTTGTAGAGGGTACTCTGCAAATTGCAAGGTCCTGTTACGTCAAATAGTGGGTGCATCTGGATTGTAGAGCACACCATCGAGGTTCGCATATGGCACATATAACTCTTGTCTCGTAGATCCTTTAACTAGAGGTATAGTTGGATGCGAGGTTAACGAGTTGTAAGTAAATATTTTCCTATACTCGAAATCGTTAATCGTGGTGGCTGATGCGAGCGATGTCTCGCAGTAGACGAGCTAACATTAGGTACGGTTTTTTTAGGGTTACTGCTTAGTTGCCAAGAGTAATTTCGAGACGGTTAGTATGCCCGCTCTCTATCGAGGACGTCAGTATTTTCAAATGTTAATGCCACGAAGAATGTTTCTCAACTCGACCAAAGCTGTCAACATTGTAGGTCTCAATCTGCTTGGAAACTCTAATTCTTGAAGCTGGACCATAAATTTGCAGGCTTCTATCAAAGTCGTGGTGGAATGGGGGTGGCCATGGCCGAACTTGGCTTTGATCATATCTGCATGTAGACGCTTTCCTAAACCGCATCGGGACAAGGAGATTTGCCAGAACGAGAATGCAGAGCGAATGCCTGTCACCCGTTCCAATCTATAAAACGTCATATTTCAGTTTGTTAGATGTTGGTCGCTGACTTAATATCCTTATAAAATATGTCAGGATGCTGGCAACATTGCAAGTGATGTGAGGCACACGCAAGCATAGCAGAATTACAAGGAATTATACAACAACTCGGCAAGAAACCTCGGTCATCTTGGCTTTCCCGACTCGGGATATTTTCTGCTTACCGCCCAGTGTCTAATTTTGAAAGGAAAAGATCCAAGTTGGGTAAAGAGCCGGTTAAACAAGTGCCCGTGCGAAATGATATGCCAGGGCTTACCGAAACATTTATTTAGGACCTATGGTAGGAACAGACTCGTCGTGGCGTCCAGGTACTGGCGATACGCATTGGACAACATGACTTGGCATAGTATCCTGAAATTCAGAGGGCGACATTGCATCTTTGGGCTACCAAGTCTATAGGATTGCATCAGCCGAAAAGAACTACGGATCACTCTATGCGAGAGAGGAGAAGATATAGTATTCACTCTAATTCAAAACGCCGCTCAGGCACCGCCGAGGTTGGAGTAGTGGCTGCTTAGGAACATGGACGACAAAGAAAACTTGTAAATGGTGTTTTTGGCTGCAGCGCACTCTCCAGTCGGCCCAAACGACCAGAGACTCGTAAAGGCAAGTCAGGCGTTGGGCAACGAAACGTGCAAGGGCTCTGACCTGACGGTGCCGTGCCAAACAATGTTGTTCCAGGCTCACGGCACTGCACCTCGGCAGACAGGGAACATGGGGGCGTGTGAAAGACGTGAGTGCAGCGGTATCAAGTCACAGCACGTTGGCCCTGCGATGTAAGCGATTCGCCCGGCTCTTCAACATCCGACGGTTCAAGAACTCGGATCGGCGGCCCTTGGGGGTGAGCTTCTGTTCCACGGCAGCAGCACCTCATCCATGTTTTGCATGAGGCTTTGCATGAGGCCGTCGCACTGAGCTGCAGCCTGCTTCGGGCAACCCGCTGCAGCGGAAATGCGGGAATGCCGGCCAGGGGCCGCGCCAGGAAGATAACGTGGCAAGGATGTGATGCGGTGCAATGCGGTGCAAAGCGGTATTGACGTCGATGCCGACATGGACTGGAACCGACGGCAAATGCAAGACGGCAAGGCTATGCAGAGCTCAACTGTTGGGGACTACGCAGTCACCTTGCCATGTGGCTTCAGTCTCATGATTGACGACTGGAGGCACGACTCTGGTGGATAGATGCCGTAAAGGCAATTGCATACATCTCCACCTCGTCGCTTGATATTCAATTGCCGTTGCCGTTGTGGCTGTTGCTCCGTTCTGAGCCGTGGTTCCCGCCATCTGATGACAAACAACCAGACACTTGAACGCTTCAGTCCGGAAGATCCAAAACACCCCATGCTAGCATGTCAACGCCAGAGAAGAAGGGGAAGGTAAAGGGAGGAATGGGCTGATGCTGGGGCAGATATGGATACGGGTACACGAAAGATGGGCCGAACGGTTGGGGTCACGAGGACCCAGCGTCGATGAACGCCGATTTTGGGGTGATTTGCACCAATCCCTGTTGACTTGTTTCTCGTCCCTTTTATTTCGAGCCGGCCGTACGATGTAGACATGCTTAACCGGCCGGCCTCGTCCCTGCACCTCGGCGTTGAAGTCCGTTTGCAAAAGAGCAACGGCGCGAACCAGAGGCCCAATCGGCCCAGAAATCTTTACATACACACAATATACACTATACTGCAATTGCGTTTGTTCTATTCATTGGTACTTTGTATACGTTGAAAGTCCGCAGGACGAGGCTCCTCACCGTGCTCGTATATACGGTAATGCACACGACAGACCCCTGTTCCGGCTCGGGCAGGCTACCCGAACGAGCTCCTGTTGCCGCCTGCTCGTGTAGACATTTTCTTGGCATGCGTGCAGCGTGTCTTCATATACGGGCATCGTTTCCCAAAAGTCAATAAATGGTCAGCAATCCCTGGCATTGTGCCAAAACCGCCCACCGGATAATTCTGGGTCGTGTTGCGTTTCAGTCAAAAGGGGCATCTCTCGATATAGTGACGGAACTTATGTACTGTAACACGACGTCCGGCTTCAGATATCCGCGCAACTCCTTCTAAAAGGGGATTTTGCGCGGGGGGTTTGCACGCTCAATGCGTCATCCGGACAAGCGAGCTCGAGTTGCTATCAAGCTCTGGTAATGTGCATGGGTCAAGCATGACCAAGAATTTGCTTGCATGATAAGCAACACCAGAGAGCGGATATCAGAGATTATAGTGATTCTTGAATGCCTTCATACCATAGAACACGTTTAAGAGCTGGAATAGAGTGTTTGGCTTCAAGGCTCGTCAATGCCATTTACCCCTGTGCTGTAAGGGGCATCGGTCCTCATGTATTTCTATTTCATTCGAGTTCGAGTCTTGGTTCTCCCTTTTCTCCAAGGATTTGTAGTTTTCTTGCGCGTCAGTTTTCCTAAAGCCCGCGAATAATGACGGCCAAGAGTGTACAGAGTGAATATTTGATATATGTTCGTCATCATTCATCCGGCACAGCCAGTATTGATCATGGCCGAGACTGCCATCAACCACCACCGCCCTTTCACTCCATCGTGTAATACATGCCATGGCCGTGGTGGCTGCCGCTGTGACTGAGCAAGTCCAGCGTAACGCTGAGCACATTCTTGACATGGGCCTCGAGGCCAGCAACCTCGCTGTTGACGGCGCCGACAATCTCGGCAATATGTGACCTGCCGCCCGACGACAGCCCGCGCGTCGATGTCAGCGGCTGGTCAAGCACGGCGCGGGCCAGAGGCGGCATCCTCTTCTCAATCTCGCGCAGCGACTGCGAGAGCAGCTGCACCAGCACCGACGTCTGGATGGCCGGGGCGACGACCGTGGCCGGCATCAGCGAGCCAATCTGCACGCACGGCAGCAGCGCCAGCAGCGCCGCCTGGTCGCTTGAGCTGACCATGTCGTGCAGCCGTGTCGCGATGGCGTCGACGTTGTGCAGGATGCGCGCGTAGCACGCCGTCACCAGCAGCATCGTCGTCGTCCCGGAGCCGCTGCTCGCGCGCCTGCTGCGGTCCGGCGCCGGAGACGAGGATGATGACGACGAGGACGGAGGGGACGAAGATAGTCGGCCCGATGTCGAGGCAATGAGCGCCATGATGATGCTCAGCAGCATGTTGGAGGCTCTTGTGGTCAGGTCTATCGTCTTCTGGAGCCCGTCGACCTCTTCTACCATGACGACGGCGCAGGGACCCTCGAATAGACTCTGCTGCAACTCCAACAACTGCCGCTGCGGGTCGTCGTGGAATCCCGGCCGCGGCCCATCGTCCACCAACAGAGTCTCGGGCGGACACGGACCCATGGTGTAGAGGCAATAGTCGTCGGTTGTGGATGCAGGGGTGATGAGATAGTCAGGCTGTTCAGAGCACATGTCAAGCAGCATGGAGGCAGCCAGCGACCCGTCGTTGGGGTAGTCCGAGTCCAAGTCGGCCATCATGAAGGCCTCGTCGTTACCAGATGCAGGGGTGATGAGATAGTCTGACGACAGGGGCTCAGGCATGGCCGCAAAGATTGGCGAGGCGGACAAGGGCGTCATTGTTGCCGTGTTCAAAGGCCGGTCTGCAATGCCCAAGTCAGCAAAAGTTGACTGCTTTCGCGGGCCAAAGGTTGCCTTCAGGGGTCATATGGGCAGTACCTACCACCGCATGCGTCGAAGCCTGGGCTCGTATCTAGACAGACTGGCGGAGTGGGGGGCCTCGAGACATTGGCTAAAGACTCAAAGGTGTCGTGGGCATGCGCAGCCACCGTTATGGTCGGCGGCGTCATCGGCGTCAGGGGCGAGACTTGATGCCGGTCTTGGTCGTTGCTCGTGCAAGCCGGCGATGGCCGCCGCGGCTGGCTGCTCGGCTTGCTGCCGCTTGCCGGCCTCCCGAGCCGGAGGGGCGGACTGTAGGTGCATCTCTCGCCGGCCTTGACGCACCGTTGGCAGGCCCGGCCGTGGTTGGAGGCTCGACTGCACCGCAGCTTTTGGCGGTGGCAGCGGTCACAGGCCAGCCGTTCGAGTCGACGCTTGGGGCCGTCCATTCGTTCTCCCGCCTCCCTGATATATACTAGTATATTATACTGGTGTATAGGCGTGTGCGAGTGAGAAGGGCCTTGGAACAGGCAGCAGCGCCAACCAAAGTCTAAACTCGGCAAACTGTGGAGTACAAGTAGAGTTTGGCTCCAAGAGTAACGCTGGAAAGTTTAAAGAGCTGCGGAGGAGGAGAGACGGAACGGGCCTCCCTTATATTGCAGCGGGCTTGGCTGGAATGGTAAAGGCATCGACACAACATGTAGTCGCCATGCCACGACGCCAAGCTTGAGCATCATGCGGTGCGAGGTCCGTCAAAGTGGTACTCGCTGTCATCGATTGCGTCGCGGCGGCCCTCGGCGCGCAGACTGGAGCCTCGAGCCGTCTGCGCCCCCGTTGCGGTGGAGCCGGCGTTCCATTCCTCTTCTGTGCTCATTCGTCGACGGCTTTTGGTTGGAGTGAGATTGTCAATCAATATCTGCCCATTGTTTGGGCCACGGAGCAATGTCGTCCTGTGCCTGGGCCCCGGTGGGCTCAAGCTCCACGGGCAAGCCACGCCTCACCCATCACCGGCTCTATGTACCTATTCGTGGGGCAGGTTGTAATGCCATATATATAGGTCGAAAAAGGGGACGAGGGGTCGGCACCAAAGGTCCAGTTTCCGTAGTTATCGAGCCACCTGAGGCGTCGAAACGGGTGCTGAAGCCGCCGGTTGCGAGGGACTTTTGCCCCATGGCAAGGCAATAATAACAAGGGCCACTAGGCCTCGTCAGTCACGACTATTTGAAGGAATTCACCCCTGGACCCCGAGCCATGCTTACCGCAAGGTATCATTGACGACTGCGGCCAGTGGGGGCGGGCGCCTTCATTTACGGGTCTCGCCGCCGCCCGAGGGCCGAGAGACTGAAGTCTGACAAGATTCGTCCGAAATGCTCTTCATCGGGGCACCCGCGGGTCTCGCCTGGCTATGGGGAGTTGTCCCCATACTGGAAGCCCACTGATCCTCGGACACCCCTCCTCGTGATGCATCCCGAACCGCAAAATCCTCAGGTCATGGGCCGCCGGCAACATCCTCGCCTTTCCATACACTCGCTTGAGATTGGCAAAATGCCACTTTGGACGTTTCATTATAGGACCGCGGCACATGGGGTGCATAAGCGCCTCCCACGCGCGGTCTGCATGCACGTCTGCTACCCGCTCCCTATTCGTTAAGCTTAACAGGGACACATGGAGCATTTACTGTAGCGTCTGTCCCAAACTAGAGAAGAACGGCCACTACATGCGTGCATGCATTGGTATTTTCCTCGTGTTCTTCCAGACCAGCCTGGTGTTGCGAGCAAGAGTCGTTATCATGGCAACAGACTAGTTCTCAACTCTTGCTCCAGATAGGCCTTGCATCGCCAGTCATCTTGCTTGGCTAGGCTTGGGGGGCAAGGAAACGATTGTCATTTTTATTGCTCCTCAATATCCCCAATTCTTTACTCTCTACCCCTGAGCTCCTGCAGCAGTCTTGAGCTCAGGTCGAGCCGGTGAGCTTCAAACCGGAGAAGACACACGCTGAGCAGCTGATGAATGGGCAACATCAATTTGAGTTTGAACACGTTGACATGCAACCCGGATCGTCGAGTATATATACTGTCCAGAGCGAACCAGCCTCTCCAACTGTCAAAAATGAAGGGAGATGAGCAATCCTGACAATGCGACAGGATTCACGTTCAATCGTGCCACGGCACATCCTTATACTCCGGGTCCCGGTTCGGCCAGGCGCACATCTTCATGGTGTAATCCACCAGCGACCCCTCGCCGCTGGGCCAAGTGGCCTGTATGAAAGAGGTCATCAAGTCCAATCCATTCAGCAGAGTCCCGCTTGTCCACAGTTTGCCGTCTCTCGCCCAGCGCCTCTCGACCCACTGCGTGCCCGTGGCCTTTTGCCGCAGCTCCTTGAGCATGAAGCGAGGCGCCGTGGCCGTCTTCCCCTCAAGGATGCCGGCCCGGAGGGGAGCTTCGATGCCGGCGCAGACGGTGATGAAGGCGGAGCATTCCTGATAGCTCTTGCGGATAAAGGCGAGCTCGGCTTCGGTGATTTCGGGCTGGAAGGAGGCTCCAATGAGGACAATGTCCAACGGCGGACACGTCTCGAATGAGTCCTGCAAGTGCCAAGGTCAGTTTCCCGAGTACTTGGACATAATGGGGGCATTTTTTTACTGTTGCTGCAAGGGACATGTTACTCGTGAGGCGACTTGGTTGAGTCTTTCCTGTTTCCGAAACCCAGTGAAACTGAGTGTCAAGCGCCTGCGCCTTCTGCTCCGGGGAGATCAGGGAGTCGGGGAGGAGGTCGACAAATGGTTTGCTAATTCCGTGAATGAGATCGACGGGGCCGACGTCCAGCACCTCGGTGAGCCTAACACGGAACATTAGTCTCCCAGAGCTTCGGCGACTCGAAGACGAGCTTGGGGAGGGACATGGGCTGACCCTCCAAGCAGAATAACACCCACGCGAATGGTGCGATCTAGGTTGGCGAGTTCCACAGACATGTCGACGGGAGAATCACATGAACTGAATGGCGATTAAAATGGGTCCTATCGATGAGATTGTCCAAACCGCGTTGTTGTTGGCCTCCACTTCTATCCGATGGAAGCGAGCCTCTTTTATAAACGACATGCGGTTGTATATCCAGAAGACGTCGGGAAAGGGCAGATTGACCCCCCGAGTGCCCGAGCTTTGTCATCAGTGGAACAATGCTGCATATCCGAACTGCCGGGCAATTCGCCTTGCCTTTGATCAAGGCCAAAGTCAAAGTCTGCAGATTAGCATTTGCCCAAGCCACGGACACGGGGCCGGCGATTGGCGTCTCGCCGGGGAGGAGCCGAAGGTCCGGGCCGGTTCGGAATCCGGTTTCGGGCCTCCGTCCCGGTACCGAATCAAACATCAAGGCACTGTTGCGAGTGCGCGTGAGCACCGGCTGCCCCAAATGGGCTTGAAAAACTGCGACTTGCTTCTACCTGGCATCCAGTCTTGTTGAAGCCTGAATTTTTTCCATGCATCGATGCAGCAGCCAACACACCAGCCGTTTGGACCCGCCGAGGGCCTTTCCATGCTGCACATATGTACGAAGTATGAATATCTACCCTTACCAGCGCTCTGTGATGCGACAGTCTCGTGCAAAAGACACAAGACACACTCCCATTGGAAGCCAGCACGTCGTCACCGAGCATTGCATCGGCCAAAGGCACGAGGATGGCCCGGATGAAAAGCAGCACGGGCTTCAAGGATACAACGCGACTCGGTCTGGTAGCTCTACAGAAGTGTCCACCTCGCAAGAGCGATAAATCCGTTGTTGACTCACTGTACGTAGCCGGGAGGGCCCAACTGCTTTGCCTCGTTGCCTTGCTAAGGCAGAAGGGGACGGGCCGGGCCTCGCGCCGACGAGCGGCGATCGGCGCTCGTCACGTATTGACTCAGTACCAAGTACGAAGTACAAGACACCGTTGTGTCGAGAGAGCCAGCCGTCAAGTGCCGTAACGCATCCGAATCTCGTAGTCCTTTGATTCGTGCCATGCTGTACACGGCTCACGCGAAGACCAGGACATACTCGGAGCACCCGTACTGGATGGAACCGTGCGGCCCAGAACGGCAGTGGACAAAGAACGCGTCGGAACCCGATGGCAGTCCTTCTCCGTGCTGCCCTCTCGGGAACCTATCAACGATGGATTCGCCCTCTAGTAGTGTGTAGGTGCGTCTGGCAGGACGTTCCAGCAACCGAGGGCTCGATGGCGCGTGACCGAAGCGGGATGCGCAGACTTGTTGCGTACTGCGGGGGAAAGGCAGCATCGAGCAACAAATCAACATAAACAGCAAATCCGTGCCAGCCACGTACGTGCTTGGTGCTGGGGCATCATGACGGACCGGTACGAGGCAACTAAGACGAGGGCCAGGGGGCGTGTCGAACCGTGAGAGGACGGAAACAAAACTTGGCGCTCGCCATGCCTTGCCATGCTCTGGAAGGGATCTGACCACGATTCCGTTGAACCATGTACACACTGTACACAGCGTCTCGGCCCCCAGGCCATGCGTCCTTGTGGGCGTAATATGTGCCCAGTTTACGTACACGAGCAGTCGCGTGTTTGGTGTTCGAGTCAGCAACCCCCCTTCCTGCCGAAGAACAGATGGCTGAGAGAACAGGGACAGATCAGCAACAAGCTGAGGGCGCTGGCGGGTCACGGTGACGACAGAGCCGGCCGTGCCGCACCGTGTCCGGTACTTGACAGTGTTTGCTGCGGCTTTGGCCCAGTTCTGGCCCTGGCACATGTTGTGCAACAGGGGTAAGCAAAGCAAGCTTGTTTTGTTTTGTTTTGCGCCGCCGGCCAGCCCACCCAGCGAGCAGCCGCAGTTGCGCGAGAGGCGAGACGAGAATGGGAGCTGTCCCTGAATCCTGAGGTTCGCATCACATCCTCACCCTTTTTCCCTCTTCACTTGATTCACCCGCTTTCTTTGGTGGCCGCCTTGTTGCTCTGTCCGTCGCTGTACCAAGCGAACCTGCGTAACGTCATGAGATGGCAACGACTGTCCGCGCTCGTGGGTCTCTGTCGGGTGCGTTGGCGGGCATGCGTGCCCTGTGGCTGTGGGGGGTGGTTACCGAGCTCTTGGGTAAGCAGCGTGTGCGACGAGCAGGGAAGCGGCGCAGCTGTTGCATGCTCAGTAGCGGGCGGGCGACTGCTGAGACATCGACAGCTCCACGGCCTTGGAAAACCTGTTTGGCGGGCGATGCCTTGTGTGCTGGTCGGAGAAGCAAAGAAGAGCGAGACGACGCGGAGGGCTCCGGACTAGGGCTGTTCCTAAACATGGCGGGGATCGGGCGCGATGTGCTCCACAGTACAAACAGCTCGTGAGCCACGGGACGACGAGGTACCTTATTGGTATCTCTTGATGGAAAGGTACCTAGATGCCCCGGTGCGCGCGATTTGCGATCAAGTCACACTGTACGGGCGGTCTCACGAGAGGTGTCAGTCAGCGGGCTGGCGCCCGAAGCAGCTTGGGCCATTGGTACTTGGGTACGGATACCTCCGGCCAGGTGACAGGTACCTAATATATCTAAGGTCCGTAACGGATACCTAGGTAGGTACCTTGGCGTCCTAAACGAGGGTCGAGCGCCCAATGGCCGTTGGAGTTGCGTCGTAAGTCACTCACTGTCTTAGGTAAGGTACCGGATATGCTGGGTATGCTGGGTACCGAAAGAGGCAGGCACCTACCGGTACCACATGGGCCACATAGCGGCGCTCGGGAAAGTCGGACCCGGTGCCACGCCCTGTACAGTGCTGGTGATGAGCGGAGCCCCTCTGTGAACGAAGGACTGGACCAGACCAGCAAGTCACTACTCTAACTACATCTCGGCCCCGATGCGCCGCGTTGCTTCAGGCACATGTCTACAGTACATCAAGGACCAGCCAATTGTGCGGTGGACAGAAAAGCCTGTCTGTCAGACACACACAATCAGCTGAGGTGCTCAGCCATCTCAGCCATGTACAGAGGTACCCACCAGCAGTGGCTGTCGCCCAGGTGCTGGGGCCACCCTGGCTGGCATTGCTTGTTTGTGCTGGTGTGTGAGGCGTGCATGTGTGCATGTGTGCATGTACGGGTACGTGTGTGTTGTGCTGTGTTATGCTGTGTTGGGCTGGGTTCCCGTCAGCAGCAAGAAACAAAAGGAAAAATCGTCTCGCTCTCGCTTCCTGTCGCGGATTCATTTTCGTGGCCATTTTCTTCTCTCCTCTTCCATCCTCCATCCGGCCAACCGCCCGCCGTCCTACCTACAGCATGTACTTACTTAAGTACCTACCTTGGTAGTCTCCAGCCTCGGCTACCTGGGCGTGCACATTCGGGCATGACAGGGGACAAAGTGCTCCGGAGTCGACGTCGTCCATGCCCGCACTGGCGCACTAAGCAGCCCAGGGCGCTAGCTACAGTAACAGCTCACACTGTACGTGACCTTCAGCAAGCAGGTACCGCTGCTCCATTTCGCGAGTACGTGTGCTGGACCACCGCCACCACCACCACCACCACCACCACCACCATCATTTCCACGACGACTTCATCCGCCTTTCGCTGCAGCCCGGCTAGTGCTGCACAGCACCCTGTCCGTACCTTGAGCCAGCCTGTGCCACGACGACAAATTGTCCCATCCGAGTCCCGCCCAATCACCGCACCCCTTCGTCCTCATCGTCCCTGCTCGCTTCCGTAGCCTAGGGCTGCAGCCAACGTCAACACCCACCCGCTCCTCCTCTCGTCGCCTCATTTGCTCCGCATCTCGCACTCTGATCCGCGCAACGGGCCTCTCGGGGCTCCACGCCCGTCTTCACCCCTTCCCATTACCACCGTGGTTGCCCTGTCGCGTCGCAAGTGTCCATGACGAGCCAACCACGATGACACTGCCCTCGACCGACACCACCACCACCTGTCTCTGACCCAGTCCAAGGCTCGTCCCGCGGGCATGCATGCTCCGGAACAGCTCTACGCCTCTCCCGCCATCATGGACAAGTCATCAGCCTCGACCGGCGGCGCCCAAACCGCCACCACGATCACCGACAGCGTGCCGAGCCCCCAACCTGACACCCGACCGCCCATCACCTCCACCACCACTAGCAGCCAAACGTCAAAACAATCATCCACCTCAGCCTCCCTCAATCACTCCCCCGCTGCCTCTCGAGACGCTTCCCCGTCCCGCAAGCCTCGGCGAACAGCTTTGACCGGCAGTGCCAGTCAATCGCGCAGGAACAGCCAGCAGGACCTGAGCCCTACCCGCCAAGCAAAGTCGACTTGTACCGAGCCGTCATCGGCTGCCGCTCCCAGCCTGCGCTCGACCACCAAGGAGCCTCCGATCCTTTCGCCCACGCCGCAGAAGCCCCCGGCCGTCCAAGACTTGAAGGACAGCCATCGCTGGCCCGTCTCGCCCCGTCTACGATCGCCTCCGCCACAGTTGAGCAAGCTCGGTGTCACGTCCGCGCGTCGCAGCGAACCACACGACCCTCCTCTGATCAACATTCAGCGACCCAGCCCATCGCCCCAGCTACCAGATTCACTGCAAAACTCGTCCGAAAACGATTCCGATGAGTCGCACATGCAGTCGGGCATCAGAACCCCCGTCTGCGGCGCGTTGGAAACCGTGCAGGAAGTCAGCCAGAACAACTCGCCCGCGCACGCGGCCGATGCCTCGCTGTTAGAGCATGTCAAGGAGAAGCTCGCCACCCCGGGCAACCCTCCCGACAGTGCCCTCAGTGACGGCGGTCTAGCGCTCAATAACAAGACCTACAACATGCCCGGGCCCCCGGGTAGCGGAGATGTGGGCGGATCCAGGCCCGAGTCCCGACGTCCTTCGTCGGTTCCGCCGCCGCCGCCGACCCTCGTCTCCCGGCAGTCTAGCGCCATGTCAACCAAGCAGGCCAAGTCCAAACCGGAGGGCTCAACACAGAACATGACGGTCGAGACAGAGACGGTGCCCAGCGTCCCCCAAGTCGTCCTGGCGACGGGAACAAAGGCCGAGGCCGCCAACGGAACCCTCAAAACCAAGCCAAGCGCCGAGACCATCAGGCCGAAAAGGGAGAAGAAGAAACCGGCGCGCAAGCAGCCTGCGGTCAACTCGGGGACAGGTAGGACATCCGGGTCAGCGCATCCGGCAAAACCGTGCTAACATGACTTAACCAAAGGGTCTTCCAAAGCCGACATCTTCGAGGCAAAGATTGCCAACGCCGTTGACGAAGCCAACACCTCGGATTCGGAAGAAACCTTTGTCTATGATTCCAATCCTCCAGACAACACTGAACGTTCGACTCGTCGCTTTCACTCCCGCACCCCCAGTGCGACTTCCATGGTCAGCCAGGCGGACCGACCAAACTTGCGGTCCCTCTACGGGGTCTTGGAAGGCGGGAGTCATGGTCACGGTCACGGGCCCGTGCCCAAGAAGAGTATGAAGTTTGTCAACACGTTTGGGGGTAACGCGAGCGATAGCTTGACGCCCGGGGACGAGGATGGAAAGGGGACCGGGCGAAGCACCGGCGGCTCTGCGCGCGGTACCCTGCGACACCATCACCACATAGGCAGATGGGGCCGGCAACCCGGCAACGGCCATGCGTCACTGTTCGACAACGAGTCGCCGTTCCCAAACGCAGCCAAGTCCAAGCTCGCGGGCAACACCTCGCGCAATTCGTCGGGCCCGACGAGCCCGAGAAACTACCACTCGGCGCGTGGACAGTTTGGCACCAAGCGATCTGCGATGCAAATGTCGTCGAGCTACGATCTGGACGACACGACAGGCGCCGACGACGAGCGAACACCTCTGATTGAGACGGCGCGTTCTTTGAGGGGCAGCCGAAGCAGGCGCGGGCCGCATAGCTTACGGCAGGCGGAATCCCAAACCTACACCAGGCGATCGTCATACCTAAATCGATTCGCGGCCTGCCTTGTCTTGACCATGATGTTCCTGCTGGTCATCACCGGTGCCATAGGTTTCATGTTCGCCACGTCGCAGCCCATGACCGGCATCGAGATTGTCTCCATCGGCAACGTGGTCACGAGCGAGCAGGTGTTGATGTACGATCTCACGGTCAAGGCACATAACCCCAACATCGTGGTGGTGACGATTGATCGGGCGAACCTGGAAATATTCGCCAAATCCAAGTACGCAGACGAGGACTCGAAACGGCGGAAGCATCATCATGTGTCGGACAGATTGCATGCCCGAGACGACCCAGCGAACGACCCGCCCCTGAGGCCCGGCGACGGCGATAGTGACAGTCGACCAAATATTTTACTCGGCCGCGTCACGGTGTTTGACAGCTCACTGACTTTCGAAGGTTCCCTCTTCCACCAGGGAACGTCATCCTCGACGGGACAGATGCAGCTCCCGAGTCCCGGGAACAACACCGTGGATGGTTCGGAGCGGTGGAACAACATTTATCAACACGAGTTTGACCTGATTGTCAAGGGTGTGGTTAAATACAGCCTCCCCTTGAGCGCCCACGTTCGCAGCGCAACAGTGTCGGGGCGAACCACAGTCAAGCCAAACTCTGCCAACAACCCATCTCCGAAGCCGAACATCACCGTCTCGGTCGCGTCATGACGCGAAGCCGTCGCTTTCAGTGGATCTTCTTTTTCGAACCCCGCTTTACTATCATTCACTGCCTTGTGTTTTTTGAGCGTGCGTGCGGCATCTGGAACAGCCCCGGCGTTGGGATTTTTTCTTCCGACCTCATCTCATCGTCCATTTGAAATGGAGGGTAGGATGTGACCTACTGACGCAACTTTTCCTTTTCTTTTCCCCAGCTTGGGCTATAGACCGGCAAGAGATCATTTACGCGCCCAGAGGCATACTGAGCCGCCGGGGATCGCTTCTTGAAGGAGTGCCCGAGGTTAAGGTAGATGAAGTGCCTACAATGCCGACTGATTAATCTGGTGCTGCAAGCTGGATGGCGAAACCAGGAGAAAAGCAACATGCAAAGCGAAGGGTGAATGCTACACATGCCCTCCCCCTTTTTGTGTGGAATTTGGGGAACGGTGGCGGGGGTTTCTTTTGTGCTTGCGACAATAGATGACAAAAAGCGGCAACCATGGTCTGTACCTATAACGGCTTTTACGACGACAAGCGCAACGTGAGAGACGGTGGCGGCGGACGGCAAGAGTGCGGGAGAAGAGCGAGGCGGCGTTGGAGGAACCGCTGGAGTTGCACGTCATCGCGGCCGCGGGTGGTCGAGATAGAGAGAATGGAGAGTAATTTGGAAAGGCAGTCTCCTTGGCGAGTGAAGCGTGCTGCGCATTGTCACTCGGCATGCATTCGGAATTGGGTGTCGCCAGCAGCGCCTGCTGTAGAAGAATTGTATTGCTGTAGGACCAAGAGATGCGCTCCAAACATGCCCGTTGAACGCCGTCCCTCCAATCGTGATATCTTGCCTCTAGCCATGTCATTTTCCCACTCCAGATCAAAAAGGCTCCCCGGCGCCTAGGAAAAGTGTATGCCCTCCTCGTTAAAAGCAAACAGCAGCCGCAGAAAGTCGTTTTCGTCACACTTGCCGGAGCGTTTGTCGGCCAGCTCCGTCACGTCCTCGAGGACCTTGCGGATCTTTTCGCGGACCAGCTCCGCCACCTTTGTCTTTTTGCGCTTGCTCTTGGTCTTGGGGGCAGACGAGGCGGCCGAGCTGCGCAGCTCCTTGAAGAAGTCGGGCGCCTCGTCGGCAGCGTCGTCGTCGACGTCCATGTTGTCGGCATCCGCGGCCCCGTCCTCGGCCATGTCCAAGACGGCGTCGGCGTCATCCTCGACAAGACTCTCATCCACAGAGACGCCGTTCATTGCGCACCAGGTGCGGTAATTCCTCTCCACCATGGCGAGGACCTCCTTGGTGCCGAGCCAGCTGGCGCGCAGCGTCTTGTTCTTACGGACGAAGCAGACGCGCAGGAGACCGTCCCACTCGTCCCAGCTAACGTTGGGGCGGTCCTTGCCCATCTTTGGCTCGATGCGAACGACGGAGGACTCGACCTGGGGCGGAGGCTTGAAGTTGTTCTTGCCGACCTTCATGACGTGGGTGATTTTGGCCCAGAACTGGGCGTTTACCGAAAGGCGGCAGTAGAGGGTGTCGCCGGGGCGGGCGGTGAGACGGAGGGCGAATTCGCGCTGGAACATGAGGATTGAGGTGCGCGGGGGGTTGGGCATGGCAAGGAGCTTGAAGACGAGAGGGGACGAGATCTGCAGACGGAGAGGTGTTAGCATGAGGGGGGGGCGCATTTACAGGTAGAAGGGTGTAGGGAGAGCTTACTTGGTAGGGGGTATTGGAAATGCAAACATCAAACGCAGGCAACTCCGTCTTGATGACATCGCCCAGCAAAACCTCCAACTTGCGCTGCTCCGGCTTCCCCTGCACGCGCTTGGTCACCTCCGCCGCCATCCTAGGATCCAACTCGACACAGATGCACTTCTTTGCCTTTTCCAGGATGCGCACCGTCAAGTTGCCCGTGCCGGGGCCGACCTCGAGGACGGTGTCTGTGGGTTTGAGGTAGGCCTTGTCGACAATGGCGTCCGAGACGCCGGGGTTCTTGAGGATGTGCTGGCCGACGTTTGTGTTGAATTTGAAGACGTTGTTCTTGCTGCCGGATGCGCCGCTGCTCTTGCCGCCGCCCGGCCGCTCGTAGGGCGTGCCGCCGGCGCTGCTGCGCTTGGCTTGCTTGGTTTTTGCCATGGTGGTGTCGTCGGTTGGCGGGATTCGTTGGTGGTGAGGGGCGGCGGTGACTGGGAAACTTTTCGAGGTGGTCCAGTTTATCGATAAGAGAAGGGTGCGGCGAGCTTCCCGCGGTTTACCCGGAGTGTATCAGGCTTCGTCATCTTGACCTCTCCTAACAATTGCTTCAAGCCAGCCGTCGACTTGGCCTGCGCCATGTTGCCCTCAAGTCGCACCGAGTCACACCACAGCTCGGCGCCGCCAGCCGCTTATTAGTTGAGCAATTCCAGCGGAGAGCGGGCGGGGAACAAGTCGTTCCGGCCAACAAAACGCCTCTAGTTAATGGAGAGGGTGCATTGTGAATCGCGCCGCAGCTACGGATACAGACTACCAGGCCAAACCAACTCCAATGCTTCCTGCCGCCGCGAGGGTAATGTCAAATAAACAGTGAGAGACAGACATGCTGCCTCACTACTCCAGATCCGCCGCCACCAGCTTCAGGATCTGCTCGGTCCCCTTGCGCGCATTCTTGGGGCTCTTAGCCACCGCCTGCCACGCCTCGCCGTGCCGCGGCTCGTTCTGCACGCACTTGCCCACCACCTCGCCGCGCTTCTCCTCGGTGCCGTGCTGGCAGAGGAAGCGGTAGTACCAAGCCCAGCTGTCGCCGCAGTCCGGGTCCAGCACCAGCGCCTTCTCGAACCAGTTCTGCGCCTTGTCCAGCTTGCGGTCGCCCCAGAAGATGCGCGCCACCCCGACAAACAGCAGCGGGTCGTTGTCAATCTTCTTGATGGCCTCGAGGCTGCGCGGCTTGCGCTGCGTTCGCGCCTCCAGATGCCAGATTTGTTCCACCCAGAGGAGCCCGCTCTTGGGCACCTCTTGCTGCGCCCGCGCCATCATCGACTTGGCCTGCGCCATGTTGCCCGCCCGCCGCTCCAGCCGTACCGACTCGCACCACAGCTCCGCGTTTTTGGGCGCCGCCAGCCGCGCTCGGTCGAGGATGGATCGTGCCTTGACCATTGAGCCCTCTTGCTCCTCGAGCCGAGAGTAAAGCAGCCACAGTGGCGCCGACTTGGGCACAGCCTTGACCCCGGCCGCGTACGTCTCCCGCGCCTGGCCCGGCTTACCCTGATCCTCGTAGATTTGTCCTTTGAGCATCCACAGCTTCGCAGAGGCCGGGAACAGCTGCAGCGCCCGCAGCACCATGTCCAGCGCCGCGTTGTCCTGCCCCTCCACCCGCTCGAACACGACGCTCTTCATCCATACCCGGTCCGTCGGCGCCTGTTCGCGTGCAATCTCCAGTAGCTGTCTCGCCTGCTCCACGTCGCCATTTTCCGACTCGAGTTTGACGGCCGACAGCCAAATGTCTTCGTTGTTGGGGTTTTGGTGAAAGGCCCGCTTTAGGACCAGCCGCGCGTTGTCTACCTCTCCTGCCTGCCACTTCTCCTTGGCCAGCATCATCCACAGCTCCTCGCTCTTCGGGCACGCCTCCACGGCCTTTTCCAGGAGTTGCCACAGCGAGGCTCTGGTCCCGTGGGTCCTCTCGAGGTCTGCGGCCGCCATCCACGTCGACCGGCTTTGCACAAATACGCGTAGCGAATAGGCATAGATGGCGCGGGCGGTTTCATATCGACCCCTGTTGATACTGCCTCTGGCGTCTTCCTTCCATATGTCTCTTCGGTCATCGTCCTCGTCCAGATTCCAGCCGAGCGTCTCGCGGATGATGCTCTCGCAAGTAAGCGTCGCCCCTTCTGCCTCGCACTTCTCCGCCTCGGCAATCCACTCTTCTCGACTCGGCATGGCGGATTCCTTGGCAAGCACTTGCACAGCTCGCTTCATGACGTTGACCTTGTCTCCCTGGCCGAGCTGTTCCTGCAACCGCGCGGCCGCAATCCAAATCTCGTGAGATGTCGGGACGGCTTTTCGCGCCCTGTTAAGCACCTTTTGGGCGTTCTCTGGCGTCTCCAGCCGGGCCAGCGCCAACCACAGATCCACCGAGAGGGGGATCAGCTCCGTCGCCTTGGCCAACATGAGCCTTGCGTCGTTGGGGTCGTCCTCTAGATTCACCGCCTCTTTCCAAAGAGCCTCCGAGTCCGACAGGTGGTCGAGCGCCTGGCGAACAACGCGCCTCTTGTTGCTGGCAATGTGCTCCAGTTTCATGGCCTCCACCCACAGCCGCACCGATCGGGGATTCGCCTCGATGGCCCTGCGGGCGATGATTTTTGTATTTGGGGACTCGTGGTTGAGTCGAATGTTCTCCAGCCATGCGTCCTCGCTCTGCGGGCATTGGGCACATCCCTTGTCGATGGTCTTTCGCGCGGCGACAATCTTGCCGGCCAGTTCTTCCAGCCGGGCAGCCGCGATCCATCCCAGGGCATTGTTGGGATTCGTCTTGACGACAGACTGAAGAAGCTCTCGCACGCGGTTGATGTCGCCGACCTGCGCTTGAGCCTCGTTCATCTGCATCTTGTTGAGGCTCGTGATGTACCCCTGCGGGTCGATGCTCGTCGCGCTGCCCGAGTCGCCGCCCGTGCTCTGCGATGCCTGCTCCAATCTTGACTTGAGAACCTTGTCGCGAGCCGCTCCAATGTCGGCAAAGTTGGTCATTGTGCCGTCCCCTCCGTCCCCGGCAGCTGTGGCCGTGCCGTCGTCGGCGACAGTCGTGCCCATCTCGGTCGAGTCTCGAGCGGCGGCTAATACGCTGTCGGGCACCGCGTAGAAGCGCTGGCGCAAGGCTTGCTTGCTTCTCCGATTTTTGCCCGTCAAATCTCCGACCTCGGGCAGGTTTGCCCACTCGTCATCCGTGACGGTCGAGAGGGCACGTTTGAGATCCGTGAACTGCTGTTGGATCTTGGGGTTGTTCCGCTCGTATTCCTCCCGCTCGGCCTTTTCGCGCTCTTCGCGCTGCCGCTTTCTCCGATCCATGCGCTCGTCCACCCAGTCCCATATGCGGTCTGCTTCCACGTCCTCCTTGTCGTAGACACCGCCAGCGAACAGGCCAACCTCGTTGTCTGGGTCTTGGAACCGTGCCTCGTCGTCATTGTTGTCGTCGTCTTCATCTTTCTTCTTGCTGCCCTTTCCGTCGGGCGCGATGCCCAGCTGCGCCGCACGCTTGGCGAGGGCCTCCTTGATCTGGTCCTCACTGGGCCCATCGCGAGCTGGACCAAGGTCGGATCTCGTGGTGAAGCCAGTAGCTCCTCTTCCAAGACCGGCGACGTAGTTTTCCGGCGCCGGCTGGCTCAGAAAGTCGCGCCGCGTCGTGGTCATCGTGATGCAAGGCGGTGCATTGTGGAGACGAAGTCAAGTTGCTGCCTCGAAGTCGCGACTTTGTAGTATTCCCCGGCACGTGCCTTGAGGCTTATCGATAAGCATCATCTGGTACGTAGAAGGTTCAGCGAGTTGGTGAGCTAGCCGCCAGCCTGCGCCACGTAAATACAGTGCGCCGCATGGCTTGTACCAGTGCCGCCTAAACGCCCCTGTGTATGTGCATGCAAGGCCAGAAGATGCCCGACTCGTGAGCTGTCAATTGAGCGGAAGCTTAGTCAAGCAAAAAGCAGTCGCGGTTCTCTTAGAAGAGCTGTGAAAAACCTACATTGCTTATATGGAACTCTAACTCTACAGCCGAACTTCCTCTTAACTTGGAACCTAACCAACCCCAACTGAAACCCCTCGTTGGCTATCTTGGGAAACTTCAAACTTGACCTGACCAACAGGTCAAGCTGGCCAAGGAACATGACTCCAAGCATAGGGATGGACGGGCCAAATTATAGTCGTTTTTGAGTGGTGCACAGTCAAGTTGACCAATGACTGCACACAGGTTGTTAGCTTGAGCTCTGCTAAGAGCAATACGCGCCTCGTGCCTTGTACGTTCCTTTACGAAGAGGCACCCGATGCAAACAAGGCTTCTTCTGGCCCACCGCTCTTGTCGTGATAATTTTCCACATTAGACTTCACACGGTTCTAAACTCGACACTCGAGCAAGAGCGCTGACGGGCTCAACACCGTGTCGGCCAACAAGACCCTCTCCCGGCCCCCAGTTGGTACTCGCGCAAAGGTGTTCGGCACATTACTCCTGATCCGTAGTACACCGAGACCTGCCAAGACTTGCACCCTGAATCTTTCCGTCCCTCGCCATTTCCACCGTCGTCTCATCCTTGTCCCTCGTGAGATGCGATGAATGGGGCGCGGCAAGCTTACACCACGACTCGTCCGTCGTACTGAGCATGGAGCCCACCAAGCACCAGAGGCTGTCCACTTTCAAATCTACTTGTTGCCGCCGAACCAGCTCGAGATGCCACCCTTGGCTTTGGCGGTGCCGTCCTCGACCTTTTGGTCAAACTTGTCGACGGCCTTCATGGCCTCTGCCTTGGCATCCTTGGCATAGGCCTCGGTGTTGCTCTTGAGCCTCGATGCTTGCTTATCCGCCTCGGACCACTGGTAGAACAAGACGTCAGCACCATCGTTCATGCAGCAGTGCCGTCTGTGTGGGGCAAGCGGGGTAGTCGGCATGGGGAGAAACGACAGGGGAGGACAAACAGCCTTGTCGAGCTTTGAGCCAGCTTCGGCGCCGTAGCCCTTGAGCTCCTTCTCAGCGTTGGGGGAGCTGCCAGGGAGTTGCGACTTGATGTTGGCCGAGGCTCGGTGGACGTCGCCTGAACAATGGCACGGTCAGCCAGCATGTCACGGGGCTCAACAAGTTCAAGGAGGGTCAGACGAACTCTCAAACTTGTTCTCGGCGGCCTTTGCGTTGCCGCCGGCACTGTAGAGATAGTAGCCGATGCCACCAGCGGCGCCGAGACCGAGGATGAGGGGCATTCGTGATCTCGACATGGTGGAAGCTTGCGTGAATGGGATTGGAGGAGTTGGGTAAAGGTAAGGGGCCTGGCGAAGGGGCCTGCGGCTCTTTTGCGTGCGAGTGGAAGGTGAGGTAGGAAAAGGTGAGGGAGGGGGCGGAGAGGAAGAGGACGATGACGAGGAGGAGGAGCTGCTGCAGAAGGGCGAGATGCGGAGATGACACAACGGTTCCTCTTTGGGCAAGGTGGTAACTGTGACGAGCCAAGACGAACCGCGGCTGGCAAGCTACAGTACAGGTGGGCGGACGGGACAGGTCCAAGGTACTTTTGGCGTGGCTACGTATTGCATCAAGCAATGCCATCTGCGGTGATTTTAGACCAAATACAGAGTATCTGTTGCTCACTCGACTGAGACAATCCGCGCTCGAAGCATCTCAATGGTTGCAGAAAATAAACAGCCCAATATACTTGCTGGCTATGATGATTGGGGAGGCTGGACACGGTAGCTGCGAGGATGACGTACGTAGGTGTGTTTGTTGTAGGTACCTACTGGACGGCAGGTACCGAGCACAGTGCAGCCTTGACCGTCGGGACAAGAACAGACTGATCTAAGTTGTAGGGTTTACACAGTGCTTCCCCAGAGAGCTACAGTGCGGGAGAAATGATACACTGCTCTGCTGCTTGCGCTCTGTGCTGTACGCCGTCCAGATCAGCCCGACCCACCGCGGACCAAAAGCTCCAGTCACTTCTCCTTGCTTCTTTGACGACTCTGAGGGCTGTATTATATAACATCATATAGTCAACGAGTATGATGACTCGGAAGGCGCCTCGCAAGTCCCTTGCTCGTGTTCGACCCTGTTCATTCAGAACCGGCTCTGTGCCGTAAGCAGCGCATGGCTGAGGTCCTCACTCGATGAACGAACAACTACTAATTCCAGGCAGCGAACCATAACAGTAGCAATGTAGGACTCGTTGCGGCGGGAGATGCGGCTGAGGTCTTGCGTCGCCCGTTGTTATGCAATTACGTCATCGAAGCCAGCTTCATCTGTATAGATAAAAAGGAACGGGCGGGGAACAAAGAATTCGTTCGCACCAAGTAGAGGGCAAGGGAGTGCAGTACATGACGGCAAGCCACCGCGACCAGGGAGACGGGCTGCGATTAATAAACTCTTTTCTCTTTACATACCTACATACATACTTCGAATGTACTGTCCCGTCTATAGGCGCCCACGCCTTCTGTAAGCATGGCACGCACCAACTGCACAGTAGTAGGTGAAGGTGGCCTTGCACGGACTTGCAGACGGGGCACGAGAATCGTACATGTACCCACGACAAAAGCAAGAGCCCTTTGACCCCGGTGCGCCTTGCTCAGGGTACTCGGCACCTGCTCTCGTCATCTCGTAGACGTACAGTGCGTGGAGAGCTCACCCGCCAGGTCCGCACTGTCTGGCTCCCATACCAACCGCGGTCTCTCTCCAATCCGGCTCCACGTCGTTCATCTATCTCCTCTGCACATTGTCCCTACCCGCTTTCGGGGTCGCTGTGTCTAGGTCAGTGACTGCTTCACTCTGCGTCTCGGTGCCATTTGTTGCCTGCCAGAACCCCCCTCGACTCCGCGCCGTCGCCGCCGGCTTGCGCAAGCCACCGACGCATACCATCGCCATGCCAACGCACCCGCGCCGGCCATGCTGAGGGTCCGCAGTTCCCGTCGTGCCGTGGGCTTGAAGCCGACTGACTACGACCACGAGATCGGCCTCGTCAACCACGATGTGACGCCCCGCACTTTGAGCCCCGACACCGCACCCGGTGGTGCCTCTCCCGCGTCGCGCCTGATATCCTTCGCCCGCGAGTCCGGGCACGCCGCGGCCACTCAAGCCCCGGGTGACGGCGGCGCCTCGGCAGAGCAATCCGCGGAAGAGAATGGGTCGAGGCAAGACGGCCGTCAAGGTCAAGACCAAGGGCGGGCCGAGGCGGAGCACGAAGCGGATTTGCCTCCTTCCGCGCCGCGGCCATCGATCGAGGTTCGAGGTGTGTAGCTGTGCCACATACGACGAATCGCTCCGCTGACACTAATCCTTCGGAGCCCCGACGCCAGAAACATCCAACGAAGGCGCCCGTCGACCACTACCCAAAAAGCCCCGCCCCAAGCGCCAGACAGCAATTGATATCCTCTACGAGAACGAAAGAGGGGGCTTCCTTTGCGGCGCGGCTCTCTTCTCCTCGCGAGCTCTCGGCGGGCTGGATCCGCCTCCCTGGAGTATGTGCCTCTGCAGATTCGTCTTAGCTCCGATGCTGCGGGCCGCTGACCCTAACCACAGCGAATGCGTATCACAAGGCCTCGCCGACGAGTATACACACGGCCCAAGTACCCGACCCGTCGTGGGAGTGGATATGGCCCGAGTGGCGTATCAACCACCAGGAGGGCATGGACGAGGACGGATGGGAGTATTCATTTGCCTTTTCCAAAAAGTTCTCCTGGCACAGCGCCAAGTGGTGGAACTCTTTTGTCCGGAGGCGTGCCTGGATACGCAAGAGGGCCAAGAAGAAGACGCAGGACATGTCGGCCGATCCGCACATGGTCAGCACCGACTACTTCACCATCCGCCCGGCTTCACATCCGAAGCGGCTTTCCAACGGCAGCCTGGGCAGCCGTGTGGCCAGCAAATCGAGCATGAGTCAGCTTTCTACGTCTGACGTGGAGGAGCAACCAGATATCGAGGACATGGAATCGCTACTGCGGACGCTGCGCTATGCCAGGATCGATCGTGAGAAGCGTGAGGCGGTGGAAAACTACCTTGACCACGCGACTGACTTGTCTGACTTGCAGGAGGAGATGCACGAAATCATGTCTTTATTTGTGTTTCAAGCCTCGCGAAGGCAGCTACTGAGCCGCTTGATGCGAAAGCACGATGAGGCGGTGCAAGAGCTGGCAACTCATGGAAACAAAGACAAGGCGGGACTCGGCCAACGAAAGAAGGCGCTCGACGCGGCCATCAAGCACGCACAGGAGGAGGTCAGAAGACTTGCTTACTGGAGCGACGTCAAGCGAATGGCGGAAGAGGGCGAGCTGAGAGACTCGCTTGACTCTCAGCAAGGCTGGTACGATGCCAACTCGGGCTTGGACCAGAGCGGCCCCACGGCGCCCAACAAGGGGAAACTGCTGGGATGATGACGGCTGTTGTCATGCATCTTGAAAGGAGGAGGAGAGCGGGGAGGTATTGCGCTCAGGCACGGAACTGGGCGTGTTTGCGGCATCGTATCTTCTCTGTGACTTGGAGGGCAGACGGCACTGATGAGACGTGTGACCGAACTGAGCTGACGGCTTCTCTTTTCTTACTCTTTTCCCTTTGTTCTTGGGCAAAGCTTGGTAGCTACGAGCATTGGCGCAACAGCACATGGCGAGCAACTCTGGGGACGAGGAATCCCGGGTCATCATCGAGCGGGTTGTGATTTCAGCTTCCATCTTGAGTTTTGCCTCTCTATTCCACGTTGTCGGGCCTAGTAGAATATCCATAGATGGGCATGATGCAAAGCAGCAGGCTTGTTATCTACAAAGCATGGTGTGAGACTCTGAGGCGACGTCGCAGAGGCAACTCAATGAGCATCGCGAGAAGCTGGCTCGCGACCTCGAGATTAGAGAGCGCCGGGCCAGGGCCCTGCCCAAGAGCCCGTTGGACAAGGCCACCTCCGGAAGACGTGACATCGGGCCGGCCTCTCGCCGCCGGCCTCACACCGCCGGCCTCACCGAGTCGGGGAGCAGTGAGGCAACGCGGACGCGAGCCCGTCTCTTGCATGCCGTCTTATCCCTCCCTCGCATGGCCAGCGCCGGCTTTGCCCCATGCTAACTTCACCAAACGACCCCACCTCGGTCACCTGCGCCGGGCTCTCTCTCGGATGCCATGTCCCGCGGGCTTTGAGTTCCTCGGCATGCTCGACAAGCAAGTTCGGGAAACTATCAGGTTCGTCGGCTCCTGTGGCGCCCTCGGATCCAGACAGCCATGCCCAACAAGTTCGGTTCCGACGATCACCGGAGGTGCTCGACAAGGCGAAGAGGATGATCCTCCCGGTCTCCCGCTGCCCTCACACAGCCCCCGCTCAATTTCCAGACAACGAAGCCTTGGCCGAGCCCCAGCAGCATACACATGATTAGACCTTACCACTTTACCACTTTCCTCTTCTCCTGTCCCTTCTCCGAGACTCACGTCGAAAATTGACATCCCCAATCGACTACTCGCTCACTTGCAGTGTTCTCATTAACCTTGCGCAAGGCTTACAGCTTTGCTTAATAACTTTTGACTAGACCAAGGCTATGAACTGTCGACACTCGGTGCGTACATGTAGTTTGGCGACTTTCATATAGTCGGTCGTCTGATCGGAATGGTCGTCGGCCCAATCTCTGGCTAGATTACCCAGCATATCCCGTGTCGTCTTCGGCAGGTCGAAGGCCGGGTGCCAGTTCCAGTCGTCGCGCGCCTGAGAGTCGTCAATCGAGTTGGGCCATCCCCCTGCGATCTTCTGCGGAGGACCGGGCTGGTAGATGATTTCGAAGTCTGCAAAGTGTTTTTAAGCTCGATAGCGATACATTGTGGGGTGCATGAGAAGCCTCCAATGTTATAGCTTCCGCGCTCAGTAATTTGTTCTGGAACCGCCTCCATCGACTCAAGCGCGGCTCGAACAGCATCTGATATATATATCATTGGGAGGGGCTCATTGTGCTGTAGTGGGCAGATATAATTCTCCCGCCGCAGGGCGTAATGGAAGATGTCGACGGCATAGTCCGTGGTGCCGCCGCCTGGCAGAACCTTGGAAGAGATGACGCCCGGATAGCGAATACTGCGAACATCGACGCCTTTCTTTTCAAAGTACCACCTGCACAGGCCCTCACCGGCGAGTTTTTATACACCGTAGACCGTATTGGGTTCCGTAATTGTATGTTGAGCTGTTGCATCCGCAGGTGTTGTTGGACCGAATGCAGCGATTGAACTCGGCCAAAATACTCTTTCCAAGTCGAATAGCGCGGCGGTCTCGAGAACATTCAGAAGACTGTTGAAGTTCAATTTCCAGGCCCGGCCGGGATCTTCTTCTGCCACCAGGGAAAGTGTAGCAGCCAGATGGTAAATTTGTGTGATTTTGTGCTTTCTGACCATGTTTTGCAACTGAGCAACATTGCTAACATCCAGCACCTCGTGTTGAATGCTGGTATTCCGACCTTTGGGAATGATATCGGTCGTGATGATGTTTCGTGAGCCGTATCGGTCAGCTAGTGCAGCCGATATCTCAGTCCCTAACTGACCGTTGGCGCCGGTAACCAGTATCTTTGCGTTCTCCATTGCGTTGTGTCTTAATTGTGAACCGTTTACTTGAATATAGTATTTCAGTTATTTACTGTGAATGCGCTGGGCTCTACCCGGATCTAGGACTGTTCTTATGACAGGATGGTGAGCAAAAAGCCAACTCACCACCGAGTTGTTTGCGACCTTCGCATTGGGCATCTGAACTTTACTTAAAGCTTCGCGGGTTAAATAACGTTCTGAGAAGTGTCTGACACGTTGGAATGTTAGGCAACCTGAAACTATCGAACTACACATGCCAATGTCAGATATGGTGCATCCCTTTGTCAGTGGGAATACAGCCCTCAGGTCACTTGCAAATATTGTATCCAGTCAAATGCCGCATAGGAAGAGATACCTCATCTTGCTAGCATGTCACCCAAGTCCTGTTGGCACTAGATCGCTATTTCGCACTTATCCCAGTACTCACAAGGCACGAGTTTTGATAGGCCTTCTCTGCCGAGTGACATGTATCGGCTTAGTCTCTACATACTGTGGGTTCCGCAATTCGAGGGCTGTCTTCACTCTGCCAAAGGGGTACGATAACGAGTCACAGGACTCTTCGACGCAAGCGGTCGTGGCTGGAAGGACGACGATGTGACCACTCTTGGGTTCCAAAAGTGACCGGACAAGCCGGGGTCACTCGGGCTCCTTGCCACCTTGTAAGCTAACTCCTTTCGTAATTCCACACTACCTTATTCTTCCCTGCCCCGCTTGAGAAGCTTCCTCTCTAGTAAGTTGTATATAGAGACTTCGGAACGAGAGAAATCGATCTAAAGCTTACGGAACTCCCCAACCCCGAAGCCAAGCTAAGCAAGCTAAGCTGGCCGCCGGGCCGGGCCGGGATTTTCATAGCGATCCTGGGCAATATACAATAAGTGCTCCATTCATAAGGCAATAATCTCCATAATGAGGGAAGTGACTTACCCCAGCTAACAAAAAAAAAGAGAAATCCTTTATAAAGAGATTGAATCTCTCTTAGCCTAATTAGCGCTTAATTCTACGAAAGCCCCAAAAGGCCTAAAAGCCTATATTTTAGATTTGGGCTTCGCATGGGCGCTTGCGGGCACTCATTATTACACTCTGGTCTGGACATCTTTGGAACCAACTTTCGTGGCTTATTTGTTGTTCGTCCTCACGGTACTTTCTCCCTCTCCCCAGAAAGTGTGACGATATGCCTGGAACAAAATGTAGTTCGAAGGTCCTGCGGAGTCATAGCAGGGATAAGTGCGAGTGTTCAGAGGTTGTTTCTGCGCCAAAGGACTCAACAATATTTAGTCTGCGCCTTCCCATCCCTAATGCACCACGAAGATACGCAACGACTTTTCATTTAGTAACTTTGCTTATTAATGCTCAGCCAGCTGACTGGTGGCCAATGCAATACGGCTGTAAGGCACCCGCCCTGACTTTGTCTGTTGCCAAACAGAATAGCAAACTAATATTTAAAACCCAGGACCATAAAAGGCAGCCCTCCTTTATTAAACAGGATACATCACTACTATCTTTAATATCCACGAACGAAAATGTCTAGGTTTATCCTTACCAAAGACTTTGTTGGGAAAGCATTCCTTCTTCTTACCGAAGTACATGACCAGGTTGTCCGCAACTGCTTCTTTGCCGACTTTGTCACACCAGACGTAATATGGACAATGGCTGGTAGTGCACACTCTTTGGCAGGCACTCGTCACTCGCTCCAGTCACATATGGACGCTACGTTCAACCACTTGAGGAGGCGACTACAAGAACTTATCAAGTTCGTTGTCACAAAGATTATAGTCGACACAGAACGTAGTGAGGACGGATGGTGGGCTTGCATCGAGGCTAAAGGCCAGGCCACGAGAAAGACGGGACACGCTTATAACAATGACTATATATGGCTAACACGGTGGAATGATGAGGGCAGAATTGCGGAGGTAAGGTATTATTTTGACACTATGCTGTCGGAGCAAGTCTTGCAGGAAGCTGGGAACACTATGGGCTTGGCTCAGTAACGCAACTTCCAAGTCAGCACATCCGTAGGTGCATTAACCGGTGCAAGTGGCTCTAGGGCTACTGAGAAAACACGCTAGGAGACATTCTATCAGTGAGTAGGATTTGGCGTGAAAACTAGACATATTGCCTCTCGTACTCAACCATGAATCCTCGTCGAACGTGGATAATAATTCTCGGTCGTGTGCTCCTAGTTTCCCAGCTGCCGGCTGGCGAGAGGGTATCATAGGCTACATGGGCCTTCGTAAGGCAGCGGGAGTCGCTCGCTTCTCTCCACGGCTCTCGAAGGAGAACCACGTCGTACTTTTCGGCGCCGGCTAGCGTAAAGAGCGGCACGGAATTCCAGCAGAAAGCATGGTGATGGGCTCTAACGTCGAGTGTTGCACGGTACGGATCCGAATATCTTCGAGCTGCTGTATCATAACGATCTCGTTTTTGGAGGAGTTCACAGCCTGCGTACGAGAGCTCGGCTATGCTGGTAGGCTTTACTGGCTATTGAATCGTGGAGACGGACATACTGGTAGGGAATCAGATGACGGCGGTGCTGCTTCCAACGGCCAAGCATAAAGGTTCAAGCGGCAGGAACATGTCTCGAGGGCCTTTGGGCTGCTCGGTGTGCGTCAGATGGTCGATGTTCTGTAGACAGTGACGGCGTTCATAGCTAGCTAAACTCTTGCGTTGAAAAGAGGGGAAGCTTGTCCTATACCCAAGTCCACGTCCGCCCATGATTTTCTCGATGGCTCCTGGAAATTCTTAAGCCGATTCCTGGTCGTCGTACCTCTTCCTCCCCCCCCTTCTTGATCGGTGAGGGCGAGTGGACCCTGTATCGATGGGCTGACGACTCAAACGGCGAAGCTCTGTTTGAAGAAGAGGGAAAGGTCTTTCCCCAGGGCCTCGTCTGTCTCGTCCACCAGACTGGCGGAGGGCAACAGTGAAACGCTCAAACAGCTGCAATCCTGGTGCCGATGACAGCTGGTTTGTTTGTCTGCTGTGTCTGACAGCACCCTTGAGACAGAGACATGGCGATGGAACTGGTGTCGGACGCTGCCCTTCTTTCTTGAGGCGTATGTCTCTCTCCGTAAGCTTGATCTGGTCTTGATCAGGCCTTGGCAGTCCTTTCGCCGAGTGCGGAAGCCCAACTCGAAAACGGGCTTGGTCGCCGGTAAATCTTCAATTCAGCCACAAAGACGTGGCTTTGCCCTTCTTCCTTGGGCCAGACGAACCTCTGGGTTACCTTGATCAGATCTTCGCAGGCCTTTCGATGAGCGGAGAGATCCAACCCAACAGCAGTCTAGGTCGCCGGTCTCTATTCTCCCAGTTCACGGAAGTCGGGGTAGAGACCTTATATCGGAGCGAGCCAAGTGTGTAGCGCATGTCGAATTGCCCGAGCCTAGTCCACCGCTGATGCAGGTATATCATGCGGCTTTCCCGAGGCTCTCAGCAACGGTGAGGTGTTCTCCTCGAAACAAACCAGCCTTGATATCCCTACACATGCGAGGAAAGGAGTTCGGCCAGCTGAGTGTTGGCATATCGGTCCGAAAGTCCAGCGTTGGGGCCCAAAATGTGTGCGCCATGTGGTCCTTGTTCACAATGTCCATGCTTGAGATCGAATCTGACTCCATGCGAGCAATCTTGTCATCAACATGGTGATGTCGCATTTCGGCAGCAGCCTGGCGGTAACAAGAGACCCCCCGACCTGGATGACCGACTCATCGTACCGGAACCTTTTCCGTGTCTTGTGCCAGCGATTGGCATTTCCAGGCAAGGATGGGATGGAAATGATGTCGAGTTACTACTCTACTGAGTAGCGCGGGGCGGCCAAAACGGCGGGCTGCGAATAGCCCCAGCCCAGTGACCCCTTATCCGGGGCCACATGGGCAAGTGCCCGATTTGCGACGCAGCACGTATGTCCTGAGCGTTTGCAATATCTCGGGCGTCTTGATTCGATAACACTTGCTAAGCGCTGGTCCCTCCTTCGCCGTGGCAGTGCCTCAACGAGTGCTTGCCGTGGGACGTGGTTGGGCTCCATGACGCCAACGGCGGACGGCGTTTCGCAGTCGTATGGGTGTTTCCGCTCAGTCGACTGGATATGAAGGGTCGCTCATTCGTGAGACCTGGCGAGCCGCAGGTAGTCTGATTGTGGGCCGGTCTTTGTCTGTCAAATGGCGGGTCAAGGTGCTGCCGCGTGTGTCTGCGAAAGTGATCAAAGCTTGTAGTTGTTTGGCTTGGAGGAGGATGGCGTCTCTGGCCGTGCGTGCTCGCGAATAACTGGTGCAAGCTGGTCGTAGATGGCCGGTGCGTCGAGAGTGTGTATCCGCAGAGCGAATCTGATCTTGCAAAGACAAGAAAATGACTTGCAAATGGCGGCCGGGGTCTGATCAAACGAGAATTGGAAATTGCCACCACTGTGGGCGCACACGGAAAGATGGTCAAGGTCGCTGGTATTGATTGTCTCCGGCGTCCCGGCCGGGACCGATTGGTCACGGACTGGCCCATCTTTTCTTTCTCGCGGCCTGATCCCGGCGCTCGTTTCCTGGCAGGGTGAGCCCGGTCTCCAGGACAGATAGAGCGCCGGCCTTGTAATCGCTTCACCTAAGAGGGTCTAGGAAAGTGGGAGGGGGCTGGAGGGGGCAGGAGGGGTGTCTTGGTCGTGTGATGGCTTTCTTATCCTGCATGGGCAGATTGTATCTAGCAATCTCCTTTGCAGAGGATGTAGTTAGTCGTCGTGGGGGGGGGGGGACAATGCCACGGCCGGCGGATTGGCAGGCCAAGGTTTGCGGGCTTTGACAATTAGGGTCACTTGCTTTGGATGCCCTCGTGCCCGGAGTGCGAAGCCTGGGCTCCGGATGGGCTTCATTTCCGACATCTCACTTGCAAGCCATTCATGGCCGGACCGTTGTGCTTCAGGTGGGCTTGGCCGGGCCCGGGATTGAGGATACGCGGCTGGAGGTGGAGGTCTGCCAAACATTGTACACGCAAGCCAAGCCTGGGGGCTACCTTGAGGGCGTTTGAGCGGCATCAACATTAATAAGAGGGGTCTCGGGGGGGGGGGGTAATAAAGCAAGTAATTCGCTCTAGATGAACCCGACAAGTCCACGTCAAATCGAGTGTAAAATGTAGAGCCAAGCTGCGTGCGAGGACCCGAGATTAATCGTGAGACAAAACGGAGGAATGGGAATATTAATGTCCTGAACTAAAATAGCAGCGAAGAAACTCAGGTCAGGCCGAGACCAAATGTCTAGGGTTGGATGCTTCCATGCCGCATCTGGTGTCGCGCGCGTTCGGCGCATCCCGCCGGGGCACCACGGCATTTGTGAAATAAGAACGTTCTTTGGGATATCTAGCTCGCCAGCTCGTGAAATGTGTGAACCAATGCAAAAGCACAACCGCCCCTAAAATAGAAAGCTAATATAGCGGTCGTAGAAACGATTCCAGCCTGTTCTGGTACCTTGCCTGGCGGCCTGCATCTCCACAAATGCCTTTTCCTCGTTGTCGACAATATCTTTGCCCGTGAAAAAGTCGGCATCGCACGGCTTTACGACCTTGCTCTTGGTAAAGTACAGGTGTCCAAAGATGAGGGACAAATACACTGGAATTCCAAGGTATCCGGTAAGAAACGTGACGTAGTCGAATTTCTTCCCGTCATGTTCGATGAAGACGTCAAAGTTTTTGGTGATTGCGACAAGAATGCAGAACGCCACAGCCACGTAGCTGCCGATCAGTCCCTGGGGCGCAACATATGGCATGGCGCTGTTGGGGATGTTCTGCGCTCGACGCCCCTTGAGGAAGCAAATGTAAGTGACGAGAAGAGATATCCAGGTGAGCAGGCCGAAGATGGTTGTCAAGTTGACAAAGTAACCAAAGACCTTGCGGGAATCGTCGTTGACCACTAAAAACGCCAAACAAGCAAAGAGACTGCACACGACGAGGGCAGGGAACGGCACGCCGCGTGAGTTGGTTCTCCGGAATATTGCGGGAGCTGAGCGGTCGCTGGCAAGGCCGTAAAGAGTTCGACTGCCAACGTACAAATCACTGTTCGCAGCAGAGAAGACAAAGACGCAGATACAGGCGTTGATAATGTGCGGCAAGACTTGTACTCCGGCGAGCTTGGCGGCCACGACAAAGGGGCTGGCACTGGCCGATGCGCCGCTCTTGTTTGCGAAAGCAAGCTCCGGAGAGTTATAAGGGACCAGCATACCGACTAAAAAGATGCTAAGGATGTAGAAAACGAGGATACCTGGAAGTCCTGGGTCAGTATAGCGGCCGATATCGTGGAAGCAACATATAGGGGACTATACGGTAAAACGTCAACTTGATGGCTTTCGGGATCGAGCGACGAGGATTCTGGGCTTCTGCAGCTCCTATAGCGGCCAGCTCACTGCCCAAATAGCTAAAGCTTGCAGACGTGAGCGATGTCCAGAAGCCTATGAACCTGCCGAGGGCGCCGGTTGCGTAGAGGGGAGCGAAGGCGCCGGGATCGCTCCAATACCGGAAGCCAGGCGCATCGCCAGTAGGACCACCGCCCGAGGCCATTATAAGGGAGAAGAGGATCACGCCAAGGACGACAATAACTTTGAAAGACGAAAGCCAGAACTCAAACTCGCCGAAGAACCGGACGCCGAACATGTTGATGGCGATGATCAAGCAAAGGAAGATTGCGACAAAGACGCCGGGATTCACCGTCTCTCGCGGAATCCAAAATTGAATAACGAGAGAGCCGGCTACCAATTGATTCGGAGTTACAATGATATCTGCGTTTTCTGTCAGTTTTGAAGCCGATCCGTGAATCGCACCAAGGCCGGTGATGTCGCAGTCTTTGGCCAGTGAAACCGATACCCAACAAAGACACGTTTTCAACACTTGCGCACACGGCAAGTGAATATTTAACGGGATTGTTCTTACATTTGAACAAGTATCTGTTTTTTTTTTGCAAATATTGTCAGTAAAAGCATCGTCGAGTGGCCGTGTGGAAGTGCGTGTGAGTGGTGGTACGTAGCCCCTCCTGCCCAGGCTCCTTCCCACGCCCCCGGACCCCGCAAACTCAGCACGTGCGCCCACGAGCCTCAACCATGATTGAATCGACGACGCCGCCAGCGACGGCCAGCATTGAAACGGAGCCGCGGGCAAACAACAACGAAGTCAAGGGGTCTGCACATACGTCCATCCTGTCGCGAACCCAAGAGATGGATGACAGTATCGCGACGCATATCCGGTGAATCCGGCGCTCAACGGGAACCAGGCTGCCATCTCTCCGACGCTCGCCAGCACCGCGAACACGAGCGCCCCGAGGAGGGTAAACGAGATGAAAATGGAGCCGGGTCCTGACTGAGCGAGACCCTTGCCACTGTTGACCAAGAGACCGGTGCCCAACGCGCCGCCGATGGCAATCATGCTGATGTGACGCGCTTTCAGGCCGCGATGGAGCGCCGTCTCGGGAGACGTCTCCAAACCCTGGATATTTTCATTCTCGTACGCCGTCTGCTGGAAGCTGTCGCTTCCCTTCTCGGTATCGCCTCCATGGACCTTGGAAGGGGCGCGGATGGCGCCAGGGTCGCTCATCCTGATTCCTGGAGAGGCTGTTTCGAGCTGGCGCAGAGATGATCTGGTCGAGCGACGGATGACTCGTGGTAGACGCGTGAGCACCAGGGCGAGAGTCACTACGGCCGGATGGGTGATCTCTAGAGACCGAGTCGCACAACCGAAAAATCAAACAGGTGGCACGACGGCCGCCTATGATGGGCACACTGCGCACAATATATATTTATCCATCCACACAAACGAGTTGCGACGCTACCCATAAGCCCGGTGGGGCCCGCCAGGCTCTTTGTGGCTGTTTTGTCGTGTAACTAATTAGCTGCTCGACTCTCTCGTCGGCCGACTCTAGCCTACCCCAACATGTGGACGGGATAACCGACGGCCAAATGGGGGCTGATTGCGGTGCCTCGCAGCGAGCTTGGCGGCCATTGGCTCGGGCTCGGCCAGGGCCAGGCCAGTTGGAGGCCCAAAGCCTCCCCCTCGACCCCCTCGACCCCTCCCCCTCCCCCCCCCTCTCCCCGCCCGCCGAGACAACAATACGCCACGCACGCCGCACATTGTATTTGTGCGGTGACTCCGCCGGAGATCTTTTTTTCTTCGAGGCCAACGCTTATCATCGTTCAGCAGTCTGCTCGCTGCCACTCCTCTCGGTGAAGGGCAGGGTAGTTTTGAAAGGTTGAGTCCCGTCGCAAGAGGAACCTCCGCGCCTCACTCGGCGCCATCATCCTTCGTCCAATCTGGCCCCGTCGACGATGTTACCTTGCACGCATGCGGGCCGGTGGAGCTGTGGCCGAACCTTGGGAAAATCTGGGGGTGCTCCAACAAAAATCCGGGCAGTCAGCACAGCTTCCTCAGCTTGCATGACGCCCGCATGTCACACACCAAACACGTGGTGCAGAGGAATCTGGGAGCCTGGCTTACGAGCACTGGACAAAGTAAGAAGTGCGGAACAAGGTGGGCTGCTGTTGGGCGAGAGGCGACGCTACCATCGCTCGAGACCAAAGCCCGCCCATTCCAAGCCGCCAGGGATCAGGCAGACCCTGGCGACACCCGACTCCGACACCATGTTCTAGAAGTTCACCTGTGGAGACGGTCGCGATAAGGGCGGGGTGGCGGCTGTCTTGGCACCAGACGCCTGCCCGATGGCCTTGCTTCACATTACTCATTACCCCGGGCAGTGGCCGGTTCCAACAGCAGCCTTGGCCCTGGGCAACACGACCCCGCGAATTTCCCCAACTCTGGGGGCCCGCGTCGAGCGGCTTGTTCGAACGGGCGCCTACTGACGGCAACAAAGATGGCACGGTGTCTTCCTGGTTGAACCTACCCCAAAATATTGCGGCCTCATTCGCGTCGAATGTCAGCTTATGGAGTTTACCGAGATAATCCGCTTAGCCCCAGAAGTCTTGATGCACATCGGGCTCAGCAAAGTGCAGCAGGCTGGTACATGACTCAAGAGAAACCCCTTGGTCACACCGACGCCCTAATTGAAGAGAAGAAAGGAGCTGCTTGTTGTAGAGGAGCTGGTGCTGACCTTTGATTGCCAGAAAAGCCGAGGTCGAGTCAGCTGGCTATGCAACTATACTGGCCTTGATCTGTCGTGAGGCGGTATACCCCTCCGTCTGCTCAGGTGGTTTCTTGTTTGACCATGCCCCTCCCAAAGTTGCGACCATCATATCCTTGTTGAATTGGGCCAAGGCCAACACCAACAACGCTCCCTCTAGTCGCCGTTTGTCTGAACGCCAAGGAGGAGGAGTTTTCGATTAGCAGACGCTGGCTTTCCTAGGCACATAACGCTCTGTGCGATTCCGCCACACTGGGACAAGTGTTCAGCTATCCCAAGAGTCATCTGGACTAATCGAGTCACTGCACCGACAGACCGCACTTGTGCACTCCAGACGGCTGCGACAAAACATCCAAGACTCTGGCGAGCCTCGTGATCCACATACGAAGGCATGACAAGGTGGCGAGAGCTTTCTGCCCGGTCGACAGCCGCGAAGAGTAATTCTTGTGGAAGAAATGCCTTGTCACGCATCTTTGCCCGACGCTCGGCCGTACATCTATAACATTAAAGGATGCTGACGTGCCTTTCTTCGGCTGGTGCTCGGCGACCATAAGCGCGAGGAACGTGCCGATGGGCCCCCGTCACCCCTGCAATCACGGCGATTGCATGGAGGTCTTCGACACCAAAAAAAAAGAAGCATAAGACTTATCCCGACAATACACGTCGCGAACCTCGACGGTGGCACATAAGCTGAGGTCCGCAAAAAGGGCCAAAACCCAATTTTGGCAGATGGCTGAACAGTGAGTGCACTTAGCATTTGCAAGCAGCGAGAGGTAGGCGGAGGCAGGCAAAAAGGTAGGCAGAGACAGGCGGAGCAGGCAGGCAGTGTAAGGGTCTTCTTGCCTAAAGGGCAACGAATTAACTCCCTTACACACCCCTGCCGGTAGAGCACCTACTGATATATATGTACTAACCGGTCAGAACCTTGCCATAGATAGTCTGTCGCTCCCGCAGATATTAAGGGCATTATCTTTGAAGATTCGCGGGTTAAGGACGCGGCCGTGATCGGCGTGCCGCTCCCCGACAGCAACGTCAGCGACCACACATGGTCCAGACCAACTAGGGAACAAATCGCCTGTTTGGTCCATCCAGCTGGCCAGTTACAAAGCCCTAGATGGAGGCGTAATCTTTGTCGACAAAATCCCACAGACGGGAATCGGCAAGGCCCATCGCGTAAAGCTCGCACGGCTGGATCGCCAACGGGAGGAGCTGGCCTCTACAGTATTCTGCATGCCTCGGTTCCTGAGGTATGATGTAGATGTCTTTCGCATGTATCTACAGAGACGGATCCCTCCTGCACTATTGGCCGGATGCATTCTGCCCAGATATTCTAGGGTTTTCGCAAGTCGTGCCCGCGCAATACAACGTCATAACGTCGTATTAAAAGCGAGGCTATCTCTATATCTGCTAGACACTGTTTATTTGCACCAATCGAATCTAATAAAGACCGCTTAAGCCGCCTATCACGCATTTACGCGAATGGGGATCCCGGCCTCGTACCAGCCGCGTGTCGAGTACTGGCACGATAATCGACCATATGCACCGGTGTCACTGCGTTCATCGACTAAATATTCTTCTCACAAACTCTCGAGCTACACGATGCGACATTGATAAAATGGAATTGGAATTCGGTGCGTGATTCCATGCGGCAACTGCTTGAGGTAAAGAAGGGAGCAAATATCCAGTCAAAATCATAGAAGGCTTGAGAATTCACACGTCCACCGCCTTCCTATTCATCTCCATCTGAGCCCTCAGCTTATGCTCCCGATCTTTCAGCTCCTTGGTGTGCGTGCTGAGCTCGTGATGGCCATATCCAACTGTGCGCATGATAACTTCACCGTCGTGCAAGGGCACCTTCTTGGCCCACTTTAACGCCTCGTCGGACGTCTTGGTATGAATGAGCCAGTAGCCACCCACGTGGTCCTCTTTGGAGACATCGAATGGGCCTTTCACCACCTCGTGACCGGCGCTAGAGTCGTACTTGATACGATAGCTGTCGGCGGTCGGCTTGAAGCCCTCGGCGTCGAGGAGGACGCCTGCCTGAGCCATTTCCTCGTTGAAGCGGACAAACGAATGCATATTATCCGTGGATGGCTCGTGATTATCCGACTCGGCATGGTGCGGATCCGACTTGATGAAGAGGATATAGCGAGGCATGGCTGGAGTAAGTATAGAATCAGAATGTTTGACGATTTTGTAGTAGATAGCGGAGTGCCCCCGGGCTCGATGAAAACCACAAAGGGAGAAAGGACGCTCCTCTTATATCTATTCCAGTACCCTCAGTTATGTCCTAGGCCATGCCCTAGACTTCGGCGTCGAGAGGAGGGTCTTCGGGAGACTGATGCCGAAGCTACCACTATCAACGCCTAAAACTAGGCTCCATCGGTCGGACCTTAACATGGTACAGGAGGAAGAATCAAAGCGGCTGCAGGGCCTGGGCCTCGCGGGGTCGTTCGATCACACTGCGGCTGGTTGATCGTCAATTTTGAATCACGGTTCAATGGGCACTACCGACTCTTGAAATAGTGGTTAATCGGTGCCGGGAAGCGGGGTATGCCCCCGATATGTTGTCTCTTGAGATACTACGGGTATCTTGAGCCTTTGGTATGATTAGTTTTAGGCTTCAAGCATTTCTGATGCATGTACGAATTCGAGTTACAAATACATATCAAGCAAGTCCCCGACTCCGTTGGCAGTGTGTGATCGCAGGACGCGCGGGTACCTTGAAGCAGACACAGACGGGGACTCAGCCTCTCCCCCCCTCACTTTCCCTCGTTGGTCGCTTCTTCTCCATTGAGGGTTCCAATGGCCAAGGCTCGTCTACTCGCGGCCAGCAAACCGTGCTAAGCAAGACGTTGAACACTCCATGTTGTAGAATTCGCCTCTAAGCGTGCGGGCCGGCCCGAAAAAGAAAAGCTTAGGGCTAGACGACGAAGGCGATTTAGACATGCCAGACACATGTACTATAATTACCGTCTGGTACGGTGGCACATTAGCTAAGGTCCGTAAAGTATGCTAAAACCTAAACCTACTAAATTACTATACTACTTTATTTATATATCGTTCTTAGTAAGATTCTTATACGTATATAAAAAAAAAATAAAGCTATTTATATAATATATCCCTAGGGGAAATCTCTATAAAATATCTATATAATCCGCTCGGTTATCGTTTCTAGGATTTCTAGGTAATTTCCTAGAGTTTACCCGGTAGCTTCTAGGTTCCTTCTTCCGCGGGGAGCCTTAAGGAGTTAGGGGTAACTTCCCTAAGAGAGGCCGATATCGTTATAGGTACTTAGATTATCGACCGTAGGGTATCCTATAATAAATACCTAGGGCGAAAGAATTAACTAACGTCCTTATCGGTCTCCCGCAGTATTTAAGCGGGAGTCGCGCTAATAGAGAATCGTAGTAAAGTTATATAGATTTCTAAGGTTAGTATAGGGAATAACTTATATTTTATCTAAAACGTAACCTAGTATAACTAATACTAGGGGCGCGAGGCGGCTAAGCTAAGAGTAAAATACTATTAAAACTAAGGGTATTAGGTAGCTAAGCTAAGGTAATAAATAAGTAGGGCTAAGGGCGTAGTATAGCTAAGCTAGTAAAAAAAAAAATAGGACTAAGGATATAATAAGGCTAAACTAGTAACTAACCGTCTTATACCGCGGGGGTAGGGGTAGGGCGGGGAATCTCCTTTTTAGCTTCCTCCTCTATTAGTTTCTTAGGGCCTACTAGCACGTCGTCTAGGGCATCCTATATATCGAAGGCTTTATAGATAGGCACGCTATAGGCGTTATTTAAGGCTAGTTCTACTAAGAGTATTATAGCTAGTCTATCGCGAGAGGCTAGAACCTAGTTATAGATTACTACTACTAGTGCCTATATAGTCGGGCCTAGGTTCTAGAACCTACCTAAGTATATATTAATAAACTTCTAGTCTAATAAGTTAAAATAGGCTATTATATTAGCTATATAAAGGCGGGCTACTACTAGCGTATAAAGGGGGCTAACGCGGGCCGCTCTTTAGTATACCGTGGCGAGCTTAAGCGAGTTATCTAAGAGGTAAGCGGCGAAAGTAAACTAATAGATAAAGCTAGCGGGTACTCTAGTAAGGGCGGCGTACTAGCTAAGTAAGAGGTTAGCGTTAGCCTCTTTATAGATAGCGGCGAATAGATTTACTTAAATTATAGCTATATTTAAGGCTTTATAGACTAGCGCTTTTAACCTAAAGTAAATAGTGCCGATATAGCTATCTATATCGGCCGGGTTATCGTAGTATACTACGAAAGGTATAATAGGGAATAGTCTAGGTTTTTTATAGCTTAGAACCTAAAAGGGGTTAAGCTTTTATTAGACCGGTATTAAGGCCTATTCCTTAGTAAACGGGTTAGCCCGTTTAAAGGGAGTAGAGGGCAGGGCCGCGGCGGCGGTAAGTAAGCGTTTAGTAAATAAGTTCCTTAATAGCTCGTTAAAGGTAAGGTTTACTATACTAGATCCTCTAGGTCTAGCTAGGGTACGCTTAAGGCTCTCCTTAAACTTATAGGTTCCCGGTATACTAGTAGCCTTACGCTCTTCTATAGTAGCGGCCTTAAATATCTTTAAATAAGTAAGGAGGTACTTTATACTAGTAATAATAGCGATAATCTTAAGTATCTTAGCGTCTATAAAGGCGACCTATTTAAATAAGAGCTTATTAATAATATTAGCTAAGATAATAGCGATCTACGCGGTTCTAAGGGCGCTAGTTATTATCTTAGTTTTATTAAGAAAGATAGCCCTATTTAAGTCGCGTAGTAATAGAGGGAGAAGCTCGTCCTTATTAAATAATAAGGTAAACTACCTATAAGCGTTATAAGGGGTACTAAGGGTTTTTCCTATAATACTTAAAACTAATAGTAGTAAGTTAATAAATAAATTACTAAAGCTTAATAGTAATAGGGTATAGTTATTAAAGTAAACGTATAAAGGAGTACTAAGATTATAGTAATAGGAAGCGCTAACCTACTATAGTTAGATAGTTAACGTTATATTTCTATTACTTTAAGTAGTTATAGAAGTTATAGTAGTATTATAATAGGCGGCGGCGCTATAAAGTATAAAGAAGTATAGCTAGTTACGGTCGCGTAGGTCACGGGTTTTAGATAAGGGAAGAGATAGAGGGGTATAGTATATACCGTTTTCTACTAAGCTTATATTAAGATTATATCCTTCTTTAGTAAGGAGGTTACGGTAGTTAGTATATATACTATAATTATCCTATTTCTACTAATAAAAGCGGCTATATTAGACTTAAGGTTATAAAGGAGCTTTACTTTATTCTTATATAATTAGACTACTTAGCGGAATCCCTTAAGGCTTAGGCGCGGCGGTCGGCGGTAGATTTAGTCGGAGAAATACTAGTAAAATACTAAGTCCTCACTATAATACTTATAGCCTTAGATAGCGGGAACCTTAAATATAGGTATAAGAAAGGCGCGGTTTAGTATAGAAAGGGGAGCGTAAAAGGATAGGGAAATTAGGTTCTTAAAATAAAAATAAATATAGGTACTAATATATAGAATTAGATTACTATTTACTATAGGCGGCCTATTAATACTTATTAGCTAGTTAACCTATCCTTAGACTTCTAAGAGAATAAATAGTAATAGCGCGTACTATATATTATTATTTTTCTTTTAGCTATAATAGCTTATACTATTATACGGCGCGCGCGTAGAGCTTCTAGGTATAGGTAATATAACCTTATAATACTCCTTACTATACGTAATAAGGTCTTTAGCGACGATATTCTTAGTAGCTACCTAGGAATTATAGCTACTTAGCTAGCCTTTCTAGCTAATAAGGTATTCTATATAAGCGGTCCCTTAGCTATATTTATAAGTTCTAAAGTTAAGGATTCTTTTAACTTCCTAGTAGTTAGTATTAGGTTTTAAGCTAGGTCGGGCGTTTAGTTATTTAGCTAGCTATAGCTATATAATAGAAACGACGTTATAGATATTTAAGGATCTAGCTAGGTTAAGATAGTAAGCTAAATAGCCGATCCGTTTAAGGACTTTAAACGGTCTTATATAGCGTTCTTTTAACTTTACTACCTATTTATTAGCTACGCTATATCCTTTCCCTAGCTAGAGCTATACCTAATCCCTAGGCTTAAACTTTAGCGCTTAGTACTTTACGTTATATTGCTTTTTTATTCCCGCTTAAGCTAGAGCGATTAAGATCCTAGCCTAGTCTTAAAGTATCTCCTTATCTATCTATAAAGGGCCTTCCTTAAGGTATTACCTACTATTATCTATCTATATCCTAGTTAGTAGCTTACTTAAAAAGGTACTAATTACTAAGGAGTAAGAGTTATTAAGAGTAAATTAAAGTAATAATAATACGTTAACCTATTAATAGGATAGGAAGTTAGTTATAAAGAACTAAAGTATAGTTTTAACTACCTAGTTATATTATTTTAATAAGCTATTAGTTTAAGGATACTAAGCTATAGATACTAATAACTTAGACCTATATACTATCTATAGTCCTTTCTAGAACGCTAAAAGGAACTTAGGGTCTTAGTTAAAGATAATCTAAGCGGGAATCTCTTAGTTATAGCGTATTAACTTAGTAAATAGTACCTTAGCTTAGTCCTTTATAGTAAACTAATTATAGCCTAAGATAAGGAGCTTTATTTTTAAGAACTTATTAGTTACTATTAATAGTATATTATAGTAGACCTTAATAAGTAGTATCCTCCAAAGTTTAGTCTATAAGGACGTTTAAAAGCTTTATTATAAAATCTATAACGATTATATAGAAAGGTAAGGCTAAGGAAGTAATTAAAACTAACTTACTAAGGGCCTTTAACTAGTAAGTTTAGTTCCTATAGTAAGCGTTATACTTATCGATAAAGCTATTAATAAGTTTCTTAAGGCTAGTAATAGTAAATATAAAGGATAATTCCTTTTATATCCTTTACTATCTAAGGTAGAATTTATATATATAGTTATCGGCGATAATTTTCTTAGTATAGGTAGTAGGGATATAGAGCTAGTAACGACCTTTAGACTTAACTAAGTAAAGTAACCTATTCCGCTAAATAAATAAGAGACCGACCTAGGACTTATTACTCTTAAGGTACTTTAGTATACTAGCCTACTTAGGTTCTTT